CCCCCCCCCCCCCCCCCCCCCCCCCCCCCCCCCCCCCCCCCCCCCCCCCCCCCCCCCCCCCCCCCCCCCCCCCCGGATGGATGAGCAGGCTCGCAGAGAAGGTTGACCACCAGGCCCTGGTCCCTGTTGACAGCCAGATTCCAAAGCCAATGGCACGCGTGCAAAACGCGCCTTGACAGACGACACTCCACCCATGCGGGCCGACACCAGACTTTATGTCTCGGCCAAGCCTTGTCGACGATTGGCGATGGCGGCGAGCAGTGCTTGGGCCACATCGGCATATCCAACGAACCGGGGCCTTGTCTGGAACACAGGCTTGCACGAGGATGTAATTAATTGGTGATTTTCTTGGGGGGAAGGCTGACAGCAAAAGGGGTCACTGCTGTGCCCCCCATGGCCTAGGGACGTCTCGATCCCTCCCAACGTCTTGCCCGCAACGAGTGCACGGTGATCGAGTCGTCACTACTCCGTAGACTCGAGCTCTTTTCATAGTCGGTGACGGAGGCCTTGCCTTGATACTGCAGTGATCTCGGGAGAAATGTGCTGACGGATTATGAGGCGCAATTTGGGCAGGAAATCCCTGTCGTCCGGATCTGGCATCTTGCTCTCCATCTCGGGCTCTATCTGTAATCTGCTGACGAGTCGGACAGCCATCGTGCAGAACAAAAGTCCTGGCAGGATCTCTTATGGGGCTGCCTCGTCCGCCGCAGATTCATTCACGCTCATAAATGAGTGGCAAGAGGGAGGCGGAGATGCACGAATACCCGGATGCTCACCTCCCGGGCTTTGGCGCCCGCGGGCATATGCAGGTCTCCATGGGCACTGATTGCGTGACAGCTCCTGGGTGTGTCGATGCGGCTGTCTGCACGTTGGTCTCCAACTGTTTGAGGCACAACGGAAGAGGAAGAGGCCGACAGTGCCTTCCTATGATTGTGGCACATCGCCATCGGGCTTGGACAGCCCTGAAAATCCAAATGGGCTCCGGTGTATGGAGTAGCGCGGCAGCATGCAGTAGCTGCCGTTGAGAAGAGTCCCTTACGCTATCGAGTCCTGACCGTCTATTACTACGCCAACACATCCTACACTCATTTCTCAGTGCTGCAGATTAGCTTTAGATGCATCCCCGCGCGCCGGTCTGGCTGCCGGCCTGCGGGCTTCGCAAGGACGAGCATCTCTCGTCGGATGTGTCTTGTGTGATTCATCACTAGTACGCGCTAACAAGATGGTGGCTGATGGTCTGCAGTGCAAGATCTGCCAACATGCAGAAGAAAATGTCTCAGGTCAAGGCACGCACGTCAGGCAGAGACTGCCGCGAGAACCCTGAAAAGCTCGTGCTTAGAAGGGGCAACGAGCGCGTAGATCTTCATCGTCTTCCAAGGCCCGTGATGGCCCAGGAGTATCCGTCCGTGAACGGATTCGGAGCCTCGCCTGTCAACTATCGATACTCATGCACTCCGTAGTTGAGGTACGTACGAAAAATGGGTGAATAGGTAATAGTAAACCGATTCCGGCACTCCTACGTGTGAAGTTGGAGTATGGATCCCTCGATTGGATCGTGATCGACAATTTTGGGCCCAATTTGTGCCTGAACATGTGCAGTTGCATCGGCGGTGGATGAGGTGAGAGGAGATGCACGCTGCAGGGTGTATCGTAGATCCATCGAGATGAGATCTGTCTCGCTTATGCATTTCGCCACAGGCTGATTGATGAGAGGGGCGTATCGTATATGTCAGAGTAGTCCACCACCACAGCCAGTGGCGACATCCACGCTTCGTTGGGCCTTTCCGCACATCTCTCCCGGTATTAGTCCTGTTAGTACACGTAATGCTGATTAGCCCGGCGTTCATTTTCATGCCACCTGTGTCACCTGAACTGCCTGATCGTCAACTCCCCGTCAATTCATCGTGATGCCTGAGCCCGACCCCCTCACATGTCTCAAATCGTTCAGTCCAAGGCAGAAGAAATGAATATGATGTACGGCGAAATGTCTGCCGATTTCCTTGACTACTTAAAAACTACTTTTGCACCCTTGTAGACCATGTCATCGCCTGAGCGGCGGCAACCACCTGCTGCAGCGTCTCTGCAGAGTAGCCACAACCCAACAGACGTCGTCCGTCCACGATTCTCCCGCTCATTTCGTATTTCTCGTTTATGCTTGTCAGAAATATAGTTTTCTTCTCTTTAGAGAGGTTAAATGCTAGTATGATACCCCTGAGCTGAAGCTCATCCGAATGACCGCTAACTACTGACACTCTGTGCCTCATTGTCATGACCCCCATTCTTGGAACATGAAGCTCTTGCTATCGCCACACAAGAGACGAGGATTATCAAAGAGGTTGAGAACTTGGACCAACCGGACGAGGGGCTCACACTCAGCATAGACGTGTCACATTGCCCGTGTTTAACCAGGTGGACGCAAGTACTGCATGCCTGTTCGTGAGCGAACAACGATGGAGGCGTGAACCATCCGAATGGGCTTGTGAGGCCCATCCGACTACTTAGCTGTTAGAGAGGGGTTGAATCATGCGTGGGGCTGCTATAGTTTCTTGGAAGCCTTTTGATAAGAATGTGCGTTGTCTTTTCAAAAGTGAGGTGGTCTATAGAGATCGCGAGTGTACGCCAAATGCTATGGCTCAATACGATGGCACGTTATGCTTCAAGAACACGGGCTGCATGCACGAACAATCTTGTTGCAGAAAGAAGAAAATAGTGTCTACTCTGTTCCTATTCATCCCGCTCATACTCATGCACATACAGACAGGCGCCGAGTGGCGTGTCAGGCTGTGCGTCCAAATCTACCTTAAGGTACCGTTACTCGCTCGACAGAAGAATGTTCTTTCCCACCCTCGTCTTACAAGACGCATCTTCACATTGAAACCAGAACACAGTCTGACCACTGGCATACACACAACATCCACGCGGTATTCTTGAGGCGGTCTGGGGTTAGGCAAAGGGCTGGTCGCCAACTTGTGCACTGGACTACACTGAACCGCTCGTGGACCAAGTAACCACCAGAATCCGTATCTACATGTAGTAAAACAGGGATGCTTCCAGCGTGTCCATATCACCCTCTGCAGCTCGCAAGGCGCAGAGAACAGGCACAGATCCAGGGCACAAATGTCAAGTGGTGCCACGACTGGCGCTCTTCTTGACCCCATGGTTTGGGGGTTGGGGTTTGGTTGATAGTGGCGCGCAACCAATGTGGCCCGGAGTAAATAGCAGCGTCCACAAGACAAGGCTCTGCTCTCCAGCCGCCAGTCCCATGCAGTGGCAGAGGCTGTGTGTGGCCCACGAAGTCTTCGCCTGCTCACCCTGTCAGGGCCCGACGCCGCACTCACCATACATGCACCCGAAAGTCTTCGGCCCCTTCAACATCAGCCGTACAGAGACCCAGCCCGCATGTGGAATGACCAGCAGCCAAGAGATAGAAGTAATAGATGTGTGCATTCGTAGCTCAGACGCCTAGGTATCATTAAGTAAATCAGAGCGCTTGGCCGCCCGTCCGAAACACATTAAAAAAAAAGAACATCCCCTGCCTTGCGTCTCGTGCGGCGAGATATCCAACACATCGCCTCCCGTGATCCATGCCATCATGTCTGCTGTGTAAACTATGCAGACTCCATCCTTCATCGCATGCAGGCGGGAGTGCATCGGCATTCGTCGTGAAGCGTGACATGACGCCCGCCCGACCTGCGTCATCCGTAGTGTGGTGGGCTGGGGGCGATGTTTGCCGGCCTTATCGTCAGCAGGATGACACCGCCTGTAAAAATTCTCCAGAGCCTAGTTTAGGCTGCGAGATTGGTTAGTACATACTATATGTCTTCAAACAGAGGAAATTGACAAGAGTCCTCCGGTAAGCCTGATTGTGGTATGCCTGCGCCCAAAGGAAGGGAACAGAGAATGATACAGGAAGAGCCGCTCCCCCCTGGCGTCATTGCAATGACAGGGAGGATTTGACCAGTATATAGGGGAATGTTCCGTGTCGACGTAGGACCACTTGTCGTAGGGCAGAAGGTTCGCAAGTGTCGTTAGGGGGGCCCTTACAGTATCAACTGCTTCAGATTGCGCTGGATGATCATATCCTGCACCGAGCCCATTGTGATTTTCAAAAGATTCGTATCGGTTGCGTTTGTGAAATGGCCGTAAATTTCCTTCTCCGTGTTCCGGTTGAGTGCGCGGAACTTGTCCAGAAAGTATTTGCTCGCGGCCTTGTAGTCATCTTCCGGACCGTGGTAGTCGGTGAAGCCAAAGTTGGTGATGGGACTCTTTGGCAACTTCTCGCGGAAAAGATCCATTTTGTTGAGGAAGAGAATAAGGGCAGACTTGGTGAACCAGTGAGAGTTGGCGATAGATTCCCAGAGCATGAGGGCTTCGTTCATTTGGTTCTAGGAGAGTCAGCATCAGTGCATCGGTCGCACAAAGCAGGCAACGTACACCATCCTTATCCTCCACGAGACATTGATCGTAGCCACTGATCGCGACCAAGAACAGCAAGCAGTTGACGTTCTCGAAGCAATGGATCCACTTCTTTCGTTCTGAACGTTGGCCGCCAACATCAAACATTCGATACGTAAGCTGCCCCAGGTCGAAGATGGTTTCTGTGATGCCGGTCGTCCTTAGTCGCGAGCGTAGCAGATCTTGGTCGTTTGGAACGTAGTCTTGCGCCCAAATACGGTCAATCTCTTCCACAAAGCTAGAGCAAGTCATTATGCGTGTCGAGTACCGAGATGAAGCTCCCACTCACTATGCCAGATTGTCGTGCAGGGCATATTCATTGCCTTTTGCTATCGCAGCCTTCACGCCGCCATCGGACCACAGTGCCTTTATGGGCTCCAGAAACTCCAGAGGCATCTGCTCTTGGGCACTGATCTCGCGTTCGACCAAGACAAGAGACATGTTTTTCTGCGGTACAGTTAGCCTCGCGCTCAATTCGCCCCATGTCTCACGTCAAGCCTCCATCCGTTCCGCTAGGCCTCGGTCAGGGCTCGGCCGAGCTGAGTGCGCGGGATAGGGCATTCCGGAGACGGATATGTCTAACCTCGTTCTCGGGACCCTCGAATTGGATATTGAGTTCAACCATGGCCTCGTGTATCGTTTTGAAGGAATGCACAATGTTGCTGAAAATAACCGGCTTCCACTCGAGCTTCTCATTCTTGCTGAATCCCTGAGCGTAGATGAGCTTCATTTGCTTGAGAACGGTTGATTTTCCGGATTCGCCAGCTCCTGTTGGAAACACAGTACGTCAGTCACCGCGCTGACATTCGCAGGGCGAGAGCCCGCACACGTGCGTGCGACATACCGAGCAGTAGCAACTTGACTTCCTTGCTCATCTTCTTCTCGTCCACGCGGAGCTGCTTGTCGATGTCGCGCGAGCGGGCGGCGCCGGCATCGCCCTTGTCGCGACTACCGAAACACATCTTGGATATGGATTCGTTTCGTCGCAAGGACTCGAAAGTGATACGACGGAGAAGCGCTCGCAGACGGGCGGGCCGGACCGGCGAGGTGAGGTCGGTCGTAGGCGCGCGGTCAATGGACGGGTAGCGACAGCGATTGGGAAAGCCCCTCAATCAGGCCCTACTCGTGCCAGACGGAGGCAGGTTGTACGAGGTCGACAGGACACGATGGCTGGCTGAGCACAGTTGACAGGTGCAGGCGGCAAGTCGCAATCTTTACTCCAAGAAATCGGGGTGACGAAATCCGTTATTGGTGGTTCGCCCCGGAAATAAAACAATGGATGAGGTGATGTGTTGCACAGTGGCGCCTGTCGCAAGCGGCAGCCAGCAATGCAGCCTCTTTGCCAGGTGATTCTCACTGGAGATAATGAGCTGAAGCACCTCGTGGCCGGTGGCTGCAGGTGAGACACTACAGCGAATTGTTGATGATTTGTCGCCTGAGCGGTTAGTGGGCAGCAGAAGCAACGCAAGCAAGAGTGCTGTAGGTGCTTGGGAACTTGCAGAGGAGGAGGAGGGAGGGAGATGCTGATGGCGTCCTGTCACCGGGAGCTACAAGACAGACTAGACTCGTCAGAGTGAGGGAAAAAACGGTACTGACAGCGGGACGGACAGACGGAGACGGCGCAGAGCCGACAAGTGATGGATGGATCCAGGATGGATGGGTAGTCTGGACTCTGGAAAAGGAGGCCAGGTCGCAATCCAGTGGTGAGAGAAGACATGATGGAGTCGAGGGAACGTACGGTTGCGTCTCGGGACCAGGACAGGGGCTTTGGCCTGGGCGAAACGGTCAGATTGCGTGCCGCTCCGCTCAGCCAGTGGGGATTGATGGCAAGATGGTTTTGTGCGAGCGAGATACGTGCGTCAGGTAAGTTTGCTTGAATCGATCCCCCTCGCGAGCGCGCGTTGGCAACGAATGCGCTTCACCTAACTTTCGCCACGCGACTCAGGGCCATGGAAATATTGTAGGCCTAGCCTGGCTCGAAATGCTGAGCTGAGCCTTTGGTCTAGTTGCAGTGCAAAGAATGAAGTATTCCGGGGGCCTGCGGTTCGGTGGATACTGTAGGTGGTGGTCTGTGCGCTCCAGATGTCCAACTGGCAACGACCAACAGCATCCAGTCCGTACCAGACTCCAGGTACGTACGGATGCGGCCTGATGAGAAGGTGCCCCCCAGACTTTTCTTGTTGGCTCATGCCATCCTTTGTCGACAGATGCTGTGTCGACGGATGCTGCTCTCCATCTCGCAGGCCATTGACGCACCAGGGAACAGTTGCTTCGATGTTTCCTGGATAGGATACTTCTAGAAGACTTACAGTACTTCGTACGGACAGTAGATACCTACCTCGCCCCCTCGATGCGAGCTAGTTGTACATAGTAGAGCCTCCGTCGTGCCCACAACCCTTTACGTACCTCGACCGGCCATTATTATTTTCGAATCCCCGACGTCAAGGACTCAAGGCCGACCCGCACCTCGAGTCAACTCCGTTGGCTCCATCATCCATGAGCCCAGCCCATCCATGTCTCTCCTTATTGCTTGCTCCTGAGTCCTGCAACGAGTCACCGACCGGAACGCCTGATCCCAGTGCCCACATGCGATGCTCCACATTGGCAGGGTCCTGAAACCGATTGCAGCTCGCGTCCAATTACGCCGCTGCAGATTCTCCAATCTTTACGGCATTTTCGACAGGACCCACGATGCATACCTTTATCAGCCAACTCGAGCCCAATCCCCTGGGAGTGCTTGCTTGAGGACCGAGGCTGACCTGCTGGACAGTGGACTCGCGAGTCGCAACGGCAAGTGTCGCGCGAGCTACGGAGTATTACATATAGAGCGCCATGTGGAATGCAGCGCCAAAGTTTCCGACCCCGGCGCCAAGATCGTCATCCCCAAGCATTGCGCAAAAATCTTCCGGTGGCTTGTAATGAATCGTACGGGCATAATAAGTCAGCAACCCTTCGAGAGCCGCTATTTTAGCGGTGCATGACAAAGCTCCATGCGAGTCAGTCCCGGCCAGCGGCAGTCCGGCCAGCCGGGAAAAGCATCGGAGCCGATGGAAATGGCACATTGACACCTCAATGATATCTCAGGTGTGTTGCGCGTAGTGTGAGAGGGTGGTACAAGACAAATTGCCGCGTTCACGACGCAAACACACCCAGGAGCAATCGGGTTGCGCCAGAAGGGAGAAGGTGCGCTTGTTACCGCGCTTAAGCCGATTCTGGCTCGTGACGGTCTGTTGTTCTTTGCCTGCCGACCGTGTCTTCGAGCAGGTGTTCGGCATATGTATCCGTATCTACGGAGTGTAGGGGTAATTAATTACATACCTCAGACTCCTTAGTTCATAGCATGTCGTGAAGCTTTCAGGTAGACCAATTAGTACGTAGTCTACGTAGAAACTGGAGAATCTTCCTCGTTCTGGTGTAGCACTTGCGAGGGGCACCCGAAGCTTCCTCAGCGATGTCGGGTGTCCGACTTTTGATCATCCCAGTGCTACTCCGTACACGATAGCAACCTTTGTCGGGGCCTAGCGGCGGCCACTTGTGAGGTTGCTTTCCCTCGGGGGTCTTTGATCAAATTTTGGAGGCGCGAAAAAATTTTTTAAGTGCAGCCGCCAAAGTTGCTTTGACGATTGATTATTATTACTCCATGTTGTTGGCTGCCGGCCGGCAATTCTCATGTGCATGTCAAGTACCCAATGATATTGAAATTTCGGAACTCCGCGGTATTTCACGCGGAAAAGACGTCGCATATCGCGAGCACGACCGGCGTGTCTTGCATCCGATCAACAGTTCGGATCCATACTCATTACAAATACTGTTGCTGCGAAATGAGATGGCAAAGGGTGAGGTTGCCAAGTCATCTCGACCCCTGGGCTCACCAAGTACGCGTAAAGCGCCTCCCGATGACGACCAATTAACGTACCCTATACCACACCAGATGCGCTCAGTCCGTGGCCCAGCGGGACGGAAGCGCAAGTATATCGTGAGGGTGTCGTCAGCGCAACCCCCCTTTTCTATCCGAGTCCTGATTCAAAGACAGGAACTTTCGATTGTCTTTCCGGCGCGCTACAAGCTCGATCGTGGTTAATGGAAGTCTCTCTTTCGACTCTGGAGTCTGCCTCAAGCGTATGGTAGGTATGCTGTCAGATCCGTCATCTTACACGTTTAAGCTACCCTGCACCCTCTGCACTGGCGTGCGGTCGTGATAACACATTAGACTATGGAATGGGAACGTGAGAATTCTGACCACCGACAATGGCCATGACATACAAAGCATATGAACTGCCGAGGAGAACAAGTAGTCATGAAAGTGTTAGACAAAATATTTGATACGAGCATCCGTGAACAGTCTAAATTACCAAAGCACTGATCCAAACGCCAACAGAAATGAGGGAACGCCCAATTTTATCATCGTGCTTGGAAGCATGACTGTAGCAACTCAGACGTCACGGAACCTTGGAGTGATTGCCCTCACAGAGTGACCCAAACGCCGCCCTTCATCGTTGTCAGGTTCAGCCTGTAGCGACCTGAGACCATGCTATTTCAATGTCAGCACAGATCGCGTGGGAGCAAGAGAGGGCAACCAACCTCCAGTTCAAATTCGCCGTGCAAGCATATTGGCAACCCTCAATGAACTTGCCAAGGTCCGCCCGCGTCTTCTCGTCGTGCGCGTAGCGAGCCAGCAACCTCTCGGATGCGGCATCGAGGCGCTTGACCGACTCCTCCACAATTTGTGATGAGCAGTCGATGGAGGCTTGTGGCGAGCCAAGGCGATCAGCGAGCAGAGGGACGAGTGTGTCGACCTGGTCTTGGGCCTGTGGCGTGTCAGTCTTCGTCAAAGGATGGGGTGTTGATCTCGCTGGGAGACTCACAACTTCTTTCTTGATGGAGAGGATATCGTTGGTTCTGGGCCCGTCAGTCTAGAATCACGGCATAGGAGCAGTTGCACAGCGCACGTTGAGATGATGATGTTGGTCTCGTTCCAGATGTTCTCCATGTCCTCGTCCTTCATGACCTCGTCAGGCAGCGTAATGCCAAAGGCATATTCCGTGATGGCAAGACAAACGCGCACGGCACTCGAACCCATGCGACGGTTGCTGTATTCCTCCACGGTGGGGATGTTTGGTGTCATTTGGTACATCTGTTCCTCCTCGCTCATCGTGATGAAGAATCGAAGCTCGTCAAGGAAAGTCTTGATTTGTCCTGAGCAGTGTCAGCGCCAAGGGGGGCCCAGGCATGATGCTTGTGTCTCGCGTCAGCTTACTGTCGTTGCAGTGTACAGCAATAGTCTCGCCAACAGGCCTGAAGTTTGTGACGACAGGGTTCGTAGAGATGGTGGACAGGTCGAATGTGCGATTCTTCTGCATGCTCGCCTCGATGTACGCCATTGTCTCCCTTCGGAAAGCACATGACCTCTCAAAGTCGTTGATGAGGTCGGAGAATTCGACCGAGTCGGACTCGTCGTCCCACACAAACAGCCAGATGGAGAGGAGCGTGGCGATAAGGAGGGCTTCATACGGCGCATACGCCCACCAAGACGCACCGAAGAGAGCAACGCCGGACCTGTTCATCTTTTTGAGACGACCTGAATCCTCGGGGCGGTGTAGGATCCTGAGAGGAGAACATGACTTAGCTCTGCGGCCTCGCGCATTCACGACTCAGTCACTCACTTTGCCAACGCCTCTTGTGAATCAAGCTCCAGACGCTCAATCTCGGGGTTCACTCCTTGAGCCCAGTGGCCCAGCGTGGCCTGGAGGTCTGGAATCCGAACGCGCGCGCCACGCATGAGACGTATCAAACGATCACGTTCCTTCTGCGCATGCTGGGCGTCGTTGACAGTTTCATCCTTGTGATTCACCAAACGGAGTAGGTTGTCGAAGTGGGCGGCGGTGGCTGCGTTGCCTGCGAACTGGACACTTGTGGCAGACATTGTGGATGAGGTTTGGCGTATTGTATGATTGTGCACACAGTGGGGTTGCTTTGCCTTGCTTGACGGTATGTGAATGCACGTAGGGTAGCAATATCTAGAGATGAGACAGGACCCGTGAAATGGGAAGCTAAGAGCTGTCGGTTCCAGAGGGTCGGGACAGCTGGCACACCATCCATGCGGAGCAGTGAACCTTCTTTTAAACAGATTGTAGGCTTCTGAATGGGCTCCCGCTGGGGCCTCGATGAATGGCAAGGTGGGTAGCGGAGATAGCCGTACTGTCACTAAGAACCCAATGGTGTGCGCCCCCATCCGACCAATGGAACCCACATCATGCCCGAGGAGTGGACTGGTTGCGAACGGAGCTCTGAAAAGCACATGGGGATCTGATTAGCTGAAAGGGGGCGGAGAGTGATCCGTCACCTACTATCATGGTAGACTGGAATACTCGCTCGGAAAAGGAGCACTCCATCACGGGAGTATTTTGCTCAACGGCGTATCAGCCCGGATGAGCTCGGAGGCACACGAAAAAGGGTATCAGACCGACCTCGATAACAGACCTCTGACCATGCCTGGCTCTCAGTACCAAAGCCCGTGCATCAGCCTATATGCGCTTGACATCCTACTCAATCATGAGTAGGCTTTGATGCAACACCTTCCGTCCTGAGCTGTCTTCACCTCGCCGAGGTGGTGGTGGTGGTGGTGATGTTGAACTAGGCCGTCGTGAAGTAAAAAGAACCTTGCCGATCTCGTGCATTAAGACGAGACTAGTCTCATTGAGATGGAAGCAAGCCAGGTTCTCGCATTGCATGTACTAATGTACGTAGGCGTTCGACAGGTGACTGTCAGCCAGTTGCGAACTCGTTGCATATTGGGTTCTGGTGTCATCGCGGCCGACTTGGACAGCTGAGACCCTGTAATGCGAACGAACCTTTGAGAGAAGTCCGAGCCAGTCCAGGCAGCGGTTAGATGGACGCTGTTGGTCGTTCGTCATGCAGAAACATGGCGCCCCCCTCCAAGGCGTCATCCCGAGGGAAGGGAACCAGATCAGTGCCTTGCGGCCCCAAGAACGATTGACAGGTGCGCGACCCTGGCCCCGCTCGATGGATCACTTGGAGATGCGGGGCCTCGTAAGTCGTAAACGACAAGACGTCGGGAAAGCCATTTGTCGAAAGGTCGGTGAATGCTGGCGTTCTCGGCGCATACTGCGCGAATTCGTCCACATTTCTCGAGCTGGCTGACTGGCTGGCTGGTCCAAGTGGTGAAGTTCCTCGGGGCCAGAATGGGGTAATAAGAGTGGCAGACTGGGGAGGAGGTTGCCTGGGGCTGGGGGGTGGGCCTATTCAATGCTGTCGGGACTGCACGTGACCGTGAGCACTCTGCAAGGCCTTCTATTGGACGATGGCGATGTTAGCGCTCGGGTGGGTTGACGCAGTTGGCACTAACCCTGGCTATGGCCAATTAGCCCGCCACGGACCGCGCCGCCGCCATGTCAGTCCAGGCCCCAGACAACTCTTGGCTTCTTGATCTATAGACTATTGAACGCATGTCTGACCGCTCGAAATAATAGAGATTCGACACGATCTGATCAGCAGCACTTGCCTCTGCTGGCAATCTTGCTGAGATAATCCGACTTTTACTGTCTCACGACTTCGAGTGCGACAGTATGCTGATTGCTCGCAAAGTACCTGGGTAGCAGTGGTACAGCAGTGCCCGTGCAGCGTCATGATACACGTGAGCATGTGCCTCGAGTGAGTGACCCCTGACGCTGAGAGACTCTGAGCCCATTATCTAACGCTCACCACCGCTATAACACACCGCTAGCCTCACATTCCTGTTCATCCACCGGCACCTCCGTAATATTCGGCAATGTGTGTCGGAAGAGACCTGCGCGCCCTCGCGGAGCCCGATAATGCCTGGAATCGCATCTTTGTTCATTACCACCAAGTGAGATTTCGTCACAGACGGAACGTCCCCCCCACCCACCATGCAACCCAAGCTGCATCACAGTCCGCCTGCTGAAGGGTCGATCTTCACACCATGGTCGCATCTGCCGCACTTTCATCGACTGTGTGAGCAGAAAATGGTAACTATTTTTTACTGCGCTGCCCGGCGCGATTCCCCTGACCTGCCAAATTTCTTCCTGGGGCGGACAACAGTGAGATTGACAAAGACAAGTCACCCGTGATCAGCAGCAGCACACCATGATCGGACGTCAGCCTGATGATGATGAACTCTAGCCAGGCAACGCGATCATGCTTGTCTCAGCTCTTTCGCCTGCACGGTACGGAACCTTCGCCGGAATGGTCGAGGTGCACTTATTTGATAATTGAAGCTGGTCGTGGATGTGGCAGGACACACTCAGATGCCAGTGATTGTTCCAAGACAAGTTGTCTGAGCTGATTTGTATATCCAAAGCAAAACTTCTCAGGCACGAGAAAGCGAGCAACGAATTGATGAACGGCGGCCGCCTTCTCTCGGTAAATTTCAATGTCGTTCGTCGCGCCGTTTGCGCCTACGTAAGGTAGCATGTCATCGGCATCCTGACCCTTCACGACCAGGGCTGGGAAATGCTACGCTGCCTTCTTACCTTGCGTATGCATGCGTCTAGGTTGTCTTCCACTCCTTCCCACGTCGGCACTTGCCCCTCACAGCCAGTCAGAGGTTCTGCTCAACACGTGTAAGTGCTCTGCTGCCTTGGCTGATTGGGGGCTGGACAGGGTGTATTACATCTTGATCGTCCGTTTGATGGGCATCTTACATATAAGGTGCTTAGACTCAATGCCCCCCACACTTGAACTGGTCTGTAGTTGACTCTTGTTGACTCTGAAGGCCTGGTGGTACCAGAACTATACTTATTCAGTGTACAGGCAGCCAGTCCTTGGTCTTCTTCACATTAAGCTTCTCAACGACTACAACTTTCAGCTAGTTGCCGGAATGGCAGACGTCTCAAAAGATGGCGAGAATGCCATCATCAGTAGGTGATGTGAGAGAGGGTGACAAGAGGCCGGTAGCTGACAATTGTAGTTGTCTACGTGCTCACAGTCGTCGCCACGATATGCGCTGTCATGCGATTCAAGATTCGGTGGTACGGACAGCTTGGCGCTGACGACTATCTTCTCGCATTTTCGCTCGTTTTGATATGGCTCCAAGCAGTCGGGAACACACTTTGTAAGAGACTGAACAGACCTCAAAGTGATAGGCGGCGCCCTCTGACCGGGAAAAGTGGCTGTGAAAGGTGGCATGGGCAGGCCGATGGCGACACTGAGCGAGGGCGAAACTGAGTGGCTTTTCAAAATGTTCTACGCCCCGGAGATTGGATACACACTGCTCACGGGTGTGCTCAAGCTCTCGATTCTCCTCTCGTACAAGCGCATCTTTGGCCACATGCGCAAAATCCTCGTCTACATCCACGTGCTCATGGGGCTTGCGGCTGGCTGGCTGGTGTCGTGCCTGTTCGTCATCATATTCCAGTGCTGGCCCATCCACAAGGTCTGGAAGCCCTTGACGCCCGGCGGCTGCATCGACTTGCTGGCATTTTTGTGGGCGACGAGTGTCTCGAACTTTATTATCGACTGGCTTATTCTGAGCGTACCCCTGATCCCCATCTGGAAGCTGCAAATGACCCCGATCAAGAAGGTCTTTGTGGCAGGTTCGTTTGCGATGGGCTCAATGTGAGTATTCCGGAAATGAGTGCGAGAGAGCTATATTAAAAGACGCAGTGCTTGCATCACGAGTACTGTCCGCGCGGCTGTTACTGGTACCATTGATGTGACGGACATGTCGAGTCAGTGTCATCCCAGGCCAAGAAACTTTGCATGTGTCGCTAACCGGTGAAAGGATCCGTGTTCATGGCATCCATCTGGACGTATATCGAACCCACTGTCGCCGTCGTCTCCGCCTGCCTTCCTTTCTTCAGCAAGTTCTTCACGGACAAGGTCAGAAACATTGGCACCAAGGGACGCAGCACGGGCAACAAACACTCGAAGAACGGGTCCGACTTTGAGAAGGGAGAGGGGCATATTACAAAGAAGACAACCACGACGGTGTCTGGAGAGTCGCGCGGCGTGCGCAACCAGCACGAGCTGGTGAACTACTCTGTCCGCGTAGGAGCGACACCTGACGGTCACTTGAGGCTTCACAGCGACTCCAGTACGTCGCTAGTGTAGTATGCTTTGTCTGGTTTTTGGCGTTTGAGCGATATAAAGGGTGCCGTTACATATGAGGAATTATTTATGGGGATTCGAATGATGCCATGTACCGACTGAGTTTCGTCCGTCCTGATACTGTACCAAAATGCATTGTGGATTGATTGCCATCAACATCATCTCACACAGCGATCATGAGCTCGCGGCGAGGCATCTGGCCAGACTCGAGATGCATACATACAGCCCTCTCAAGTCAAGTCTCGACAATCCCTGCGACTCTTCACCGTCCTCAGACACGGCACAATCTGACTGGCCACCCCTCAAGGAGTCCATGCCCATGACACACCATTGGACCCGACAGAGCAGGCAGAAATCCCGCTCCTGCACGGACGGATCCGCCTTATGCACACGCCATAGGGTCCCTTCTGCGGCCCGTAGCCCACCTTCCAAGGCCCACGGGAACCTTGGTCGAGCGTCTCGACTCTCGAGTCGTATTATCGAGTCTGAGGAGGATCCAGCCCTCCCACTAGCAACGTCACTACCCGGGCCCATGTCCCCATCCGGTCTGGCATCAACAGATAGATGCACGAGGATAAACGCTTCTTTGACCAGCAAGCCACTCATTGACGGTCCCAGGTGCCGACTGGAAACATCACAAGGCCGAACGAACACTACGCTAACGCATGGTGCTTCGAAGTGGTGCCCGAACGTGCCCGCCCGCAACGACTTTGGTGTCTTGTGCGAGGCTAGTGTGCGTTCGCGGGGTCCTCGAGACGGGGTCACATCAATAGCAAATGATGTGCGGACTGCCGGGTCATGCCATCCCACAAACGCGTCCAGTGAGGGGGTTTCTCGCAGATAACGGTTACATCTGTTCATCCTCAAAGCATCGAGAAGACTGAAAGTTGAAGGAACCAGGGCCATCATGACGCTCTTCATCTACAGCTGCCTGGCCGGCGCCATTGTGGTGTACTATGTCGGCCTGCTCATCCAGCGAGTGTACTTTCATCCTCTGTCCAAGTTCCCGGGTCCCAAGCTGGCGGCAGCAACGGGATGGTACGAGGCATATTTTGACCTTTTTGTGCGTCCTGGCGGCCAGTTCATGATGGAGCTCCAGCGCCTGCACCAAGTCTACGGTACGCCATCATGAACACTGTGGAGGAGAAGTTCGCTGACAGTCACTCCCTTGCCTGCTAGGCCCCATTGTGCGAATCAACCCACACGAGATTCACGTTGACGACACTGCCTGGTTGGATTCACTATACACCGGTCCGGCAAATGTATGCCGAAAAACAAATGCCCTCCAACGCCGCAACTGGGTATGTTTACTGATCATATCGTTTCCAGGGCATCAGAGACAAGTATCCTCCTGCGGCCTACCTGACTGGAACACCACGAGGAAGTATGTAATCTCGCGGCTGAGCTTCAGTTACTCCCTCTGGGGAAGAAGAGGGAACACGACATGTTGAACTTTGCGTAGTTTTCGGGACCGTTGCCTTTGACCTGCATCGCAAACGTCGTGGGGCGATCAGCGCTCTCTTCTCTAAGGCGCAGGCCACGCAGGAGGAGCCCATCATCTACGACAAGTTGGATCTTCTCATTGAGCGCGTCAATACGCAAATCGCCCGCGATGGCTTCGCTGAGATGCGCGCCAAGTGAGTGACCGACCCACTACGGCTGCTCGACTGCCAGGGTGTATGATAGATCAAACACTAACATGTCACATCAGCTACCTGGCCTTCACAACGGACACCGTGGCAGACTATTGCCTCGAAAAGTGCCTCAATCTTCTCCACGACGAGCAAAAGGCACTGGAATGGCAAGAGACCATTAGTGCCCTGGCCAACACGGCGCCCATTGCCCGCCAGTGGAGCTGGGTGACGCCGCTGTCGTTGAGCATGCCCATCTGGCTATTGAACATTGGCGACCCCAAGCTCGCCCGTATTGTTGGTCTGCACCGGGTACGTATCTGAGACACACTCGTTCTCCATGGGAGTACATGTTTGCGAAAGGCTAATGCTGGCAAACAGACCATGGAGTTCCAAGCCAAGGAAGCCATCAAGGCGCATGAGAGTGATGAAAAGGACGATCCCAGGGCGAAGCGCAACATTTTCAGGTCCATTCTCGCCAACCCTTCCTTGCCGGACGTCGAAAAGGTCTACGACCGAATCTCCCAAGAAGGTGTCGTGGCTATTGCCGCTGGAGGCGAGACCACCGGCCGCGCCCTCGCTACCGCTACCTTTTTCCTACTCGAGAACCGGACGACACTCCTCCCCCGGCTCCAGGAGGAGATTAAGAGCGTCATGTCCAAGGTCGACGACCGTCCTGCCGTCAAGGACCTCGAGAAGCTGCCCCTACTCACGGCCATCATCAAGGAAACCCTGCGCCTCAACGGCCTCCTCACGTCAAGGTTCCCGCTCATCTCGCCACAGCAGCCGCTCCAGTACAAGGACTGGGTCATCCCCGCCGGCACGCCAGTTAGCATGACACTGCGCGATGTTCTCAATGACCCCGAGGTGTTTGCGAATCCGAGGACCTTTGACCCGGACAGGTGGCTAAATGCAGACAAGGAGAAGCTTGAGCAAATGAACAGGAATTTCGTACCGTTTGGGCGGGGAAGCCGCATGTGCCTGGGCACCAAGTACGTCCCTCCTCCAGTTTAGTCTTTGCTCGTCTTGCTTGCTTATAGAACGTGCTAACGAACCACTTCCTGCAGTCTTGCCTGGGCAGAGATGTACATTGCTCTTGCATCTATCTTCCGGAGGACAAATTGGGACCTTTTTGATACCACGCGCGAGAAAGACATTGATATCATTCGAGACTGCTTTATCGGCGAGGTCGACAAGGCAAGCAAGGGTGTTCGTATTAGGGCAGCACAGGGGTAGATGGTCCAAGCCACATGTACGGAGTACATGGAGATTAATGCACGCCCGCTCCAAGTTAGACACGTGTATCTAAAGTTTAGTCTTCTCTGACAGCCCGGGACGTCGCCGCCGTAGTTGGTGAGCTGTCCGGTCCACTGGCTCTGGTAGTTTGTCAATTGCTCCACGGCAAAGTCAGGTCGTGACATGGCGCTGTGGGTGAGCAGGTTGACCACGTACGAGGGGCTGAAGGCGATGTGATCCCGCATGTTTTGGCCAACATCCTTGAGATTGGAAATGACCTTGATGCCGAACTTCTTGAGAGTATTCTCGGAGCCGATACCGGAAACCATGAGTAGCTGAGGCGAGCGGAACGCTCTAGCAGAGACAATGAATTCGCGGCTGGCGCTGAGATGGTACTCGACGCCTGTGGACTCGACGACGGCGCCAATGGCTTTCTTGTCGTCGTCAAGAGGATTTTCTTGGCCTTGACGTTCTTGTAGATGTTGAGATTGGTCGTCGCGGAGACCAGCGCGGAGGAAAGGCGATGATGACGAGTTCCTCGTCTGCGTATCCGCGTCCAGAGAGAAAGCGGTATAATCCTAGCCGTCAAGGTTGTCGTCGGCGAAACCAGGCAGATTCTCCAGTCCAAGATACTCCAGTCCGCGGGCGATCCAGGACGAGATCGGGTTGGCCCAGTTGGGATAGCCGAACTGGAGAGGGCCACTGTCGGGACCCCAGTAATCTTCGTCGTACAGCGTAGTCGCATTGTGGAGGCGGTACTCTTCGTTTGGCGGTGTGAACTCGGCGCTCTTCTGTTAATACGACAGTATGTTCTCGAAAGAGTAAGACTCGTCACCAGTGAGCTCGGTCCATTTGTCTAGCGCAGCCTTGGAGGCACGGTGGTACCACATATAGTTGCGCACCGAGCCATATCCAAGGACTTTGCCAGACATGTAGACGACGCTACGTCCGCCGAGGCCACCTTGCTTGGTCATCCATTGGTACCAATAGAGGTAAGGGCTACTCTTGTCAGTACTTGTTGTTGAGATACGTGATCAAGTTGGCTCACTTCTTGATCTTGGGGTCGGAGCCGATGAAGGAAGCCGCAAGAGCCCTGAGAAATTGTCAGACAGACGGTCTGCTGCCTGGACTGAGGTATACTTAAACGTACGGAATTTGGCTATTGTTGCCGTTGGCAAACTCGGCAAAGTCACCGGCCCCGGCAACTGCCAAGGTATATCTCTTGTCTTCGGCCAGCCTCTTGAACATCGTCAGTCCCGCGGTGGCTCCTCCTATTATCACATAGTCGTATGTTCCAGGGATGCTAAGCACACCAAAGTGTGACCCCATGAGCCCGTCAACCCCAAGGGACTCAACATACTGGGCGGCAACACCCAAGAGCGCCGCCAGACTGTCGAGAGATGCTGAAAGCTTCACCGCAAGAGATTGGGTCTCTTTGGGGGTTTCAAACGTCCAAAGCTGGAAGAGTGGCACATAAAAGAAGGTGCGTGGATGGAACAGTGACACGTGGGAACGTGTCTTATAACACGCATATCCAGTCACATCAGCCAGCTCGAAGTGAACTTACTCAATGTGCCGTGTTCAGGCCATACTCTCATGCGGCATGCTTGGATAATGTCGCCATCGGCATAGACGATCCGCTCTCTTGCTTTCATTGACCGGTGGGCACTCCTCGGCCGCAGATGCTGCTTACCTAGCTACATACTGAGCCAGTCTCCGAGCTTCTGACACCACTGGGCATCGCTTGAACCACAGAACGCCTAGGTTTCATGGTAGAGGGGTCTGTTCGTCTAATGTCGGGGTCGTGGGCCGTGTGGTGAGGATTGCCGGGTGTGGGAGGGACCTGCAGCCGGCGTAAGCATGCAGCTGCAGAATGGCGCGAGTGGGATACTTTTTGGTCTCGACTCTAGCATTCATCAAACAATCAAGACGATGCGGAAATTTTGTCTCTCCTGAGCCAGCTATCGGTAATTATCGACCTTGATGGCTTGCTCTTTGTGTGGAACTGAATGCCTGGGTTGAGCGAAGAAAGACGCACGTGGCGGCCATGCCGTTTCCACATGGGCCATGATGATCACAGTTGCCACCTGATGCACACATGAGAAGGACGGTAAACTTCCTTGAGACGTATAACATGTGCGTTGCATTTCCGTGGCTGGAAGGAGTTGGAGACCGTAGCTCATTGATTAGACGAGTGAGTATCGCCATTGCCTGCCAACACACAAAAGCGCGGGGTGGATCATGGGTGCCAAAGCAGGATGCCGGAATACATAATAGTACTTTAATTGTGCTCTGTAATTTGTGCTCATGTCTTCTTCCAGGTCATATCCGCGTCTGAAGCTCCCTATTAGCTTCCAGTCATCGCTCGCAAAGCAGGGCCTGTCGACCACTCACCTGGATGGACCTTAGGTTCCTCAATGTACTTCCTTGCCTCAGCATTGGCCTTGTAGTCCGATCCAAATCGTCGGTCTCTATCGCCAACGTGCTTATCCAAGTCAAGCTGACCGTCCGCGGTGAAGCTTGTCATCAGCTGCGGCTCGCCGAGCGGGAGGCGATGGCCTTTGTCGGTCTGCCACAGGTGGTAGATCTTGCCATACAGCTTGACGACCTGCTCCATCTCATCGTTCTCTGCAATTCGCCAGACCCCTTCTGGGACGACGCGATTCGGCATGATGAGCATGCCTGACTTGACCTCGTACACGTGAGAATGCCAGAGATGACGTTCCTCGGGCGGTAACGTCTCATACAGAGCTTCCGTAATCATGTATTCGATCCCAATCAGGCGTGCTTTGGGCCCATCCGAGTCGTAGAGGAGGCACTGTCGAACCTCATCATTCAGGTGAGCACAGTAGTGGTTGGCCTCGACAAACCGACTCGGATCATTGGCGTAGGCGTGGAAGGCGTTGAGATGAGCGCACACATTTTTCAGAGGCTCAAAGTCCTAGTAAGGTCAATTAGCCTATGACAACTCCAGTCGATGCGACCAGTAGCATTCTTCACTCACCTGTGTCGCAGCCGCACCGGTCGTAAGCACTTTGTTATGTGTAGACATGGGCTGCCCGGCCGCATCATTCGTGACGGGCACCGATTCCTTTCCAGCTTGATGGCCATCCATATTTCGGTTCGTATGTGATGAGGATCGAATTGGTGAACGCAAGGCACTGTGCGCTTTTCAACACAGCATCAGCTGGTGAAGCCACCATGGCCGAATGTCGACGTCATTGCGGATGCGTTGGTCCGGCGAGCAACAGCTGATCACCTCAATTCTCTTGTTGAAGAGGCGTTGAGAAGTTCAATCCATGGCACACCGATTATTCGAATTCTTTGACCTTTGCAAAGGCAGGACGCGGCGCGGTCATGTCGCGACTCACTTGGACTTCATCTGAGGAAGCATGCTCCTTTGAATGGGTGTCCCTGCAGGTGTCCACGGACAGCGCTATAATTGACGGCATGAGCTATTCCAATAATAATTCCAGTGCTGGTGACGACGCCTAGCCCAGTCGCGACATTCAATCCGGCACGGTCAGTCAATGTTGGGTTGCTACCTTGCCTAGTAGCCTCGTAGATGCCTGAATCGCGGCATGAACGACAACTAATTAGCTCGAGCTTGGGCGCTGTAGAAAACTCTTTCGGGCCATCCCGCAGCTTCGTGCCAGCCCAGCCCAGCCCAGCCCAGCCTAGCCTAGCCTACCTTGCCTTATGCGATGCGGTTGCGCGCTCTGACAAGGAAGGCGGTGGATTCCGCGACGGATCAGCTTCCTCGAAGCTTGTCAAACTTTCTTCCCCTCTCCTCCTCTTCCTACATCCACGCATCAATCCAGCCTCAGTTTCGACCAAGGTTCTTCTCCACCACTCGTACTACCATGGCTAACGAAATCACCCACGAGACCATCAAGGGTACGTAATTTACGTGCGCTTCTTCCTTACCAAACTGAAAAAGTACCCCGCCATGATCACCATCTGCCCCTCCAACCAGGGGGGGAAAAAAAAAAAGAAGCAAATTGGATTCGCAACGACAGCGACTGACAATGAGTTCCAGATGGCTGGTTCCGCGAGATCTCGCACATGTGGCCCGGCCAGGCCATGACGCTCAAGGTCGAAAAGGTCCTCCACCACGAGAAGAGCAAGTACCAGGACGTGCTCATCTTCAAGTCGACCGACTACGGCACTGTCCTCGTGCTCGACAATGTCATCCAATGCACCGAGCGCGATGAATTCTCCTACCAGGAGATGATCGCTCACCTCGCCCTCAACAGCCACCCAGAGCCCAAGCGCGTCCTCGTCATTGGCGGCGGCGATGGCGGTGTCCTCCGCGAGGTCGTCAAGCACGATTGCGTCGAGGAGGCCATCCTCTGCGACATTGACGAGGCCGTCGTCCGCCTCTCCAAGGAGTACCTGCCACACATGGCTCAGGGCCTGTCCCACCCCAAGTCCACCGTCCACATTGGCGACGGCTTCAAGTTCCTCGACGAGTACAAGAACCACTTCGACGTCATCATCACCGACTCCTCCGACCCCGATGGTCCCGCCGAGTCCCTCTTCCAAAAGTCCTACTTTGAGCTCCTCAACAACGCCCTCCGCGAGGGCGGCGTCATCTCTACCCAAGGTTGTACGTCTCAATTTTTTCTAGAGCTCCCGGAAAGTTCGAGGGGTCCCTAGGAAATGGCGGTCTTGTTTCTCCTCCGTGGGAATGGGCCCTTCTCAATCCTGCCTAGGGGCTGCCCGAAAAGCAAGTGCTGCTTTCCGGGGCTGCGCTGCCCGGTAGTTCCGTGTAGTAGCTGCGAGAGTGGCCGCTGCCCACTCTCGCGAACCGCGCCGCGAGGTGCTCCGCGCTTCCCTGTGGACCTCTCCTTCTTTGCCGTTGTCTTGACCAGTATGCTCCGTTGCCGGGTCTGCTAACGAATCGCGCAGCCGAGAACCAATGGCTCCACCTGCCTCTTATCACCCGCCTCAAGAAGGACTGCAAGGAGGTCTTCCCCGTGGCCGAGTACGCCTACACCACGATCCCGACCTACCCTTCGGGCCAGATCGGCTTCATGATCTGCTGCAAGGATGCTAGCCGCGACGTCAAGGTGCCCCTGCGCCAATGGACTCCCGAGGAGGAGGCTGAGAAGTGCCGCTACTACAACGCCGAGATGCACAAGGCCAGCTTCATCCTGCCCACCTTCGCCAAGAAGGCCCTGCAATAGGCGCCCGATGCTGTGCGGAAGGGAAGACTGGTTTGAGCCCCGGGTAATCTAGGATGAAACCCCAGTGGTGTCAATTACACGTGTTCTGAACATGCAGCGCTGTCTGCCCTCTCTCTTTGAACAGTCCAAATGTTTCTATTCCAATCTACTCCTTGGGTTTCGGTAGGTCCGGGTCGTCAAATTGGACCTTGCCCTTGCTTACATCAGGATACACGTCCCAACGCCTCTGTGTGTTGAGTGGGATGTTTCGCCTCGTTTCTTCCAGCTTGTCCGAGCTCAGCTCGCTTGTAATAATCTCCTCGCCTTCTGCCGCCTCGCTGACGACCTTGGCCATGGGGTCCACCACCAGACTGTGCCCGTACGCGTGATAGCTCGCACTCATGTCCCTCGCGGGACTGCACATGGCCACATAAATCTGGTTGTCCACTGCCCTCGCCTGCGCCAGCAGCTGCCAATGCAACGGGCCCGTCGTCAAGTTGAAGGCGCCGGGGTATATTAGGGCAAAGGCGCCCTTCCTGGCCGCAATGGTCGCCAGCTCAGGGAAGCGTACGTCGTAGCAGATTGCGACCGCGATCTTGCCGTACTCGGGCAGATCGACCAGCGTGAGCTGGTTCCCTGCGGTCAGGACGTCCGACTCTCTAAATGTAATTTTCCCAGGAATGTCAATGTCGAAAAGATGGACCTTTCGGTGTGTGGCGAGTAAGCCTCCCTCTGGAGAGAAGACGAGTGATGTGTTGTGGTATTTCTTCGTCCCGGGGTTGTATTCGGGGATCGATCCGCCTACGAGGTAGACCTTGTTGTCGCGCGCCATGGCGCTGAGAGCATCGTATGAAGGCGCGGAAGCTTCACCATCGGCGGAGGGCAGAAGCGTCTCAGCATATTCGGGGAAGTAGTTGGTACCTGTATGCTGGTCAGCACCCTACCGGTGGTGTTGCCGACAGAGCAGACGGTACCATATGGTGAATTGAAGCATTCGGGGAGAACAACGAGCTTTGCGCCCGTGCCAGCTGCTTCCCTGACCTTCTCCGCGGCGTGCGACAAGTTCTTCGGCTTGTCTGACCCCGACGCCAGCTGGATCAGGGCCATAGTCAAGGACTTCTTGAGCACAGGGCTCGGGACTCGTGATGTTGACGACATTTTGCGGAACGTTGCGAAGAAGGAAAATCCAAAGGAGAGATTGATTCGCGACGGGAAACAAGCAGGCGATCTTGTGCAGAGAACAGGTTGCAAAAGACAGCGGCGCATGGTACTTTTGCACTATATGGTCCTGGCGGGTGATGCGATCGAGCGGTTCGTCGAGGCCCGAGGGCATGACGAAGGTGGGGGAGGGAGCGCCACATGAAGTTGGAGCCGTCTCTTCAGGCCCGGAATCCATAAGCCGATACATTGGCCTTTCTGACATGTATTAATTAGCATGAAACTAGCTGTATGCAATTGTATCATATGCCATAAATAATATGCTGCATAAATGGGTACCAACCAGATAGACGGAAATCGTGACTACCTTAGTTGCTCATATTGGCTGCCGCGGTGGCAGGTCCCCCCTGAAAATTGGCTTACCCTGAGGCATCTGCCAAGGACAAGAACGAGCATCTTAGTCTAGTGCACGGCTCTCGTCTTCGCCTGTTTTCCTCGAGGTAAAGTAGATCGGAGTTACATGATCACATTCTTTCTGTCGTTGACAGTTGCATACATATTGATGTTCATGGACAACAAGGCACAATGTTGCATCCATTTGCCCTGTTCTTGCATGTTGGTTTTTGCATTGAACGAGGTACACTGTCAAAATTCGGATTGACCCCCTTTGTTACATGAAGTTCTGGCTCCCCAAGATGCCCATCGTTGTGACGCTGCTGTACGTACTCCGTCCGGGCTTATCTCGATGCTGGCTCATGTGACGGCCCGCTCGTGCCCCTCCAACTCCGACACTAAGGTAACGTGCCTCCACAGGACTAGCGGCCTTTTCAGCCACATCTTCACCCGCCTCCAGTCTTCCTCGTCGTCTGGGCTGCTGCCATCGTCAACAACCTCATCTCGGTCAGCCTGCGTCCCGCTATCCCCAAAGCATTGTACGACCACAAGCCGAAATTCAAGATGACACGACTCCTAGTGTACTCAGCTGCCCTTGTGGGCTTTCTCGCTTGTACGTCTCTCGATCAACTGTCCTCTCCAGCCTCGTTCACAATGACGTCGTCGCCCCGGTCGCGGTCTTCATGAAAGCCAAAGTACTTGTCAACTAACACAGAGTTCCAGCAACGTCCATGATCATTGCGTCCATAGTCCTGCCGCAATGGGTCTCATACACGATTACTACCAGCGCTGGCGAGACCCTCACCAAAACGATCGGCCTGCACAAGTCGTGCTCGTCCCTCGCCGACCCGCCATGTCGGCCATTCCCCTACCATGACCTCTGCCAATCTGACGAGCGATACTTTTGCTCAATGTGGCGATCGGTCGGGTTCATGGCCACGCTTTCGGTCATCCTCTGTTTGGCGTGCCTCGTGGCTTTCACGGTCGTCATGAGTGGGGGAAAGTACAAGCGCGAGACTGGCTGGCCGTTTGTCACGGCCATGCTGTCGCTTGTTGCGATTGTTCAATTTGTGGTCATTGCTATTGTGGTTGGTATTGCCCGGGAAAGAATATGGGTGCACTCATTTGCTAACGAGCACTAGGCGTATCTGTACGACCACGACAATCAATTCACGGTTCCTGGGTGGCATCTGGATATTTCGTGGATCCTGAGCACCGTGAGTGCGACCATCTGTGCTCTTGCTGCGGTCGGACTGGCTGCATCCGCTTATATGCTGCCACAAGAAGACGGCTACGATTTCCTTGAAGATCCCCTCGATTCGTGATTTTATATGGTTTCCAGAGACTGGAAACGGGTCATGGTGAACTATACATGTTTATTAGTATAGCCAGTTGTGGCGTTGAGATCAGCGTCGAATTGATGTTGTGTTTGTTTATTTAAGGTCCAAGTCGTGAACGAAACAAGGTCGACTGCGAACCGTTCCCGGGCCAATGCTAGTAAAGAAAAGTTGCAAGGCCGAACTCGTTGCATCCATTCCAATCAGTAGCGTAGCTATAATACTGTTGCTGGTCGTTTTGCGGTCGTGTAAGTTGAGTGAAGCTGCCTGTCGGCGTTTGTGTGAGCAAGGCACATGCCAACTGGCAACGGCACCCCTCACTCATCCACTCCAACACATTGCTTGGATGCAAGAATCGCCAGCTCACCGACACACCTGAATATCACTTCTTGAGGAAGACCAAGTAAGAATTCTCATCTCAGCTCGCAGCTAGCATGGCCATAAGGACCACAGGCCTGAGCGCCTCACAGCTCGCAGCTTTCCAACGGGATGGCTACCTCATCGTCCCCCAAGCTCTGGGACCAGAGACCGTCTCTGCTTTACTTCAGGAGACCCAGAACCTTCTTACCGGCTTTGACCTCAAGTCGCATCCCATGACGCGCTTCAGCACAGGCACGACATCGGAGCACGTGGGCGATGACTACTTTCTCAGATCCGGCGACAAAATCCGCTTCTTCTTCGAGGAGGACGCCTTCAACGAGAATGGAGAGCTGACCAAGCCGAAAGATAGGGCCATCAACAAGATTGGACATTATCTCCATGTGTTGAGCGAGCCATTCCGCCGGCTGCTCAGCGAAGACGGCCAAGTCAAGCCTGCCGATGTGGCGAGGGCACTTGGGTTCAAGGACCCGCGATGTCTGCAGAGCATGGTGATATGCAAGCAGCCTGAGATCGGAGGAGCTGTGCCTCCTCACCAGGTAATGCGTTCCCATCTCTCGGGGTCATGGCAACAGCGTTTCGGGAGGCTAACTAGAAGCAGGACTCGACGTTCTTGTATACAAATCCGCCATCAGCCGTGGGGTTCTGGTATGCACTAGAGGACGCTACGCTGGAGAACGGCTGTCTTTCGTTCTTGCCGGGATCGCACAAGTGGTCTCCTATCACGCAGCGGCTTGTCCGAAAGGCTGGTAACACGGGCACCGAAATGGTCGAGAACAGCGGTCCGCAGTTCCCGCCAGGCGAAGAGTATGGGGTCGAGAAGCCTGCCGATGCTGATTACATGACCTATATCCCGGGTGAAGTCAAAGCTGGAGATTGTATGTGCGCCCGCGTCCACAGATCGTGAAGGCACTAACAAGAGCAGTGGTCCTCATCCATGGGAACTTACTACATAAGAGTGAGAAGAAGTAAGTCGTCTTCCTGCCATCTGCCGACATCCCGCCTGACTGCTCGACAGTACCAGCCAGAAGGGGAGGATCATCTACACATATCACATCATTGAGAATGAGGACCGACAATATGATGAGAAGAACTGGCTGCAGCCGCCGCAAGAGGGCTTCACCAAACTGTATTGATGGACAAAGCAGTAGTGTATATCCAACATTCCCTGGGGTATCTATGTCTAAAATCCAACCCATGTGGCCATTTGTACTATGGCACAATGTAAATGCTCTCTGAAAACCCAAAACCATGACCCGTAAATTGAACCGTGCACCGTTATCAAAGCTCCTCGTCGCTATCATCTGAATCTGTATCCGCGCCCTCGCTCTCCGATGACGACGACGAGGAAGAGGAGCTGCTCGAAGTTTCCCCGTTGTCGCCGGGACGAGCATCCTCATCGTCGCTATCAGAGTCATCCGAGGAGCTATCGCTGCTGTTGTCATCCGATTCCTCCTCTGATGATGAGGAGTCGCTGCTGCTGCTGTCCTCCTGCATAGTCCGCAGCTTCTTCCTCCGTCGTCGACTCGTTGTCTCTGCGAGCTTCTTGGGAGCTTCTTGCTGCTCCTTCTCACTGCTCGTTGTGACGGTAGCGTTTGTGTCACTGTTGGTAATGGTCTTGGATGACGAGGTAGTCGTCGAGGTCGAGTCGGTTGCCTCCCCGTCATCGGACAGCTCGTCGATGATCATCTCTGCTCGCATACGCTTCACCAGCCGGCGCATGATGACCTCTCCATCCTGATTGTCACTGACGAATTGTGCCTCGTTGTAGTATTTACGTTTCCCGCTTTGCTCGCGCTTCCTTCGGAAGATGTCGGCGAGGATGGCGTCATATGTCTCTTGTTTGTCGTCAACGTCCATAACGTCTTCACCAAAGCCGGCCGACCCATCGGCCACGTCCTGCATTTGGACTTCCATGGCGGTCTCCCTCAGGCGGGTACGAACGAAGCCCTTGAGGTCCGAGAGATATTCCACGAGGGTATCAATGTCAGAGGTAGGAATGACGTTGGGTTCGAAGATGTGCTTGATGAGGGTCGACTGGTGGTTCTTGTTGAATTTCCAGCTCTCCCTTGATGTGTTCCACTGTCTCAGGTATTCCAGCGCAGGCTTGACGTCGGTGGTCGGCGGGGTCTTGTTCTTCTTCGCGGGGCCTTTGCTCTTCTTGGGCGTGTCAGGCTTGTTCTTCTTGGAGGGTGTTTGTTGTTTGTCGGTAGCGTCGTTCTTGGATGGTGTATCACCAAACTTGACGGACTTCTTTGGTTTGTTGGTGGAGGACGGAGTAGCATCATTCTGAATTATGGATGATGTTGACTTCTCGTCCCTTCGAGCCTTTTTAAGGGGGCTGCTACCGTCGCCGTGCGATGACGGCGGGGCTTCGCCTTTCCTTTTGTGCCCAGTTGAGCCACCTGGATGCCCAACGAGCGCCGAATTGCCATATGCAGGTTCGGATGCAGGGGCACCAGTGGCAGAGGAATTGCCAGACTGCTTTAACGCAAGGCCCAGCCTCTTCCAGGCGGGAACACGCTGCGCACTATTTGCAGATGCCATCTTGGTTGGTGTATTGCGTATTTGCGTTCTGCTGGTGACCTTGTGCGCGTGTGCGTGCTTCAGACGGGCATGCACGACGATGAGTGACAGTGGGTGTGTTCGCTGACGAGTCTGGACCCACGTGCTGTGAGTCAAAAGACGTTGCCCTAGGAAGAGGAAGAATACTAGTATGCCAACTGGCAGGTTCTAGGCGCTGTGGGAATGCAAGTGACGACGATCCAAGGGCATTGGGTAGAAATGTGCACTCGCGGTCAATGGTTGGGTTTGGTTGGGCATTGGGTTGATGCAGCAGCAGCAGTTATTTTTTTTTTTCGTACCCGCTCGTACTGCATCCCAAGGCGGCCGGGGTTCGGACGCAGCTGCCCCGCCATGCCTAGAAGCTACACCGCGAACTTTATGTCATCAAGTGGAGTTTAGCCGTCGTTGATCCGGCTTGATCCAACGACTCAAGGTGGACTGAAGCTCTAGGCAAGCTCGCAAACGCGTACATTGGTGCATCATCACCAGCTCCAACATCTACGTCTTGACACCCCTCACTTCTCACCATCCTCCCCAGCAGCGAGCCTTCCGCTGCTATCAAAACAAAGAGGAGAACTTGGGGAGTTTGATATCTGCTCAGAATGTCTGGTTCGTTATGCTACATGCTACCTGCATGCGCTGCGTCGCTAACCGTGGTACCCCAACAGCTACCGACCGACACATCACCATCTTCGCCGACAATGGTCGCCTTTACCAAGTCGGTACGTATCCCACCGACTTCCCCGAATGGCTTCAGCCATTTCTCGCAGATTCTACTCCCCTTTGCCCGCAGCGAGCGTGGACTGACGGAACTCCAGAGTATGCTTTCAAGGCCATCACAGCTGCCAACATCATGTCGGTAGGCCTTCGCGGCAAAGACTGCGCTGTGGTGCTGTCTCAGAAGAAGGTTCCCGTACGTACAGATATGTTTTACGGGTGGGATTGTGCTAACGTTTTCCCAGGACAAGCTCATGGACCCCTCTTCCGTCACCCACATTTTCCAGATCTCCCAGACCGTCGGCTGTGTGATTACCGGATCGATTGCTGATGCCCGAGCATTCGCAACGAGGGCACAGTCAGAAGCCTCAGAGTTCAAGTACAAGTTCGGCTATGAGATGCCCGCGGATGCAGTGGCGAAGCGATTGGCCAATATCAGCCAGGTATACACGCAAAGGGTGAGTCTGCGTGTTTGTTAGGTCTGACCCCTTCTAACGTTCTCCAAGGCATACATGCGCCCGTATGGTGTTGCGACGACCATCATCTCGGTCGACCCCGAGCTCGGACCCCAACTATTCAAGTGCGACCCCGCCGGCTACTACATTGGGTACAAGGGCACCGCTGCAGGACCCAAGCAACAAGAGGCTCTCAACCATCTCGAGAAGAAGATGCGTAACAAGGATCACGCCGAGGGCGACTGGGAAGAGGTCGTCGAGCAGGCTATCACGACGTTGAGCACCGTATTGAGCATGGACTTCAAGAAGAACGAGATCGAGATTGGCATCGTGGGTGGCCCACGGGCAGATGGCAAGGAGGGCACCAGTCCAGCGTTCCGAAAGCTCACTGAGGACGAGATTGAGGAGCGGTTACAAGCGATTGCCGAGAAGGATTAGACTAAAGCCTACCGCATCTTACGACGAATGGACTTGATGAACGTATGAAACATGGCACTGAGCTCGGTGGATACAAGTGGAATGCACGAGACGGCTAAGGAGAGAGACGCCATGGAACTGTCGCTCGGCCCGTGACACGCGGCCAAGGTGTGTAGGTTCGCCAATGTTACGTTTAATTCGGACAAGTACCTAGCGCGGTCAAGGCTTCGGCATTCGCTTTCATGGCAGGCCAATAGTTTCACTGAAGCGCAGACAGAGTGGCCCCCTAGCGAAGCTTGAGCTTCTGCAAAGGCCACCAATTATGCCAAGACATCTGCTTCTCAGGAGAGAGTCTGAATAGATCCCATTTGCTACATTTCCAGGCTGAGGTCTGGCTTCTCCTGAATGTATTGCTTTTCGTGCGCATGCTGAGCACCGCTCAGGTCCAATGGTGAGGGCTGTCGGCTCTCACCGAGACACATGTCGCCTCGAAGCGGTAATTGGAAGTCCCCAGTCCGACCTGAACCAGCTCTCTGGAAAAGCAGAATAGGACGAGGATCAGGGAGTCGGCATCGTCACTCACACGCGGACGTAATGCAAGACTTGCGGAGTCGATATGGCGGATCGCATGTCCAAGTGGGGTTGCGGATATTGCTCTCCTGAAAGCCAGTGACCAATCCGTGTCGTCAGCCACCATGTTCGAACATCCTTCTCAAGCCGATCCCGTGCTGTGACACTGGTTCAATCTAGGGGCCAAAATGACTCTTCAGCTCACAGCGAGTCGACACAGCATTGCGGCGGCCCGATTGGCCAGCCGAACTGGACCGTATTGCGGCGCGCAGGACGCCGGTGCATGCCCTGCAGCCCAACAAGGCAACGGTGGGACAACGAGGCAACCGACTCGGAGCTGAACCACGAGTGAATGGCTCTCACCTTCACCGCTGGCGAGGAACGAACGGATCGCTAGCCAGCCAGCTAGCTTGCTTCTTGTCTCCCTCCCTCAATGGCGCATGTACATGCCACCGGACACGTTGTTCCTGGCGTCTGTCTTGGTTGATGCCAGTACGCCTTGCAGGGCTGCTCATGGAGACTGGTCTGCCCCAGTGGCGTCTGATTGGACGGAGGACCTGACCAAGTCGGAGCTGGACCCTATCTCACGAAGATCTTCCCGTCTATCACCATGGTTCGTTGAGCCACACATTTCTTTCCTCGTCCCTTTCTGAAGCCGAGAGGAGAGCGGGTGCCATGTGGAGTTCACGGCGGGAGTGGCTCCCACTGGCGCTGCTACATGCCTGTTCGCAGCTGAATGTCCTGGCCTTCTCGCCGTATGAGATTTCGCAGACGAGCTTTCGTCACAAGGCTTGGTGTTTGAGATGGAGATGATGCAGTAGTATGCGATACTTCTGTTCAGGAGCCCATGTATTATTGTACAAAAAGTCAAGATGGAGTCCATCCGCGACTCCATTGTTACCATCGAGATGAGACTCGGAACATGGACATTGCTTCTTGACTCTTCAATTTCGCCAAAGACATATTTAAATTCCATCCTATTGTACGCTCTGAACGATACATCGAACGATCCTTTCACCCACAACGGCTTCAGCCACCTGAACATGGACGGCCGTAAGTCCTCGGGCACAGCAACAAGGGGGCCCAAATCGCTAACGAGCATCAAGTCAATGAATACCGCATAGTTCGCGTTGCAGAACTATTAGAGGACTTTCGCACACTCCAGTACTATATCGCCGCCGCGCCCATCGAGCCATCCAACGCAGATGACTATTACACGGAGGGCTGGGCTGCTCTCCGGCAATGTGCCATTGACGGCCAGCACGTCCTCGAGTGCGCGGCTGATACCAGAGTACCCACCACAAGTGGCGGCGAGGAGGAGCAGTGCAAGGCCGAGCTAAAGCAGTGTGTTGGCCTTTGGTGTGTGGCTGTATGTCGGCTGACGAATTCAAGGGTTCATCTTGATGCGCTTGCGAGGCGCCACGAGGCTCAGAAGATCTTTCTTCGACAACAAGCCGCGCAACGATGGATAGAATGGCGAGACCAGGTTCTTCAAGGGGGGCGGCCTAGTTCCAAGAACCGTGCCGCGTTACATGCCTGCGATTTGCAACTCCGCACCGTGAGCTGCCCAGTCCCGTCTGGTGAATCGAGAGACTGACATCTGCGTGAAGGAACTCGCCGCCATCACGGATGAAGACGTATACAACGACCTGTTGACCTCCGACATGACTTTCGGACGCTGGACAGGCGAGGATCCAAGTCCCAGGGCCGTTGTGCGCTGGCTTCGCGCTCGGCGATGATGGCGACCGCGCCCCTGAACTGTCAGCAAGACTCGAGCGTGGGACGCGCTCATCAAGTTTGTCCCTGCGCGTGCGGCAAAGGGCGCCATGGCTGGCACATGGCTCCCAACGCGACAGCAGTGGTGAAAGGATTCGAACATCTGTAATCTGTAAAATGGTCAAGATAGGTATACACAAGGATAGACGGGGCGTTTTTGTCGGACATCATGGCCTTGTCTTGGGGGTTTTTTTTTTATAGCGATTGAGCCAGTTTCTAGCGCAATGACGAGGTAAAATAATTATCAATCTGCCTGGCGCAGGTGTTTCTTCCCACGAAGACGCTTGGTCTCGGATAGTGACAGTGATCGAGACACAAGTTTGATATCGCGCAATTCGTTAGTCAGTGCTATGGCGCTGGCCATTACTGTTTGCTCGACACACAGAGCCCAATCCCGACCAGCGAGAACATCATGCCGACTGCCGTATCTGGAGTGCGTCAGCTTTGGGCCCCCTTGGATTTGGAGAGATCTAGCTTACCCCTGCTGATCACCTTCTTCTCCACATACCACTCGCCAAGAACCGTGAACAAGAACGCCATAGTGTTCACAATGGGAACGGTCAAGCTGAGTTCTGCGTCAAGTCAGTCTATGTTGTCTTTTGGACGTTGCGCACACGGGATCTCGAGGCAATACAACGACGCCATGCACCTCGGAGAAGACGCGTCACTCACCAGCTTGTCCAATTAATAGGAAGAACCAGATACTGCCGCTGAGGTTCAGCAGTAGCGGTACAGCGTATCGCGGGTTCCTCAACAAGTCAACCACGCCAAAGAATGCGCCGTACAGCTTTCTCTTGAGCCAGCTATCTTTGATGGATGGGTGGTCCAGCGTATGATGCGGCGGAGGCGTGTGCGTGCGCGCAGCCCTTCTGATGAAGGGTGTGGTGAACCCCCATGCCAGGCCAACCAGAATGAAACTGAGAATGTAGTTGAAGATGGGTGGGTTATCTTCAGCCATGTTGATGGTTGACCGATTCTAACGGATGGACGATGGTTCGCTGCGCTGCATAGCCCCCTTTAGCCACAGCCGTGAATGATGCGGGTTGTGCCGCCGGGAGTGTGGCGCATGGGCTTAGACTCTTAGGGACGAAAGCTGTGGCTGGCGTTGCGGCTTGTGCTGTGCCTTCCCCAGAAAAAAGGGGGGCGATGCTCCGTGGTTTGGACTCTTGAGACTAGGTCGTCCATTGGCGTCTGATTGATCGTCATCGACAACACGATCAATCCCTTTGCACTTTGTTTTTTGGCATAACTGAGAGCTTGGGCCGATCGATAGCCCTGAGAACAGGCCAACTGCGTCAATGCCAGGGCGATCACGGGCATTGGGACCTGGCATGCCTGTGGCCCTAGTTTGAAGCTGCGAAAACCCAAGACGCAGATCAACCCTCCGAGGCTAGTCACTGAGATGATCGATGATTGATGATCGAGCGAGTAGCTAGGTGCTCTCTCAGCCAGAGGACGCAAGCGCAGATGGCATTCACCTACGCTTGTAGCACGATATTAAGCACATGCGCGACGCTTGCCAATCAGCCCACGGCGCGGCAAGAAGGCACATTGATCGCTCCCACGACACATGTGCATCAGATCAGATCTGTTCCGAAGCTTGGCCTCAATACCCCCAGATTCTCTAATTGGAGCAACCCCCCCCCTCCTCCCCCCCACACACACAATAGGGCCACGGCCTACGGGACATCGCGTCCCCTTCGCGTCGCTCAACCTGTTCCCATGGCACGCATCGCGGTTTCAAGTAGTCGATGAATCATCATCGAACCCTTCACCTGGCCGGAACCTGACTAGCTCGCGGCTGCATGATGGGTTACCTATCTATTGCATTATTAAATCTGAGGCTGCCGGAGGGTTTGGTCCTGAATGTCTTTCCCGTTCGACCACATACCTAAACCATCTGTAAAGCAGACTACCAAGTCTACGTCAGGCCTGGGGTTTGCTTGCCTTCATGCGATGATCAACGGACCCCTGATGCCAAGCTCGGGAAGCGATCATGCCTGAGGGTACATCTATCGACATATGCCTGCCAAGTTGTCTACACGCAATTGCTGCCAAATGCTGTGCTCCTTGAAGTATCAACAACCAGATGCTAACACATGAACCACCATTGAGCACGCAGCGAGTGCTACTGTCATGGCTCTCTCGCTTATCACTCACGCCTAGTCTCAATTACACTAAGGCTGTTCGTACTGGCAACAGCAGACCGCCTCGATCGAACGCTTTACCGGTGCTCAAGGGGTCCCATCTGAGGCCCGGCCCCCTGGAGCGATCCAGCTCCCTCCGATCACCGTCGTTCTCTCACGTTTCTACGATAGTCGGCCTCATGGTGTCTCATCTCGAGAGCAATCACACCAGTAAACGACGTCAGTGATCTTGGCCTTTCTTTTCCCGGCAAATGTCAACCCTGAATGACGTTCTGTGTGATTTGGGGGCAGGCAGCCGACAGCCCATTGCGTCAATGACGACCTTGACGGCTGCTACTTACAGCAAATCGACCGATGGGAGCAGGTGTCAATGTCTATAAGAAGCTGGTCATCCTCCGCGTTAGCACAGTTCACATCACTCTTCTCAACAGCATCATCATTCCACCTCTCCAACACAACTCTACACAAAGACTTACCGACAACAATCCCCTACCAACAACCATTCATCAATCATGTCTGAAGCTCAGGTTGCCGGCGGCCACAAGGCTAACCTCAACAACCCCAACACCTCCGAAGACGCCAAGGAGCACTCTCGCCAGGTTCTCAATGAGGAGTTCAACGGCGGTGACGGTTCGCTCACCTCGTCTTGCGGCTACTCTACAGTCTAGCTAATACTCCAAAGTCTCCAAGACCACCGACAACGGTGACAAGAACCCCAACAACGTTGCTGGCGGTCTCAAGGCGTAAGTTCCAAGTCTCTCATACCCGACACAACAGATACTGAACATCAGCAGCACCCTGAACAACCCCAAGGTCAGCGACGAGGCCAAGGAGTCTGCCAAGGAGCGCCTTGGACAGATGGATAGCTAAATAGCCACTGCTTGCAGGCAGATAATCATCTAAAGAATAGGCGTTTCAAACGGATACGAGCGCAGGAGTTCCTTAGTGTTCAGCAACTAGCACAGTGACAATTAACATGCCTTGAACATTCACCATATCTTCTCAGCCCGTGAGAGAACAGTGTAACTATAAAAGCACACAATTCCATGCGGATGGCATGCTCGTTCCTGCAATCTCTTTGCTCACATCAACACATGGTTCGGTGGGGAAGTCGAGCATTTATCGTTGCGCTGGCGAGGCATGCTCTTCGAGTGGTCAATGTAGGAATCAAACTCAACTAACCATTTCGTAGCCAAATAGATACCATATTAGACGACATGCTCATCAAATCAGGTGTAGAAGTTGAGTGCCACTTGTCAACATGTTGGAACTCGGCGGGACTTGAGCTTGAGTTATTCCTGCAATCCTCGCTATCATAAACAGTGGGTTTCCGGAGTGTGTGAGGCTGATAGCATGGAGTTGTGGCAATGATGTTGACTATTTTCGAGTTGCGAATGATGTAGCAGTGAGCAACTTCCCTCACTTGCTTGAACGTTGTACCAAAGGTAGATTATGTCACGGTTGACAAGGGGAGGAGCATGGGCGAATCCTCTGGTGCGTGCAGATGCTCAAAGAACAAGACCCAGATCCGCCTCGCAACTTCAGTAATCACTCTGTGAAGCCTCCTGGCCCAATTGTTCCGGACAGACCATAGTCTAGTACCGGAACCTGGTCAATAGTTGGGTAGCAAAATGCCATCTGGTGCCGACATTCCAGGTGTTGGCTTTTCAAGCGGCAACGTTTGGGTTCCAATCGGAATGAACTCAACCACTGGCGCATAATGCTTACCACAGCGCGCATGGCAGTATGTCAGGCGTATCTTAGCACGTACCTGGAAGCAGGACAATGGAGATAGCATTTCACAATTTGCGTGCTGCCAGACGCGACGTCGCGATATGTCGAACCCCCTCCATTGCTTGTGCCATTTGGATGTGAGGGTGGCTTGGGAAGATCGCAACGCAATTCGTAAGAATGACCACGACGCGGCCGGCCAGTCATAAAACTCGGCGCCTTGCGTGCCTTGTGCCCGGGGGGGTCTGACTCGCAGGACATCGTGAAGCGAAGGTGGCAACGACAGGCTCAATTGACTTTCCCGCCAGTCCTCGCGGGCTGCAGGATAGACTTGCGGTTTCTTGGGGGACCAATCACCAAGAATGGCTTGCTTCAGACCACCCAATCACTGACGCACGGCATGAATGCCTTTAGCCGATGTAGTCCAAGGATGACCAGCGTTTGATGAGGCCACGAGAGTGCCATGGATGGTGAGAATCAGGAGGTAATGGGAGGTGCATTATGACGCCTACCCTACAGCCCCCCGGGGACTAGTCCCTCACTCAACCGTTTACGTCGGATAGAACTCCCTATCCACGCCGCGTGGATATTGTCATTGCTCCATGTCCTCCTGGAATTGCCTTTCACCTTGTTTGAGGCGTGTAAAGCGCTAGCTGCCAATCAGGCGTTGGGAAGTTCTTTATCTCACTGGCAATGGCACCCACCTGACCATCAGGAGCGGCCGTGGGACCCCGCCACGGCCTCCGTCACCCACTAGATACCTTATGTCCGTCTCCCGTCACAACTCACCACCTGCAGCCAGACGAGCGGGACCCCTCCCTCAAGCTGGAGCTCGACAATGCCTGAAAGTATAACCCAACCAAAAGCAGCCAGGCACTTTCATCTCCAACCAAATCCTTGCCCTTCTTGATGGTGCTTGCAACCCTTACTTCGATCCATCATCATTCGACCCAAGAGAGCGACGAGTAACCCTCATCATTGGCGACCGCAGATCAACGTTTCACCAGCCAGCGTGCCTCGTTTCCCCGGCGGCAGTGCGTTGACGACATAGTCGCCATCTCGGCACTTGCCTCGCCTTGCCTCGCTTCGCCTTGCCTCACCAACTTCGCAAAGTTTCCAACGACCGAAGCGACCGACATACCAGCGTCGCCAACATGAACCCCCACCAGAAGAACAAGGTCGACGTCAAGGTGAATTTGGAAACAAAACAATCTTTCCCACGTCCCGTTCTCTAATACGATTGCGCAGAACCTCTCCCCCGAGGAGCAGCGTCTCTTCCGCCTCTACGGCAAGCTGCCCTCGCGCTCCGACCACTTTGCCAAGCACCTCAAGGACCGCAAATACTTCGACTCGGGCGACTACGCCATGTCCAAGGCCGGCAAGGGCGACGGCCTCAACGACGGCGCTGTCGGCTCCGAGCACCCTGTGCCCGAGAACATCCCCCACCTCTCGTCGCCCATCAACAACGTCACCAGCACCAGCCCAACCAACAACGCCGGACAGCCCGCGAGCGGGAGCTTGCCAAAGCACGCCCACCACGGCAGTGTGCCCGGGATCCAGGCCGGCAGCCCGATCAAGGAGGGAAGCTACCTGCAGCGCGAGACCAGCATTGACGATGTCGACAAGGAGCAAAAGACTGGGGCGGAGACATCGGAATCACTTGCTGCGAGCGATCCGATCCCCATTCGAAGGTGATGCGCTAGCTATACACGCCTCGCGAAAGATACGGGGACAGAAAGGGAAATTCATTTTACTATGTCAAAAGGCAGTGTTAATCCGGCGTTGATGAAGAATACTGAGATGAATCGCCATGCGTCACAGAAACTCTCGCTGAATGGAGTCATGTCATGAACACGAGAGTGTGTAGGAAGACTGGCCGGGATTGAAGACGCGTGGGGAGGTTGTCTTTTCCATGATGTACTTAGTCCCTTCATGCCCACTGGCCTTATTCAGCTGCATCTCAGCTGTTGTCTGAACAACCCTCTCAACTTTTTTTTCCAATCATGCCCAACCGTTTTCCTCCTCCAGATGAGTCTTTCCGCATCGCTTGTTGAGATACCTAACCCTGAAGAGCCTTCTCGGCCATCGCCTTGGCGCCCTCAAAGGTCTTGTTGCCTCCGATGAAACCAGCCGCATGAACGAAGACGCAGCCCTCAATGCCGGCAATGCCATCCAGCTCCGCATCCCGGAAGCCCCTCCACGCCTCGGGCAGGGGCTTGCGGCTCACAAACGAGTCCTTGCTCTCAGGCACACACTGAATCCTCCACTTGGCACCTGGGGCCGGGCTCTCAGGGTACAATACGTAGAGAGTAGAAGGGTTGCCGTCCTCAAGGGAGTAGAGGTGGTCCTTCCAGGGCACGCTCTGGCCGTCAAAGACGAGGACGCGACCCTGCGCGTCAAACTCTGACTTGCGGTCAAATGCCTTCTGCACCACGGCGCGCGCGGGGAGCCAGACGTTGGCGTAGTAGTCGAGGTCCCGCTCAAACTCCTCGCCGATGCGCTGGCTGGCGACCAGGAACTTGTCATCCTCAGCCGCCTGCGCCTCGCTCGGGTCCTGGGGCTTGGGATCGTTCCAGTTGGGGTTGAGACGGCCGACCATGGCACCGAGACCGAAGCCTCCGTCCGAGAACCTCTTCTCCAGCCCAGCGGCGGCGATGGCGGCGGGGTCGTACACGGAGATGCCGTTGTCGTGGGCGTCCAGCGCCTCGACAAAGTTCTCGTACAGCTTGCTGTACAGCAGGTCAACGTCCTTGCTCGCCTCGTTCGCCGGGAGCCCGAGCTTCTGCGCGATGATGGCCTTGCCAAAGTGCATAAAGACCAGGCCGGCACTGCTCAGCTTCGTTGGGCGACCGGGGAAAGTGGTGCCGAACCCCCTCTGGTGATGATCGTAGCGGTTCTTCTGGGCGTCGTATTCGCCGCCGACGTCTACTACCGTGTGGCACGTCTCCAGGACTTTGGGGTCGCGCGTGCGGACGAGCGGCGAGGTAGAGTATGTGGGCAGCAGGCGAAGCATGTGAACTGCCAGCGCCTCATCGGCATGAAAGTGCCCATTGTGCGTGCCGATGAGCGGCGACGAGGGGTTGGTCTTGATGCGCTTGGCGGCTGATTCGGTCGACATTTTGAGAATGTGTCTGAGCATAGAGTATGGATAGATTTCGTGAATTGGGCCTGAATGCTCCTGAAGCACCAAAAGTTATAGCTTTTGCTGGTTCAGCAAGTTAAGGGTACTCCAGAGAACGCAGCCAATGGGAGCGAAAGAATTATGCGGCCAACTCCACAGCTGAGCTGCCACGACCTTGTCACTCAAATTTGAACAATCATTGCACATCACTGGTTGATTAAAGGAGAGTTATTCTAGCAATTGTGTGCGACCTGATCGGTTGTCTCAGTCTCACTTGCCGGCATTGCAATTGTCAAAGGTCCAAAGGCGCAAATTTGTGTTGGGAACACAATGCCATACAATGGCCTGTCACATCTGTGTTTCTTAGGAAATGGACAGGCAAGACGTGCAATAAAGTGCTCACAGAGCAGTTGGTATTAGACTCGATCCCCAAATAACTCCCGAAGCACCCTTCCGCTTCGTAATGCATGGTTCCGTTCATCCAAACCGGGAATATGCTCATAATCATACACAGCAACCTGCTTATTTAGGCCCGGCCGCATCCTTGGGCAGCTCGCCCTCGACGGCTTGACGGCCGATGTTGCTCAGGTCCTGGGTCTCCTTGCTGGCGGGCCCACGGAGACCGGCCTTGGAGGCATCGTTGGTGCCAATGTTGGCCTCGGCCTCGGAGCGGCCAGAACCCACATTGACGGTGCTGGCGTCGGCAGACTGCCAGTCGGAGGTGGTGGGAGGCTGCTCGGGGAGAGGGAGGTTGGCCTTGCGCTCCTCAATGGTCTGGTCCTTTGACTGGGTCATGTCTGGCACAGAAGTTGTCAGTCGCGTGTTCCCTCTAGCAAAGACACCGATGAGAACTCACTGGCTGTTGTGTGTTGTGTCTGGGTGGTGAGAAAAGGTGGATTGTGTGTTGCTGGCTTATGTTGGTGAATCAGGAGATGTGATGATATGAGAGAGAGAAGAGAAAGCTTGTCATGGTAGCGCAAAGGATCTTAAATGGCAATCCCATCGTTCTCTCCGTCTCTTCAACTTGCGCATTGCGTCGTGTGAAGAGCCTGGACGAGCGCCTGACGTCACTGACGTCAACAGAGGGGCAGAAGCTCCGGCCTATTACGCCAAAAAGCCCCACTATTGCGGGCGGAACAGCGATTACACGCTCGATGTTTGCGCCCCGCTGGCATGGGCGTTTGACACCTTTAGGTACGGCACGTACGTGGTGCTGGAATGATAGAACCACTGGCTTGCACTGGCTTGCGGCTCCATGCAGGCATCGATTTTGAGGGAATTGCTCTACGTTCTCTCATGTTCCATCACTTTCCCATGCGGGGAGCCTGAGGCTTCATCTGTTCCAGTACTGAGAAAAAGCAGTCGTGACATTCATTATCTAAGTTGGTGACCGAAGATTTCAAGGCCCGACCCGTCTATCGCCTTCCGCCGTTGTAGGTTGCGCCTGTCCAGCGTCTGGGTTCAAATAATCCGCACTCTCGGCAGCCTCGTACTCCCCAATCAGGTCTGTGACCACGGCTCTCGCCTCGTCGAATTCGTGAAAGTCCTCGGCAAACGGTGCGGTGCGCTTGTACGTCTCGATGAAGGCATTGCGCTTCCGCATGCCATCGTACTGCTTCACGATGCGCTTGAATAGCTGGGCCATTTGTCAGTATCGATTCTGCGAACCTCGGAACTCTAAATCAGTCGCGCCAGCGGGGAGATGTATGCTTACCGTAGCAATGCTTGTGTGATTTGCCAACATGAGTCCACTAACACGGTGGCTCATTGGGATATACGGGCTCCGTTTTGTTAGGGCCACCTGGATGCTTGCAGGCCCCCAGGGGATAAAGGTTGCCAACCGTCGCTCTCTGATTCTGAGGAGACTCTTGTGCACGTCCGTCGGGTCGACCTCTCCCTGAATCACATTCAAAATGGAGATGTAGCAGCTCTTCTTGCCGGGCACGGTGGACACCATGCGGTTCTTTGGCTGGAGGAGACGCCGCATCACTTCAAGGACTGTAGTCTTGCGGACGGTCTTGGCGGCCTCGACCTGGTCGCCCGTAAAGGGGGTGTAGGCGGTCATGAGAAAGTGGCATCGCGGTGTCGGGATGAGCGAGGCGAGGATGCTGACAAGGTCATTGTGCATGTAGCCGGGGTATCGTAGCGTGGTTGTGCTGGCAGACATGACCGTGGCCACGAGCTGGTTTGTCTGCTGGAAAGAGGGTTCCTGAACGTGCAGTCTGTCGGCCGCAATGTGCGACAACGCTCCATTGTCCAAGACCACAACAGAATCCGCATTCTGGGTCAATCGCCGTAATGACAGGAGACTGTTATAGGGATGTACCACTACGTCGCCCGAGTTTGTCGGATCCGGGAAGACGGAGTAGGTCTGGATGATCTTCTTTGGGAACCGGTCGTTGAGCCTCTCAAGCATGAACGAGCCCAGTCCAGATCCCGTGCCACCGGCAATGGAGTGCAGCATCATGAAGCCCTGGCACGTCAGTCAGTAAGCTTGAGTCTCTTTTGAATGTGGCGTGCACACCTCTAGCGAGTCACTGCCGTCCGCCTCACGATCAATCATCTCGAGAATGTCCTCATAGAGAGTCTCGCCGTGCTCGTACCCATCTCCCCAGTTGTTCGCCGCGCCTCGTCCGTCTTTGCTGATGAAGAAGTTCTCCGGGTTGTAGATGTTCTTGTACGGCCCGTTCTGGATCCCGTTTATCACTCGCGGCTCAAGGTCGATCATAATCGCACGTGGAATGTAGCGCGTGTCGTCAGACTGGTAGTAGAAGACATCTTTCCGATCGCCTCCCTCAGTCGCAAAGTCTTCGAGGTTGCCGTCGCGCGAAATACCATGCTCCTGGCAGAGCTGCTGCCAGAACTGACTGCCGACTGTTCCCCGCGCTTAGCTCAGTGCTCCAGAAGCGCAAAGGATCGCGTGATCTACTAACTGCTGTTGCCGCATTGCCCAGCCTGGATCGTGATGATTTCTCTGCAAATGATCAGATAATACGATACTCAGGTGATCGAGGGTATTCTACCGAGGCATCTTACTGTCCGGGCCTCAACGAGGCGCAGTGGCTGCTGTATCGTACCTAGCGAGAAGTTGGAGAAAAGGTTGGAAAATGGCGGTCGACGCGACGCGTTTGGCGAGGCCTGTTTCAATCGTCGACAAGCGCAAGTCGCTTCCGCCCCCACGTCGGCATCATGGCGCTACAACCTTCATGTTTCTTCTGTCATGCAATCTCGAGAACACTTTCTTTCACTATTACTAAACGGACGGGAACGGGACCTGAGCGATTTTAAATTATGTTTACATCGCATCTGCCTAAACTGCTGTTGTGCGATCAGTCTGCGAAGTAGACCCAGTCCGTGCAAATTCCATGCCATGAGACGCCGGCAATGCTCAACACACAAACCAAATAACTACCTACCTTTCTATATACACTGTTGCTCGTCTGCCTGGTGCGAAACCTGGCCCTACAGTTTACTCGACCACATTATTTTTTGTTCGCTCCCTTGTGCTCCTCCACCTTCTCCGCCAAGGCCTTTGCCAGATCTTTTGTCTTGACCTGGATCATCCACGTCTCCAGGCCGTCGCCGGTCGCGTTGCCTGTCGTAATCTTCACGTACTTCTCCTCGGCCTTGTAGGCAAAGTCGGGCATGACGCTTCTGTTCAACGCCACATGGCCCCTGGGCTCTGCGCGAAGAAGCAGGCGCACGTTTCCAGACTCCTTGTTCTTCAGGAGTCGGAGGTTTCCGACACCCTGCGTTGACCAAGGGCTTTTCGACTTCGTCTCTGCGGCCTCTTCCGGACTCACAAACTTCAGAACCTTGGCGCGTACCTCGTGCAACGTCTCCTCGCCTTCCTCTGCAGCATCCGCGAGGTTAACCTGCTCGTGCTTCTCTGCGTCTTCGTCTCCGTCCTTGGTTTCGGAACCGGCAGCACCCGCACTGCCATTGGCTGCCGACGGCTCCGGTGTCCCGCGGGCAGGTGTTGTCGCCAGACTGGAACCGCCACCGAGGTTGGATGGTGTGTCTATTTCCGTCGTTTCAGCGGGGCAATCTTCCTCTTTTCGGGAGCAAGAAACTTACTGGTCCCTGAGGATGGCGGAACGAGGAAAGAAGGTGGTGCAGCGGCTTGAGTGTTTGGCTGTGTGGAGCTGTTGGCCCCAAAGCTGAACATGGCACCCGATGATCCTGCCCCAAAGGACGGCGTGCTGGCACTGTTGTTGCCGAACGAGGCATTGTTGCCAAAGGAGCTTGCGTTGCCAGCGGTGCTAGCACCAAACTGGAAACTACCTCCAGCATTCGACGAGGCAGGCTGGTCTTGGCTACCAAAGGTGAATGACGAGGGAGCTGATTTGGATCCCGCGTTGCTGTCGCCGTTGGATGCGAAGGGATTGCTGAAAGATGTCCCAGACTGCCCGCCCGCGTTACCGCCACCATTCATGCCGGAACCACCAAAGGAGAAGTTGAAGCTGCCTCCAGCGGGGGTGTCGCTAGGACTCTTGCCATTGCTGTTGTTCCCAAACAAGTTACCACCACTGCCATTGGGCACGTTGTTCGAAGTTTGACTACCAAACAAGTTGCTAGTGGGTGCGGTACTTTGGGTGCTGCTGGCACCGAAGGAGAACGATGGCGCCGGCGTAGACGCTGCATTGCTGTTTAGACCACCGAAGATGGGCTTGGCCGGGGACTTGTCGTCTTGCTTCATGGGGCTGCCATCAAACATGTTGCCTGTTCCGGCTGACGCAGGTGGTGACTTGGGCGCCGAAAACAGAGGTTTCGACGCAGGAGCTGAGGATTCCGCCGGCTTGTTGGCGTTTGCTCCGAAGCTGAAAGTTGGAGCGGCAGAAGATTTTGTGGCATCAGAACTAGCCTTGCTGCCAAACAGATTGGTGGTCTGTGGAGCGGAGGTAGTCGCACCACTGCCAAAGAGATTGCTGCTGGTAGTCGTTGCGGGCTTCGGCCCAAACAATGACGGGGGCGTGGCAGCGACATCTTTCTTCTCATCAGGTTTCGCACCAAACAGTGGAGGCGAAGTACCGGTCTCATCTGCAGCCGCAGATGAGCCAAACAGAGGTCTTTGCGCACCAAACAGGGGAGTAGATGTGGTAGACGCTCCATCCTTCTGCTCTGTGTCGGGCTTCGCAGCGCCGAAAAGAGAGGTGGATGGGCCAGATAGACTGCTAGGCTTTTCCGACTCGGCAGGCTTGGCACCGAATAGAGTAGATGACTGCATCACGGCAGGTGTCGTAGAGCTGACAGACTCTGCAGGCTTGCTGGCGCTGCCAAACAGGTTGGAGGGGGGCTTGATAGGGGGAGCACCGAACAAGCTTGTTGGCGCGCCCTCTAACTTCTCGGCCGCTGGTTCCTTAGGCTTTTCGGAAAATATCGATCCAACGGCAGGCTGCTGGGGCTTCGACTCAGGCAAAGCCTTTTGAGTATCCTGAGAGCTGTTCTCCTTGTCCGACTCGCTGCCATCCTTCGACTTGTTGGCAGTCTGCGTGTCCTGTTTGGGGGCGCCAAACAGGTTCGACGCAGGTGCTGCCGAAGTAGACTTGAAGGTGGATGCAGGCGCATCTTTGGGACCGCCAAACGCCGAGCTAGGCTGCGCTGAGGGCGCAAATTTGATGGGAGTGCTGCTAGGGTTCCAGGTCTGGTCTTTGGCCGGGAACGAGGCTCGTGCAGTCTCTCCGACAGGAGTACCAGCCCGCATCGGCTCTCCGTTGCTGTCCTTGGTGACACGGTCAAACAAGCCACGGGCCGGTGTGCTCTCGCGTGTCCCTGCTGCACTCTCCCCAGTGCTGGCTTCGAAGGCGGGTCGCTTCGCGCTGGGTTCCTCAACTTCCTCGGGCTCAGAGTCCGTCTCGCTCTCTCCATCAGCATCGGCATCCTGCCCACTGTTCTTTGCAGAACTGGAGTCCGAAAGGTGCCCAAAGATATTTCCACCCGCACCGGCCGGCTTCTGGGCTGTATCGGACTTAGCATTGTTTTTGAGGACAGATTGCATGAGCGAGTTGCCCGCGGGCTTGGGCGCAAAAGCGCTGGGTTTCGCAGGCGTGGCGGCGGGCGTTGTGGATTCTTTGTTAGCAGCTCTCTCGAACGCAGACCGAGCACCTGAAGTTGGCTTCTGCAGCTTGCTGGGCTGGCTTTCCGCCTCCTCTTCGTTGGTGGAAGCCTTGCGTTTGTTGGGAGACGTTGCAGGGGCTTGGGCAGGGGCCGCAAGTACGGGCGTGGCTGAAGCAAAGCCAGGCTCAGCATCATCGATCTTGTTGTCGCTGACACGGCGCTTGCTGCTCTTGGTGACCGGCTCGCGGATGTCTTCATCGGAGCCCTCATCAAAGGTCTTCCGCTTCTTGATGGCAGAAGCTGCCACGGATGCTTTGGTGGGTGTTGCTACTGACTCGTCGTTCTCCAGAGGTGTCATGCCATGCTCTCTACGCCATCGCTTGATAGTCTCCGGATCCGCTTTTACGTTTTTGAACTCGTACAGGTCGTAGTGCAACATGACCAGTGTCCGACTCTTCTCATATTCCTTGGCGAAACTAACGATATTGAGACGCCAGCCTTTTCGAATGAATATCTCGTCGGCAGTATGCTTGAGTCGTCGCATGTCGAGGATACAAAACCACTGTCGTCGCTGCTCGTCGTCGAACTCTTGGGGACAAAGTTCGGCAAGATATTGGTCAGCGTAGATCGGGTTTTTCGGGTCCCAACCCTTCGGCACCTTGTTCTCGAGGGCCTCGCCCGTGAGCTCTCGTGCCGGCTCTTCAATCCTCATTGGGAATGTCGGCACATCAAGCATCTTTTTCGCGATCCCTCTGGCGGACGGGTACGCAATCTTCTCCCTCTGTACGCGTGCCGAAGCGGGTGTGCTGCCCGCCGGTGGATCGAAGAGCTTCTGCTTGGGCGTCTGTGAAAAGCTTGGTGAGAAGGGCGCGGGTTTGGGGCTTTCTGAGGCGGTGGATGATCGGAAAATGTTGCTCGACCCAACGAAGCTACGCCCCAAGCTATTTGCGGGCGCGTCATCGCGCGTCGTTAAGGTCTTGCGAACAGACCCAGGAGTGCCTCGTCGCGGAGACGCAGCATACGGCGACGCGGTCGACGACGCGAAGGCGCGCTTCGCGAACGGGAGAGGAGGTCGCGATCGCGGCGTCGCAGACTGCGACACATCATCCATTGAAAAGGTTACCATGGTGGATGGCCGGGTCGGTCGCGGATCGACACCAAGTTCGGGGGTGGCAATCGGACTCGGGAGGCTGCGGTGTACCTGGATAGAGGTAGAAGGAGCCTTTCAGACAAAGGCGCACCGAGATGTTTGCGTGGGACGGATGAGCTGTGCTCGCGGTTTGGGACGTCGAGGTCGAGGAGCGCGACTAGATGTCCCTATCCGCATGTACGGTTGACGGTGGAAAAAATGCGTCGTCGCCCCAGCGACGATGGCGAGGGTGTGCGCGAGGAGAAAGAGGAATCGAGAACAAGAAGGTACGAAATTAGGAAGTCGCGCCTGAGGGTCCGTGCGATGGAAGCGGGTGTGAAAAGCCTCGCTAATGGAGATGAAAGACGCGGATTGTTGCGAGTTATTGACACGACCACACCCGGACAGTGTTGTGGTGGAAAATTGCAACGGGACTGATGGCGAGCGGTTGGCTACGCTGCTCCTTGATATTACTGAACGAACGGCTCTAGCGCCTTCCTCAGTGTAGGGAAGGGACCGTCCGGCGAGTGGCTTCCAGGATTCGGAATTTTCCCGGGCCACTGTTAATCCGTTGCAAGAACTGTGCACCTCAACCCTGCTCCCTTTGACTCCGCACTGAACCGCATCGAGAACAAACCGTGCAGCTCACTTCCAGCTATTAATATTCAGCTGCGTCACAACACTACGTATTCTGCTGGTCGTCACAGTTAACGCACATAATCACTTCTTTCACTAGGTAATTCCTAGTCCCCAAGTTGTGAAAGGCAAGTTGAACATAGCGTAATACTAATTGAAGAGAGCTTCAACAAGGAGTGTCCTAACCGTATCCTATCCGTAGTAGTAAAGAGTCGCGCAGTAGGCTAAATCACAATCTCGTAGCCCTGACAAAAAGCGCCCATAAATACAAAACTTCCGAATCCTAGAACTTCCTCACTTGGGAGAGGCGAACAGCTCCTCATCCGAGGCGTCAAGAACATCGTACTCCTCGTCGGTCAAAAAGTCATCCGACGCATCCCAGTCTACACTCTGACCGCAGTCGTCGAACTCTTCAGCAAAGGATGACTTGCGACGCTCGATGGATGCCTGGCTCTTGACTTCCTCGTAGACACTAGCTACAGGCGATTCCTTCTCCAGTTTGGGGAAGACCATCTGGCTAGACTTCGTATCCTCTTCTCTCTCAACCTCTGCCTCGACTTCAGGGGTCTTCTCAGCGGGCGTATCGGACTGCGTAGCGGCAATGTCCTTGTGCTTTACGCTGTCACGAAGCAGGCGATGGCGTTGGCAAGGCATGATGTCGCGGACGTTGACCTCACACCAAAGGCGATGGCCGAAACGGAAGCCGTCCGAAGTGCTAACACGCCAGTACGAAACAACCTTGCCGGGGTGGGCAGGAGTGCGAAGCTTGACGGTGAAAGAGAACTCTTCTCCCGGGAGAACAGGGCTAGGGCAAGCATTGGAAAACGAGGCGACGTAAAGCTGCGCGGTGCTGATAGGACGGGTCGAGTCGACGTCGCCCATGTAGTCACCAGCAACATGCTTCACACAAGTCCCAGCAGGCCAAGCGACCTTGCCGCTGTTGCGGAGAGTCCAAGTTTGTTCAAAGACGTGCTTCGGTGGCCTGATGGAGCCGTCAACAACCGTGTCGCGGACAAACTCGGCACACAGATCATCAGGCACCACATGCTCCTTCTCTTGCTCAAGGGTGGCCTCGTCGGCCGCTTTCTCAACCACAGCCTCGTTCGACACTTGGGTGTTGCTGTCAACCACAGGCTGAGGCGCCGCGGGGGCAGGTGTCGACTTCTCGACGGGAACTCTGTCGCCCAGAACAGTTTCCTGGCCGTTGCGCTCATCGTGCGTGGTAACGCTCACGTTGCGAATAGGCGTCGAAAACTTGATAAGCGGATGCGATTTGTTGTGCTTCAAGAATGGGCTGGCCTCGCAACTAGCGCAGAAATCGACGTCGTGGCAGACAGCACACTTGTAACGGATTCCACGAATGTAGGCTGGATAGCCCTTGCCTGTGGAGCAGAAGGGCCCGTCACAGCAAATGCCCTCGTGAACCGATTGGATTGACGCGCAGCTCATGTGGTTGGCCTTCAAAGGCTCGTACACTGGGATGAAGCGATGGCGAGGGTGGATGAGGTCTGCGTTGGGAGCACAATCGTTGCAAAAGTCCCAGTCAGGACAATCGAGGCATTTGTGGCGGATGCCGACGATGAACTTATCACAGCCATCGCAAATAGCCTGATGGGCCTGGTTGCGGCCCGCACACATCTTTGCGCGAATCAAGTCAGGGATGACCGTGCCAGCCACCGCAGGCGAAAAGGGGTGCGCTGGGTGGTGCCCATCAATGTCATTGGGGAAGCAGTCTAGACACAGATCGAAGTCGGGGCAGACTTGGCAGTGCATGAACTTTGCCTCGGGTAGTTCTAAACAAATGTTAGTGGAAAAACCACGGTTTCAAACAAAAGGAATCCCCGTACCTCGAATGCAGCTGTTGCAGGTGCGGATGCCGGCAGGGAAGTAGTTCGACAAGCTGGCACCAACATTCAGGCTGGCAAACTTCTCTTCCAACTGAGCCCAATTGGCACCCTCGTCCAGTGCAGACGACTCGGCGAGGTGAAGCGGCAAGTTGAGGGCGTCGAGCTGTGAAGTCATGTTATCATGCGACCAGTTGCGCACTCCCGGACACGTCTGAATCGGTTCGCTAGCCTCAACCTTGGACTTGGGCTTGGGGGCAAGCTTCTCGGTTGTGCTGCTCACAATGTTGCCCTCGACCATGGTGCGCTTGATAAGCCAATGCTCCGTACTGTAGCAGGTGACGCCCGAGTCAACGCAGCGCATGCAAAGGTCGAAGTCGCCGTCTTCACAAGTAGAGCAGTGATAGTGGGCGTGAGATGTCTGCTGATGACAGCTGTTGCAGCAGATAGCAAAGCGCGGAGTGGCAGAGAGGGGAGTCGCGGTTTCAGGTTGCTCCCGCTCCTCCGCCACGGGCTCAGTAGCATCTTCAGGGGTCGTCTGAGTGTACTTCGACTCGGGCTCGCTTGGGACGGCCATGGCAGACATGGTTCTAGAGATCTGCTCTCGGAGGCGACGGGCTTCCCGCTGGTGCTCGGCGAAAGCCTGGGAATCGGGAATCTTCGGAACGCTTGAGGTCTGCTCAGACGGTGTAGGGTTCAGAGGAGCGATAATGCCCTCGGGCACATCTTCGATCGATACGGGCTGCGGGCCAGATGTCGTCTCGTAGTCGAGGTTCTTCTTGATGGATACACGAAGCTTGAGCTTTGACTTTGCCTTGGCAGCACGGTAAAGCTGCTTGTGGACAGCCTGGTTGTTTGGGTCGAGCCAAACATACGCAGCAGCGGAATCGGAGTAACGCTCGATGATGATGTCGGTCTCGCTGGGAATTCGAAGGAAAGCTCGGATCTAGTAACAGTGAGCGGTCGTTCGCATTGTACAACGATGGCAGGTGCAGGAAACACGGACCTGAGTCTGAAGAACCGTGGGAGCAGTGTCCCGCAAAGGCATCTTAGCCCTTCGGGTGCTGCCTTCAAAGTGCACCTTGACAGTGATGCTCGCGTCGAGCGGCGAAGCCGGCTGGGTGCTAGTGCTCTCCATGATTCAATGAATCCTACAGTCATGTCACCCGTCAGTAAGCTTGCCATGCGTTGCGGGGGTGGAAAAGTGAGAGAGAGGACTTCATGTTCCTGTTGAGCAACGAGTTTTGTGGACAGCATCGACTTACAGGACTTGCACTTCTAGGAGCTCTCGAATGGGGCTGAGAAGAGAGAGGTTGAAGCGGTATGCGACTGCGTGACCGCCTCTTCTGAGGTGCAGTCACCAAATAGGACTTTTGCCCCTGGAAATGTAGAGCTTTAAGACTAAGTTTGATGGCGAAATGATGAGGGTAGACAAAAGACCATGAAAGTCGATGAGAAGTGTAAAGCGGAAGAAGATGAGAGGGCAAGTTGTCGATGATGGGATAGACTTAAGTCCCAGGTGGTGGAACTCTGGGCCTCTGGCCGTGACTGCATTGTCGAGTGCACGGGCCCACGGGCAACGACTGGCTGGACGCCACTTGGCTGGTCACGGGCCACATTGACCACCCACCGAGCTACCGAGCCTCACCCCCGGATTTGCTAGCATCGGGGAAACGTACGACCTGCATGAGTCTGCGAAGCTGCTCCGTCATCCCCTCTCCTCCTACGTACGTAGTAGACGGCTGTGTCATTACTATTCCGTTGCGTTCCAGGTTGTCAGATTCCAGGTCCACTGTGCCGACTTTCCTCAGCATTCACTAGCCGAAGACTAGCCTAGGCTGAGCACCAAAGTGCCCTGCGCCAATTTGCGATGATCCAAAGCGTCGGGTGTGACGACTGGACAGGCGAGCAAACTCAATAATAGTGAATCACGACCGCCGCGGACCGCGACCGCTAGGCTTATCTGACAGTGGACACTGATGAATCCGACCATCCAGTCCCCGCATCCACTCCAAGGCAGCGGTGGGGAACGTAACCCGCTCCGGTCGTCAGCTTGCCTGCCTGCTCTGTAGATTTGGGGGCCAAGGTGCCGAAGAATACTCATAGGCAGGCAATGATGCTTGCTCAGCTTCGACTTCAGCTCGAGCATACCATTCTCAGATCCGACGTCCCGCCCGACAATCAAGACCAGGCTTGGGCCAAACCTTGAATCGCGCCAGCCGCCCAACGGATGCTGCAAACGAATGCATGGTGGGGTTGGAAATCTGGCCTCACCCTAATCATGTGCTGGAACTTTCATTGCCACGCTTTATCGCTGTCGTCTCCAGACTGTTTAGGATTGAATTGTATATTGCTAGACCTAAACATCCACTGGTAGTGAGATCTGGCCACTACGGATACGCGCATTGAAAATAATACTCCCTGGTACTATTCAGTCCTAGCATGTGATAAACATATCCTTAGGGAGCACTAGCTTTGGTCACTGGAAGACATCGTCTCAACGCTTCGCAAAGCTTGCCATCAGTTGATTCCGCAAAGCCAAGGCCAAGCATACCATTCGCCTATGGACATGTAAATAGATTCCTCTGCCAAACACCTAAAACGCCGCTGCTACCGACAGCAACTCAACACCACGCATTCCCTCGACTGGGGAAAGATAACAACGAGGACGACGACCAGGGCTGACAGCACAGTGTCTCCTCCGGTTTCCGACAAGTGGGTCAAGGATGAGCTCCTTCCAGCTCACTTCCAATCTCGCTGCACAAAGTAGCGAGCATTTTTCCAATTAGAGATGATCGGCGCCAGACTTGTGGCTATTGGGGGTAATAGACCATGTTCTGCCCTCCTTGAGGATAGTAGTATCCATCTGGGCTAGGGGTGACCATGCCACCCATTCCCATCCCGGTGGGCTGATATGGCTGGGCCGCCGGGTAGTGCTGATAGGGATTCATCGACCCAGGTTGTGGGGTATTGTAATAGTAAACCATGCCGTTGGCCTCCTGGGCAACTAGTGGACCATTCGCTGTCTGAGCAGGGTCGTTTGCTTGCATTACCGCAGGATCGGTCGCTGGGGGCGCATAGCCACTAGGAGCGCCGTGATGCGAGGGGGCCCCGTATCCAGGAACAACAGGAGCGGCCATGTCGGGTGCGTTGTAAGCGCTGCCGCCGTAGTAAGGTGAATAAGTGGGAGGTGCTGGACCCTGGAACTCCTGTTGGCCGTAGTAGGGCTGCTGTGGCACAGCCTGTCCGTAAGGGTTGGGCTGGAAGGGCGCAGCGTGGATGGCCCGTTCGGGTATTTGAGACAAGGGCGTCCCCGAGGAACGCTGCGATAAGTAGGAGTGTTGTCGGACGTGGTTTTCCTTTGGATGGCCATTCCCCATTTGCAAGGGCATCTGCTGGTGGAAGGCTTGCTGGAATGCCGGGCCCTGGTTGAACGAAGGGGACTCGATGTCGGCCACAGAAATATTCTTCTTTGGACGAGGCTGATGCATGGGCACGCCGTCCGCCGTGCGGTTTTCCTGAAATTGCGGCGGTGGTCCGTTGATAGGCAGGAAGGGAGCGTGGCCATTAGGCATGGCGGGCACAGCCTCGGATCGTGTGGGTGGCGGAAGGCGAACGACAGGCCTGACATTTTCCGCAGGTGGCCCTGTGATTGACGCTGCTGGCGAGAACATCGCATCGCGGTCCTGAGCGAAGCTCGACCTCCTGCTCATAGCTACGCTGGGGGAATACATGCTGCCATAGTAACTCCCACCAAAAACACTTGTCCTCCTCGAGAAGCCGCCAGCAGAGCCCATGGCACCCGACCGCCCTTTACCCCTGCCCCGTTGCTGGTTGGGTCGCATAGCCCTGGGGATGAAAATGAATGACCTATCGATGGCTGGATAGATATAGCGCGGCGGACGGTCTGGGAGGGAGATGCGAACTGGTTTGTCTCGTCGCAGAGGCGGGCGATGATCCGGCAACTTGGTGTACTGCTTGACAGCAAGTCCAGGCTTGACCAAAGGCTTCGCCATCCCAGGCAAGGAGACTCTGACCTGGGTGTTTCCAATGTGCTTCTCTGTCGACAAAATGCGGTTGATGGGGGTAGAGTTCGGCTCTCGAGTTGGGATAAACCCGTTGCCGTTTGGAGGGCCTTCAGGCTCTGGCAGGTGGCGCGGTTGACGACTTGGGCCGGGGGCCCGCGCGGCGACTGTCTCGTGCATGTCGTGAGCCCAGGGCAACGTGGTGGTGGGATCACCAGGAGGGTGCATTTGGCTGCTTAGGTCAGTCAGAGTCGTATGCGACATAGCATTCGAAACCCACTTCATTGGCGAGAATGGTCCCCCTATGCCCCCTCGTCCGCCTCGACCACCTCGGCCTCTCCCAAAGGGTCGAAACCCGTTCGCAGCCGGTCCCGCATGTCGATGATCATGCATGAAGAAGGCACCCCTGTTCGGTACAAAAGCTGGATCCTCGTCTCTCTTCTTCCGATAATCGTCATGCTCATGGCGCCGTCTACCATCTGCGTGCTCCGAGGACGGTCTTGTGGCTGCTGTCGAGCTCACAACGACAGGAGCCCCGGGTGATTTCGGTGGGCCCGGAAGGTCCGCATGCTTTCCCCCTTGCCGCTCCTTACGCTGTGTCACGTCGGCTTGAGTTTCATCAAAGTGTAACTCCTGCGCCGTGCTTTCATCGTCCAGCGCCATGCCGTGCATCATCGCAGTGGTGTCCGACATGGTTTTTGCCGGTACGACTGGGAGCTTTCGTGATGATCTGTCGGCCTTGCTCGCGACTTTTTCGGTAGTTTCGGTCGGTTTCGTGGCAGTGGGCGATGTCGAGACGACTTCGTCGACGTTGCTTGTGTCGCTATCGTTGTCGGCATCGTGATCATCAGTCGCAATCGAAGCGTCCGAGAGCGAATCATCATCTAGATCCAAGTGTTCCGGGCCACCCTCATCTTCGCCTTCATCCTCGACGCGACGACGGTGCCCGATTTTTCGGCGGCGGGCGGCAGCCATGTTTCGGTCTGTCATCGAAGGGTCAAAGTCGAGCCAAGTCGGACGAGCTGCAGGATGTGAGGCGTCGTTGTCGCTTCAAGACAAACCCAAGAAGAGGCGCTGATGAGAAGGTAGAGATGGTGAAATGTTCGCTGTCCCAGAACCCAACAAGAAAAAAAAAATGTCCCCAAGAACCGGGTTGGAACCCAAAGCAAGTAGGAGAAACGCACACAACAGAACCCCGGAAACGCAAGAAAAATGAGTAAAAGAATTGCCGACAGTTGGTTTCGCTGAATACAGCTGAATACAAGTGCTGCGCAGGGCAGGAGAATAGAAGATGTAGGGAGGAGGTGACGTTGGTGATGCAGACGTCGTCGAAGCCGACGGGGCGAGTGATGATGGACAGAGGTCGAAGGTGGTGGATGATGGGTCCAGAGGACTGGGCTGAATACTGACTGGGCTGGATGCAGTGATGATAGACTGGCGAACCAGTGGCCGAGTGCCAGGCCTCAGGGCGCCCGTGTACATGTACGCCGCCGAAGCTTCGGTGGGTACAGTCAGTTTATTAGTACCGCGACTGGACTGGAGTGTCTGTCCGACCTACGGAGGACTGTTAGTGCAGTGCTTCACTCGTGTCGAATCACTCAGCCAGAGCTCAGGTCGCACTAACACAGCGTTCATAATAGTACTTTCACAGGCTGCATTTCTACCTTAACCACTCGAACCTCAGGTAGTTAGCTTCATTCCAACTTACAATTATTGGCAGCCGCAATAAACTTGTTCACAACGCAAAGAGACACGTGAAGACCATACTTTGCTTCATTCCCACCGTGGACGGTATGAATGTATCGATGGGCAGTGCAATTGGACGCGGCCAGTGGTCGCGGTCATACGTTCAAATGTGTCAATCGTTGTGCTTCCTCAGCCGGTCGGTTGTGCACTTGTGGTGCAGACGCGCCGCTTGACACGAAGCCCCCTATCACAGCAAGGACACCTAGCAAGGGAAGCTTGACTTAATTACACCCCTAACAATCTGATACGATTTAAGACAATGATCGGAAGGATGGTCTGTGGTCTGGGAACGAGGACCTCGCCTGATCTCCAGGGCTTCTACTACTCACTCTACGAAGTAAAATTATCAGAGAAAGCACTCATTATGATTGAGCAACAAGGCTTTCGAAGCGCGATGCCTACTCGTTCCGTTCCTGAGCAAGAGCTCATAGAGTCGCCAGGTGGCTTGAACTACAGCATCCCTGGAAAGCATTACTTGGAATCGTCGACGGGAGTTCACTACGTGTGCTTACCTATCCGTGGCAGATATTATCCCCACCATTGCTTGACCTCGAGTCGACGTTCGTCCAGCAAGCTACGGTCGTCATCTGTGTCGACGTGATCATGACACGACCCCCACGCTTCTGGACACTGGCAGGTCATTTTCACTCCACATCCCGGCAGGTGACAGACAGCCTCCAAGTTTCAACACACCATGGCAGACCATGAGCAGGGGTGTGCCCTCCTGCCAGTTCTCAGTGATTCACACCAGCGTGTTTGAAGTGGTCTTTTAGCCAGCAACAGCAACAGTGAAATTGGGCTACGGAAATTAAGAAGGGTTTGGTAGTCATTTGCCAAGCGAGCAGCGAATACGGATATCTCACGCAAGATGAAGGCATCTAACAAAAAAAATAAAAGATCAAAGTAGGCCTTGTCGATCATGCTGCTGATCGACACGGAATAATCCCCGTCACCGTACAACAACTGGATCATCCCATGGTTCTCCACTGCTGTTCGATCTCCAACCCGCTCTCCAGACGGTCACTCCCTTTGCGATGACATTGTCAACCCTTTGCCTGTCCGTCAAGGTGAACCATCGTCAGCAGTGACATAACGCACCTCATGGGCGGCAATCACCTGAGTACCTGACGCCAAGCTGAGCACCCCTAAACGGAGCCAATGTCGTCATGCGGGGTGAGCTCTCAGCCCTCCAATTCGACGACGACCGACGAGATGCCATTTCATGACAGGCCATTTGCATGCATCCATCTGCGGGGGGGAGCATTGGCGAACGACTAGACCGGCTCGATAAGATTGGAGAGCATTGGATTTCACGAGGAGGGGGTTCTTCACTTATCTATGAAGTCCCCGACGGTAATTGGCCGTGTTTCCTCTTCGACTTTTGTTCCGACGACCTCAATGCCTGTCTGTTCTCGATACGAAGTAGGAACACCATCACCCCTACGAGACGCTTTCAACTTCAAAGCCAGGCATCGGGGCGCAACAGATAGCGCGACTCGAGCACCACAAGTCTGGGACCACCTTACTCGGGCGAGAGCACCACACAACCGTACATCCAAGCCGCAATCATAAAGCGCACGCGAGATTGGACCCGCGGGCGTACCTTCAACCTTTCAACATTGACGCGATTGGGCTTCAACCATTACTGACACCGCAATGGCCGACCTCACCAACAAGCACCCCGACCTCCAATTCTCCCTCTCCCCCCTCATGCCTCCGCAAACGCCGCTTATCAAATCACCATCATCCTCCTGTCTTCTGACACACCTATCGACCAAAGCCTTGCCGAGTCAGGCGACCATCGCCAGGGCCAGATGGGGCAGCGTGCAACGGATCATGCTGGAGTACCCAGACAAGGGTCCAATCGTGGTGCAAAGCTTTATGGAGCCAGCTGCACAAGAACACACCATAAAAGCTCAGGCTGAGCAGGACCAGGCCCCGCAGTTGGTCGGTGTTGTTGCGGGAAACCATGACCAAGTCAAAGAAGTCCGCCGGGCAGCCGTGCGTCTGGAGAGGGTTGGGCGAGACATTCAGAAAGAATGGTCCGTGCCAGAACCCGAGACCCCGTGATGAGGAATGATGACATGCAGGGGAGGCACAGGGACCACCATTAAAGGCATAGGCAGGCGTTTGCATAACATCATCAGTCAATTCTTTACGTGATATCTATTATTGGACCGAAGAGCCTCTTTGCTTGACAACCCTTTCCATGTTTCTTTGAGTGTCTTAGATGATCTGCTGGAAAGCACGGTTGAGAGGAGAGCGGACGTTGGGAACGTCCTTCCAGAAGTCGATTGTCGCCACGGCGCGCTTGGAGATGCCCTCGGGAGTGAACTCGAACTTCTGTTATGGGGGTCAGCTCTGCACGTGTGTTGCTGTTCGTCATGACTTACGTTGTACACATCCTTGTAGGCACCGGAAGCACCGAAGCGGTTGAGACCGAACTGCTCGTGGGTGTAGCGCTCCCAGCCCATGGTGCTCATGACCTCAACGGACAGCGAGGGGATACCATCAGGGAGGACAGACAGGCGGTACTCCTTGCTCTGGGTGTCGAACACCTCGAAGCAAGGCATCGACACAATACGGGCATTGACGTTGTGCTTCTCCTTCAGGTACTTGGCGGCATCAACGCAGATGCACACCTCGGAACCGGTCGAAACAAGGGTTACGTCGGCCTTCTCGACCTCGTGCAGGACGTAGCCACCCTTGATGGCCTTCTCAATGGTCGAGCCCTCCAGCTGGGGAAGGTTCTGGCGAGAGAGGGCAAGGACGGAGGGGGTGTGCTTGGAGGTCATGGCAACGTAGTAGGCCGCAGAAGTCTCATTACCGTCGGCAGGACGCCAGACCATGTTGTTGGGAAGGGCGCGCAGGTGGGCGAGAGTCTCGACAGGCTGATGAGTGGGACCGTCTTCACCAAGACCGATAGAGTCGTGGGTGGCGACCCAGATGCAGCGGATCTGAGAAAGAGACGACAGACGGACGGCACCGGCAGCGTAGGAGACGAAGTTTAAGAACGTACCGCCGTACGGGATAATGGTACCGTAGGCGGCCAGACCGTTCATGATGGCACCCATGGCGTGCTCGCGAACACCATAGCGGATGTAGCGACCAGAGTAGTCACCGAGGCCATTGGACTTGGGCTGGAAGTCGACAGCCTGCTTCCAGCGAGTCAGGTTGGAGCCCGTCAGATCGGCGGAACCACCCAGGAGCTCAGGGACGACATCGATGATCTTGCTGAGCACAGTCTCGGACAGCTTGCGCGAGGCAACGGCGGGGTCGGCGGGAGTGTAGACGGGGAGGGCCTTCTCCCAGCCCTCAGGCAGCTCGCCCTTCAGGCGACGGGTGAGGTCGGCGTGCTCCTTGGGGAATTTCTCGGCGTACGAGGCGAGGAGCTTGTTCCACTCCTCTTCGGCGGCAGCGCCCTCAGAAGCGTGCTTGCCGTACAGCTCACTAACTTCCTTGGGGACAACGAAGCTCTCCTCAGGGTTGAAACCGAACTTCTCCTTCAGCTGTTTGATGTCATCCTTCTTGAGAGGCGAACCGTGAACACCGTGGGTGCCCTGCTGGAGGGAACCGTATCCGATGGTGGTCTTCAGGTTAATGATAGTCGGCTTGTTCTTCTCCGCCTTGGCCTGCTCAAAAGCCTTCTGCATAGCATCGAGGTCGGTGTCACCCTTCTCGATGTCCAGGACCTGCCAGCCGTATGCCTCGTAGCGCTTGGAGACATCCTCGGTGAAAGCGCAGTTAGTGTCACCATCAATGGTGATGTTGTTGTCGTCATAAACGCAGATCAGGTTGCCAAGCTGAAGGTGACCAGCCAAGGATGAGGCCTCACTCGAGATACCCTCCATCAGGCAGCCATCACCCAGGAAACAGTAAGTGTAGTTGTCGACAAGGGTGAAGTCGGGCTTGTTGAAGGTGGCAGCGGTGTGAGCCTGGGCAATGGCCAAGCCAACAGCGTTGGAGACACCCTGGCCAAGAGGGCCAGTGGTGACTTCGACACCTGGGGTATCATGGGCCTCAGGGTGGCCGGGAGTCTTCGAGTCAACGGACTGAATTGTTAGTTTGCTCGCATCGAAAAGATTTCCAAAAGAACAAAACTTACGCGGAAGGCCTTGAGGTCGTCCAGCGACAGATCATAGCCGAATAGGTGAAGCAGAGCGTACTGAAGCATGCAGCCGTGTCCGTTGCTACAGATGGTGTCAGCTCCAAGGTCTCAATGAGGTTCGATTTCAACCTTACGAAAGAACAAAACGATCACGGTTCAACCACTTAGGGTTCTTGGGATTGAACTTCATGAAATTGTTCCAGAGAACGTGGGCAACGGGCGCCATGCCCCTGGTATTTGTCAGTATCCGGCCGTCGGCAAGCTTGTGAAGCTGTTGGAGAGCTTACATGGGTGCACCGGGGTGTCCCGAGTTGCTGGTGAAGGTCGCATCAACCTAAGCATGCGTCAGTAACGAACATTCAACCCAGCACCAGCCATGTCTAATTGAGGTCTTTATGGTGCCCAGCCATCGACCTTGACGGTCCTTCTTGATGGCGGGGTCGACCGTCCGCGAGGCGACCGATGGAGGGGTAGTCGCGAGGGAAGATGATCAGGCAACAGAAAACTTACCGCGAGAAGGCGGATGGTGTTGATGGCCTTCTGGTCAAGTTCGCCGAAACCCATGATGACGGTTGTTTTCAGTGAGTCTTGAGAATGGGGTGTAGGTAGATGATGGTTGTTGAAAGGAAAGAAAAGAAAAAAAGAGGTGGGTGGCAGACGCGAAGAGGAAGTAACGCAAGACAAGGTACGTGCAATGACGGCCGATCATCTGAGTGTACATGTACGTACCGCTACTACCGCGTCCCGCTGGCGCCGCTCCGGTCGCTGAACCGGAGCCTAGAGGGGTTGTTGCAGGTGGTGGGTCCGCCATCAATTGGCTTACCCGGCGCAACAAGGCCAGTTCAAACACCCCACGTATCAGCCGCGCGCGGGCGTCACAGACTCCAACTCGCCGCTGCGCAGCGCTATTCATTCTCCCCGAGAACAACGCAGCAGTCGCCAGCATGCCTGGGAAGATGAAACGCTTGAGAGATGTCTACTGATATCAGACCACCCTCACAATGCCACTGAACGGTGCATGACTTGCCCGCGTTATCTGCTTGGGTTAGTAGGCATGGAAATAGCGGGTCTGCCACTTGATCCCTGTCGTATCACCCGGCGAGGTCCCCTTTTTTTTGCCCCTCTTTGTGGACCATCACGACAAGTCGATAGCGACCCAAGCCTCCTCGAGCTCCAATCTCTAGGCTCAGCAACAAAATTTCTTCACTTGAGTTTATCCTCTGACGCAATGACACTCCCGTCTATCCACAATGTAATTGTATGTATCCACGACACTGAGACGCCATGGGAATGACGTTGATCGAGGGAGGGTTTGTTCGATCATCGAACTTGATCCCTCCATGTCTGTTACGGAGGGGGTAAAATTTACATTTCCAGAGAGGGTCACTACGTAGTCCAGTACTTCTTGGGTCAGCCATTGCGGCTTTTACTGATGGCCTCGTCAACCAGCTCGTGTCTCGTCGAGTGGGATTTACCGCTGCTTCCTTGGGCCTAATTTTGCCGGCATTACTACTCATCAAGACGACAACCGTAGTGTCTTTACAACACGACAGGATTCCAATCGCTTACAGCCGAACCACTCAGCGCCGAAGCGTCTGCCTCTTGCTGCTACGTACGTACTGACCACGGCAGCAAATGTATTGCCATTGAGTCGGTGCGTATAGCCGCGCCTATAAGCAATGTGCTCCGCGAGATTGCCATTTCAATATTGAGCCACTCCATACGTAGGGTCGTTGGCTATGTTGAACGCTTCGCACGTGGTTCCGATGCCGGACTTATACTATTAGCTCATTGTCTTTCATCTGCCTTAGCCTTGCATTTAAGTCTTGAATGTTAATTAACGCAGTGAAGATAAAGACATGGGGCCTCGAGCTCAACATGGCTCGTCCAGCGTCTCACTCCAGTCGTCAACCGCTCCCCCTCTCGACAGGCTAGTCCAGGTGAGCTACCCTACACTAAACCCTTAGCAATGCCTCCCAGTTTCAATTCTCGTCCAGAACTACTCCATGTCTGTACAGCTGCAATCCTTGACAATTACATTTTAGTATGCTGATATCTTCTATACAGTACTCTTTAGAGTATACCCAGATTTAGAAACTTTTGGCTAAAATGAAGTGGATAGCTGAGGCGCGTAGATATGAAAAGCACAAAGTTTTGGACCCAAATTGAATTTTTACCACGTTTATTCTGCATTAGTCCATCATCACGACTGTGTGAGCAGGAGTCACAACCACAACAACCACTTGGTACTGCACCTGATTACCGCCGAGATGGCAAAGAAACATCACCCTGGGAAGAATGTCGCAAAGCCCAAAGCTAAGCCACAAGCAAAACCTAAGCCTACATTAACCCCGACTTCAACAGTTGCCGTACCACCACAGGATGTGAAGCATCAGCAAACGCTGCTCGCACTCTTCTCTTCAACCTTCAACGAGACCCTGAAGTCGGAGGACATCGCAGCCACCATACAAAATATCAAGGCGGCTCTATATGATCGAGACTTCGCGAAAGCCTTTGGCACGGAAACCTATCTCGAGGCCTACGCCGCGCGATGGAGTCCCACACGAGCACTCGGATATGCTACTGTTCTGGAAGGACTGCATGCGACATGGCTCGAGCCTCTCCTGACCGATCAAAGTGGTGATGTCCGCCAGGAAGAGGGTGATCGAAGTGAAGGTATGGACGGAAAGAGCTCTGAGGAAGCTGAGACAGACACGAAACCAAAGACGCTAAAGAACAAGATGAACGTCCTGTCCATTGGAGGCTGCGCCGCTGAGCACGTTGCTTTTGCGTCCTACATCTCTCAACACTCCCTGTCGTGCTCTCTTACACTCCTCGACTCGGCGCCGTGGGGTAGGATAACGGACAGGCTCCAAAACGCTCTCGTCACACAGCCTGTGTTGCCAAAATATACCTCCGCCTCCATCGTTGCGGCCGCCGAGCCATTACTACTGCCGGGGCAGCTGGATGTCAAGTTCCTGCAAGGGGACGCACTTTCTCTCCCCGAAGATGAGTTCAAAAGCATTCTCAGACAGCAACCCCTTCTTGTGACCATTTTCTTCACCCTCAATGAGCTTTACACCAGCGTGGGCATTGGGAAGACAACCAAATTCGTCGCACATCTGGGTCAGCTTCTGCCGTCAGGGAGCATCCTCCTCGTTCTCGACAGCCCTGGCTCCTATTCAGAAGCGTCCGTCGGGAAAGACAAGAAGAAGTACCCTATGCAGTGGCTTTTGGATCACACACTGTTAGAAACTAAACTCGAAGGCTGCAAATGGAGCAAACTACATTGCGAGGAGTCTATCTGGTTCCGATTACCCTCGGAAGGACTGGATTACCCCCTTCAGTTGGAGAACATGCGGTATCAGATGCATATATATCAGGTAGAGAATGTCTAAATATAATCACGCTAAGGGATGAAAGAGTATAAGTGTTCTTGCCAAAAGGGACTGATTCTATGCCCAGACCAACCTCTTGATTGAATGGCCCAGTTGCTCCAACAGGCCCGTGTTTTTCTTCGCCTCCTCTAGGGAAATTATATCTTCTTTCTGGATCAGTTCCTGATGTTCTTCGCCGCGCTTGTACAGACGGCTCTCCTTTGTCAAACGCGCAATCTCACTCGCAATGGTTGTGATCTGCTGCAGCTCAGTCTCGTGCTCTGTGCTGACAGTCGTGGAGGAATTAACGTAGGGTGCCTTGAAAGCCAGCTTCTTCTCTGCTGGAGGCTGGGCCTTGTATGTGAAAAAGTCGACAAGGTTCAGAGGACGATTCTTCTCATTTCCAGGCTCAGGGTCCTTGATAGGTGCGATCTCGCCGCGGGTGGAAGAAGTGCGCGTGTTAGTCCTCACAACATCAGCCTTGCCCGGCTGGTAAGCGACAACGAAGCCAACGTTCTTTGAGGCATCCATATGAGATGGCGAGACGATAGATGTGATGTAGGTTCCAAGCTTGATGCCCGTGATGTTTCTCAAATCGACTCGTTCGAACGAGGATACCTTGTCCATGTTCCAGTCAAACCGACAGACATAGAGGGCTGCATCGGTAAGTAGAAGCACGACCTCCTCCATGGGCAGAGACTTAATGGTATCCGAGACATGCGGACTGATCAATGCCCATGCCCCGTGAACTTCTTCACTCTCGTCGGCGACGACGCGTTTCTGGCACAGCTCAATGGCCTGCTCGCGCAACTTGGCGACGGAGATGGCAGGGTCCTTGGTCATCATGTCCGCCTCAAACTCTTCGAATACCCTCTCGTTCACATTGCCCAGGAGGAAGTCGATTGCTGTTTGACTAAAGTAATCATTCACCATGCTGTAATCTGTTAGCAAGTCTTCACCATCTGAACCGGAGATCTGCTTACCCGCTGTAGAACCGCGCAAGGGACAAGCTCAAATCGTTCAACGCCCCGCGATAGTCTCTCTTCTTTGTCCTTGTATAATCTCCTTTCATAGCCGCTGTCGATGCATATTGTTTCGAGACTGCGTCGCCATTATCGGCCCAGAGGGTATTGAACCAAGTCGTCTGCTGATCAACCTGCGCGTCCATGTCGAAACCTTCGGCTTTCAGCTGCATGTCGAGCACATGTCTCGCAAAAGAACTTTGGCAGACGTTGGTCCGGTCCAAGCAGTCCATGCAATTCGTTCGAACAACACCCTTTTGCTTCTCGACAACTTGGCCACGCTGCACGATAGTGCTACCAAATTCCTCGAGTTTATCCCTCAGTGTAGACAGAAGCAAGCTCACGTTCTCAAATTTCATACCTCGACAAGCCTGGTGGAAGTCAAACCACTCGAAAGCGAGGGGTTTCTCGTCAGGCCTTTTCGTGTCTTCCTCAGACTGCCGATTCAGGTACTCAATTGTTTTTTCATACCTAGTACCGATGCCAGACTCCACGCCGTGCTTTTCCACCAGATTGACGATTTGGATAGCTCCGTAGTTCCTCCCCAGTGCCTCGAAATGGTTGCGACAAGCTTCCCTATTTGTTTGATCGGAATATTGCAGGATAGGTACAGGCTTGATTGCGTATGGCGATTGAGTGAAGAAAAGAGGAATGCTGCCCCTGATCTGTAAAAAGGAGTGCACTGTCGAATCTTCAGTCCAGTCTGCGGGCATGAGCAGCTGCTCGGTTTCCACCATGTTGGCAACATTCCCTTCCTGATTGATGCCCCGACGTAGGTATCTGAGCCCAGCCCTCTTGACAGAGCGGCGGGATATAACACTGATGGTATATAACTTCTCCGAGCTACGTTTCTCTGGTTGATCTGGCGTTGTAGCAGCTTGCCCTTCTTGTGGTTGCGCCTGGGTTTCAGACTGTGCCATACTATTCATCTCCATAGATTCCGGACCAGGTTGATCGACTTGTGGCGGGTTACTATCCACAGTGAATGTCCTCTGTCCAACGAAACCTTGCATGACCGGGAGCACCACTGAAGCATCGCCCACTGAGAGAAAGGGCCGCAACAGAGCACGATTCCAGAAGAACTTGTTGTCCACCTTCTCATACAATGGTGCATCTCTGTCGGGGCTCCCAGCGCCCTTTTGCATGTTGTGCGTAATGTCGAGATCGTATGAGAAGTAGAAGCTCCTCGATGAACCAAAGAGAATTTGGACCGTGCGCAATAACTTGGGCAGCAAGGTCGAGGTCTCAGCCTGAGATGCCGCTTGATCATTGGAAGTCGTGTCTTGCGCTGTCACTGCGCCCTGGTTTTTTTCTCCAGGAGGCTCTGTAGCGGACAGTGTAGGCGAGTTGCTGATCCCCAGTGCCTTTTGCTGATCCTGTGTCCATCCACTCCGACTGAACCAACTGGACGCAAATCTCCCATAGCTGCCTCTCCTATGGATGACATCTTCTGCGATACTACTCCTTGGTGTGACAGTCTTGGCAGCCTCTCCGGCCACGGCGACATCATCTACCTCATCTGCAAAACTGTTTCGGAACTCCAGCTCATCATCGCTCGTATCTCCGTCGTTGCTGGCTGAATTTGGTGCTGTACATTGTTCAAGATGTCGATTTGCTTTCCGGATGGCTTCCTGGGCTGCTGACTTTGACGAGCAAGGCGTAATGGCAACCTCGGTGACTACATAGATTGGTGTGCCAAACAGTTGGGCCACTTGCTGGCGACGTGTGATGCTAATGAGATAGCTCAACTTTGAGACGGTAATCAAACCTAAAGTAACATTGAGCATGGCTCCCGGTCAAAGATTAAGCTTCTACTCACCTATAACCCCAAAGGCTTCGAAGGTGGATTCGTCATGGTCTGAGTCCTCCACCGTTTGCTCTCGCGACGCAGGCGATACGCTACCATCGCCGTATGCGATCCTTAGAGGCTGAAATGGCCTTTGACCTTTTGAAGACAGTGGCTGAATTATAAGCCCGTCAATCGCAGCACATATTAGCACTTTGCGCGCGAGGCCTGGCATGATGCTTGAATCTAAGTCGGATCGTAACGTCGCATCAGGCAACGTTTATATTCTCGAAACTTTCCCCAGCTGAGCAGGACGCAATAAGATATATCAGATACACTGGAAAGAGGGCAGGGTACCGGAAACCCGTAGGGAACCTAGGAATAAGAAGATGATGAGATCCATGTTTCTGGAGGTGCTTGGCTACTTATTTATTCTAGCGTGGTGATTTATTGGAGTAACGTCATCGGGCGCTTACTGGGGCGTCCAGATATTCTACCACGCAGCATCGACTTTTCCAGATAAGACAGACTTGCTGTACCGACACATTTAACTGGCGTCGTTGATAGATCCAAAGAAAAGAGCCCCATTCGAAAATCACAGCACCACAATGATGATTCAACATGCGCAGTTCTTCGAAATTTCTCGATTCGTAGTGCTAGGGTGCGCAACAGTATTCCAACTGTTGCCCACACTAATCAATAAGCCGGGTTTCATCCAAGTCCTATGTAACACCACAATACGCCCTTCCGCATCTTGGTCGCAAAGACGCCCGCCATCGCGGCAAGTGTGAATTCTCTAGATGGCGAGACGCTCGACCTTGTCGCGCATGGCACGGATCTGACCGGCCAGCTCACTGGCGTCGTTGCTGGTGATGCTGGCAGCGATAACAGGGCGGCTGACGCCGCAGGCGCGGCCGAGCTGGGTCTTGTGCTTGACGTAGACGTAGGGCACGTTCTTGTCCTCAGCGAGAAGAGGGATATCTGCGGAGAGTCAGAATGCTTGATTACTGGGGCTTGAAGGAGGGAACTGACGCAGGAGAATGGCCAAAGGCGAAGTGTCCTATCGCAAAAATTCCGTTAATATAGTTCAGCCATGCAAGGTTGACCCAGAACATACAGCAGCGAGCACGACGAGTTCGGAGACACCACGGTTCAGGGTCTTGGTGGCCTCGTTGGCGCCCTTCTTCAGTTGACGAGCGTGGGTCGCAGACTGGACAAGATCCAAGAGCTCCTGCTCGAGCTTCTTGTCGGCCATGGGCCAAGCTGGCAAAATTGTCAGTAAGAGTACTGTACACCAGCCGAGTCGCGATGCGAATTCCTGCGTGCCCATGGAGATTTCGACGTACCAGCAGATTCAGCCATTGCGGTGGTTGGTAGTATTTCAATCGGGAAAATATCGAAGTCGGTGATTGATAGCCTCAAGGTTCCTTGCGTTGGCTCGCCTCGAGTGGTGATGAGCAGGATGTGAAGTTGAAGGGACAGGGTTTCGTGGACGCTGGCAAGAGGCCAATATCCAGAAGAAATTCGTATCCGAACTTTTTTGAAATGTGGGGTGGTTTCTGACTGGCCGACCCCGAGCCAAACCTTGTTCGGTAATGTCTCGGCTGGACGTTGGTCCGCCCTCCGGTCCTACGTGTAGGTAACGTGCGCCCCTTCCTCCCTCCAGCCACACTGCCAGCAAAACCTTCCGCCAACCAGAGCGCCAACCTCCGACTGTGACCTGAACAAGCAAACCTCGCTAGACTACGGGCATCGAACAGCTCTCATCACAGCTACTCTTCCACCGCGCCCTCGCGATCAGCAATTTCGCAAAGTTTCATACTTTCACCAATATCTTACCGGCTTTTATTACCCTGTTCGACTATTCCAATACCGCCGCGATGCCTTCCGAGTACTGGTACGTCAGCGCGCCGCCTCCTTACTACCAGCGTCATCGAGCTAGGGGCAACGCATCCATCACCCAGGACTGCATCATCTTCGAAGCTTGCCTCTAGCTGCGCAACAGTCTTTAGAATCCCTCATGACGACTAGTTTGGCTAACGCGATTGTGTCTGCAGCCCCGTCTACGCCGTGAGTTTCACTCCGCCCCGAGCCGCCTGCCGACGTCACCTGCTCGCAGGAGATCTGACTCGACGACAACGAGCAACCGCGCCAGCATTGAACAACATTGCTAACATACCATAGCCCTTCTTTGGTGCCATGGGCTGCACCTGCGCCATTGTCTTCACCTGCCTGGGTGCCTCGTACGGCACTGCCAAGTCGGGTGTCGGTATTGCCGCAATGGGTGTCCTTCGCCCTGACCTTATCGTGAAGAGTGCGTCTTTGCCGCCCGCATGCCGTTTCCATACTGATACTTTGTAGACATTGTTCCCGTCATTATGGCTGGTATCATTGGTATCTACGGTCTCGTCGTCTCTGTCCTTATCTCCGATGGTCTGAAGCAGGATCTCCCCCTGTACACCGGTTTCATCCAGTTTGGTGCGGGTCTGTCTGTCGGTCTGGCCGGTCTGGCTGCTGGCTTTGCCATCGGTATTGTCGGTGACGCTGGTGTGCGAGGAACTGCCCAGCAGCCCCGTCTCTTTGTTGGCATGATTCTGATTCTCATTTTCGCTGAAGTCCTGGGTAAGTTGAAACTCTGCTACTTTGCCTCGGGTATTTCGCTGACATTCCAGGTCTCTACGGCCTCATTGTGGCTCTTCTGATGAACTCAAAGGCATCGGCAGAGGTCTCATGCTAAATGGGCGACCGAACCCACGATTACCGGGACACGACCAATGTCGAGTGATCTCGCCATCGGTCGTTCAGTCTACGCGCGAACACGTCGGTCCCGGCATGCGAGCATTGACAAGCAGTCGACAGAACCACGTTCGACTAAAGCAGGGGAGTGGGGGAGCTAGTGATGGGTTGTGGGAGCACGTCGAAGTGCCCTTTGTGCAGATCACGTACTAGCATGGGAAGTTCGAAATGTATACTAGTCAACGCGCATTTTGTAACCTCGCGATAGTGGAAGTGGCATTTCATCATAGACCGAAACGAGGAGTATTGTAGTTCGCCGGCTTTGTAGTATTACATTGCCATGTTTGCCTAGTATGCAGCCCCTATCTGACTGTTTCGGCCTTTCATTACTGGTACGGAGTATCGCAAGTGCGTATGCTGTGTAGAATTATTTGAACTGGAAATGTAACCAACCGTATGCATACATGAGCCGTCTCTACTTTTGATTCATCTCGCCGTTCCACCCATTACCACCATAATCTGTAGGGAGATAAGAAAAAATTTCCCGTGGAAGTATATACATATGGATATGCCAGAATGAATGTCGATATTACATATTTGATTTTAAATCACGTACTGTGAAAGTCAGTCAGTGAGTGATCATGGCGAGGTCGGAAGCGCAACTCACAGGGATGAACAGGTAGGGCACCCGCCTCTCGTATTCCAACCAGGCATCACCATACTTGGTCCTGCAACGATGAATGTCACGCGCGGCGCGGTGAGCAATCATGCAGCAGAAGAAGACGGGGTAGAACCATGGGAAGGGGCTGTTGAACCCCGTAATAAGACCCCAGGACATGGAGAACCAGATGTCGGCGGTGTAGTGGATCTTGCGCGCAAGACCATACCAGCCATCCACAAGGATGGTACCCTGGGGCGTCTGGATGGTCTTTGGGTTCTTGACCGTCTGCCAGGGAACCTGAGGGAAGGTCCTGCGCCAGACGACCTTGCCACGCTCCATGGCACGGAAGCGGTTCTTCTGGCTGTTGCACGAGTCCCAGACCCAGTACCAGAAGAGGTAGGCAGCATAGAAGGCAACCAGTGCATAGCGGTTCCAGCGATACTCGGCGGGATCGTGGTTGGCAAGGTAGATTGTGCAGTGGCAGTAGGAAAGAGGAACACCAGCCAGGTTCCAGAAGATGAGCATGAATCCCCACTTCTCGTAGTACATATCCCAGGTGGTGATGATGAGTTCCTCGCCTTTGGCGCAGGCGTTGGCGTACAAGAAGTGTGCCATGACAACAAACCAGACTTCGCCAGAGACGTAGCCGTACTGATCGTACTGGCGAGCAGCGGCGCCGAGGGAGAGGATGAGGAGGATGTACCAGGGCATGCGAACCTCGAAGAACATCTTGAAGTCGAGGATGCCGAACATGCGAGGGTTCAGCTCGGCGCCCATGAAGAAGTCATAGATAGGGTAGCCGGTCATGCGGTGCTGCTTGCCACGCCATAGGGCGGAGAAGTAGGCGACAAAGCTGACAATGAAGCCGCTGATGATAGCAACCGACAGGAGAGGGCCAAAGTGGTCAATAGCGTTGTACAGAGGCCATGCGCCGGAGAAATGCAGAGTGGCAAGAATGACCAAGGTGGTGTACAGGCTGATGTAGGCGTTGCAGAAGTAAGGCAGCTGCTTGCCGCCCTCGTGGGGCAGCGGCTTTCCGTAGCCAGTCACGCCAGGGAGGAGGCAGTAGCAGGCTCCCTCGAAGACGAGGTAGCTCCAGTACCAGATCCAGGCCTTGGCGTGCGGAAAGGCCCCCTCATAGCAGAGTGCGACAAGCTCAGCGCCGAACTCGAGCCAAGTCTGGCCCTCTGAGCGAGAAGGGAATTTGCCGTCGTAGTACGTGGCACCCACCCACATGTACCACATGAGGATGGGGAAGAAGATCATCATGGCCAGTGTACCGAGCGAGCCACCGAATTCGAACTCGCCAGAGTAGTCGACCTTGGGGTCCTGGCCGGGTCTCCAGCCGTCCACAATGTGCACGTCGGTTGGGACACCCTTGGTGGTGGTGGTCGACTGGGTGGACGAGGCACCGTTGCCATAGGCGTGACCATTGGTTTTGCCATTGGCGTGGCCATTCGAGTTGCCATTGGTGCGAGCGGCGGCAGCCGTAGGCTTGACGGTGGTGGCCTCGTTGTCTGAATCCATGTTCTCGGTGAACTTGGCGGTTCGTCGACGTGTGTTCCGCGCAGGTTTCTCTTGTGCAGCGCTGTTCTCGGCCTCTTCTGACTGACCGCGAGGTACAGATGACTGTCGGCGCGTAGATCGTCGTGTTGCTGTGGGTGTCTCTACCATGCCATCAAAGTGCTCCTTCTTCCTACCAAGTCTGAATCAGCAATGCGCATAGGAGATGTCTTCGTATTCGTAGCCCATTACTCACTTGGGCGTCTGTCGGAGAGAGTAGCGACCTGTCATGATGGGAACGGTGCAGGCGAGGTTGTCGCCTTCTTAATATACCTGATCCAGGCGTGTCCAAAGATGGGAAAGGGGGGGAAGGAAGTGATGCTGTGCCACCAGATCTGGGAAGGGATTCGGCAGCTAGACGCTACACGAAAGGTGCGTTGTGGAGTCTCGCCGCTCGATCTAGATCAACATTGGGTAATTGATTATTGCAGACAACAACATGCGCCAGCACGAGCAATGGTAGAAAGGCTGGGGCAGATTCGCCGCCCAACTTGAGGGTTAGCGTTGGAATGTGGCCAGTGATAGGGTATCACAAGCATCACCGACGCGATGTGGCGCGTCTTCGGGGTAGGGCAACTTTTTTCGTCCGCGACGCGGGATTGGACCGCTGCGGCCCCTTTCCTCGATTTCCCTGGTCCGGTTTTTAATTGCATCTCTCGCATCGGCGCCTTGGCATCAGCTGCAGGTCTCGTTTAGAAGCCCGCTGGGTGGTGGAGTGCGGGTGCTGCGTTTCGCTTTTAATTATGATTCATCAATGATGACAATGAATGTATGGATGGTTTAGTACGTAGGTATCAATCCTTTTTCCATGTTCTTGCGCTCAATTGTGAGGGCTGATGTGGCGTTGGCCCAAGACCGTATTCGTTCCTCGAGTCTGCGTGTTCAAACTTCTGTATCACTGCTATGGCCATTCATACTGACGCTGTGTTGTTTCCCGAGTCCGGCCTCCTTGACCGCTGACTGGAATGGTAGAGGTATCTTAGTGCTACGTATTCTGCACGTGTGATTATGCTAGTACTTCCGAATTAGTATTATACTCAAAGTACCGTGGCGAAACTACTCATTCCTACGTGCGTTGTGGTAGCTTAATATGCAATGAAGCTTGATTTGGGTAAATGTTGAACACATCAGTCTTACGTACTTTATCAATCCCAAGGTTCTGTCAGTCGACAGCAAACTAGTTCAAGAACCGAAGGTAACATTACGAGCATATCAGATGCTGTATTCTGGCAGTCTACCAATGGCGCAAAATATCACATCAATAGCTTGGTGATTTGACCTAGCTTAGTCCCCTGAATCAAAGGAGGGATTAGGGTAAGCAGGTGTGCACGCAGCACATCCGCACATTGACTTCAAGGTAGGTACGTACCAGCGCTTGCAGGCACCACTTGGCACTAACACGACGCCGAGGATCCCTGATTTTGGTGATCAACCTCACGTGTCGAGCTGCAGCACCTTGGATTCGACACTCAACATCTGACGGCTATGCTGTTGACTTAGAAGTCGAAACATCAGCCGGCTCCTCATTTTATGCCCACGGCTCTGGCAACAAAAAAGGCCCTCGACTTTATATCTGAGCGACTTCTCCAAATCTCATCTGCGTTGCGCATCGTTCGACGTCATTTAGATTGCTAGGGGTTCACGATATTGACACCCTTGTCTGCGGGTCCGCCTCCTAATAAGTTAGAACAGCAGCTCAGCTCGCTTTCCCTTCCGCAGCAACCAGTTCGAGTCGAACAGTACATACTCATTGGTACATTCTCACGAACCCATCACGCATCGTACAAGGTGTTGAATGTTGCACTGGTTCTGTAGATCGCCATTACAGCATGTTGTGTTGCGAGGATCACGACGCCCTGTTGCTACCTCTGCGCGTTTCACTCACCTCCTAAACCAGTACCAAGAAACACTTTACCGACACAATGCCAAACGAAAGGAGGGACGGTGCCCTCTATTCGATGGAACCGGCACCGCGACCGTCTGACACGCCGAATCTCGAATCAAGATCTACGCACACCATCCCCGGAGGCATCGATACACTACTTCCACCAGCACCGATCGTCCAGACACCATCCTCGAGGTCGGACATGGATGCGTTTACAACAGAAACAAGAGACTATTGGAACGAAGGGAATCCTCATAACAAGGTGCAATTGCCGCCCGCCGACCTCCCCCGGCTTGACAGCCTCCTCGCGCCCCCGCCGATGCCAGCGAACGAGCGAAGAGAAAGCGACACGTCAACCCGAGCCACCAGCGAGAATCTTGCCGGAGAAACAGCGTCGAGGCGCAGTGTGCAGTTTGCGAGACCGGAGATTCCGGAAGTCACACAACACTCTCAGCGTGACTCCTTTGACGAATTCGACAGCCCCGGGAAAGGCAGAGGTGGCTCCTTCATGTCCAAGATCAAGGCAATGACGGGCGGAGCGAGCAGCACGCAGACACCGAAATCGCCTACAGCCATTCCACATGATTTTGGTGGTCACTCTCTCGCCAATTCACCGGTAGCGACCAGGACCCAAAGAGACCCAGACTCGCTTGCCGAAGGGACATACGACGCAGATGCTGATGCCGAGCTGACAGCGGATGAGCTCAATGTACCCGACGTGGGCCCATCCAAGAGGAAGAAGAAGCGACGCATGCGACGAAGAAAGGAGGACAAAAACGAGCCCTCGACACCCAACCAGTCCAATCACGATGGCGACATCTTCCAAGTGTCCAAACGTCTCTTAAGACGGAGAGCGAGCATGCCTGATACCGCAGCGGTGGCTAATCGTGGCATGTCTGATGATGAAATGGTGCGACATCGCGCCCGTCCTTCAATGTGGCGCTCACAACGCTCGGCGTGGACAGATCAGGCAAATCGTCCCGCAAGTGACGACAACGAAGAGCTCGACTCATCCCTTGCCATGATGCGCCGAAGAGGCCATTCGCGAAGGGCGACTGCGTTAGGCGGTGGTGGCGTTTCAGACGGGGACGCCGTTGCCGGGAGGCGACCTCTCTTTGGTTCAGAAAGGGCATCTACCTTCGGTGCACATAAGTGGAAGCAAGTGAAGAACACGCTGAAGTTGCTCCGTCAGAAGAAGGAGGATCGATTTGACTACTACAAGTCTGCCGAGCTCATGGCCGAGCTTCGTGCTGGCGCCCCCGCAGCACTCATGCTCGCCAGTATGATCCAACGTGACGAGCATGGCAACAAACGTATTCCCGTGCTGCTTGAGCAGTTGAAACTCCGTGTTGTCGACAGCTATCCCGACGAGACTGAAGACAGGAGCGACAGGCATTGGCACTTCAAATTCGAGTTGGAGTACGGCAGCGGCCCCAGTCGCATGAGCTGGACCATCACCAGGTCGCTGACAGACCTCTACAATCTCCATTTCCGCTACAAATGGAAGTTGAGGAACGAAAAATACAAACCAGGTCGCATTGAGACAGGTGCGCGTCTGAAGCAGCCCAAATTCCCTTGGGCTGCTTTCCCTTACATGCGCTCGGCGCGGGGGAAAAGGGACATGGATGAAAGTAGCTTGGATGAAGGCCAGGCTGGTGAAGCGACCGATACGACTCCAGGCCATACTGTTGCTGCCACGCCTATCCCCGAAGAAAGGTCCCAGCTGGGAGTCAGTGATTCCGAAGTACCAACGCCAGCCAACGCTCGAAGACCATCAAGGCTGAATGTTCTGGGCATGCACAGACGGTCAACAGGCATCACGGACCCAGGGGAGATGTCCAACGCCGAGGGCCGAGACGGTCTGCTGCCGCCAGCTGTTGTTCGCCAGCGCTATGTCGAGAAGCAAAGGCGGATTTTGGAAGAGTATTTGTCCAATCTGATCCGCTGGCTCATGTTCCGAGCGGACAGCAACCGTCTCTGCCGCTTCCTGGAACTCTCCGCGTTGGGTGTCCGCCTCGCAGCTGAAGGAAGCTACCACGGCAAGGAGGGATACCTTCACATTCAGTCCTCGAAAGGACTTGATTTCCGCCGAGTGCTTACACCGGCCAAGATGATTAATCGGCACAGCAGCAAATGGTTCTTGGTGCGGCAGAGTTACATTGTTTGCGTCGAATCACCCGAGAACATGAACATCTACGACGTGTACCTTGTCGACAACAAGTTTGGTATCATGTCGAAGCGGAACGCGCTCAAGTCTATTAGTGGCACGAAGCCCAAGGTGATGGACTTGACCAGGGAGGCGCCACCAGACACGCATCATACATTGACTCTGAAGACTTCAGAACGCCAGGTGCGTCTGTGGGCAAGCAGCCCAGGTATGATGCGAGATTTCGAGCTGTCCATCAACGAGATGCTACGTCAGACCATCTGGTACCAAAACAAGCGTTTTGACAGCTTCGCGCCGGTGCGGCAGAATGTTCATGCGCAATGGCTGGTCGATGGCCGCGACTACATGTGGAACGTTTCGAGGGCCATCAACATGGCTCGCGATGTCATCTACATCCACGACTGGTGGCTGAGCCCGGAACTGTACATGCGTCGGCCAGCGTGTATCAGTCAAAAATGGCGGTTGGATCGGCTGCTTCAAAAGAAGGCCCGTGAAGGCGTCAAAATCTTCATCATCATCTACCGAAACGTCGAGGCCGCAATCCCCATTGACTCGGAGTACACAAAGTTCTCGCTGCTCAACTTGCACCCGAACATCTTCGTGCAGAGATCGCCGAATCAATTCAAAAAGAACCAGTTCTTCTTTGCTCATCACGAGAAGATCTGCATCGTCGACCACGATGTTGCTTTTGTGGGTGGTATTGATCTGTGTTTCGGTCGTTGGGATAGCCCTCAGCACCCCATTACAGATGACAAGCCTACAGGCTTCGAGGCAACCGATCAACCAAGAGACGCGGACAACTGCCAGCTGTACCCCGGCAAGGACTACTCGAATCCTCGTGTGCAGGATTTTTACAGGCTCAACGAGCCTTACGAAGAAATGTACGATCGCCATGTTGTTCCAAGAATGCCTTGGCACGATATCTCAATGCAGGTAGTCGGTCAGCCTGCGCGTGACCTGACGCGTCACTTTGTCCAGCGATGGGATTATCTGAGGCGCGGACGCAAACCTACCAGGCCGCTTCCTTTCCTGTTGCCCCCACCCGAAGCCAAGATGGAGGAGCTCGAGGAGCTGGGCCTCACTGGCACGTGCGAAGTTCAGATCTTGCGCTCAGCCACCACCTGGTCGCTCGGCATAGAAGAGACGGAGCACAGTATTCAGACGGCATATATTAAGATGATCGAGGACTCGGAGCACTTTGTCTACATGGAGAACCAGTTCTTCATTACCAGCACCGAGATCTACAACACACGTATCACGAACCGGATCGGTGATGCCTTGGTCGACCGAATCATCCGGGCGCACGAGAATGACGAGGACTGGCGATGTGTCATCATCATCCCGTTGATGCCTGGCTTCCAGAACACAGTCGACGAGCAGGAAGGTACTAGTGTACGATTGATTCTCATGTGCCAGTACCGCAGTATTTGCCGCGGTGAGCATTCCATATTCGAGCGCCTCCGCGCCAAGGGTATCGACCCCGAGGAATACATCAACTTCTACTCGCTCCGTCAGTGGGGGATCATGTCGAGTGGCAACATGGTCACTGAGCAGCTGTATATCCACGCCAAGACTATCATTGTCGATGACCGGGTGGCCTTGATTGGTTCAGCCAATATCAATGAGCGGTCAATGCTGGGTAGCCGCGATTCAGAATGTGCCGCCATCGTCAGGGATACCGACATGATGTGGTCGACCATGGGTGGTCAGCCTTACCAAGTTGGACGATTTGCTCATACCCTGCGCTTACGTTTGATGAGGGAACACCTTGGACTGGACGTCGACGAGATTCTTGCGCAGGAACGCCAGCATGAGATGGACAAGGAGACCTTTGAGAACGAGATGAACGAGATTTACGCTGAAAACACTGCTGAGCCCCAACCGAGGCAGCGTCCTCATGCACCGCAGCGCCCGTCAAGCTTCAACCATGAACTTGACATGGAGCAAGCCGAAGCAATGCATGAGTCGGATTCGTCTTCTGAAAGGGACCGGGAAGTTGACCCACGTGTCGAAAACCTGACTCACCAGATGGATGTGCAGGGTCATGGACAGGACAACTGGCGGGCGGCTGAGAAGACCGGTGCAGATCAAGGACGGGATACTGTGATCATTAATGGGCGGGAGGTGCTCGTTCACAACGTCGGCACCGAGGGCAAGGGCTCCCTACAGCAGCCCAACCAGGCGCACCAGACTCTGCCGATGCCTGACAACAGGTATCTCGGCCCATCAGAGGCTGGCAGCGAGGCGCTGCCACCAATGCCCCCATTCAACCGGCGCACAACTGAACAGTTGGGCTTGCCCCGGCCCGCACTACTACCTTCGCTGCCTGTCGTCGACGACACCGATATTGGCGGCCCGCCTGTGCACACGGATCCTGTGACTGGACGCCCGATGAGCGGTGTTCTCCATCCCATGGCAGCTGACATCAAGCCAGCGCACATTGACAAGGACTGTATGCGTGACCCCTTGGACACCGACTTCATGGAGGAAATCTGGCACCGCGTGGCTGTGAACAACACGACACTGTACCGCCGGGTCTTTCGCTGCATGCCGGACTCTGAGGTCAGCAATTGGGCCGAGTATACAGAGTACACCAATTATGGCAAGAACTTCCGTGCCATGATGGAGGGACGCAGACCAAAGAGCGAGAGTGCCGAGGTTAACAGTGAAGGGAATGCGGCGCACGGGCCCTCGACATCGGGTGCAGCTGGCGTCGCGGCACCTGGGCCCGGTGTTGCCATTCAGGCTGCTGAGAATGAAATTCACAAGATCCCCGAGAAGATTGCGGACAAGACCCCTGGTGTCAATTCTGAGCATCAGCAAGCTCATGGCCACATGCCTCACATCATTACGCCCAGCGCCCCTGAAACGGCCGAGCTGAATGAAAAGCCGCCGATCGAGGCCGAGAAGGCCAGGCCGACTCTCGAAACAGGAGTTGCGAATGAGAAGCAACGTGCACCCGAGGCGTCCTCACCCGTCTACTCGCAGGGAGACGTTCCATTCCCAGCCATGGAGAACGGACAGACAAAGTTTCTGGAGCCACAGATTAGCAACAAGGCGCGCGAGCGTCGGACCACATTTTCCACTCTCGAGAAACCCGCGTCTCGGGAGTCTGGTTCCAACTCAAACCTCCTCGGTCGCGTCGGCTCTGTGAGGAACAGGCGAAGAGCCAACACTAAGAATAGCCGACGTGGCTTCACCTTGGACGACATGCCCACACGTCAGGAAGCTGAAGTGCTGATGAACATGACGCAGGGCCACCTGGTGCAGTTTCCGTACAACTGGTTGGCGACGGAGGAGACCAACGGCAACTGGGGCTACCAGGTCGATGGTGTCGCTCCTTTGGCTATCTAGTGAGTCTTGCTATTGTGCCGAGAGATGAGATGTGTACTGACGGCCCGCAGTGATTAAGCTTGGTTTTATCCTTTCTGGCAAGGCGTTTCAAAAATGCATGGCACGGAGTTGCTTGAGGTAATACAAGGCATTGTTCGCTATGCATTTGCAGGGGCACGCTCGATATTTCCTTCACACTGTGTAGTCTTCGTACAAAGATAATATGGTACTACAAAGGGATTGGTACATCTATTTATACATGAACACACCGCTTGTGCGAGATATGACCCCGATTCACATCAAACACGCTCGCTCGCCCAAATGGCCCCTCTGCAGCCAGCCCGTATGACGTTGGTGAGTAGCCAATGCGGCTCAGCCTTCTTGGCGTCGTGCTCGACCGCATGGTCCAGATGCTCCAGCTCCTCGTCCCGTATCCTCCTCAGCGTCTGGATCAATTCTTCCACCTCGCTCCCCACGTCGTACCCCTCCTGCTTCCACGTCGCGATCATCTCCAGCAGCTCTCTGACCTGGGCATTGTAATGGCCCCCAATCTCCGTCTCTACGGCTTCCGTGCACGCCATGGCCGCCTCGCGCCCCATGACGGCCGTGCCCCAGCCCAAGCCCGTGGCCATGACGCTCCACAGGGGATACAGCGCCGTGGGTCGTACTCGGTGTTTGTGGAGGAGGGCGTTGAAGGTCTTTAGATGCGCGGCTTCCTGCTCGTACATGTGGGACATCAAGGGGCGAAGATGCGGATGTCTGTTCGTTAAGGGAGGTGTCTGCGCAGTGTAGATGAGAGTAGCCGCTAGTTCTCCTGCTTGGTTGACACGAAGCTGTTCCGGTTAGTACCTGGTCGGACGAGTAGTTATGTCTCATCAAGCCAATGAGATAGATTTAATGGAGAGAGAGCTGGGCAGACGTACAGCTGACGACAGATATTCCCGTTGCTCCTTTGTCAAAGGTTTGAGCTTCTTGGGAGGCTGCTCGGAGGGAGACGTGCTACCGGTCGATAGGCAGCGTACAATTGCGGGACAGCGCGCTTTCGCGCACGAGAGTCTCATGGACCTCGCGATACAGAGTGTCGGCGACATGGCGTAGGTCAAGCCTAGAAAGCACGCGAGTGCTTTAACTGTTGAAAATTGTAGTCGTAATTACATGGACTGATATTCTCGACTTGGAGATGGATGACATGACGATGCCATGTTCGGATTTCACTCGGCCGAAAGTATGCGCCGGACGGGAGATTATCCGAAAGCCGGATATGCGCCGGCGCGCGCCTACTTCGACTCGCTCCTTACTTTCTGAGAGACGAGGATTTACGTCTTGCACAATAATATAACCTCCTGTTCAGATTTTCTCCTTGTCCTCCTCGTCGATCGAACAGCAACGCTTCTTGCAGCTCTTGAAGCGTCAGCGTGCACATCGCGTATAGCCCCTATAGACTTTCGGATTCGACGCCATTACATTGTCCCTTTACAAATCCCAACATTAGGTCACAGCAGAATGTCAGATATCGATAACGACCTTCTCGACCTTGCTGGTGGCGACTCCGGAGACGAGGGTTCCATCAGCGAGGGTCGCGACCGATCTGAAACTCCCCGGCGCGATTTGAAAACGACCTCGTCAAAGAAGACTTCACGCAGGTCACGGCAAGATGCTTCCGAGGATGAAGGCGAGGCGTAAGTCACCACTCGGCGACCGAGGGCCCACCGTCTATTGTGACCAAGCGACTCAACTCTGTATAGTTTTTCTGAGCCTGGCTCGCCCAATTCTTTGGCCTCGGCTGCCATGGACGAATCTGACTCAGATGAGGAGCCTCCTGCGCGAACGCGCGCACCACCCGCAGCAACTGGCGGCGAGGATGAGAAATATCCTGTCGACGGCAAATACGTCAGCCATTCCGAAAAGGCGCGGATTGAAGCGTTGCCTGAGCTCGAGCGCGAACAAATCCTTGCTGATCGAATGATGGAGATTGATCGACAACGTCAGAACCGATTACTTCGACAGATGGTCGAGAATGAGGAGCGGAAGCAGTCGCAAAAGCACAAGAAGAGAAGCGCCGACACTGCAGAGCTCGAGGACGAGGATGACCGGAAGACCACGACCAGGCAACGGGTTGGCAAAGGGGAATCTGCGATGGATACGCTGCGCCGGGCCCGGCTGGAGAAGCAAAAGCGCAAGGAGAATCAAGAGCGAAGACGGGACTCGTACTCGCCTAGGAGAAGATCGCGATCGCCAGATCGAGACGCGAGCGACGACGATTTCGTGAGGGGGAGTCGGTCGCCCGAGCCAGAAGCTACGCGTGACGTGCCGCCTCCTGACCTGAGGGACTTTGAACGCGTGCGACTCGGCAGGAATGAATTTTCACAAGTGTGCCACACGCCTGGCTTCGAGGACGCCATTACTGGATGTTACATCCGCCTGTCTGTAGGACCGCATCCAGAGACGGGCATTGAGCAGTACCGCATGGCCCTGATCAAGGGGTTCACGACGAGCAGGCCATACGCTCTCAATGGACCTGGCGGATCCTTTATCACGGACCAGTACGTCCGCGCAGCGCATGGCAAATCCATCAAGGAATTCCCATTCATCGCCGCGTCAAGCGGCAAGTTCTCGGATGCCGAGCTGCACCGGTACACAGTCACATGTCAGAACGAAGGTTTGACATTGCCGACCAAGCTGTTCCTGTCCGACAAGGTGGATGAGATCAACAATCTCATCAGCCACAAGTGGACGAATGAGGAGATCAAGCAGCGTCTGAACCGTAGAGCGGAGATGAAACGCCGCTTCGACCCTGCCGAGCGCCAGCGTGTGGCGCAGAAGCTGGAGGAGGCGCGGGAGAAGGGTGACGACGAGAAGGCGGACGCGCTGCAGGAACAGCTCGACAACATGGGTGCCCAGCGACTGGCCTTTAGGACGAGCCTGGCGCCCACCAAGTCGACCACCACGCAACAGCACACGGAGCAGGATCGTCTCGCCGAGCGCAACAGGGAGAACCGCCGGCTCAACGCCGAGGCGGTGCGCAAGGCGCAGCTGAAAGAGAAGGCACGGATCCGCGAAATCGAGGCGGCGATTGAGCGCGGCGAGATCGTGGAGGACGACTCGTCGCGTCGGGTGCGGACAAAGGCCAAGTTCATCCACAACGTCAATGAGAAGGCCGAGCAGAAAGCCGGAAGCAACGGAGCGACACCCACAAACGGCAGCACGCCCAGTAATAATGGCACCAAGTCGATGCCCGCCCACCTGGCGAAGCTTCAGTTGGAGCAGCAGACGGAAGCCAAGGGGGTGCCGACCATTCACAAGCCGCTCATGGATGATGATGTGATCGGGTCGCTGGATTTGGACATTGATATTGATATTTGAGGCGTTATGCAGGTTCCGGCGCTTGGGGCCCTTGGGCGGGCTACTGCTACTTATACAGCAGGATGTCTCTTGTCTCCTTCTCGTCTCTTTTACTGCGCCCAGGCTAGACTAATCAAAAGTCGACCGCGACGAACCTCCCGCCCCGCGTCTCGTTTCCCAGTGTCGCCGAGGTGGTTGTGGCATCGGGGGGGTGCCCTGGTCATCCTCACCCTTTCCGAACCCCAAAGCCGTGCAGCCAGCGAGGTCCCATTCTCCGCTCCCACCGGCCACAACCTTCATCTCACCCCGTCTGCGCATCGCTATACACAATGGTGCGGTCAAAGTGAGTGGCAGCATAGATGTCACCGTTCTTGTCAAAGTTGAAGTCGTCCACGGCCGAGGCAATGCTGGACGCGTTTGAAGACGGGTTCCGGCCTGACGTCGGATTCCTTTCTTGTTGCCGTTCAGGGCGATGCGGTGAAGCTGTTGTCCGTCAAGTTGTAGAAGGAGACGCGGCTGCGGACCGAGTCGGCGGTCAGGACGCCACTGGGCACGGCGCCAAGGTCGTTCAGGAGGCCAGTGTCCGCCAAGAGGGAGCCGAGATGCGCGATCTCGACATTTTCGTCATTGCCCAGGTGGGGGCATGTGACAGTGTACAGGGCGCCGGAGCCGACGACCATGTCAAAAGGGGCTTCCGGTGGGGTTTTTGCCGCCGACGACAACGTAGACACGCTCCCCGCCCGCGCTGGCCGCTTCGTCGGGGATGATCTGGTCAATGCCGAGGAGGACGTCCAAGTCAGGCGCGGAGGACCCCGGGTTCTTGACAATGTACGCTTCTGGGCCGCCGGTGAGTCGCGTGGCGAGGACCGAGGACGTGGAGGGGCGGATGGCCATGTTCTCGAAGAAACCTGGCGCCGGGAGAGAGCCTAGTTCCCTGAGGATGGGGGGATTTGGCGCTTGGATGGCCGCGGACGAGAAGCCAAAGGGCCACAGAAGAGCGGTGGTGACTAGGCTTGTGAGAGCCATGGCTGTTGGTGATCTGGTGGTGTAGATGGGTGGTGCTGGTGCTTGCGGGAGTAGGTGCCGTTGGATCGAGTGTGATGGTCTATTGTTGCAACAGGGCGACGCGATTGCTCTCATATACAAACATCTCGCTGCACCTCCATGGCTCCGCGCTTTCGTTACGAAGATACGTAGCACAGGATCATGCGAGCAGCCTCGTCGTCCTTGTCGTCCTAGCAATGTGGATCGCTGGTGCAAGTCCACAGAGGTCAGCCGCATTGTAAGCATCACACTCTAGTCTATATCCCTGCAATACGTAGGAAACGAAATAAAAGACACAAGACCTCCGCTGACTACAGTGATACTTCTAGAAATCAAGGACTGACAATTACTCTATTCAATGGTCTTATGGATCAAGTTACTCCTGATGATCCTCCAGATCGCCAAACCAGTCAAGCTTCCCCTGCCAGACTCTGACGAGGAAGACACCCATTGCCAACAACTTGACGACCATGACCTGCCGTGCCATTTCAATATGGCTCCTGGTGCGAGCCCATCCTTGCAGCTTCGTCGCCCCCGCCTGCTCGTAGCGATCGCATACCTGGCTGAAGAGCAAGGGATCGTCCGTGATAACACCATCAATCATCCTCCCATGCACCGTCGACGTCTGCTCCGGTGCTAGCAACGACGAGGTCTCGTTCTGCGCGATGCACCACTCCATCCAGCGCTCCTCGTTCACCGTCCAGGCCAGGACGGGTCGATCTCTCTCCTGCGCTTCCTGCATGAATCGTCTGCCTCCCTTGCCCACAAGCACCTTTTGGAAGATGTTGAACCCAAGATTGGGTATCGACAGAAAATGGCGTGAGTAAGGCAGGTAGAAGGAGATGTGCACCATGGGGTACTCGGGCAGATGTCGCCGGGCCGCTTTGAGAAAGACGGTATTCCACAAGCCCAGGACGACGCGATGGTGCCAGGGTTCCTGTTGGGTTGGGGTCGCTTCGCGCAAGGTCCTCTCTACTGCGCGGAGCAAGTCGTCTGCGTCGTCGTCGACCTGCTTCTCCTTAGCTTTTTTTTTTTTTTTTTTTGCATTCGTCTCGGGCATTCAGGGAGGAAGAGACGGCGTGCGCCTGCTTACCTTGACATCCAGGAGGATCCAGAGGCGCTCCATACCCGGGCGATTCATCAGGTCGAGCAGGTCGCGCAACCGTGGCATGCCCTCGTTCTTGTCCCGGAGGGTGCGCAACGTGGCGAGGAAGTCCCAGTTGCACTCGCTGATCCTCATGTCTATCCCAAAGCATCGCTTCAGCGTCGCATCCTAGAGCGAACTGTTAGTTTTCCTCGTCAATGCACAGGTTCGTCGTCGTTGTCTCACATGTGAAAGCACCACCACGCCATCTTTGCTCAGATGGAGATCCGTCTCAATCGCATGGGCGCCCACGTCTACAGCACCGCGGAAAGCGCCCATGGTGTTCTCCGGGAAGGACGCTTTATACCCTCTGTGCGCAATGTTCTGGGGACACGAGACTCTCGTTCCCTTGCCCGGCGCAGGGGCCTTCAGGCAGGGTGCTTTGGTCGCGCCGTCAGCCACTGATGTCTGTTACCCAAGAGTGTCCGTCAAGTAAGTACCTTTGGGAATGGGCTGCGGCGCCCTCTGAAGGAGCTGCTTGCATTCGACCGCCATCTGATGGTCGTCTGTAGTAATACGATCTGGAAAGGACTGTACGCGCACCACGAGTGACTACACCGCTTCGAGCGATGGGACGAGAGGCGTTCGGATAGGGAGAGATTTGCGACAGTCTGGTCCTTCGTCAGGCTGTGGTCAGTGCCGTCTACTGTCTACTGTCTACGACTCCCTGGGCCGTTTTGAGGGACCAGTCACCTCGTGGCATTCGGGGCGCGACGATGCGGAGTTGACCTTTTCTCGGGGCCGGGCCGGGTCTCGGATTTTGCCGCGTCAGCAGGAGGCACGTTCTCCAACGTGTGGTGTCAATAAATGCAATGCAGCTTTGAAATCTCAAAAGGAAAGCATTCTTCCGTTGCCACTGTCTTCATGTTACATTCACAGTAGATGACTGCAGACTGGAGTGGGCGGACGGACCTCTGAGGAGGAAGTTCAACGCCACATCACCACTGACGAGCCGGACGTAACATTCATCATTCATGTTCACAAGTAATTCTTTTCTTTTGTTCTACTATTACGTACTTACGTATCACAACTTTGACCGGACGAGATTGTCCGAGAGGATTACCAGTCCCACGGTAGTAATTAACGTTAATAAAGGCTGCCTCTTTAGTCGCCGCGAGCTGGACACAACCCCTACATTGAATGTACGCTGCGCCCGCCTCACAACACATTGGACGTACACTACTCCGTACATGACATGGGGTTGGACGCTACGAGAACGAGAGCTCAAGTGTCAGGAAATAATGGCCAACGCCACTAGACAGGCTACCATGACTCGACTGCAGATCAACAGACGATTGGAGCCCTCTGAGCGATGCCAGTGACCGCTTCTTGCGCCTGGCCATGAAGCTAATAATTATTCAGCTTAGGCTTTTCCAGATGCGCAACTTGTCGCTATACGTATGAGATTCATGTTCGTTCGTTTCTGGAGAAAAACCCCGAGCCAACCCTGCTCTAGCGTCCAGCCACCGCAGGGAACATACCCCAATGCTATGACCATCTACGTGCTTGTCTACACCTCAGGCACGTAGTCGCGACAATGCGCTCGACCAGACTCGAACGATGAATTTCGAACACTGGCTGGCACCTTGGTCTCGTGTGAGGTTCTATTGGGAGACATTCCAGGTCCACACCCAGGAAAGGCTGACGGCTGTCGTCGTGATGGGGCTCGGGGGGCTGCCGACTGACTGGACTGACCCCAACAACAGGGGAAATACCTCTCTCCTCCCCGGTCGGTATGTCACTGACTGACTCGAGTGCGCGCCCGGGCTGGGACGGCTGACCCGCGCCAGCTGCAAGAGGAATTCCATCGACTAACAGAGAGGGATCTACATGTGAGGCCCGCTTGTGCCTTCATGTTGTGACCTGTCAGCTGTCAACACCTCAAGTCAGGTCCCAGGGGCCTGCTCCGATCGACCGCCAATTGCAAATGCAGACTCCATTTCATGCCCCCCGTACTTCTCCGTACGAGTTGACGGGGTCGCACGTACATATTTTCAATCTGTTCGGGTCCCAGGAGAAGATCGGCGCCGGGTCCCTGGGTTCGGGACATGTATAGATACACCAGACCGTTCCCTACCTGCCATGGTCTGCTCCTCTCCATGATTTCCTCTCCTGTATGATCCATCGATCACTTCTGATCGCACCATACGTTTATCGCGGTAGTTGAACAAGAAGTACACACAGGAGTACTATACCCTCCACGCCCGCCAAGGCCCAACCTGCCCGCCATGCGTCGCTCCATGGACGTTGACGCGAACGTATGTGTCGCTGTGACGCTGGCGTTCGCGACTCTGTTCACCGTGGCCCGGTTCTGGGCGAGATACATGACCAAGGTCAAGCTCTGGCTGGATGATTGGTTCGCCCTGGCGGCCTATGTGAGTATCCACGTTCGGAGCCACGGCCATGTGCCTCCCGTGCTGACCCAACCCAACCCAGATCACGGGTGTAGGATTTTCAGTCCTCATCGTCGCATGTGAGTACCTGCTCCCTTTTTGCGAGCGTCTAGACGGATGTGTGCTGACTATCCCTCCCCCTTCCTCAGGGACCGTCATCGGAGGCCTGGGCCAGGAGATTGCGACCCTCGACATGTCGTCCGACGAGGCCATCAAGCGGTCGTCCATCTTCGTCCTGCTCATCGAACTCTTCTACGCCTTCTCCCTCTTCTGCTCCAAGTTCTCCATCCTTGGCATGTACTGGCGCCTCTTCAGCACGTCACCCATCCGCCTGCCCATCCAGGTCCTCGCCGTCGTGTCCCTCATCTGGGTCATCATCCGCACGTTCATGACCATCTTTCACTGCGTGCCCCCGCAGGCCTTCTGGGACCCGTCGGTCAAGAATGCGCGGTGCGATATCGACAACTCCAAGTTCTTCTTTGGCACCACGCTCACCCATCTGCTGATTGACGTGGCCATCCTCATGCTGCCCGCCATACAAGTGAGGCAGCTGAAGCTGCGGACGGGCCAGAAGCTGGGCGTGGTTGGGCTGTTCATGTTTGGTGCTGTGTAAGTCACCTTTTCCTGCTGGGACATATGTGTTTGTTCCCTGCTGACCGACGCTTCAGTGTCTGTGTGGCAGCCGTCGTCCTCCTCGTCGCGGCGGTACACTTGGACAGCCATTCTCCCGAGATGCCCTATGACATGATCACCATCATGATTCCAGCGACCATCGAGGTCAACTTCGCCGTTGTCTCGGGTAAGGCCATCCTCTCCATGCATACCTGTTCAGCGTCCATCATACTAACGCCTAGTAGCCTGCCTCCCTACGATACGCCCCGTCATCCAACGCCTCGTGCCCAACTCAGCCCTCGCCTCGGGCGGCCGGAGCAGCACCAACAACGGCGGCGCGCGGACGCGGACGGGCACGGGCACAAATGTCAAGCTCCGCACGCTGGCGACCGCCTATGAGCTCGAGGACGACAGCTCCACCAAGAACTTTGCGGACCGCAACTACAGCTCCAACGGCATGCGTTATGCTGACGCCGAGACGGGCAGTTCTGGGTCCAACGAAGACGTGTCGCGGCCGGGGCCGAGGACGGTCATCGAGGCGGGCCCGGACGATGGGCAGACGTCGACTCGCAGCGGACAGCCCGAGGACGGCGGCATACGGGTCAAGAACGAGATGAGTATTTCGTACGAGTCCAGGTGATGTGAAATGGAAGTGCACCGACAAGATGGTAAGACAGTAGTACATGTATAGTTAATCTGAAGAGTACTGTATCACGAACGGGTGGCAATGGGGTGAACAGGATAGCGGTAGAACTGTACTGAGCCTCTAGCAATCCCACGCACTCTGTAATACGCAGACATAAACAAAGGATATCGCGCACCGTGGTATCAAGCAGGTATATCCCCCTGTCAAAGCATCATGTCCCGTCCGTTCGCTCGCCAGTGACAGCTAGAAGCTTGCTGTGAGCGGGAACCCAAAAAGATAGCCATCAAGCGCATCAAACGCAAATTCATCCTTGCCCGTCGTCGCGGGAAGCATATTCCCACCACACACATCCACAGGGCCACCGCCACCACCACTGCTCAGGCCCAGCTCCGACGGCGCAATATCCTCGCTTGAACTCAGGCTGTCGCCGCTCAGACTCTGCGGCGGCGCGGCAAAGTCCCCCCCGAGGCTAAACGTGCCCAGGTCCCAGGAATCCGGCGACCAGTCCGTCGCCGTCGTCGCCGTCGCGGCGACTGAGTGTTGCGGTGGCACAGCGTCGGCGGCGGGGAAGCCCCGTCCCCCGTAGATGGCGTCGTACACATTGTTCAGCCCACCGTCGAGGCTGCCGAGCAGGACCTCCCAATCTGCTGCGTTGACTGGTGTCGCGGCGTTGAGACCGGCGCCGGATAAATGGTGATGTGATTTCGAGTGGGACGACGGCGGAGGCGGTAGCATTGTATGTCTTGGGGGCGAGGGTTGACGAGACTGGCTCGGTGTATTGCTCAAAGACAGGTAGTCGAGGTTGGTATGCGAGCGCGAGCTGGATCGCTTGAGTGCCGGCGGGTACGATGAATCGCGCAGGGATGTGTTGGGCGTGACGCTATCGAATGACTGGCGTGACGGGCTGCGACGGAACCTGGGCCGCGACTCTTCGAGTTGAGGCATCGTCATGCGGCGCATCCGTTGTTGTTGCTGGAGCAAGTCGGTTTCCGTGGCCGAAGCAGCAGCACGACCAGGAGCAGGAGCAGCAGCGTCTGTGCTCTGCGTGGCGGGCGGCTGTGAAGACGAAGACTTGCGGCGACCCTGCGTCAGGGCTGGCGATGTCTTTCTCGAACTTGTAGTGGTGGTGGTGGTGGTGGCTGGCGATCCTCGCGATGGAGGCGGCATAGCTGTGCCAGATGGCTCGACGTTGACGAGTCGGCTCGCGATGCGCCTCAGGTCCCAAGCTCCCGGTGCCTTTTCCTTGTCCACAATCTTGAGCACGCCGTTGACGAGCCTCTCGTTGTCGCGGATAAGCTTGCTCTCGCGCTTCAGGTCAATTGCCTGGTACAGCAACGTCATGCCGCACACGAGCAAAAGGTCGTGCTTGTTGAGGCAGAAGGAGAAGATCATGTTGCGCTCCTCCAACAGTTGCACAATCTGCACAATGTGCTTGCTCGCATTGCTGATGGCGAGTAACGCCGGCGCCGCCTTGTGGCCGAGCGTCGAACCTACCGCAGGGCGATAGATCAGAATGCGGATAAAGTAGTACGCCAACGCCAGCAGAGGAGACCGACTCCCCGTCACGTCCGTTGACGGCTTGTCTTGCACAAAGTTGAGGCGCAGGTGGCTGGGCAGCTCGTCGTACCACATGTCCAAGTCGACGTCCATGGCTTCCATCTGCTGCAAGGACAGCTCGTGGGACGGCGCGGCTGAGTAGTTCTTCTCCAACACGCGAGCGAGAATGCGAGCGGCTCTGAACAGAGCCAGTGCACTCGAGATGCGGGTAGACTCGCCGGGGAGGCTTGGCTGGAAGCCCTTCTCGGTCACGTACTCGTCGTCAGCGTCGGTGGGATACTCGGCCTGGATGTCGTCGTCCCTGAGAAGTTTGGGCAGTCCGAGCGTAGCTGCCGTGAAGCTGGCCTTTTGTTAGCTGACAAGCGCGCGAGTATTGGGCAAAGGGCAATAGGGCCACACTTACCAGTCGAGAGTATACAACGTCCAGAACACCTTTTTGCGCGTTTCAATGGTCAACGCACCAAAGGAGTACCGCTTCTGACTCTGATGCAGACCGAGTCTATGTGAAAGACTGACCGCGATACCCTTGTAGTGCTGTATCCTCTTGTAGTCGGCCCGCATGATGCAGTAGAGAAGCGCCAGGGTCAGACATTGCAGTGCGTTCATGGTGTTCTCCATCGAGAGCAGCTCCAGCGCCTGTGTCCACTCCCTCTCGCAGGCTGCTACCTGGGCGAGGTCGGGCATCGAGTCCGAGAGTCCTGCAATGCTGAATACGAGGTAGAGCTGTGCCGTCTTGTAACCATTCTTGATTTTGGTCGGGTCCGCGATGAACTCCTCGTAGAGACGTAGGAACGTCGGCTTGTGCAGGATCGGGAAGAGAGGCGCCCATTCCTGGAAGAAGACATTGACAGACCGATCCGAGAAGAGCCGTGGGGGAGCCCCTGGTGGACACTCTTCCGTGTCGACGAGCAAAGGCTGCGTGCCTTGTATATGCAAGAATGCCTCCGGGTTGAAGTCAGAGCAGGTCTTGCCCGTCTCCGCGACTTTACGTTTGAACAACTCTGTCAAGAGATCAGTATGATAGGACTAACTGTGTGAAATGTGTGGTTTGTCGTACCGATGAAAGCTCTGCCACTTGAGTGACCCATCAAGTACGAGTCCGAGTTTTCCACGCCCAGCAGTAAAGGCGAGGCCTGCACCCTAAACGTGTCCTCCTTCAATGGCAGGGGCAAGGCGCGGTCCGGTGTCAGCCCTGGGACCGACGAGTGTGATGTATTCGAGAGTCGCCGCCTGTTGCCATGCATTTTGCTCAGCATGTCAATCTTCTCATCCTTCTCGTCCAGCAGGTCCTTGAGCTCCCTGACCTCGGTCTCGAGCGCCCGCACGCGCTCCTCCAGCGACTCTGTGTACCCTCGTGGAAAGGCCCGCCGGCTCAGTTTGTCGCTCGTGCGGCACTCGAAGCCGACGCTGGCGCATTGTGTGCAGGTCGGCCGCACGCCGTCGCAGCGGATCTTTTTGGAGCGACATCGGTCGCATGCCTGTGCAATACGGCTCTGTGCGCTCTGCCCCACCTTGATGACCTTCATAGGCAGAATGCCTGGCATGATGGGCAGACTGGCTCGGCGCAGAGTAGTATTACTCTTGTCCAGGAATCAGATCTCTTGAGGGTGTTGTTGGTGTTGCCGTCGTCGTCGCGTGGCGTATCGCTGCTGACTGCGGGGGGCCTTGGGGGCCGGGGTTTGATGTGGTGCTGAGCTATTTGTGTGCAGCCGAGAGTTTCGATCAATTATTTCACGAAATGAACTAAGTACTCGGTCGCGCAATGTCCTGCGGTGCGTACTGATCAGGATGAAGGTGAAAACTGCAGAGGATAGTTGTCGAAGGCGACCGGGGGCGATGTTGGATGCAAGGACTGGACTGGAGGGCAGGCGTCACAGCAATAGTAAAACTGTACGAGTACGTACTGTGTACGCTGATGAAATGAACCAGCTCGACGGGACTGCGGTGAAGATTCCAGGCCCATGCGTGCCCCATTTGATCCCCGGACGGGGTTCTATGGGCCGGGTGTGGGAGAAACCTGGGGCTGCGGAGACACCTGGATCCAGCCTTGGACACGCAGTCCAGTTGCCAGTACGTCCCGGTCAATCCCGGGTGCCTGTCATCGTACGATGCTCGTTGACAAGCTTTCAGCCTGCACGCGCCTGAATCGTGGGGTAGTGGGACTTGTTGATGTAGATTGTGGTGGACCGACTGCTCCCGAATCTTCTCACTCGACGTGATGCCGAGCACGTACTTCGGCAGCCCTACCTCAGGGACCGTGCTCCCGACGGACGGCACGCCAGCACGCCTGAAAGTTGAAACGTCTGTCAGTTCACAGGCTCCCAACAGTGAGGGTGAAAATTGCTATACAGCAAGACTTGGTGTCATTCTGTAGTTGGGTATCTGACTCTCCTTGCGCATATTAGCACACAGGCTGCATCTGATAGACACATCTCTTCTGCCCTATCGCAAGTTGCTTTCCGCGAAGCTAGTCACGAAAGTCAACGTGAGCCCGAGAAGTGAGTGAGTGGTGCGCCTCCTCAAAGTACGTATACATATATACCAAGTAAAGCTGGTGGTGCGTTAACGCCGGGCCCGTTTCGCAACGCTAATGAATGCGGAGTGGCAGCGAGCGCCCTCTGGGGAAAGTATTTTTAAGTACGGCTGTCAGCGCCGTCAATAGACCCTTAGAGCATGGCCGCATGGACCCGCTCGAGCTGAGTTCCGGCAATACCGGAGGCAGTCCGATGAGAAGGGCGATTTTTTATCAATTATGTCCTTTCCGACCAGTAGCAGTCAGCTTGCAAGTGAAAAAAAGAGTTCAATAAAACAGTGGACCCGCGTGGACCCGCGTGGATGGCCGGAGGAGCGGGAGGTCAATCACCACCATCGTGGCCAGTGGAGATGGTGTTGGCCGCAGATCACCGGGTCAGTGGCTGCGTGACGATGAAATAACGGGGAGCCTTCAGCTAAAGTCAACGTCCTCATTGGCTGCATTGCTGGGCGCTGTCCCCATTGGGGCTTCTTCCATTGATCCGAGGTATGCCTTGACGCGCTCGTCAGCCAAGAGGTCTTGTTGCTGTGTTAGTGGACAATTGATTAGTATGCGAGTTTCACCTTTTGCTGAATTGAAAAAGACGGCTGGCAGCACTCACCTCCTTTTCCAGTGCAGCAACCGTGGCCTCGAGTAATGAACCCTCAATCTCTTTCAACGTAGCGGCCGCTTGCACGCACACTGGCCGCAGGTCCGAGGCGTCGACATGTATAGGATTGCCATCTTCATATTGCGGGGCCCTTCTCAATCGGCCCAGTTGATCCACCATCTGTTGCAACAAGATTGACACGGCTCGTAGTCGAAACACTGAACATAGCTCGTGCTCCCGGGTGAGCTCCTCAAAGTCTGCAGCGCGCTCGGTCACGTCCTTGTCCTGCCAGAACATCCGCAGCTGCCGCCCGCCCTCGTTGTCTTGCAGGATGCGAAAGTCGAGCCCGTCCTCCTCGTTGAGGCACATGAGGTGCAGGAACGGACTGTGCCATTTCAGCACCCCATCCGTCCTGCGAAGCTGCACCGTTGGCATGCCTCCAAATATGTGCTCCTTGGCTCTAGAAAGTGGATCATCTTCGAACGAACGGACCATAAGAGTCATCTCATCTGTGCTGTACGCCTTGTCAATGAATCCGTAGCTGAAGAGCATCTCGGATGCCCGCTTCAGCTTGCCGTAGGAGATGGTGACTTCTTTGCCCGGGTCGACACTATAGCCTGGCCGAAGCAGGATCTCAATGTCTCCATCGCTGTCTTCGTCGTAGTAGGCTTCCGGATCGTACGAGTGATTGGCCATGTCAATGGACGGCACCATGGCGTCGCCAGAGGAAGGTAACTCCAGGCACCGGGACCGATACCAGGCATCCACCAGCGCCCAATCCTCGAATGATATCTTGCGCTGCTCCCAGAATAACTCATTCCAGAAGTCGAGTTGCTTTGTTTTTTCGCAGAGTTCCTCGAGTTCTTGGTTCAGGGAGTTTCGCTTCGCCGCTACGGCTTGCTACAGCTGAATGAGCACGATGCCAGAGAGCTCCGCAGTAGACAACTCACCTCCAACGAGGTACCTTGCAGCAGGTTCCTTTCCCCCTCCGACCACATGGATGGTAACAAGCCGTCGCGCTCAAGGTACTTGATGTAATCCGTCCACGGACTAGCAGCCACCCTGTGGGAATCGGACGGGGTTTGCCTCGAGCGGACGAGGTGAACCAGGAGGTAGAGCATTATCTTGCCTCTCGCTGTCTATGTCTGATTGTGAGCTGCAACTCCACGCAGACGTACGCGGCATGGAAGCGCACTGACCTCGTGGCCGGTGGCGTTGAGTAGCTCGCGAAAGTGATTGTCGACATTGGCGTACTCTCTGACCGCTTCCGCCGACAATGCGAGTCCTCGCGGGACTGTCAACAGCGGTCTGTCATTCTTGAAGCCCTCCTCGTCGGCGACAAGACTCAGAGGCTCCGTGGCGACAAGGCCGGTACCCTTGTCTTTGATGAGCTGAAGCTCACATTTGTGAAACTGGACACCATGAAGACGCTGCCACACGGGCAGACCCTCGATAGGCCCGGGGTTGGCGGGCATAATAGTGCGACACGAAACCAAGCTCCAGCTCAAGTGGGGAAAATAGCTGGAATGTAGGCGATTCAATGCGAGGAGAAGGTGGTTTACTTGGTTGTGGAATTCAACATGAGGATAATGTTCTTTCCCAGTGAAAGTGGGCACATTGCGATCAAGTCTCTTCTCTCAAGGTGACTTGATTGTGGGGGTGTTTACCCGCGGGCTACATGTACCTTGGGCGCTTGAATACAGGACGGACCTGCCCCTCCGCCAAGCCCGAATTTTCGTGACGTCCGTCGCCAGACTTGCAATTCCCCTCCATCGCAACTTCTGCACTCCAGTCGAACGACGCCCAGCAGCGAAAGCCAACTTTTTCGGTTCTTGGTGCCCCATCTTGGCCTCTTGCAGCCCCAAATCCTAATGCGCTTGATCGACGACCCCTAACCATGCCTCGCGATCCGCTCATCGGCCTCGTTGGCAAGCCTTCAGCCGGCAAAAGCACCACGCTCAACAGCTTGACAGATGCCTCCTCTAAAGTCGGTCGGTCACCCAAGCCTCACCCGTCGGACATGGCCACTGATATCTGAAACCCGCAGGCAACTTTCCGTATGTACCCTCATAAACTCTATGTGTCGCGTTGCGCTGACTGCCCCCAAGGTTCACAACGATCGACCCTCAGCGCGCAATCGGCTACCTCCAGATCGACTGCGCATGTGCTCGACACAACGTCTCCGAAAAGTGTCGACCCAACTACGGGGCTTGCGTCGACGGCCGGAGATCAGTGCCCATTGAGCTACTGGACGTGGCAGGGCTCGTGCCGGGCGCCCACCAGGGCCGTGGCTTGGGGAATAAGTTCTTGGATGATCTGCGCCATGCAGATGCGTTGATACACGTCGTTGACGCCTCGGGCACGGTGGATGCCGAAGGCAAGGAAACCAGAGGATACGACCCCTCGGTCGACATTGCGTGGCTACGGAGCGAGATTGTGGCCTGGATCCTGGGGAACCTAACGCAGAAGTGGGGCTCCATCCGGAGGAGGCACATTGCCGTCAAGGCCACGGCGGTCGAGACGCTGCAAGGTCAATTCTCTGGGTACGGTGCGACATCTACTGTCATCAACCGGACGCTTGATAGAGCGGGCATCAAGGAAAACCTGGAGGACTGGAGCGACGAGACGGTGAAGCACATGGTCCACGCCTTCGTGGACGAGAAGTTTCCCACCGTCATTGCGCTCAACAAAATCGACCACCCGGACGCCGACAAGAACATTTCCAAGATAGCCAAGATGCAAGATCCCCAGACGATTGTGCTCTGTTCGGCCATTTCAGAGATCTTCCTGCGGAAAATGGCGAAACAAGGGTACATCAAGTACGTGGAGGGCAGCGAGTTCATCGACACCAAAGAGGATCTGATCGAGCAGGGCGATCCCACGGGAGGCGGTCTCAAAGACCTGGACGAGAAGAACCGAACCCGCATCGAGAACCTAAAGGACATGGTGCTCTACAGATTCGGATCGACAGGCGTCGTGCAAGTGCTGTCGAGGGCGGCGGCGCTGCTCGGCCTTGTGCCCGTCTTTCCCGTGCGGAACACGTCGACCTTCCAGTCGGGCGCGGCCGACTCCAAATTTGTGTTCCGCGACTGCGTGTTGGTGAAGAAGGGCTTGACGGTAGGCGATGTTGCGCGCAAGGTCATGGGCGACGCCCCGATAGCGTACATTGAGGGAGTCGGCAACATGAGGGTAGCAGAGGATGACCCAGTGGCGGTTGGGAAAAACGATGTAAGTTTTCTCTTCATGTTGAGTTGGCTCGAGCATTGATTGATCGTCCCAGATATTGTCGTTCAAGGTTGGGCGAAATTAAGCGGCGGAGATATGGAATGGGACCTTGGGCGTTCTGGATACATCATATAGACGTGCTCAATGCCGAAACGCTTTCAGCGAAAATGACGCTATTCTTTATGAATGATAAAGCCCAGTTATCAAACAGGCCAAAAGGGAATTCCACTGTGCTCTGAACATGGCTAAGCGTACTTGTGTACGCAACACCAATTAATAGAATCCCCAATCCGATGGCTATTTCCGCGACCACAGCGACACTCCGTGATGTCAGCCGTATGAATGCCCTTGCTTCGTTGATAGCGCCGGTAGTAAGTAGATAAATAGCCTATTAAACGTAAGTATAGTTCTGGTAGAAATCGTGTGATGAATATCCGAGTATCAGGCAGTATCTTGTGCTCTGAAGGAACTGCATGATGGCGTGCCCGAATTCTGCAACCGTACTGCGTGTTGCTGGCGATACCCTGCGTAGAACCTATAATCCGTGAATAAATGGCTGCCAGTCGTTTGCTTTCGCAGCAGCATTAACCAGAAGTGCTTCCATCTGCTCCTCGGAGTAGTCTCCAATCTTTTCGGGTAGCTGACGATGTGGTGTCGCCATACCGCACTCACTCGACAAAGGCATCTGATAGCGCTAGTGCGTCTTGGCGAGGCAACATCTCTGTCGGGAATGGTGACAATGTCGAGCAGCCTGTGAGCGTTTTGATGCCCAAGGGCCACAATCGTAGTAGATTGTAATGGACTGTAGGCAGTTGTACCAGGTAAGATAGGCAATTACGGTGTATCGAATGTAATTGCTATGTTGGTTCGAAGTTGGAGTGGAGGTGGCCAGAGCCAAGGCTTTATACCTGGTGAATAAAATCTAAGTGAGGAAGGTTGTTAGGATCGTACACTACCTATTTGGGGGTTTGTTTTGTTAGCCTGAAAATGAAGAGAGGCTCTCTTTAAGAATTGCTAGACTAGGTAGTAGAATGCGTGATGTAGATGCAAGTTGCACTATGGGGCGTTCGTTGTATCTTCGCACGCTGACTGCAGGCGGATACTCTTCCAACAATAACCGTGCTGCGCCAAGTACTTGTAGGGACACGCGCATTTGCTGTGGCGTGAGCCTCTGTTCCCTTCCACTTGAAAATCCATTTTGTTCAGGCAATTAATAATTTGAAACCTGCTCGCTGGAGCCAAACACCAGTCTCGTGGTTATGTCAGCACTCAGCAGCGCGTCTCCCCTTTAATAGCTGCAAACCGCGTCTTGACATCCCCAGCATTCGACGAATTCAACGCCCCACAAACCATGAAAATCGAGCGTGATCCCACGGTCGAGGCTTTGATTCATGATGGCCGCCAAGCGTACGCGGCGAAGCGCTTCAAGCAGGCGCTCGAATGCTTCACACGCGTAAATTGGTGATCTCCTTGGCTGCCGTTTCAGCACTAACAGACGGGGCCAGGCCATGAAACGCTGCCCATGCAGCAAGGGCAAGAAACGCGAGAGATGTACTTGTAAACAGTTCGAGAAAATAGCTGCGGACAACCGTAGCGTTTTTCACGAGGCCATTGGTGCCTGCCATTGCTCCGTTGGAAAGGAGTTTGGGACCTGTGACAACAGCCTGCACATCCAAGCGCTCGACCACCGCGCCGCCAGCTTTGAGGCTCTCAAGGAGCTCGGCCGTGCAAAGAAGGATGCGGAATGGATCCTGGAACTTGCTCCCCGTGCGCTCGATGTAAGTTTTGCACCCTCCTCTGTTGACGCATTTCGGCTGATCAGCACAGGGCTACCTACGCTTGGGGAAGGTTGCCGGTCTACAGAAGAATTACGAGTTTGCCTGGAAGGTGTACAACTCCGGACTCGAAGCAGCTGCATCCACAGATACTCTGGCCAGTCACCCAAAGCTTCAGAAGCTGCATATGCTGCGCAGGCCGTACCACCACAAGTTCTTCAAGCAGGACCCTCTGCAGCTTCCTCTCGACATTGTGCACATCATACTGTCTTTTATCAGCTACCGGGATCTCATGTAATTGCAGCCATTGTCTTGTGTTGGAAATGTGTTAGGCTAACGGATCTCAGCATGTGTACATGCGTCTGCTGGCCCTGGAGGAAGTCTCTGACGAGCCCGGAGAATCGTCCACTCTGGCGTACTATGGAATTGGCCGGCAAGGCAGCCAAAGGATGGCGCAGCCCAACACAACAAGCCATTCTCAAGTATCTTGCCAATTCAGGCCACGACATACGGCGGTTGACGTTAGCCAACATGAAGAAGTACTACATCAACAACGCCAAGCTACATACTATCTTCCGTGCCGCCCGGAACCTCGAGTACCTCGACATGCGGGAGCAGATGGAGACGATCAAGTGCCCATCACAAGTATGGCCTAAGAGAATTGCTCACCTCCGCTTGATCGATATCGACTTCGAGCCTGAGTTCATTGATGCTGTTGCAGGCAGCGTGGTCAACCTCGATTTGCAATCGTCAGTCGTTCGCCCATTTTCACTGTTTCGCCAGCATCCGCAGACACTCGAATGGAGCAATCTGCGGTACCTACGGATGTCCAGTGCCTACACATTTAGTCTCTTGATAGATCTGCCTCCATTGATGCCCAACTTGGAGCAATTATGGGTCAATGACGTGGGTGGTCGAGGCCGCAGCTCGGACGATTCCGCCATGGGCTTCGACTTGGAGCAACGCCCAGACATAAAAGCCAGATGGGCTGGCAAACTGAAGGTCTTCGTGTACGGCGAATCAGAGCTACGCGACATCCATCCGGAGTCTCTCGTCCATACCTTGAGCGTCAACAATGGAGACACATTGCAACACGTCGACATCACAGCCGGGTGGTACGACCCTCCTGGCTTAAGCTTCATGGGCGAAGCCTTCAGTGATCAGGAGATCATGGACCTGTGCGAGGACCGGTCTGTCATGCCCAGGCCCAGAGATCTCAACACATATGCCAATCTCCGCAGCTTACGACTGCAGCGAGTGCGACTTGATGGCGAGGGGGCCCGGCGAATGTTGCAGAAGCCCCTGAATGGTGGGAAGCTGAGCCACTTTGACATTGTCTTCCCTTCACTCGGCTATACAGAGGCTGAAGGACCAGAAAGCGTCCAACGTCTCCGCGATTTTGCATGGCTGCAGGGCGCAGAGTCCATCCGCAGCCTGGGGGTGTTTGAATTCCGCTTCAGGCGACATCCACGTAATGACGACGACCTGCCCCTGAAAGGGTTCCTGGCCACCTTTCCACATCTCGAGGAGCTAGAGGCTTCCTCTGTTTACTACGATGAGCAAGAGTTCTGTATGGTGCTGGGAGACATCATACTGGCGACCAAGCTGAAGAGGATCTACCAGAGCGTGGTCAAGGGGGCATGGTTGGACAGGTTACGAGTCGCGGCGGCTCAGAACGGGGTCGAGATCATGTTTGGTCCACGGCCGAGGGAATGGCCGGTGCAGGTGCTCTAGGAAGCGGCCTCGACGAGGCGTCTTTTTCTTTTGAAACTTGACATTAATACGACATTTTTATCCTCATGCTTATGAGTAATCGAACTGTACATAAGCCAAAGAGGCACGCACCGCTGCCATCTTCCGTCCCCAACCGCCCCTCGCGCTGTTCAGACATGTGAGAGAGGTGTTAGTATATATACATGTACAACGTGAAATGGGAAACAAATAACAGCTGCCACGACTCCGAAATCATGACAGAAGACACCGACGTATGCGGCCACCCGCATGTCCTCGCCCCTTGCTACAGTTACACGCACGCACCCACTGAAATTGTGCCTCTATCCGCTCTCGTCGTAGGTGAGCCACTGACGCTCCGCATTTGCTTGTTTGCTTATTGAGGGGGCATGCGCAGACCAGCGGGGCCACCGGGTCCGGCTGCGAGCTTGGCAGCAAGCTTGGGATACTTCTCGGTGACCTGCACCTGTGTGCGGGTAGCTTCCGCGTAAGAGAGAGCGTTCACAATCTCGCCCTCGGTGCGGGCTAGCTCGGCAGCACGCTCAAAGTACTTGAGCGCGCCGGGCACGTTGTTCTGCTGAAGGAGAAGCTGAGCCATGGTGGCGACAGCGATATCGCACTCGGGGTCGACTACACCTGGTTAGTATGTCACTTTTGCGCGCCGGTCTGGCAGGGGACTCACTGATCAGAGCCTTCTGGCACAGCGTCTCGGCCTCCTTGAAATCCTGCTTCCACTGGAACAGGGCGAGTGCCTTGTTGATGAGAGGCAGGACGTTCATGGCCATGGGCTTGGTCTGCTTCTCCATCTCCATCGCCGTGTCGAACTTCTCAATGGCCTCCTGGAAGTTGCTCTGGTCGAGGAGCAGCTCGCCATAGTAGTTGTAGACATCGGGAACCTTGGGGAAATTCTTGATGCAGCGGCGGAAGGTGGCCATGGAAGAAGCAATGGAGCCCATCTTGTACTGCGTCACACCAAGCTGAATGTGCGAGAAGATGAAGTCCTTGTCGAGATCAATGGACTTTTGGTAGTCCTTTTGCGCCTCGGCGAGGTTGCCCTTGATGAAGTGTGCCTGGGCACGGTGATAGTATACGTCAGGGTCGTTGTTGTCCTGCTCCAGGGCACGCTCAAACTCGGCGTCGGCAGCCGCCGGATCACCAAGCTCCAAACTGATGCTAGCACGTTTGATGTAGTTTTGCGTAAACTTGGGATCCAGCTCGATGCTCTTGTCGAAATCCTTTGTGGCCTCTGCGTGCTTGCCAAGTAGCGTGCGGATCGTACCACGGCAGTTGTAGGCAAGGGCCTCAGTGTCGCCCAGGTCGCCGAGCTCGATGGCTTTCTCGAGGGCAACGCGTGCTTCCTCGTATCCGTCTCCGGTCTTCTTCTCGAGGCCCTGGAGACCACGCTGCAGCTGGCCCTTTCCGGTGTCGGCAGACAGCTCGGCCGAGTCCTCGAGACCCGCTGGGCGAGGCTTCTGACGGAAGCTCTGGAGGTAGTTGCCGACAAAGATGGGGCTGGGCATCTTGGCGGGACGTGCGGCAATCATCTCCTTGGCCTTCTCTTCCGCAAAGGTCTTGAGGAGCCTTTCCACGGCCTGCGCAGTCGAGTCGCTCTTAAAGTTGTCGATGATGCACGAGGCAGTGAAGTCGAGGAGAGCCTCGGAGTACTTCTTCTGGTTCTCGTAGGCGGCAGCGCGTCGGTTGATTGCCTTGACATACTCAGGGTCCATGCTGATCGCAGCGGTCGTGTCCTCAACCACATTGTCCCACTGGCTCAAGGCGCTGTAGCAAGCGGCGCGGTTCGAGTAGAAGACGGGGTCAGGCTTGCAGAGGATAGCCTTGGTGTACAGGTCAATGGCTTTGTTGTACGCCTTGTCACCGTAGGCCTTGTTGCCAGCAGCCTTGAGCTTCGCGGCATACTCCTCGCGCTGCTGCTGAGTCAGCTTCGTGACCGAGTCCTCGTCCACGTCCGGAAGCTCCGAGTCGCTGGCCACGGGAGCAACCTCAGGCTGCTTGGGGGCAGGTGTGGATTCCGTGGGCTCGGTGGCTTTGCGGTCGGCTTCTTTTCGCTTGCGGCGCTCCTTCTTGCTGAGTTTGGGTTCCGAGTCTGACTTGGTTTTCTGCTTCCGCGTTAGTCGAGGATGTTTGGCCTGCGCCGCTGGGGGTTGGAAGCGTACCGAGTCCGAACTGAGATAGTAGACTGCGCCTGCACCCGTGACGACAACTGCGACACCTGCAATTGTGTAGACTACAGCTTTGTTCTCCGAGACCCAGTTCGATATGCGGTCGAGGAGGCCAGGCGATGGCTCGACAGCGACGACCGGTTGGCCGGGAGGCATCGATGGGAGTGGGTTCGACATGGTGGAAAGCTTTGATTACGAGAAGGAGAAGAATGCAAGGAGGGTGGTGAAATCAGCGGTAGAAGATCCGAATTCCAAGGACCGTCAGATGCAATGAGTAAATGACGGGAGGCCGAATGGTCGTCGTGCGTGGGGACTGGGCGAGCTGATCACGACCGCGCCAGGAATTAGAAGGGTGTAGAAAAAGATGATGGCAACCACTGATGACCGAGAGAGATTGGCGGTTTGTTGCCGTTTGGATTGGATTGCAGAGCTCGCCTGTCGCGTAGGGGTGCTCCACTTTAGATTTCGCAGGCTCCACCTGCCGTTGCATAGCACTGGTATCAATTCTTCTTGGAGCTGGACCTTACCTTATTAATGCCATGCCTGACGTGTTAGCCCCAGCCTGATGCCTCAGGCACCATGGAGACATGCACCATTCATGACGGGCAGCCCTAGCTCTACGACCAAGATAATGAGTGACATTGAAGTTATTAATTGCGTGTCATCTTGCAGCCGTAGATAGATCGTCCAATTCTCCATACATCTCTCACAGAGGTGTTGTGTTGTCTGTTGTTGTCTCCATGAGTCATGTCAACAAGTCGATGCTACACCAAACTCTTACACCCAATTGCCTCTGGTCTAAGTACTTGGCCAGACCATACTGATCGGCCATGGATCCAGAGAACCTCCAGTTCTTCTCGACAGCTCGCTATGACCCTGAGCTAAGAAACGTGCCCAGTCTCGGACTTGGCCACGCTGCTTGGAACTTTCGCAATAGCTCCCCGTTCTACCTCCTCGACTATCATCGGGACCGCATCCTCGATGCAGCCAGGCATTGGGACTGGGAACGAGCTATAGCACAGCTCGAGGGCCAGCAGGGACTGGACAGGCTGTCGCGGGGTCTCGAGGATCTCGTCGGGTCCGAGAAACACCCATTGCGCCTGCGCATAGTCATTGATCGTGAGGGAGTCTTGGGGCTGGAGAAATTTGAGTTCCCACAAATGCCCATCACAGGGCTATTCCCTCGCCGATTGCCCAAGCCAGACGGCTCTCCTCTAGCAGATGAACCCCCAAAGTCGTCACCCTATATGCTGTTGCTGGATACTGGGGACACATCAAGTTCACAGTACACCCACTTCAAGACCACGAACAGGGCAATGTACAATGTGGCCCGTGACAGGGCTGGCATATCACCCAAGAACCGCAAGGAAGTCCTTACGGTCGAGGATGGCTTCGTGGTCGAGGGTAGCACCACGACTCCCTACTTCTGGAGAGGCAACAGGTGGGTCACTCCGCCTGTCTCGAGCGTCCGTGGCGGGCAGGATGGCGTGAGTCGGCGATGGGCTTTGGAAAAGTGAGTAAAAAAAGCTTCAACCCCTGACAGATGACTGATCGGCCACAGCAACTTGGCTGTCGAGGAAACGGTGCCCGTCAACACATTGGCGGATGGAGAAGAATGCTGGATCAGCAATGGCGCCAGAGGGTTCACGTTTGCGCTTCTCCGCCTTGAAAGACCGTGACAGGTTCACAGCGGAGCCAGTCCTCGAAGCTTTGCCATGATGGATCAAAGATAGTCCAAAACGACGTGCTAGCATTACTGCCCAATGTCCGTACTTCTGAGGTATAAACAGGCCTTATCAGCTGCTTCCCCAATCATATGTACCAACTGCGCCGATGCGTTTCCCCCATGTACCTTCTTTGCGAGGATCCCACTTTCGATGCGTTCCAAGTTGTCGCGATGGAAAACTTGGAGTGCTATTTCTACAAGTGACCCCAGGCTTGCCTGAAAAGTTAGTGCACAATCATCAAACGTATCAGCGTCCCTGCCGCGCGGTATCGTCATCCAAGACATCCTCTTGAATCGCCTATTTCTGAGAAGCAAAATGAATGCCCAGACCGACACCCAGGCCGATGGCCAGTAGGATAAGGAAAACCACCAGCGCGCACCACCACTTGAGCTTGCGGCGGTTACGCGCGTGTTTGTTCGCTTGCGCAACCTGCTCATTGCCTTTTTCAATATTTTGCACAGTATCCTCGGCGTTGTACTCTGCGGCCTGAATGACGGGGTCTTGCTGCTCGACGACGGTGGCGAGATCCTGGTAGAGCTGAGCGAGCTCATAGAGCGTCTGCTCAATGCGCTGGAGTTCGCTGTGACGAGCGCGAACGTTGCCGAGCACGGAGCTAGCATGGCCTGTGCGGTTGGTGCGAAGCTACGATGGTCAGTATATGTAGAAACCGGCTCAGGTAAGGAGACTGACCGCAGTTTGGAAGACACCCTCATTACCCCAGTCCATCTCTGTCGCTTGCTGCACCTCGTCTTCCGACGCATCCGGGTTCACAATACGGTATTGGCGAGCGATTTGATCACGGTACTTATGCTGGTAATCTCGCTCGATGCTCCTGTACAAGTCCAGCTCCGAACGGAAGAATGTCTTGAGCGATTCGAGCTGCGTGTTCTTGGTGTTGCGAGACGCATCGTGGGTGCGCGCCAGGTCCTTCTCGAGAGACTTAATGCCGTCCTTGATCGCGGTGTTGCGGATTTGCGTCTGCGCGACAGCTTGTTCTAGCTGATCGCGCGCCTGGCCATCCGTGCTGCTGAGAGTACGCTGGTGAAGCTGTCCGATCTCGTCCACATGCCCTGTGAGGCTCTTGATCTCATCGCGAAGTGACTGAACATGGTTCAGAAAGTCTTGCTGGCTCATGGCGGGGCTGGTACTGCTGGGGGCCTGGTTTGGCTGCTGTGAGTTGCCGTAGCTATTGTAGTTTTGCATTTCATAGTCGTTCTGGCTATATTGCTGATCGTTCCCGTAAGGCGTATCCTGAGCATAAGGGTTGGGCTGTTTGGTCTGCTGTTAGCTGGATGCGCAACTGGCCATGTTTGCGTGCGACACATGCATGCCCACACAGGAACGTGAATGTACCTGTCCATAACCTTGCGCAGCCTCCTGCTCAGGTCCTTGATGGTATGGATTTTGGTTGTACTGTCCTTGCGACATGCTGGGCAGTCACTGCACCGCGTAGCAGCGTCCTTGTGAGGTATGGTGGTCGGCGCAAAACGGTGACAAAGCTGGGATGCCAGGGTAGGTGAGAGGGCGCGGAAACACTAAACAGTCGTTGACGAGACGATGGGCAAGATCGATGCGCCACCTCAACGTAACAGCTTGCAACGTCAGGTGCGACCAGGAAAGCAATTGGACTTGGAGGTAGGAAGGTGAGACGGGGTAGACTCCAGTCGTCAGCGACAGCGTAAGAAAAGGGTCTCGACTCAATTGAACCGGCCGGCTGGTGGGGTGAGACGGGAAGTTGAAGATGCCTGGACAAAGTCCGTACGCACCTGTCGGAATAGGCGGCGGGAGCAGTGGTTTCCGACGTCAACCACTGCCACACTGGGGACTGGACTGGATGCGGTAAGATCAAGTTCCTGGGGTATCTTCAAATTGTTTAAGGACTGGAGCACACCTGCAGGCTTTATTTACCTGGCAAAGTTCGAGCAGCGATGAACGCAATCGGAAATCGATTCCCATTGTGCTGCGCTTGTTGGGAAAGAGTCATCGTCACAGTTCAATACATCTTCATTGCTTGCGTGCTTCGCGTCACGGACCGGTCGGCACTCTCGAAGAGCTGTTGACTGCACGGATCCACAAAACCTTACTAACTCCTTGCAGTGCTCATGAATGAATCCTGCTCCAGTCCGTTTCCATTCAACTCCAGAAACACCCCAAATACGTGCTCGAAACGTGAATCATGCTTTCCCTCTTGGCTGTGTGGCGTTTCTGCAACAGCCTACCCCCACTATTGGGACCTAGCTAGGCTGAGACCCTTGTCTTGGCTCCGCGTGTTCACCAATGTGTTAGCCTGCATGAGGGCGAATTGACGCGTTCTCGGATTCGGGTTGCAACTCGCAAGTGGTCGTAACCCTGTGATTTGGATGGGCATCACAAAACCATGCTACCACCGTCCCCCGTGCCTCGTCTCCCGTCGCCGCCTACGCCTACACCTAGCAAGCGACGCCGAAGTCCTCCACCTCTCCCTCTGTGCATGGGCGTGCAACGGGCCAGTCCTACACGTATGGCCAGGCTCGGGAGGTGGTGATAATTGCCAGCCAGCGGGGAGGATTCTTCAGTCAACCGTGCGCATTGTCGCGCTGCCAATTGGGGGTGCATCTGCGTGTTTGACCTCTCCAACATGTGCAGGCTCAAAGGTAGTTCTTCTTCTTGGCAGTCCTCGTGTACTGCGTCAAGTGCCACTCGACATCTCCGTCCTTGTTTTCTAGTGTACCGCCGCGTATTTCGAACATGCGCATGGTCATCCTCGGCCCAACCTCGGACAGCTCGACACTGTCATAGCCAGTCCGAACAAAGACATGGTGCCTGACCTCGATACTGTCGTCAATGTTCTTGAACGTGACTACACGGCTGCCGACTTTGTTCTTGTTCGTGATGGCTTCCCGCGGCGGAAAGATGTGCTTGAGAACCTTGACAACTCTTTCTCCCAACCGGGTTGTGAAACCGTCGAAGATGAGATGCGGGTAGGATTCGCTGACTGTGCCTCGGACGCTCCCCGGTATGTCATGTCGCAGGACAACGTTGTGCAACGAGAAGGAGACGGTGGGTCCATGTGGGAAATGCGACAATGTCAACGCAGTCGGGGTGCCGCGATGCTCGTGCAAAAGAACAACATCGGACAACCCGGCCGCCTGGGCAGACCTGACTAGATCGGGCAGAATGAGATTGCCACGGTTCAAGCGCACGGCGGTTGGAAGCAACAGTCGAATTTCTTTGGCAAACGCGGCCAATCGCGAGGAAGGTTCGCGGGACGTCGTCACCAGGACCCGGGGATCGACCACGCCGGACAGCTGCGCGTACTCATCGTCGAGGTCGAGCTGCTCATTCGTCGTCTTGTCGGCGCTTTCGTCGTACTGGAAGTCTTTCCTTAACGCCTTGTCATTGGCGATTTCTGGATCGAGCGGCTTCCCAGAAGCTAGAGCCGCCCTCAGTTTCGCTCTCTTTTCGCTGATCTCAGCATCGCGGAGGAGAAGCGCTCTACGATAGAGGTAATCGCGTCGCTGGCGTGCTTGTTTGCGCTGTCGCTTCGTTAGTACAAGCCCAGACGCTAGTCAATGAAAAATCTTACAATCATGCTGGCGGTTATAATGATGTGCCGTGTCAATCGGGATGACAAGCAAGGCTTCTTTCTTGCTGGGAATTTTTTTGAGTAGCCCACCTCTGACTCGGCTTATCGGCCACCGGAGGGCTTATCGATAAACGCAGATCTCTTATCACGTGGCTGCAAAAATGTCCCACCATCCTTCTGGGCGAGGGCCAACTTGAGTCCAGCATCGACAAGCTGAACGTCCCTTTGCGAATCTGGCTGTGACACAGGCCCGGCCTCGTACAATACACCAGAGTTCTGATTCACAGCTGCCGATCGAGAATCACTCCGTGCCGAGAAAAACTACCGAAGCTTGACTACGCCTTTCTGCCTTTGTAGCATCTGGGTTGATTCCCGTGTGACAATCACTCCTCCCTGGCGCACTCTCTGCCGCGATGATGTGAACCGGACCATTCCAAACAGCCTCCGATTTTAAAACAAACCACGCCCACCTGGTCGCTCTACCGGAAATTGTCCAAAGTTACAGCTGGAGGTGCGCTTTCCTTATCCGCGGGCTTCCTCGCCCGTTCGAGAGCAGTTTCTCGCCCCCCACCCACCCACCCTCACGTTTCAATGCTAACAGCTGATGTTGCAGAAACAGCCCAGCTCATCCGCAATCAACCCTCTCTCACCATGGAGGGCGCCTTCAACCATGTAGGCAACCACCTTGTCTCCGACTCAGCGGCCGCGATCAACGCTGGCGCCGATGACCTTTCAGGCCTGGGACCCAGCGATGGTCTTTTCTACAGCAAGGCTCCTGGAGGCAGCACCAGCCGCCGTCTGAACGATGACGGAAACCGACTCGAACCATACGACGATGACGACAAGGACAGCGTCAGCACCCCTGTCGATCCTGTCACTGGTCTCAAGATGAACGGGCACGAGGAAGAGAAGGAGCTGCCGGAGCATGCTTGCGCGTGGGTCCCACGTTCCTGTTCTTAGATTTGTGACTGACGTTTCTCAGCTACTGCGGAATCCATGCCCCCAGCAGTGTCGTCAAGTGCCTTGCCTGCAAGAAATGGTTCTGCAGCGCCAAGGGCAACTCCACCTCGACCCATATCGTGAACCACCTTGTTCGCGCCCGCCACCGAGAAGTCCAGCTTCACCCCGAATCGGCCCTGGGCGACACGACGCTTGAATGCTACAGCTGCGGCACAAAGAATGTCTTCCTTCTGGGCTTCATCCCAGCTAAGTCAGACACGGTTGTGGTTCTGCTCTGCCGACAGCCATGCGCCGCAAACTCGTCGAACAAGGATATGAACTGGGATCTCTCACGCTGGATGCCACTCATCAGCGAGCGCGCTTTCCTGCCATGGCTTGTGACGCCCCCCACCGACGAGGAGCAGCTGCGCGCTCGCCACGTTACCCCTAGCATCTGCGCGAAGCTCGAAGATGTCTGGAAGTCCAACCCGGGACTATCCATCAACACAATGTCCTTCAATATGTCGGAATTAACCATCGAGGAGGAGGAAGATCCTCTCCCTGTTGTTGCCGCATACGATGACGCCTTCCACTACCAAAACATCTTTGGCCCCCTTGTCAAGATGGAATCCGACTACGATAAACAACTCAAGGAGGCGCAGGCTGAAGACAATCTGCAAGTGCAATGGGATCTTGGGCTAAACAACAAGCACATTGTGAGCTTTAACCTTCAAAAGATCGAATCAGGCGATGTGAAGCTGGCCGTTGGTGACGAGATGCGTCTCCGATACAAGGGCGAGCTGCGCCAACCTTGGGAGGGTGTGGGATATGTTATCAAGATCCCGAACAATCAGTCGGATAAGGTTACCCTCGAGCTTCGCAAGGCAGGCAACGAGAAGAACGTACCTACTGATTTGTCGCACAACTTCTCTGCCGATTACGTCTGGAAGGCCACATCGTACGATCGAATGCAGTTGGCCATGAAGACGTTTGCCATTGACGAGATGAGTGTGTCCGGCTACTTGTTCCACTCTCTACTTGGCAAGGACGTACCCCTTCAGCCCATGAAGCTCAGCCTGCCCAAGAAGTGGTCTGCGCCAGGCTTGCCGGATCTCAACAACAGCCAGGTCAACGCCATCAAGAGCTGTTTGCAGCAGCCATTGACGCTGATCCAAGGTCCTCCTGGTACCGGAAAGACCGTCACGTCCGCGACAGTCATCTACCACCTGGCCAAGTCAACCGGCAACCAGGTCCTGGTGTGCGCTCCTTCAAACGTTGCCGTGGATCAGCTTTGCGAGCGAATCCACAGGACCGGCCTCAAGGTCGTGCGTCTCACTGCCAAATCGCGCGAAGACGTCGAATCATCTGTCAGCTTCCTTGCTCTGCACGAGCAAGTACGCATGTCTGACCACAACACTGAGCTTGTCAAGCTTTCTCAGCTGAAGACGGATGTGGGCGAGTTGTCGAGCCAAGACGAGAAGAAATTCAAACAACTCACCAAGGCGGCCGAGCGCGAGATCCTGACAAATGCAGACGTCGTCTGCTGCACTTGCGTTGGTGCCGGCGATCCTCGCCTGTCCAAGATGAAGTTTCGCAACGTCCTGATCGACGAGTCCACGCAGTCCGCCGAGCCTGAATGCATGATCCCGTTGGTTCTCGGCTGCAAACAACTGGTTTTGGTCGGTGATCACAAGCAGCTTGGCCCCGTCATTATGAACAAGAAAGCCGCCAAGGCTGGTCTCAACCAGTCGCTGTTTGAGCGTCTCGTGAACCTGCCAATGAACCCGAGGAAGCCGTCCATGCTCAACACGCAGTACCGCATGCATCCTTGTCTTTCCGAGTTTCCCTCGAACATGTTCTACGACGGCCGGCTTCAGAATGGTGTCACGGCCGAGTCCAGACTGCGCAAAGACGTGGACTTTCCCTGGTCGCGACCCGGCATGCCCATGATGTTCTGGACGAACTTGGGCCAGGAAGAGATCTCGGCGTCGGGCACATCGTACCTCAACCGCACAGAGGCCAGCAACGTTGAAAAGGTTATCACTCGCTTCTTCAAGGCAGGCGTAAAGGCGGCTGACATTGGGGTCATCACGCCATACGAGGGCCAGCGCAGTTTCGTTGTCACCACCATGCAGAACACCGGATCCTACAACAAGGAGATGTACAAGGAGGTGGAAGTGGCGTCGGTCGATGCGTTCCAGGGCCGTGAGAAGGACTTTATCGTCCTCTCCTGCGTGCGATCCAACGACAATCAGGGCATTGGTTTCTTGTCTGACCCTCGCCGACTGAATGTTGCCTTGACCCGTGCCAAGTACGGTCTCGTCATTCTCGGCAACCCAAAGGTTCTGTCCAAGCATGAGCTGTGGCACCACTTGCTGGTGCACTTCAAGGAGCGCAAGTGTTTTGTTGAGGGACCACTCGCCAATCTCCAAGCCTGCTTGATTCAATTTGCCAAACCCAAGGTCAGCTATCGCCCCAAGAAGAACCATCAACAGCATGCTGCGCCGCCAGGACAGATGAACGGCCGCTACTTCCAAAACTCGCTGCGCGAGATGGAGTCCAACTACATGTTCCCCAACATCCCTGACGATGTGTCCTCAGTTCAGGGGTCGGCCTTTGGTGGCGCCACACTAGGCGGTGCTTTCCCTAGCATGTTCTCCAACTTCACTGCTGAGCATTGGCCTGGCTTACCCGGCGCCGGAGGCCCCGGTCACGGACGCAATGGCAAGCCGCGGGGCCGAGGCCCCGAGAGCGTTGCAGGCGAGAGCGTCGCCAACTCAGAGTTCACCGATGCTACTAGCAGCATTCTTGGTGGCAAGGGCGTCGGTCAGGGCGGCGTTTCGCTCGGCGCTGACCTCCGTGATGCCGTCACTGGTATGAGGCCATTCTCGTACAGCCAGAGCGATCGCTTGCAGCACGACTCCCAGCTGAGGCATTACGTGGAGAACAACGGCAGGGCAGGACCGAGCGGTGGCTACGGACGCCGATACGACGATGATGAGAAGAGCGTCAGCACTGCCTTTCATAGTACGGTAGGACGCGGCTTTGACTGATTTCGAGCGGCAATGGATTAGACGTCTGATCATGGACCCGTTACGCCATCGTACCTTTACGAACGCGTGTTTTCGGCAACCGACCACTGCTTCCACTGCCTTGGCCATGTCGAAAGCCGGCGAAGGTTCATAGCGAGGTCCTTACGCCCAGAGCAGTACGTAACAGCGTTGTGAGAAGGCTCGCAACACGCAGTCGGTGATTGCTGGCAAAGCGACAAGTCTGCTGGAGCGTCTGGGCACCTTTGAGTCCTTCCCAGCGCTCGCTCATCAGTCGAGTCTGGAGGGAACTCCTGGTCCAAACAGCGGCTGCTGGGCAGCCGTCCGTCCTCGTGCCGATGGAGAGCGTTCGGTGGCATGTTGCTTCGCGACAGGCTGTCTGCTTTGTGGCCATCTACACGTGACAGCTCTGAACGACCTGTCGCGCACCAGCCAGTCAGCCAGCTGTCATGCCAAGGCCTGCCTGAAGCATCACGGAACATGCGGCTTTCTCCCCCCCCCCCCCCCCCCCCTTCTTTTCAATGAGTATAGCTTCGGCTGCACTGAGCATATCTGTAGTTAGAGGTGTTGCGAGGGATGAATAAAAGAAACCACAGTCATTATCTAGTACAACTTCAAGAACGTCCCCTGCCTGTCATCTATAATTGATGGGAGGAAGCCCCATTGACACATCGTGGTCCCGCTTCGAGTCGTCGAGACGCGACGTGACGGTGCTCAACCTCTTTTTAACGCCGCCGCTTTGGACCATCGACTGCATTGAATACCTGGCTGAATGCCAGGCTTTTACTTTTAGTAACTTTTTCAAGGCGGCCAGGGTAGACCATCCATGCCATCGGAACTTTTGCGCAGCGACCCCTGACATCAGCTATCCGTACATCGAAGCCCACCTAGTTGTGTGGTTCTTTTCTAACAGTCGACCAGCGGAAAGGCGGATGACGACAGACCACGCAGCGCTTGAATCGGCGAAATCGTTTATTTGTGTATAATGGATCCTCTGTGCGATTCTAGCTATTTCTGCAATCCTCGCTTAGTCCTGGATAAGGCTTTGCGCGTATATGTGGACGCGCGCACGAGAGCAGGGTCTGGTAGCCAGCTAACTTAGCTAGCTCTCCAAGGGTTCAGGGATCGAACAATTTCGATGTCTTCCGGTCAATCCGGGCAGGCTGTTTAGACGCAAGGGACAAAGTACTGATACGTAGTAATAAACACTGCATTGCACTGTCAGATTGTATCACAAATAAAAAGAGTCTGCGCGGCTCCATCAGTCAGCCAGCGCTTCGTATGCGAAATGAGATGGGCCAAGTGGGTGTACGTTGGATCGCAGTCATCCTATCGAACGGCCATTCTTTCAATGGGGGCGATGGCCAAGCATCGCTGTTGGGAGTTGATCAATGGCATGCCCAGCATTTTTGGACTTACACCTTCTTGCTGTCCGTACTTGGCTTTTGCTCTTCCATCATTTTCCTTCTCCTGATCATTATCATCATCTCATCATTCATTTTTAACAGCGCTTTCATTGTTTTGGGTTCGTTTGACGCATTTTGAATAGCAGCGCGAGCCAGCGCACCCACGAGCAAATCGAACACAGCGGTCGCATCGAGACATGCGCCTGTCCAGCCAGCAGCCACAGGCATGTTAACACAACTTCAAGGACGTCCCGGTCGTCGCTACCTCGCCATCGTTCTCTGCCTCGTCATTGTCGTCTTCCTATGGCACAACTTTAGCTCCGGTCCGGTGGAATCCGATTCGTTCGACAGCACATCCCCCGAAGCGGATGACGATGGAGCGGCGCTGGTTGCTCCCGGTGCCAAAACGGTCGACAGCTTCAAATACATACCGAGCACGTACGACTGGAGCAAGGCCGAGGAGTTCCATCCCGTGGACCAGCAGTTCAAGCTACCGAGTGGCCATGCGACCAAGTTTCCCCGCATACAGGCTCGGTCGACGAGCAAGATTCTGAAGGACAATATCTCGGCGTCGAGGAAGCAGACGATCAAGTCCAAGTTTATCAAGAGCTGGGAGGCGTACAAGAAGCATGCGTGGACGGAAGACGAGCTGATGCCGCTGTCGGGCAAAGGCAAGACCACATTGTCAGGATGGTCGGCTCAGCTGGTCGATGCGCTCGACACGCTCTGGATTATGGATCTGCAGGATGAATTCCGACGTGCCGTGAAGGAAGTTGCGGTCATTGATTGGGCCAGGCCCAGCGATCCCAAGATCAACCTCTTCGAGGTGACCATCAGGTACTTGGGAGGCATCCTCGCAGCTTACGACCTCTCTGGTGAGGATGCACTGCTAGCCAAGGCTGTCGAGCTGGGCGATGCCTTGTACAGGACATTCGACACGCCCAACCGCCTGCCCTCGCATTGGCTCTACTACGAGACAGCCCGTCAAGGTCAGCAGCAAGCCGACACGAGCATGTCCGGGGCGGCGGGAGGCTCGCTATGCGTGGAGTTTACACGCCTGAGCCAGCTCACAGGCAACGACAAGTACTACGATGCGACAGAGCGCATCAAGCAGTTCTTCTACCGCTTCCAGAACAAGACGGCCATTCCAGGGCTGTGGCCTCACGACATGAACTATCGCGAGGAGATTGTCGATGACACGAGGTTCAACCTGGGCGCAGGCATGGACTCGCTGTACGAGTACCTCCCCAAGATGCACCAGCTTCTCGGCGGCCAGGATCCCGAATATCAGGAAATGGTGGTTGCGGCTCTGGACGCTGCAAAGGTCAATGTCCTCTTCCGTCCCATGACGCCAAACGATGCCAACATCCTCATGGCCGGCAACGTCGTGGTGAGGAACGGCCAGGCCAAGTTGACAGCCGAGATGGAGCATCTTACCTGCTTCATCGGGGGCACGTACGCACTCGCTGGCCGACTCTTAGCGCGTGAGGACTACGTTGACCTTGCCTCGCGCTTGACGAACGGTTGCATCTGGGCATACGACAACTTTGAGACTAACATTATGCCGGAGTCGTCCGAGCTCGTTGCTTGCCCGACCCTAGATGGCCCTTGCGAGTACGACAGCAGCCGGTTCCCCGCCACGCGCAGCTCACACCTGCCCGATGGCTTCGTGAAGGTGAAGGACTCTCGGTACATGCTCCGACCAGAGGCGATCGAGAGCGTCTTTTACATGTGGCGCGTCACGGGCGACCACGCCTGGCGCGAGGCCGCATGGCGGATGTGGGAGGGCATTGTGAAGGAGACGGAGACGGAGCTGGCCTTTTCATCGATTGCCGATGTCAAAGCCCACGCGAGCACAAAGTCTGACTCCATGGAGGTATGTGTCAATTTTTTACCGACTGGTCACCAACACAAACTGACCACGCGCAGACGTTCTGGATGGGCGAGACGCTCAAGTATTTCTACCTGATCTTCGATGACGAGAGCACAATCAACCTCGACGAGTGGGTTCTCAACACAGAGGCGCACCCCTTGCGACGGCCAACTTAGAGTGCAGTGTATGTACAAGGCGTGACTGGGGGCAATTGATGGGTCTGTTGAGATATAGAGGATTTGATCGCAACACATAGGACTCTTCCAATTAGGAGGTGTCTGTATAGATGATAGACAAGCCCGACATAATTACAGCCTACAGCTCATCCACTAATAATTTACTTTCCTCGTCGTCTTCGTTGCTATCATTCCATGACCAATGCATTGTTCTAATACGTTTCACAACACACGAAAGAACGCTGGCGGCGGCCTCGGATACATGCATAACGCCACTACCGGCACAATGACCACTGAATGCCAACCAACATCACGTCACGACTCCAAACCCGTTCCTCGCCCCATCACCAAGAGCCTCACGCAATCACCGGGGGCCACAGCGCAATGAGGCATGCCCCTCCGTCCTCCAGTCCCTCTTTTCTACGCGAAAGCATGCTTGGCCCGTCCCCGCGTACAATTCTTCACGACAACCCCAGCGCGGCGCAGCGATGACGTCGCGCAGCAGCTGGCGAAGAAGAACCACTATGAGCGATTGAGGATCAAGCCGACGGCTACCAAAAGCGAGATTAAAAAGTGAACCTATCCGCCACCAGCGTCCAGCCCGTACAATCTAAGCCCGGACCGCTGACGAGAATAACGCAGAGCCTTCTACTCACTGTCGAAAACGCACCACCCGGATGCGAATCCCTCTGCCCCGGCCACCGCCGCACAGAGCTTCTCCCTGCTCTCCGAGTCCTACTCCATTCTCTCCAACGACACATCGCGCGCTACATATGATCGGTCCCTCGCCCCGGCCTCCGCCTCAGGTATACACCACCCACGGGGATCATACCACTCGGCAGGAGGACGACCGGCAAGCGGACTAAGCAGGCGAAGAGGCACATACCGCGGGCCCCCGCCGAGCTTCTACAGAAGTGGTGGGTACGGAGAGCACACGGAGAAGAGACAAAAGGCGCACGAGGACACCACGTTCTCGGGGGCTGGTGGTGCTCGTGCGTCTTCCGAAAAGAAGACCGCCCACCATGGCGGCATGGGACCGGGCGACGACCCCTTTGGTCATCACGACGACGTCTTGCACTGGGATCGCAAGAGCCACCACAAAACACAGAAGAGAGAGGACCACCGACGGTGGGCGCGGACGCACAAGAAGGCTTGGAACGATGACGGGACGCAATTTGAGCCGCAGATGAGTCAAGGCAGTCACTTTATGGTGGTTTTGGGACTCTTGTCGATCAGTCTTGTGGCGCCGGCCTTGTACATGTCAAAAATGCATACAAAGAAGAACGACAGGCGATAGAACACTCGAGTAGTAGGCTCAGGCCACATTGTGCGCATATAACTAGTGCGCCGCATATAGTATAGCAGGAAAAAAAAACCCATTGGCAAGAAACAGCTTCTGTGCATTATTCACTGTCCTAGTAATCTCTACACCCCAAAATCCATTGCAATGGAAGATTTGAGTACAGTACAAAAGCGGCATCCCAAGCCTAGGTAGCCAACTTTGGGAGCAGCCAAACTTTGCCATGACCACCACCACCTCTTCCTCTTCATATTGTCAGACTTAACCCTCAAAGGTGAAGCTGGCACCGAGCTTGTGGGAGGCCTGGTCGAGCTTCTGGGTATCGAAGGAACCACCAAGACCCAGGGTGACGCCCTGGCGGAGGAGGACGTTGTAGGCAACAGCAGCAATGCCACGGTCGTTGACCTTGACCTTGGCGAAGGACACGGGGTCGATGCGGTACTTGCCAGCAAGTTCGAGGCCGACGGTGTTGCCGGTCTTGGAGTTCCAGGTGGCCTTGGCACCGGCCTCGACCTGGCTGTTGACCTTGTGGTAGTAAGCAGCGGCGAAGACGGACAGGTTGTCCGAGGCGGTCAGCGAGGCGTTGTACTCGGGGTGGGCGTAGCCGACGGCGGCGGAGTAGGCGGTCAGGGCAGCCTTGTTGACGTCGTAGCCGGCGCTGGCACCGGCGAGGAAGCCCTCGTGGCCGACGACGGCGTCGACGTTGGCGGTGGGGCCCTTGAGGAGGTCAAAGAAGGCACGACCGTTGAAGCCGGGCTGCTGGAAGTGCAGGTTGAACTTGGCACCCTTGGCGGCGGTGGCAGGGAGGTAGTTCAGGAGACCCTCGAGCTTGAGGCCCTTGGCCAGCGAGTCCTTGACCTCAATCTTGGTGTCGAGAACGTTGGCGGTATTCCAGGTCTGGGTGAGGGTAACGCCTGCGCGGGGGTAGAGCATTAGCAAGTGTGCCCAACGCCAATCATCGTCTGGTATGAAACAGATCGCGAACTCGAGCGGCCATCCTTGTTTTGGGCCGAGAATTCGCGACACAGTGACCGTGCTGAACGGTCTACGCCGTCCGCGGTCAACGGGTGAGGTAGAATGAGCACGCGAGGGTGACGCTGAGGAAGCAGAAGACGCAGAAGGGGTTGAAGATGGGGATGGGGATGGGGATGGGGATGGGGTAAGGGATGCAGATGTATGTGCTGATTGCTGGCGCGATGCGCTGCTTGTTGATTCGCAAAAAGGGGTGGTCGTACCGGTGGGCTTGTCGGTGTATTTTCCCTCAAACTGTTTCTTGTCAGCACGAATCCTGAGCGTCTGAGGCTTATGGAGAGAGCTTACGGCAGCAGAGGTGGCCTTCTCGTGGCTGGACTTGCCAGTCACCTTGAAGGCAACGCCATTGGGAGCGGTGTCCTTGAACTCAAGGGTGGTGGCGTTGATGTGGTAGAAATCCTTGTTCAGGAGCTATTGCAGACAGGACGCACGCGCCCAACAGTTAGCCATTGTCTCTACGAAGCGGGGGCGGCGATGCTCGGGGGAAGCTGGGCCGGCCGAAGAATGGGTGATCGGTCGGCAGAGCTTCGAGGAGATCTTTTCCACGTCAAGAACATGCAGGTAAAGAGCGCGTACATCGTTGGCCGACTTGGCAATATCGGAGTAGGCGGGGACAGCCATTATGATAGATGTGGTGAGATGTGTGGGGGAGGGAGAATTGAAGCTGAAGACGAAGTCGTTTCCGGTAGCAATGTGGAAGTGGAGGGAGGAGAGAATTGTTGAGAGGCGCGTTAGAGGGAGTTCCGGATGGGCTGGCTGGAGCTCTGGGTCACTCCTTCCTTCGCAAATTCATCTCGGCCGCCAGCGAGCTGCTCCGTGCAAGGGTTGCATTGCCGGCTCCAATCACGGAAGAATAGTTGAAGCGAACGCGAGCAAATCACCGCTGTCAAACAGCAGCCGCAACCCCACCCCGAGCCCGACGTCCACTGAGGAGCCACTGACAGCGCTGTCCCCGAGGCTCGTGACGTCCCCAGTGTCGTCGGCTGATGTCGGGCGGATGGTCCACGTGGGGGATTCGAGCAGCGTTGGCTTGTTGGGGTTATGGGAAATTGGCTTCATCATGGGCATGGCGATTAGCATCATGCGCATTGTTGCGCCCAGGCAGTCTGAATGCCACAGGCACTGCTCCCGCTGTTTCACACCAAGTCGAGCTTCATGCGCTTCGTTGGGAGCAGCGACATCTCAGAAGCCAAACATCACGGCAGGCACTCGCGTTGCGCCTCACTGGCGGGAAAAGGATATGCACAGCGCATTGGTTCAACCCGTAATTTGTTCTGTAGGCTACACGTTTATCTTCATGCGGCTGTTCAAGCCGAGTACTTTTCCAAGTCCTTTGTCGGTTCAGAGCACCCAAACGCCCCGATTGATAGTGGATACCATGCCAGCAATTCCATTCAGCAAGCGTTGTCGTACTTCTTGTCGTGGACGGCAATGGCACTGCAAATGTCAGCACCTGAGGCAGCTTGTCAAGTTTGTAAATATAGTACGTACCGTCCGCTGGGATCGGTCTGCTTCGACCAGGTGGGCGTCCAGCGCTGGACGGTCGACGCGCAGCGAGGCGGGAAGTGCTCGTCGAACATCAGGCGATACCAGTATGCCTCCTTGGTCTCGGGAATGTCAGTGCCCCACTCAGCCTTGGGGTTCTTCATCATCTCGTCGGTGACGTGCAGCTCAGCGTTGTCCTTCAGACCGTCGATCCAGCCGTAGCCGACACCATCAGAGAACTGCTCCTTTTGGCGCCAGAGAATCTCCTCGGGGAGGTATGGCTCGGTTCCGGGCTCGTCGCTCGTGTCGAAAGCCTTGCGGATAATGTATTTTTCGATGCGATCTTTGGTGATCATCTTGTCCTTGGGGTCGAAGCCCATGGCCGTCTCGAGGAACTCCTTGTCCAAGAAGGGAACGCGGGCCTCAAGACCCCAAGCAGAAGTCGACTTGTTGGCACGGAGGCAGTCAGCGTAGTGCAGGTTCTTGACGCGGCGGACCGTCTCCTCGTGGAACGCCTCCTTGTCGGGGGCGTTGTGGAAGTAGAGGTACCCGCCGAATGCCTCGTCGCTGCCCTCACCACTAAGGACCATCTTGATGCCCATGGCCTTGATCTTGCGTGAAAGCAGGTACATGGGGGTGGAGGCGCGGATCGTGGTCACGTCGTATGACTCCAGGTGGAAGATGACATCGGAGAGGGCGTTGAGACCATCCTCAATGGTAAAAGTCATGACGTGGTGGCGAGTTCCGAGGAACTTGGCGACCTTGAGAGCTGCCTCGTTGTCAGGGGACCCAGGCAGACCGATGGAGAAGGAGTTGAGCTGAGGCATGTAGGTCTGCGTCGACAGGTCGCCATCGTCATCAATACCGACAAGACCCTCGCCACGGTCAGCATCCTTGTTCTCGTTGTAAGTGCCAGCGTCTTGAGCAGCCTTCTGCAAGCGAAGAGTCTCGCGCTGAGCGATGGCGGCGACCAAGCTGGAATCAAGACCGCCGGAGAGCAGAACGCCATACGGCACCTCGGCCATGAGGCGTTTCCTCACAGACTTCTCCAAGGCATGGCGGAGAACCTTGAGATCGGCCGGTTGTGTGGGGACGTTCTTGGGATCCCACCATGAGGGCTGGAAGTAGCGGGTCGTCTCGCCAGTCTTCGAGTCGTAAACATGACCAGGGGGGAAAGCGATGATCTTGTCACAAACGGGGTATAGACACTTGAGCTCAGAGGCAAAGTACACGGCGCCGGGTTCCTTCCACGACCAGCCCTGGTAGAATGTGGTGATTCCGATGGGATCGCGAGCGGCGATTGTGCGGTCTTGCTTCTTGTCGTACAGGACAAAGGAGAACATGCCATCGAGGTGCTGGGGAGCGTTGAGGTCGTGCTCCTGGTACAGAGGGATGATGACCTCGCAGTCCGAGTGCGTCTTGAAATGGTATGTGCTCTTAAGGTGCTTGCGGATCATGCGGTGGTTGTAGATCTCACCGTTGACGGCCAGGATGATGGAGTCGTCGGCGTTGGTTAAGGGCTGGGCGCCGGACTCTGGTACTTGTTAGCTCGTGAAGGGCGCGCAGCCAGGGTCCCACGTACCAACGCCGACAATGCTGAGACGCTCATGGCAGAGAACTATAAGATCTGTTAGGTCTGATCACCCGACAATAGGCCAATTGACCTACTTGTCTGGTTACAGGTGACGTTGCCGCCTGGTCATGTTAGCTAAGACCTGACGTTCCCAGCAGCTGTCACTCACTCCAATCAGGACCGCGGTGTCGCACTCTGGAGATCGGTCAGCTGTTTTTTTTTTTTTTTTTCATTGTTCTCCGGCCTTGACTCATCCACATACTGCTTAGCAAGCTTGAGCGCCGTCGGCTTGAACTTTTGGACGTCGGGGTGTCTGTGTCGCTCTTGTCAGTCGCTGCCACATTTTAAATGCCATTGCGGGGCACAAATCTGCCCCTCCATGAGCATTTCAATCACGAGTATAGCACGCACCCGTGGCAGGCGAAGATTCCGCACATATTTGTGGTCGAAGGAGGACAATGGGATAGAGAATAGGCGAGAAAAGTGTCCACGGATGTGCGTCCCACTGCGCTTTATTGTCTTGGAAGAAAAAGAGTCAGAGAGGTAGGTGGCGCCGAAAATCGCGAATCATCCATCCCGCTGCTAGTGCCATGAAAACGGCTTGGCCGACTTCGGCCGATTGAGCTTAAATCAGTCATGCTCTAATTGGTGATTAAACTAGGAAGCCGAGATCCTAATCACTTATCAGTCATATGCTTTGATAAGGACCATGTTTGTCTCAACTTGAAGCCAACTCACTCCAGACAGGCCATGGCTCTTTGATAATTAAAGCGGCGACAATTGCATTCGAGCTGCATGCGTGGACAGGTACGATTTCAGTGTTCACGGTCGCATAGTTTCAACGCCTGGTTCAACGCCTGGCGATCAACTGCCTTATTCTGCGACGAGAACCGCATTCATCATCTCGATTCAGAAGGCGATCTAATGCCACTACTGTGTACGTAGTCACCCATGTGCACACCTTGCGCCCAGCTCTGAACCGTGACTGTGTGACCTGATGCCCGAAAATCACAATGTCCGTAAAACGCCACGTCGCCATTCTTCATTGAATCCCAAACTGTGCATTCCCCGGTCCTTTTGTCAAGTCGTGAACAGCCTCAAGGTGCCGGGTTGTCCTTGACCACTCTTTTGACCCTCTTCTCGTACTCGACGCGATCCTTCTTGAATAGATTGTACGCATCCGCCTGCGCAGGCGACTCGGGGTTCGGATCGTTGAGGAGGTCTTGAATACCGAGCAGGATCTGCTTCACGGTGATCGCAGGCTTCCAAGCCTCTTCCTCGTTGAGGATCGAGAGACAGACGGTGCCGGATGGGTAGACATTTGGGTGGAACAGCGGCGGAACAAATTTGCACTTTGGCGGCTTCGTGGGGTATTCTACTCTAGAGTCAGCCTCCCTTCGCTCGCGGGTCTCTGGGCGGAACTTTTTACCATCGGGGAAGGCGATGTTGAGCTTGAAAAGGCCATTCTCCCAGATGGTCTTCTCCTTGCCAGGGATGCCACATTCCCAGTTCTTCAGGTCGAGCACGCCCTCGCTTGTGCGCGCAGGTCTGGCGTAGAAGCCAAAAGGATGGTCGCGCCGCCACTGTTTCCTGCATGGTTCCCGTCAGCATGTCATCGTGCAACATGTGCTTAGCGTGCAGGCTTACCTCTCCTCTTGGAGACGGTTTTGGCAGAGCGCCATGATGCAATAGCTGTCGCGATGGGCTTTCCCTTGGTCCAGTGGGCTTGGCGTTGCTTCGCGCTGAGCAGGTTGGTTTAGCGATCGCTCGATCAGTGTGCGGAAAGTGGTAGAGAGTAGATGACGAAAGACGGAAGGCGAAAGTGAGATGAAAAGGTGAAGCCCAGCAAGATCCAAAGCGAATACACGAAACCAGATGCTACTGCTTGCTTTTATGCCATGATTATGCAAGGGTCTCGTTTGTGCAGCCCGCCAGGCTCAGCTGCGAATGCGGCAGGACCACATGCGGGGCGACAAAGCGTGGGGCAGGTTTCTTGAACCACGGGACAGGCATTCGGAGAGCTTCCTCGGTTCAGCTTGGAGTGAAGACTGCGACACACAAACTTTCCTTTATTGTTCATCCAGGTTTCTTTTTGTCTAGTTTGCCTAATCTACAGCGCTTTTAAACATATCGTTATCGCAAACAGTCCAGCATCCATTAAGACAAGACCATCCAAGGTCGCCGATCCAAGGTCGCCGACACACCTCGGTCAGTATCACAAATTCACCCTCCACACACAACACACAACTGCGACAGCTCGTCCACGATCGCAGTCGCTTTGTCGAGGGTCGCCTTTAAACTCAACCGGACTGTGTGGGTGCAAGTTTGTCATACCAGCATAGTGACTTGGTCTCTACACAATGAGTCCAGAGGATCCGGTCAAGGACGATGGAGTGCGGGCTCAAGCACAGCATGTGAAGCCGACCGAGGGCGCCTCATCTGCGCCGGCAGCGTCGGTAGACGAGGTTGGCGATGTGCCAGATCCTGATGAGGACGATTTGGATGACCTCGATGGTATGAGAGAACCCAATGACGATCTTCAATAAGTGCGCGACGCTCACAATGTGCACAGACATGCTCAATGACTTTAACGTCGGCTCGAAACCTGCCGCGGCACCTTCAGTCACAACGGGCAAGCAATCCTCGGAATCGACACCTCGAACAGAGGCAAAGCCAGATCCATCAAAGCCTACAGCAAACCTAGAAAACGACTTCTCGGAGGAGGATTTTGCGAAACAGCTACAAGCCGGGATGGCCGATCTGCTAGGCGAGTTGGAGAAATCTGTGGGCTTCCCTTGTCTCCGCGGAAGACGTACAGCTCTAACAAAGGCAGCCCGATATGCAAGCTCAATTCGAAGACGTGTTCAAGCAAATGAGCGCAGCGACAGGCGAGTCAGCCACAGCGCCTGCAGAGAGTGCGGCAGCCGACAAGTCTAGCAAGCCCGAGGAGCCGACGGCGGCAGACGCTTCCTTCCAGGAGACGATCCGTCGCACCATGGAACGCATGCAGAACTCGGGGGAGCAGGCCACCGCTGCCGCTGCCTCTGGTTCTGAGGATGACTTCATGGCCGAGATGCTGAAGCAGCTCTCTTCGGGTGCCGTGGGCGGCGAGGGCGGCGAGGAAGACTTCTCCAAAATGCTCATGGGCATGATGGAGCAGCTCACGAATAAGGAGATTCTATACGAGCCGATGAAGGAGCTGCACGACAAATTTCCAGACTGGCTGGACAAGAACCGAGCGACAACATCCAAGGAGGACCTGGACCGCTATGAGCTTCAGCAGGGCATAGTGGCGGAGATAGTGACTAAGTTCGAGGACAAGTCATACAAGGACTCCAACCCGGCGGATCGCGAGTATATCGTGGATCGGATGCAGAAGGTGAGTACCAGCGGCATCGTTTCAAGTTCAATACTAACACAACTAGATGCAAGCAGCAGGGTCGCCGCCTCCCGATCTGGTTGGGGACATGTCATCTGCGCAGGATGCCTTCAACATGCCAGACGATCAGTGTAATCCACAATAGAAGTCCCAACCTGTGGACAATTGTTCATTATATGCCATTTGCCAAAATATTGTGCACAGGTATGTGCGATGATCCCAATTTGTCATTAAAGAGCCCAACCGAACGCCAGTCTTTGTTCATGGTCCCCAACGCCGTGCCAAAAATTCCAGTCAATGATGAGCTAGTACGACATGATCTTATCTTCGTCCATGTAATCGCCATGTTCTACATTGGTTTGGTTGTGATGTGACCGCTGCTCCTGTGCTATGAGCTCGGCGAAGATGTCGTCGTAGTCTGCATCGGATGATGTAGGCGAGTTGGGCTGGTACGCCGGTTGCTGCTGCTCTTCATAGGACTCGAGCATTGCCTCATAGTCGAAATCTTCCTCCGGTGGCTCGTCCATCATGATAGCGTCGTCATTTTCCGGCGGGCGGGAGAAGGACATAGCATCCTGAATATCTGCCTCTGATAGCTCAGGCGCGTCCTGGGCCAATTGGCCTAAACCTTCGTAGTAGCTCTTCTTGAGGAACTATGATAGTCAGAAAGCTATTCATAAACCACAGGCGTGTTCTTTTACCTGGCCCTCAATATTTCTCCGCTCCCACTTTGAATCGTCGCTCTTCCTCTTGACGCTCTCCAAGAAGTTCCGTCGCCGCACCTCCTGGGCATCCTCACGCTTATTGAGGACACGAGGATTCGGTCTCGTGGGACGCGTTGCGAACCTGAACTTTGGCGCCGGAATTGGCGATGATTGAGTCTGGCGCTGTAATGAGTTGCTGTACTTCTCAGGCGAGATTGGGGAACTGGGTGCGCGCGTTGGTGAGGACGACAGTGGCGAAGACATTGAGGGACGATGCGAGTCCCATTTGAAGATGGGCGCAGGCGAAAACGAAAGCATGGCGTCTGTCTTTGATCTATCGAAAGAGATGTTCTCTTTGTTCGATTGATACTCGTTGATCATCACTTGGTATGAAAGCAGTGCAGATGGAGGAAAAGGTGTGTCGTTGTAAGAATGCTCATACGCTATACACGCAGTCACGCACGGGCAGGCACTCAACGCGACTTTCGCGTCGTCACGTGCAGGGATCAGCGCCACTGGTCATGACGCTGCTATCAACAAGGACAGCCCGAATTGGAAGGCAGAGTGGCGTGAGGGTCCCTCTCTGTGGCGGGATCCCGATCTCAACCGAGGGTCCATGCAGATCGGCCAACGAAAAAAGTCGTCAAGCGACTGTGATCGTCCCATAAGTTGCCAGACATTTGGGACCGCCCTCTAAATTACCCAATGAGTCTTGTCGTATTTTACCATGATCGATATATTATGAAAGATTGTGCATCCTCTTGAGAAGACAGAGCAACGGGCGCACTGATGAACGTCTTCTCCCTATCTGGCCCTGGCGTCCGCGCAGGGGGCCGTCTGTGGAACTGTACAATTTGTCGCAACCAGACAGCAGCAGGCGTCGCGAGAGTAGCGCAACGATACAACACAAGGCCTTTCACTTCGAAAACATCTCAATCCAATGGAGGCAAGCAGGGGCGAAGAGAAGGGCCTCGTAAAGCGCTTCTCTGGGCCTCGACCGGGACTGGCACGATTGGTGCGACTTTCCTAGCATTCAGCGACGACATTAAGAGCGGCATCGACTCGACGGAGCGGACGACGAGGGTGGCCACGGCATTGGCAGTATGCATCAACGACTACCGCACGACTCTGAACACCCGCGAAGTAACAAGCGACGAGACAGAGAAGGATGTGCTGCTCAAAGCGTGTCACCAACGATGTGCGGACCGCACTTTAAAGGTCTTAGAGAAGAATGGCGGCATATACATCAAACTCGGGCAGCACTTGGTAAGTTGTCCAGTCTGCGTGTCGTGGGCTGGCCTAACCGAGTAACAGAGTGCGATGAACTACCTACTACCGAGCGAATGGACGACCACATTCCTACCGTTGCAAGACAAATGCCCCGTCTCCTCCTTCGATTCCATCCAAGACATGTTCAAGAAGGACACTGGCGAGGACCTCTGGTTCTACTTCTCCGAATTCGCAGAGGAGCCAATTGGCGCAGCTTCACTCGCGCAGGTCCACATCGCAACAATGAAGGATACCGGGCGCAAAGTGGCTGTCAAGGTTCAGCACCCAGAACTCGAGGCGTGGGCGCCGCTCGACCTCGCCACGACGCGATTTACATTCTCGACCCTCAAACGCTTTTTTCCTGAGTATGATCTCGAGTGGCTCTCCTCTGAGATGGATGTTTCCCTGCCCAAAGAACTCAACTTTGTGGAAGAGGCCGACAATGCGCGAAGGATGAAGGAGCATTTCGCAAAGCTACCTGAGCTTCCCCTGGTCATCCCAGAGGTGCTCTGGGCCAAGAAGCGCATCTTGGTGATGGCCTGCGAACCTGGCAAACGACCCGACGACCTCGAGTACCTGGATGCCAATGGCATTGATCGCGACGAGGTATCGTCGACCTTTGGCCGCATCTTCAACGAGATGATCTTTGGTGACGGTGCGCCGCTCCACTGCGATCCCCATGGTGGAAACATTGCGATTCGAAAGAACGACTCTCGGCGGAGATTTGGCCGGGGCCCGAATTTTGACATTATTCTTTACGACCATGGACTCTACCGGGACATACCCCTGCCGCTACGACGATCCTATGCAAAGATGTGGCTGGCCGTCATTGACGGCGACGTGCCCCGTATGAAGAAGTATGCCTACGAGGTTGCCGGCATTGAGGAGAAGGACTTCCCTCTGTTCGCCTCCGCTATCACAGGCCGCGATTACAGCATCGTCAGCAAGCAAGGCTCGATTTTGCAGACACGCACCTCGGACGAGCAGCAGAATATCAGTGGCGCGTTGCAGGAAGGACTCATTGTGGATCTCGTCCAGCTTCTGAGTCGCGTTCCTCGCATCATCCTGCTCATTTTGAAGACCAACGACTTGACCCGGAGTCTAGACGAGAACTTGCAGACCAGACAAGGTCCGATACGGAATTTCATGATCCTGGCCAGATATTGCGCCAGGACAGTCTTCTACGAAAAACTAGAGGAGATCAGGGCGGCAGGGTCGTTGATTTGGCCAACAAATGCTCTGAGGATGTTTGCCGCATGGCTCAGCTTTGCACGGGTCGAACTGAAGTTGGAAGCCTTTGAACTGTACCTTGGTGTCAAGCGGATGCTTGGAATGCAGAGCACGGAGTTTGGGAGCAGTCCTCTGCAAAGATAGAAGGAAACCAGCATAGAATGTAATAATTTAACTGTATATACGACACGTTACCATGACCCAGCGTTTCTCGACTTATATAATGGCTTCTCACAGCCTGATATTCTAGGGAGAGTGCCAATTTCCTCAGAGACAAAAGGAAAGTACCAGTCGAGAAAGAAATCAAAGGCGAATCTCCTCAGTAGCGCAAAAGGAAAAAAAATGATTTCGCCCGGGCTTGAACCGGGGACCTTCTCGGTGTTAACGAGATGCCATGACCAACTAGACCACGAAACCAACTTGGTGTGACACGATCGAATAATTTGTAGACTATAATCTAATATCAAATCCCTAACAAACCTATGCAGTCAACAATCCTTCCGCCACTTGGTTTTACACGTACAGCGTACATCATACTGTGTGTGGACAAGCATTTTGATATTGAACAAAAACACAATAGCTACATTTGCCCTACGCTGTAGTCCGGTGATCTCTGCCCACTATTATTGTTATCTTATCCGCCCCTCCATTACTTACCTAGTGTGAATCGCACGAGTTGTTTTAGACTACCCTATATAGTACTACAAAGCTACTATATTTAGTTGAGTAAGTTTTATATTTAATAAAGGAGCACATGTAAGAATACTTAAGAAATACATGATTCCTTTCGGCTGTCACATGTCGCTTCTTCTTATTTTTCTGCCTCTGCACGATATATCCTTTATATAGAATAAGAAGCATTCTTTGGACCAGGGGTTTTTTAACGGCTCGCTTTGTCCTCAGTATCCTGGCAGGGACAATGCGTCACAGTATCTATCTAAGACTTACAGAGCACATGCGCGTACTTCCCGAACCCAAAGAGAAAAAAGAGCAGCGTATCTCCCACTTCAACGAAGTCAAATACCCACCCAGGCTTGATGATTACCCAAGCAAAAGATTGATTTCGCCCGGGCTTGAACCGGGGACCTTCTCGGTGTTAACGAGATGCCATGACCAACTAGACCACGAAACCAATGCGTGATTCGGTGGTATGCGATCAGCAAAGTTGCACACATCACTCTGAAGCATCGTGCAAAACTTTGAGGCGCCCGAAATACCAGTGTCGGCCGGAGTGTGGCCGTGAGTGACCGCTGTGGGCAATTTGAGGACGGCTGAATCGTACGATGCCTTGCGGTGCTTTCCTTTATTAACATACCCCATGTCTCTGAGCACTGGTATTACCTATCCAGGCTCAACAGTACGAATTTCCCTCATTTGCAGGCTTCAAACTGTCAGCGATACATATAGTGCGATTTAAGGCCGCTTCGTTATAGACTAACAATTGGCTGATATGACACGTTCGTCGTTCTCGTAGTCTATAGCTTATGACGTCGAGCTAAACCCTCAAGATGTTAGCCTCTTGGATCGTCAACAAGCGCAGGTCCGAAACACACTTGGACTGTCAAAGCCAAGTCAAGCTCATCTTACGTACATGCGAAGTAATCTTGGCGCGGAGAAATCCTCCGCAGTTTGCCCCTGGAGAAGATGGGGAGCGGTAATCGGCGTTAGCAAGTGCCTTTCTGCATTTGTAGCATACTGTTGTTTAGTAGGTGAGTATTTTAATCGTCGAAAAGTTCTTGGTACTTGTTGTACTATTTGAAGTAACGGCGTTAGACACTCATTGATGCCTTAAACATGACTGTTCCCTCCTTATAGCGCATAATGGCTGCTGAGCCCGTAGGAGCATTCGCGAATCTCAATCACAATGATGTACATAGCAACATACCCTGACTGATTCAGTGCTTACGGTAGATGGAGAATGGCCTAGCTGTCGACGCCACGGTCATAGACGCGCTAACAGGAGCCAATGCGCTTTTATCACGCCCCATCAGGGCGACCAAATTACATGTAGGTTGTTGTTCGGCAGTCCTCGTGGCAGACGCTGCAGATTGGACAGCAGAAAGCGTGTACCATCTTCAAATCTCCCATCAAGCGCGGGATGAGTATTTGTCAAAGCTCAAAGCCGTCTGACTGGATCGCGACGTTGCATCCAGGTCCCCAGACTAGGTGGGCGCTTTGGGCACTTTTGATGCCTTTTCTCACAGAGCGAGATTCCTGCAGGCTGCATCTGGCCAAGTGTCGACGATCAGACCCTTCACAACACGGAATAAGCTTTGTGTTCGGAGTTCCTGCAGGCTGCTGGTGTCTGGAGGGAACACAAGGGCATCAAACTGATAACATGCTGTGGAGGAGGAGGCCATGTCCCCAAAGGCTTAAACTTCAGGTCAAGGGGCGAGGCATTGGGGACTGGTAGTATCCGTAGTGGTGGGTGAAGTTTGACTACGAATCGGGTGGACTGGGGGTGTTGCGCAGTAGCACAAAGCGCGGGTCAAGCGCGATGGACTCTCAAGCGAGGATCGCAATGCCCATCGCAATATTTCTATCGAATTGGATACACGTTCAAGCAGTGACCCTCCTTGATCCAGCCGCCGGTAGTCAGTGGTAATTACTGACAACGGCACTCAAAGGGCGACGTTGGAAATGGACACAGGATTCGATGGGGAAGCGCCGTGTGCGAAATGACGTCCCCTCCATGAGAACTTGGGCGGCGGAGAACGTGTTAGAGCAGGTAGGTGACACTGATGGTGCACTGGACGCTCGAGAAGCCCCGAGGAAGGTGTGACGGAAGCTCCTGAGTGCCTGACTGGTTCGACAGGGCGGGACAGCGCAGGAGGTAAATGACCTTTCAGGCCTGAGGCGGATTGGCGCTTGACTAAAAATGATATGGCGAACCGTCCTAGGACTCCACTCCACCTTATCCGAGTCCGTCAATGGCATCTTCACTTCTGCAAGGTACCCGAATTCCAGCCCTCCTGCGCCATCGAACTGATTGTTGCATCGGTACACCTGTTGCCGGCCGAGCTTTGCTCAGGTCGAGCTGACATTTGCGCTTCATGACTGTAGCAGAGTGCCCTCACACAGTGAAATCTGGCGTGACTTCTCGAGGGAGGAGACCTACCTACATTTGGCTGGCTTGCAATGGCAACAACGCTCGCTGGACGAGGGAGCCGTGACCTGTCACCTGAGTCTGCTCTGCAGGGGAGTCTAGCTTTATCCAGTGGTCTTTCAAGGGCCGAGAGCCCGCAGCCTCGTATCTCGCCGCCTTCACCGCCAAACGCGAAAATTAGCCCACTACCTACTCATCGACTGCACGCATAGCGAAAGCCGTGTTGTTGAACGCCTCTGATGATCGAAAGAAGCCGCCAAGTACACAACTCACGAGCGCACATGATCCCCAATGGACGTCCACTCAGTGGTCGAGCATGGATCATTATGATCTCCCCGCCCAATGTCACTTTCGTCGGAGACCAAGACAAACAAGCACCCTGCCCCCCTGGCGTTGCCCTCGCGCCCCCTGAGCTCCAAGCCTCCAAACAAGGGCTCACTCTGACATCCGTCCAGGAAAGGCATCGCCGCCCCGGAGCGACCCCTGTCTAGTGCCATTTACATCTGACAAGGGTGGGCGAGGTGGACACAGGGGTCTTTCTCCTTGGCAACGCGAATGAGTCTCATGAGAGACACAAACGCCGCCGCCCTCCACCTTTGAGACATCTTATGCACCATCGTCTCCCATTCTCCTGGTCGTGACACATCAAAGCTCGTCAATACTTCTGCAACAGTTGACTGTGACCGTGCATTCGTCATCAGGGCGCTTGCTGTAGCTGCAATTGTATCAAACGGCATTGCAGCCCTTTGGCAGTAGTCTCTGACTGTGCCCTCCGAGCCCATCCAACACGACCTTGGCATTGAGGCCAGACCAATACGCCAAACGCCAAACGATACACCATTTTGCACCATCGGCAAGACAAGTGCTCCGACATCACACGGGCGAAGCGCTCGTGGCGTGCACCACAAGACAAGTCTAGGGCCGCAGGGAGATATACTGGATGGTATCCCATCACCGTGGCTACCTGCCTCGCCGTCGCCTGTCAACAACATTGTGATTAAAGCCGCGCGATCTCGACCGATGCGTTTGCTATAGCTCGACCACACACTAATCATCACCATGTCGACGAGGGAATCGGGATTTCTGCCGACAATCAAATGCTCGCAATGCGGTTCGCAAGTGGAGATTTCGATGATGGGAGATCACATCTGTAGCGGCGATAGCGAGACGTCGCAATGTAAGTGAAGATGTGAACATCACACAGTGAGGCGCTGACCACGTCCAGTATCACCACCGCCGGAAGCAGACGAGTCCTTCGGAAAGCAACCTAATCCCCAGCCTAGGCTTCCGCGCAAGCCTGTGGGAGTGGACACGGGCGCTGCGAGTAAGTTGATCGTCGAGCCCTATCCGAGTACAAGCTAATCAATGAACCGCAGATCGTCCGTTCATGCGCCATGACCCTTTGACACCTGTCAGCCATCACAGTGACTCTCCACGAACACCCTATAGCGGCTTGCCGTCGGCCAGATCTACGGAATACTTCTCCAATGCTACTGGCACATCGCCCGAAAGCGCCCGCCGGCCCAGCGGCTATGGTGGCCCAAGCGATGGTTCAAGCTATACAACAGACCCCATGCCGAGCCCTGGGGCCAGTGTGTTCCAGAGGATGGAGAACCTCGTTCCAGGGCCTTTTGATCATCGTGCAACTGAGGTCGTCTCACCATTACGCAAACGTTCACTTACACCAAGTGCGACGTTCCCAGGCGACCGACCTGGCACCGCGAATTCTCACCTTTCCGCCGCCAGTGGCGAGAGTCTCGCTGCGCCTAGGCCTCACAAAGCCTCGTACGATGGGTTTGGGCCTCCATCTAGGGCAGAGTCGGGGCCCGAGCAGGACATGCCCGCTCTGGGCTATCTTATCCGCTCAGAGACGTTTCCACGGCCTTCTGACGTAGCAGGGCCACCCGCGCGAACGCCTTCCGCCCCCGGGACGCGGAGAGAGAGCTCGAGGCGATCGGCAATGGGCAGCACACACATACCATCAATGGGTCCCGATACATCGCGGCGACCTCCTCCGCGAAAGAGTCTCATCCCTGCTGCACACAAAAACGCCGGATCTGTGGATTTGGCGAAAGAGTTTGGTGCCAGCAACCCGTACCATACTCCGTCGGATTCGGCCTCTTCTGGCTACTCTGGCTTTAGCCAGCCGAGTCATCCCAGTTCACAAACAAGCCCTGCGAGGTCACCGCCCCGAAGGCAGCCATCTCACGACTTGCGCATCGAGCAGGAGGTAGAGACTGGTATGGAGACTTTGCGACTGAACGACGCAAACGCCAATCCCCATTCGATGCCACGAACACCATCGCCTCTAGCTGCGGCACCCGCAGCCATGTCGCCAGCTACCTCCCCCAGGGACTATGGCGCTCAGCACCCATCGACTGAGACGGCTTCCCCGGCGCGTAGTGACTCTCTACTTCGCACTGGCCTGACACCTCAGGCTCCTCAAGTTGTGCGCAGAGGCACGGGCGATGTGTCTTCCCGTGGCGATTGCAAAGGATGCAGTCAACCGATTGTTGGCAAGAGCATCTCTTCCGCCGATGGGCGCCTCACGGGCAGATATCACAAGGCTTGTTTCGTCTGCTCAACGTGCGCTGAGCCATTCTCTTCTGCCGAATTCTATGTCTTGAACGACAAACCCTACTGCGAGCAGCATTACCACAAGCTGAACGGCAGCCTGTGCGGTGGATGTGGCCGGGGCATTGAGGGCAAATTTGTGGCAGACGAGGCCAGCGTCAAGTACCACCTCCGCTGCTTCTGCTGTGCTGACTGCGGGCACGGTCTTACCGACGGCTATTTCGAAGTAGACGGCCGTGCGTACTGTGAGCAAGACGCCTGGAACAGGGTGAACAGCGTTCCTGCGCCGACCCCGCGGAACGGACCCGGCAACTATCGTCCTTACCAGCCGGACCCGTACGCATATCGCCAGGGCCCTCAACCTCAGCAGCAGCAGCAAATGAAGGGGCCTCCACAAGGCCGCGGGCAAATGCCTCCTCGACCGCCTCAAGGGATGGGTCTCCCCGGACGTCCAGGTCCCGGACAGGGTGGTCCCCGCCCCCGAGGCCCCGGGTTGGGAGCGGCAATACCCCGTCCTGGGTACGGCCCTCCAGGAGGAAGGCGGCCGAGCCAGAATCCAGTGCCAGGGCTGCCTCATCCCAAGGCAGGCGGATTGGCACCACCGAGGCCATTGATGAACAAGCGCAGTACGCGCCTGGGCAGGATGTGAGCACGGATATTATGCGATTGTGCTATGCGGCGCTATACACACGGCTCACTCGTTGGTCGTGTTTCTCATTCCTGATGGAGCCATGTTCTTTTTATTATACCCATGCCCAGTTGGCCTTTGCCAGCTGTGGGCATATTCGCATATTTTGAGGTTTCGAATTTGAAGCAGGCGTTGGGCGAAGTATTATTACTTGAGGTGCCGGGCTAGGGTACCGGGAGGTCTAATCAATATAACCGAGTTGCCTCGACTATGGACACAGTAGCTATTATTATGCTATGTGAGACATGTCTTCGCTGTATCGCCAAGTGCCGAGTCTTGGCATGCTTGCCTTTTTCTTGGAACTCTCAACACGTTCTTGGAACGAAGAGGGCGAACGTGTGCTTCTTCCAGTTGGAGCGCAGGTTGGAGGGGGGAAGAAGCAAAGCACGAATCGGGTGGACAGTCACGGCTCACACTCGCCAGAGGAACTGTGTGGTTGCGATGCCTCCCCAGTAGACGTCTGCCAATGTCCAAGGAGGTCATGAGTGGCATGTTGTCGGCGAATCAAGCATCGACAGGATCCATCCTACGGAGCCGATCCCAAATCCTCTTGACGTGATCTTCGAGGAGAATCGTAATTACTCGGTAGAATATTGAAGCACGGCAATCGGTCCCAATGTTTGTGGAAACCAACGCAAACCTGCGATGCAATCACAGTAGATTTTGATCACTGAAGTGGACAGCAGCAGATCCGGATTCATGCAGTACCAAGCTTTCAGAACATTGGTGCAACGCGGCAAAAGGTCAGTGTGCTTTTTTGGCTTTGGGTCGACTGCCAACATTTGTGGGTGGCCAGCCCAGCCAGAGAAGTCGAAACAGCAGAAACACTGTAACACATGCGATATTTTCTACTTTCAGTACCCGTCCGTGTTCAAACCGCAGAGCGAGAGGCTGGAGGCCGTTTTGCGATCGACAGCACGCGCGTCGAAGCACGGCGGGTCCAGATTTCAGGAGTGGTGAAACTGCCGCGGGCTCCAGTGATCGTCAGTGACCTCCTGAGTTCCTGTACGGACTGGATTGCCGGTGGCACAGACGAAAGTTGCCCACGAGTGCGACAATGAATTCAATGTCGACGGTGGGAAAGGGTCCGGGAAAGAAATGCCGCCTTTGCTGTTTTCTGGACAGGCAAATCGCATCTGTGAATTCTTGCCGGGGTGATTAATTTCTGATCATCCATGGCTCACTTCCCTTATCTGTAGGTGCCGTCAGGGGCCAGGGCGGTGATGTGATGCGTGCTTCTAGGACGATCACGATAATCAGTCACCTTTGACCCCTTGGGGGCGGCAGAAAATGAGGAGATGACTCAAGTCACTGAGCCGTCGGACTGCAATCGCTGCGAATTTTGTCGCTCTCCTGTCGCTTGAATACTCGCGACTCATTGATACCACCCATCGTTAAAGTCGAGGTGATTCAATTTCAAGCTTCTCAACTCCAGTCCACCATCGTCGGCAGGCCCACGTTGCAGGCCTCCAGTGCCAGTCCAGAGGCGCCAGTCGCCAGTCAGGCGTTGAAATAGCGGCCACGTCTCCACCGGCACAGGCCCAGTCGCTAAGCCTAACTTGGCAGAGGCTACCCCTAATTGCCCCCAAACGCGACTAAAGAAGAGAAGCCAAGCACGCCTCCCATCTCCAGTAATTACAGATAGGCCTCGAACTTTTTCTCGCCCAAGGTGCTTTACCTCAGCCAACCTCCCACTACTACACCACCGGGTCCACGTCCCTCAATTTCCCAGGAGCTTCCTTTCGCGCCGCCTCGTTCTCTTCAACCTTTAACCCCCTCTTCCTGAACCTTTCACTGTACGACTGACGTCGCACCCCGGTCCAACCGACCAGACTTCTTTGACAGAAGTCGTGCCACTCCTTTGACAGACGCTCTATTCGCCGTTCCAATCTGTGAGCTACACCAACAGTGTTACACTGCCAGCCTATCTCAGTGTCACATTTGCCGCCATCCTGACACGCCCTTGTCGCTTGCCTGCGCAGGTACTCAGCACGAACGCAGAGGACAAAAAAGGCCAAGATACAGCTCGACAGAGGTCCCTGCTTCCTTCGCCAGCGCCAATCTTGGCTTCGCCACCATCCGCCACGCCGCGCTCTCCCCTCAAAGATCTTGAGCTGATATTCAGGGACAGCATGCTCCATTGCTAGACACGCTGCTTCCGTCATCGTTTTCTTTTCTTTTCATCGCTTGCGACGACTGTTCTACTTCGCGATTCGTCCACCGAGAACGTCTGACAAGTTGGACATGGAAAAGATGCTGAACCCACACAGTCGCCGAATGCTCAGCTCTCGGGCCCGGCCACGGACTCTGCTCTTGATCGCCTTCGCTTCCGTCACGACGTATTGGATCCTGTTCAGCGGCTCTGGGCCTCAGTTCCACGTTGTGCCATTCACCCACGATAGCACCGCGGGTCAACAGTTCACCCCAAGTGGCCAGCAATCGACCAAAGGCGATGCTTCCGATGCCGGCCCCTCAGAAAAGCATGCCTGGGACATTAGCATTGAGGACATCAAGGGCTGGAGAGACCCAGATGATGACGAGGATCCTGCGGATATAGAACCCGGGTACGAACGGGACGGCAAGCACAGAGAGCCTGGTGATATTAGCAAGACACAGCACGAGAAGGACCTGAGGACATTGTGGCGCTACGCTTACAAGACGACCAAGGAGTGAGTCCCGACCCCCGGATGGCCAGCTGCGTGCTCTACTAACGAGGACAAGTCTCGCATCCTCTGACCTGATCTACGGCAACACGCTTGAGACGATAGACTACCGTGAAAACCGCACCGAGGAAGCCGCCTCCCGGCTGCGCGAAGATCCGGATGTCGATGTCACCTTTACCGAGGAGCACCCCGTTCGCTTCAACCCCTTCCCGGACTACAACAGCGACGCCTGGAAGGCTTCGAAGCGGGCACCATACGTGCCATGCTATGGTGCTACCGGTGAGTTGGTTGAGGACCTGCTCGTCTTCAAGGGCACGCCTCAAGACTTTCCGGCGCCCAAGCTGGGTTCGTACGACAAGCTAGGCCTCGACGAGAATCTTTGCTGGGAACGCGAGACACGTCTCGGACCTTATGGGTTCACTAAACAAATGAAGAAGGTTGGCGGCGAGTTCGTGCCTGTGGACTGGGACAACGTGAACTGGGGCGATCTCCAGCGTCGCTGTGTTCACAAGAACGCCAAGCGATACGACCTGAACAAGAGCCGAAAGAACCCATACCTAAACGCTTACTCCGAGACGGCTAAATCCGACGACAAGATCGTGGCCAGGGATTCGTCGTCTCTCCAGACGGAGGCCGAGGTTCCCGAGGTCAACGGTCGTGCGCTTGCTGACTTTGATGACGCCGACGACACGGCAGATGACAATGATGTCGTCCCCGAGAAGCGCACCGCAGTGCTGCTTCGTGCCTACACCGGCAAGGACTACACAGAGAATGACAAGCAGTTCATCCGCGCCATGGTCAACGAGCTGTCACTCAAGTCGGGTGGCGAGTACGAGGTGTTCTTACTGGTTCACGTCAAGGACAAGGAGCTTCGTATCTTCAATGACCCGGAGACATACCAGGCCGTCCTCCACGACAACGTGCCCCCCGAGTTCCACGGCATGACTGTGCTGTGGAACGACGAGGTAGTTTGGAATATTTACACCGAGCTCAAGGACGAGCAGGAGAGGAGCGTTCACACTGCCCAATGGCTGTCCGTCCAGAAGTTCAGCCACGATCACCCGCAATTCGACTTCATCTGGAACTGGGAGATGGATTTCCGCTTCACGGGGCACCACTACGACATCTTGAACAGACTGTCCGACTTCTCCGCCGCGCAGCCTCGCAAGGGACTCTGGGAGCGTAACGAGCGCTGGTACATCCCCGAGTACCACGGTGACTACGACACAACTTTCCGCCAGGACATTGAGGAGCGATACGGTAACGACACCGTCTGGGGCCCCCTAGACCTGTCCTTTATCAACCCCGTTGGCCCTAAACCCCCCGTGAAGTCGCCCAGCGATGATAATTACGAATGGGGTGTCGGGGAGGATGCTGATGTCATCACCCTGGGACCCATCTTCAATCCGATCAACAGCAACTGGATCATTAGCAAACACGTCTGGGGCTACACGGACGCGAACCACCATTCCTGGGATGTCCCCCGCCGCACGACCATTGTCACCCACTCGCGCGTGTCCAAGCGTCTGTTGGACATTATGCACGTCGAGAACATGCGCGGCAACCACGTGGCCTCGGAGATGACGCCGCAGACGGTCGCCCTCCACCACGGCTTCAAGGCCGTCTTTGCGCCTCACCCCATCTTCATGGACCGCGACTGGGACGGCGAGTTCTTGAACAAGTGGTTCAACCCCGGCGAAAAGGGCGAGTCTGGTGGCTATGGCTCGCCGATGGGCTGGGGCCGCGAGCGCCGCTACCAGGGCACGACCTGGTACTACCGCGCTGAGCCGCCGAACCGCCTCTTCAACAACTGGATGGGCTGGGTCGACACCAAGATTGGCGGCAAGCGATGGGAGCAGAAGCACGGGAGGCCCTGCCTGCCATCGATCATGCTGCATCCGGTCAAGGAGTCGGAGCCCACCTCGAATGGGTACGAGACTGGGTTTGAGCTGGCGTATGGTTAATACTAGCAGCCAGACAGACAGACCCCTTGACCCATGCATACGCGACGTTTTTATACGCACAGAATTCACCGCACGCTCACGAACCCATGCCTCTTCGCGACGCCCCTAGCTGGCGCGAGCGTGCTTTTGCAAGCATTTTGCATCTCTTCACGAATACCCCTTCTTCCACCGCCCCTTACTTCTTCTCAGTCCAGGGGATTGATTGATTGTCCACTTCGACGTCCATGGTCACTTTTTGGCGAATTTAACTACACACGACGGCACATTGCACATACCACAGCAGGAGGAGACTCTGACAAAGAGGAATATGGTGTTCCCCGGCAGCAGCAGGTGGGGAGGAGGAATGCACAGCCTGGCGTTATTTGACTCGGTAGACGAAGGAGGACTGAAGACTGGATGGAGTGTGTCGGGTCCTCAGAAGGCCCAAGTCTTCATCGCCTCTTCTTGTTCATATGTACCACAAATATCATGATAGAGCTACGAGAGCAACGCGTAATTGAATGATTGCACTCGCACAACTGCAATGGAGATGCTTCGTCCTGGTGGGGGATGTGATGACATGCCCTCGGCGCTCCACGCTCCAGTCGTCGACCCCGCCACTGCAATTCTTTCTGAGCCTTACGCCGTAGTTATGACCCTCTCACCTCACTTCAGCCTGCGAACATCGGTACAGCACAAGTGTCCTGCATATCTTGCAATGCCAGCGACGTCTACCACGGCCACAGCGATATTGGATCACAAGCAGTGAGGGCCGCTGACGACGGCGACGTCACCGCTGCCCAGCGACCAAAATGAGCCTTTCATCATGAGCCCTCTTGGATCAAGTGTACGTCTCCCCCCCTCCCCCACCCCGAAGTTCTTGGCTTGGCCGTGGGCTTTTGAACTATACTGAACGGAGTTTGCCCCATAGACACCGACGCCGCGTCGGTTTCTCCTGTCCAAGCGTAATCAGCAACAGAGCACCGCGGGGTTCCAGTCCACGCCTCGATTCCAGGCCCCGTCCTCCTCAGCACGAGCAGCATCGGCCACGTCTGTGCAGCGTCCGCCGTCCACGGCCAGTGCAGTTCATGACGTGCGAAACGTGGCACCTCTGAAGTTGGCGGTCCCCCAGGGTAAACAGCGAGGCGTGGAAGACGTCGACGATGAAGACGAAGACGATGAACGTGTCGAGGTGAGCTCTGTGGAGCAGAGTGAAAGGGAGGAGGAGGTGGTGGTGGAGGAAGATGCCATTGAGGCGTCGAGCTCTCCTCGGTCGCATGTCGATGAGCCTGACCACGCCGGGCTGCAAGACGATGATCTAGATGGGAGCGATCTAGATGACGGCCACGACGACGACGGTGCCCCGTCCGACGCTGTCAGCGAGGCCGAGGACGGAGCATTGTTGAGTTCTCCATCCATGGAACGAGACACCAAGCGGCGAAAGCTATCCATCACACCTCCTCCTGCTTTCAGCCCACCGTCGACACAGCAGCAGGATGAAGCAACGAACGCCTTCTCAGACCTCAACGAGAACCAGGAACTCTCCTCGGAGGCTGAGTCATCGTCCACCCCCGGCTCACCCTCCAGAAGAGACGCACAGCAGCCGACGTTTCGACGTGTCCCGCGCTTCAAGCCCCTTAACCTTGATCTCACCACGCCGGTTCTCCCAGTCGCCTTCTCCCCTCAGAGGCGCGGCGCGAGGTACCTAACGGGTGGTCTCGCCGCCGATGTCCAGTCCATGCTGTCGGCGATCAAGTCCGAGGACCAGAAGCACGCCTCCTCCTCCTCTTCTTCTTGCACCACGATCCGAGTGGAGGAGGTGCGCGCGGGTCGAAGGATGTACCTTGTGCGCGATGGGCACGGCAGGAGAATCGTGCTTGCGGGCGAGGGGAAGCTGACGGGTCTGGGCAGACGCGCGCCCGTTGCGCAGGGGAGCGTCGTGGACGTGGGACAGTTAAGCTGGAGTGTTGATATGGAGGGGAAGAGGTGGGAGGTGCACTGTGACTGGAGTATGGTGGTCTAGTCTGGTCAGTCGTGAGATCCTCCTGGTCTGGCCGGATCGTGGCGTCTTCTGAGAATGCTCGGGCCCTGGCTGCGGCTTCTCCTCGACACGGGTGCTACAAGCACGCCAATATTTCCATTGCCTCATGGAACCTGTGGCAACCTATCTATGTCAGCCCTACATACCTGGACTCATCACACATGGGTGGGCGCGACAACTTTGCGTATCTGCATTGACCTGAGCTGTTACGCCCTTGTCGATGGTCTCTGCCTACCCTGTGCCATGGCCAGCGGACGGTCCTCTGCCCAATGTGGCCAGCAGCAGTTTGCTTGTAAGTTTCATAATAAATACCACATTTAAATGTTTATTTATATGCCATTTTCTCTATCCTGAATCAATATGTCACAACGTGTTCGGAACCACCTGACCTGGTTTGATTGTTATGCAACTAACCCGCATTAGAAGATAGCGATACTTTCAACTTCAGGAAGCGCGACAGTTTCGCATTTCGCGACTGTCAATACACAAACACCATCAACATGTGACAAAGGCATGCTATCATGATCTCGAAACACATAACCCGTCCTTTCGCATATCCATGTCGTCAAACATGGTCTATCGCGTCCCATCGGCGCGTCCACTACCGCACAACAAGCGGCAAGCTCAGTGACCCCTTGCGGATACTGTTCTGCGGTTCGGACAATGTGAGCGTCGAAGCGCTCCAAGCTGTCCACACGGAGTCTTTGCACAATCCAGAGTTAGTTGAGAGGGTCGAAATAGGCGTACTGCCCCCAAAGGCTTCGGGTCGAGGGTTGAAGACAAAGGTGGAGTGTAGGTCGATCCTCGCCCCGACTAAGGAATAATGCTGATGAAAACAGTACCATGCGAGAAAGCCGCGGCGAGTCTGGGACTACAGTGTCACCAGATTCCGACATTCACGGGGTGGCAGGTGAGTACCGCGGTTGAATGGATCCGTGGCTGGCAAGCTGACTTTGATACAGATGCCCGCGGATATTAATCTGATCATCGCCGTGTCGTTTGGGCTGTTTGTCCCGCCGCGATTGTTGCGACAGGCGAAGTACGGTGGGCTTAACGTCCACCCATCGTTTCTACCAGAGTAATTAGGGTCCCAGGTATAGCCAATCGGTCAGAACGACATGCTGACAGGCTACAGCTTGCGGGGACCGGCGCCGATACATCACGCTGTTCTCCACGGTGACACTCACACCGGAGTCTCCCTCCAGACGCTTCATGAGAAGACCTTTGATCACGGCACGGTCCTTGCGCAAACTCCCGCGCCAGGGATAGCGATTCTTGCGCACCCCACCCTCTCCTTGACCACGCGGAAACTGGGCATCGAGTGTGCAGAGATGTTGGTGCAGGGGCTGCGAGACGGTCTACACGTCTCTCCTTACGAGAACGCGGGCTGGCGGAACGCAGATGGTCTTCGCCATGCACCAAAGCTATATCCGGGGGACCTGAAGATACAATGGGACACCTGGTCTGCCGCGGACTGGCAGAGACGACTGGTCATGAAAAGGGCCATCTGGACAAACGCAATGACCAACAAGGGCAAGCGAAAGCGGGTCATCTTCCACGATGCGAGACCTGTCAGCGCGACAGACGTCCAAGGCACCAGAGGTATGGTCGCCACCGTGGAGGATGGTGAGGGCGATCCAGTGCGAAGGGAGGTGATTGTGAACCAGGGCGACGGCAGTGTTTACTTCTTGACAGGGCGGGGGGAGTGGGTTAGAGTGCGGCGAGGCAGGCTAGAGGCCGAAGTCGAGAAGGATGCTGCCATGGTGGTGCGCTCACTCCTGGTGAGGGACGTATGATGTCGACGGCCTATACATTCGACAGCCCACTGTAAATAGTTATTTGTACTATGGCATTGCGCCATCAAGCCAATATCAGACCCAACTGTGAATATGGCCGATTGACCTCGACTTTGACACGTGCCAAATCGTTTATGCCAAGCACGCGCATTCTCACGTCTAACTAGACTCCGCACAGCAGATCAGGTTTGGCTCTTTGAGCAACGGCAGTTTCACAGGGCTGAGCCAAGGCGAGTGAGTGGAAACAAGAAACAAAATGGAGTTTCCAGAAACTGGGTGGTAATTATCCTGAAACATTTCATGACCGGGGATGCCTGCGAGGATCTTTGCCAATTCCAAGGGCGTTGAAGATGCTGATTTGAGTCGCTGACTGAAAGTAGCCCAGGATGGCAAGTAAGGTGTGCCAACTTGGTATTATTATCAGTGTTCAGGTCAAACGAGTCTGATGCGTGCGGCTACCGAGAAAAGCATTGCTGAAAGATGACGCCTGATGAGGGTCCAGGCAGGGAACGTGTGTATGCAGTGGAAATTGGCACGACGCGGGCGGGCGGGTGTGCAGAAGTGATTGCATTGCCGTATGGGCCATGTCTGCCGTCTGCGTGATAATTGCGCGCAAAGACGCGTCCCAATCGCCCTCAGAAGAACCGGAGGCTCCCAATCAATCCGTTATTACCTGCGCTCACGCGCATGCTCCGGCCATTTCCTGGTTAGGCGCAATTGGCTGCACGTCCATAACAAGCAGTCCAGGAGCCCCGTACGTGCGTACACGGTACAGGACAAGTTCGCTTCGTCTAATAATGCAGGTACGATCTGCGCGCGAGGTCCACTCTTGGTGCTTTTGCCTTTGTGCCTGGAAGCTTCGGTGTTTTTTCAGGCCGCGGCCTTGCACGGGTGGAGACGCTCTGCCGCAGTTTCCGTATTCTCCGCCCTAATGATCTAATCGCAGCGACCCAGACAGTCGATCGTCATGGAAGAGTAGTGCCGCTTTTAGTCTAAGCTATCACTGCCCACCGTGACAGAGGCCCTTCTACACGATATGGAAGAGGGTTCTGAAATGTCCCCTGTCTCTAACGGTGACCCAGCGTCAATTTTTACTAACGTCCCTGTATAGAACGCTAACAATATCAACAAGTTTGTCGTCAGCAAATGGTGAGTATCTGTGCATGAAATTATAATTAGAAAGGGTCATTCGAGCTGAGCTCGCCTGAGCAAAAGCAGCGTGAGCGCTAATCGAGATTCGACCACGGCACAGATCGCAACTCACACCAGGAGCTCACGTCCTTCACCGACTGGACTCGTTTCTTTGGCGCCATCCACCACTCCGCACCGTGAGCAACAAAGTAAGCAAACAAACACCGCCCTACGCTACCCACCTCGTGTCGTAACTTGCCCACAGCGCCTCTCGAATTATCGAACGCCATGCAGCCCGCTGTGCCCGCCTCAGGTTTGTCCAGCTAGGCGCTACCGGAAGAGACGAGCACGGCTGCAATAGATGCCGGAGAACACCCCCGTGTCACACAGGGTTTACGGACACCTCATATTAAAGTCAGTTGCCGTTGGTACTTAAGGTTGGGGTTTCACAAGCTAGGTGCAAATTATTACTGCTGACAAGCATCGCCAGGGGGGGGGGGGGGGCTGAGTCCAGACTGGCATCGCAAAGTACGCGTGCTCGCTGACTGCTTACACCATGCTCACCACCTGCGGCACGTTGGGCGCAGCCGCGCAGGCGCGAGGCACACGCTGGACGGGAAATGACAGCTCGGGACTAGGCAAATTCGGCATCAGCCCCAGCCCCAGCTGCCTGCTTGCTTGTCTGCCTGTTGGGACCTAGGGACCATCGATTGAGCTTCAACGACCTTGTGTGAACCGAGATACGTAGCCGTTGACTGATCGCCAAGGCTTTGCTCCTCTATTCACGCGAACTCGCGATCGATTTTTGCATTGAGGGTGGGGGGAGCCCGGAGCCATCCCACAAACTTTGCAATGGTGACAACGATCGACTCTTCCGCAGTGTGTTCGCTGCCTTGATCTGAGCTGGGGCCCGGACGAGTGAACTGTGACTCTCTTCACTGCGGGCACGCGTGGATATCGACCCATCCTACTTTAACCCGAAGTGGACGGGACGCATGGTTCCTGCATTAGCGGACTTTTTTGCAGATGCTAGAGGGATACATCTCAGCAGACCAAGTGTACACCAGTTCAGATGTATCTGTTAACATGACTGGATGCCGTCCTCCCCTCTGGCTCAATCTCTTCAACGACATCCCTGTCGACAAGCCCCTATCTGGGCCTTGGGATGATAACTCAACTGCAAGCCTGCAGGCCAGCAGCAAACGGCTGATGTTGTCTGCTGGATGCGATCCGCCAGACCGTCTCTCAAAAGCGAGCACCACCCACCTGGACGAGCCCTTTTTCCTCTCCTTTCTCCTCTTCACGCGGAATCTCTCGTTACTACAAGTCGTACCTTGTCGCCCGCCGTAATCAGCTGACCTCGTCGTCAAGCATCACACTCTTTTTACAAGTCTTATCAGACAACATACATTCTTTCAAAATGGCCATGTACAAGTTCGCCGCGGCCGCCCTGGCCCTCTCCACCGGTGCCACTGCCCACCGCTTCAACTTCGCGAATGGACTCAACAGCACCACCACCACCACCAGCACCAGCGATGATGCCGCCACAACCACCATCGTCTCGGAGACCAACACGGTGCCTTCGCACACCAGCACCTTCTGGGGCAACACCACCATTACCACCGCCTCGGTCCCCTTGACAACCTCGGTCCCCATGACAACCTCGACCGTCTTTACCACCACCACCCGTACCATCACGGACTGCCCCGACACCGTGACTGACTGCCCCGAGGGTGGTATCACCGTCACCGAGACCGTGCCCGCCTACACCACCGTCTGCCCCGTCACCGAGGAGCCTGAGATGACCACCTCCACTGTCTACACCACCACCACCCGCACCGTCACCGACTGCCCTGATGATGTCCCTGACTGCCCCGGAAAGGGCGGTGTTGTCACCGAGACCATCCCTCTCTACACCACCGTCTGCCCCGTGACCGACGTTCCCGCTGAGCCCACTGAGGAGCCTGAGCACCCCGGTGAGGGTGATGACGACGAGGAGTGCACTGATGTCTACACAACCACCACCGGTACCAAGACCATCACCAAGACTCTCACCGTCCCCGCCGACGAGCCCACCAAGACCCCTGAGCAGCCCGTCTGCCCTGGCCACCCCGACTGCCCCGTCGAGGAGCCCCAGACCACAGAGGTCCCCGAGACTCCCGAGCACCCCGAGCCTACTGAGACTCCTGAGCAGCCTGAGCAGCCTGTCTGCCCCGGTCACCCTGACTGCCCTGCTGAGGAGCCTGAGCAGCCCGTCTGCCCCGGTCACCCTGACTGCCCTGCTGAGGAGCCCGAGCAGCCTGAGCAGCCCGTCTGCCCCGGTCACCCCGATTGCCCTGCTGAGGAGCCCAAGCCCACCACTTTGGTTCCCGCTCTGCCCACCAACAATGGCACTATCCCCGAGCCTACCAAGCCCACCGCTCCCGTTCAGCCCACGGAGACCGCCCCCGTCTCGGGTGCCGTCAAGATGGGCTCCTCGCTCCTCGCGGCTGTCGCTGCGGTCGCTTTCTTCTTGTAAGGATCTTGCACCAGCAACTTGCTGATTTCAGCCCAAGGAATGGTGTGGAGAGGATGTATATCTTGGTTTTCCGGTACTTAGGATTTCCCTCTTCTAATGCATATTGTTTATTACACTTTCACTTCGGCTTGTTCATACTTTCGATCTTGGTGGTTTGGTGTTGTAGTCGCTCGTTAGGGTTGGTGGGAACAAGGATATGATTGCTTTTTACAATATAGACGGCCTGCCCTGGATCTAAATCTCCTTCTGCATGGGGAATGATTTGCCTTTCTTCATACATGATGGTCTACAATGAGTGATGATATGTGTTTACATGTGTGGTCCTTGATTCGCAACCAGTGTTTCACATAGTGCCCTTGTCTGCACTTACAATGTCTCGGTCCGCTCCTGTTTTGAGACACCTGCCGCGGCATGCATGCAGCTAGCTTTGCTTGCTGCAGAAATATCAAAAGTAGTTCAATCGTTTGCCTTTCCATTATGTGATTGATGCTGGCATGCCTATAACATGCCGTTCGCTTGACTCCCTCATGTGTTCATGACGTGATGCCTTACCCAAACGCCGAACAGCAGAACACCCTATCCAACGCCCAACCAGAAAACCATGTCCAATAGACAGCATGCCATACTACAATCAGATATCCTCTTCACCCTAAAACAAAGCAGCACACCCTACTCGTCTTGCCTTATTCAAACGAACCTCTGCCCAGTAGGCCGCCCACCATGCCCACTCTCCTCTCTGCGCCCTTGGCCTTGCGCAGCTCCCTCCTACGCTCACTCTCCTCCACCTTGGCCCTGCTTCCACTCTGATCCCGCGCGCTGGCCAGCGAGCTGACGCCACTCTTCTTACCGGCCGCCTTCTTGATCTTTGCATCGTCGCCAAAGCCAGACGACGTCGTCGTGGCAGGCGCTGTGCTCCCCGCCGGCTTGAACGAGTTGGTAGTCGCCCGGCGCAGAAGAGCGGGCACCTTGAACGACGAAGAAGACAATGATGCGCCAAACGCCAGTCGAGAGCCTGACGTCGAAGATGCGCTTGACGAATCTCTTTTGAGGCTGATCCTGTCGACGATGCCGCTCGGCTGTCGAGGGTTCTGGTTCTCCTTGTTCCCGCGCGACTCGTCGTCACTATCGGAGCCGACGTCGGTAGCTGGAACGACAGAGCCCTCGCGGCCATCGTCAATGAGGCTCGACAGCGTCTGGCGGACATCGCCAATGTGGGTGGCTTTTCGGCCGTGCTTTGTCCGCCTGGGGTGCGCGGGCGCGCCATCCTGCTGTGTGGCATGGGCGAGGGCAGCCGGTGGCTGGCTGTCAGGGACGACGACCTTGGCCGCCTCTTGGGATTGACTCTGTGAGTCCTCCTCAGCGGGCTCTTCGACAAAGCCAATCAGATCCATCTCATCGTCACTGTCACGATCTTCAATCGTCTTGAGAAAGGCCTTATTGCCAGGGTTCTCGGCCATCTTCTTGACACGCTCATCTGCGAACAGGGCCTTTTGCATCTTGGCGAATTGGCGACGCTTCATCTTGCGACGGGCTTCGCCGCCATCATCCGAGTCTGAGAGATCATAGTCAGCGCCGCGCTTGCGGCGCAGCATGCCCCGAGTGACGTCCTTGAACAGCTGCTCAACCTGCTGCTCGTCGTTGGCGCGCTCACGATCGCTGCAAAGGTTAGCAAGGAATCGAACTTCAACTCAAAAGGAAACTCACGCATGGAAGGCGGCGATTTCGCGCTCGCCCGTATTGTTGCCAGTAGCGTCATCCAGCATGTCCTTGACTGAAGCTGTCGACTCATCGTCGCTGTCCTCGCCATCGTACCCACCGAGACCTTGGTATTCGTCTTCCGACTCTTCGGCGTTCTCGTCGATCATCTCCTTGGCCTTGCTCTTCTTGCGGTCGAATTCCTCAGCAGCGCGCCTTTTCTTGTCCTGGAGGGCCGCATCTTTCAGGGAAGTAAAGGCAGTCCCTTCAGCAGGTGTGGCGGCTCCGGTGGTGGGAACCAGCTCATCCTCCTCGGGGGCAGTCGCGTCCATCTTGCGACGGTATCGGCCTCTGCGGACCAGGGGAGAGTCTTGCTGCGCCGACTCTTCCCTATCAGGGACGACCGTATCGACCGTTGAGTGGGGAGCGTCAAAGAAGCGTTGCTTGATGGGTGTGCAGTGCCGCATGCCCACATCCTGCGATGGTTCCATCATCTCCGATAACTGGGTACCTGGTACGTCCTGCATCGCGCTGTCAAAGCTAGCGAAGTTCAAGGAGATACCCTGTGTGTACGCCTGTGTTTCCTCTCTCTGTGTGGCAGGCTCTACAGTATTCTCGGCAGTGCACGCCTCAATGGTAGCCGAGAAGTTGGAGTCTGGGAACGTGTCAAAGTCTGGCATCATAGACTGCGTAGGGCCATCCTGGCTGGGCGGCATTTGGCTGTCATCGTCCATCGTGCCAGCGAACATCTGTGTCAACCCGAGGCCAGCTGGTCCCTTGACAGGAAGACCAGGAATGAAGGACTTCTTGGCGGACCGGAGGACAGAGCTTGGCGCGTTGGGAGTTGCCGTCCTGGGGATCGTGGGTGTGGCTTGGGTCATGGACTTGGGTCTCGGCGTGGTTTCAACGTCGTCCTCTTCGTCTGAGAGGATAGTGGTCTGCTTGCGAGCCCGACGGCGAACGTTGCTAGATGCCTCTGTGACATCCTCTAGGGGCTCGTCCGCATCCAGCTCCTCATCCTCGGATTCATCTTGCTGAGCGGCACTGTCGATCAGAGCGCCTTCCGTCTCTTCTTCCTGGTCTTGCTCTTCCTCCTCGTCCTCGTCCTCCCCATCGGACCCGGACAACTCCATGGCCGATAGCTCGGCATCCGCGTCCTCGACAACATCTTCATATAATTCATCATCGCTCTCATCCCATGCAAGCGGATCATGGTTGCCGTCAGCTTTCTTCTCCTTCTTGGCTTCCTCACGCTCCTGTCGCATAATCTGCTCAGCTTCAGCGCGAGCCTTGGCTACAATGTCTTCCACCTCTTGCATCTCGCGTTCACGCTCCTCCGCGGTCTGTATGACAACGCCTTGCGCCTTGAGTATGTGCATACGACGCTCGCGCTCCTTTCGAGCCTGTTCCCTGGCTTTGCCAGCGAGGTATACTTGGAGCTGACCCGCAGTCATCCCCTTTGACTGGCCCTTGCGAATATCTCCTCTTTGGGGGGATGTAGGTCGACCCAGCGCCTGAACGATCTGGAGGGGCCTGGGAACTTGACTTTTCGAAACCACATTGCTGGCGAGCTTGGCAGCGGCATCCTTCTCCGGACGCACAATCTCAAGCTCATCGTCCGAATCAAGCATGGCCATGTTCTGCCCCAAGGGCAAGGGGAGCTTGACACGGATTTGCTTCTTCTTTGCTGGTTCAGCTACCTCAGAAGGCGCCACAGCTTTGCCCTTCCCCTTGTCTTGCGAGGCAATGACGCTGGCTAAATTCGGAAGATCTTGATTGCCACCGGGAACCAAAGTCTCAACGGGAGCCACTGCGGCCGGTTCACGAGCCTTTTCATTGGGCGCATCGGCGGGAGGTGGTGAGCTTGGTGGCGTCCCGTCGTTTTCCATGTCTACATCATCACCCTCTGGCGACCCAGGACGACTCGAGCTGGAGACCTTGGGTTCCAGGGCAGCGGTGGGCTTGATGTTGAACCTCTCCAAGAAGCTACTTTTGGAGATCTTCTTTCTTGTCTTGGCCTCCTGTGCGAGCTGCATGCTTCGCTGCATCCGCTGGGTCTCGCGATTGATGTCTTCGATGGCTTTCTTGCTCGCCTTGCGACTCGGTCGGTTCTCCTGCGTGAGCTTGCGGCCGCCCTCGTCGTCGGTGAGACCACCGGAGCCACTTCCATCGTCGGACTCGAGCTGGCTGATCTCCGACGCGAGCTTTTCTTGCATATCGCGACGCTCGGCCTTTTTTGCCTCGTCAGCGGCCTCTCTCGCACGGGCTTCGGCGCGTTTGCGCTCCACAAGGGCCTTGAATCGATCGGATTTGGTGGGAGGGAGCTCGTCGTCTGAATCGAGCTGTGCAGATTTCGCTGGGGAGGGTTGAGCAGGTGACGAGACGAAGAGACCGGGACTGTTGGATCGCGCATGGCCCTCTGTGGCTGCGGATTCTGGAGTCAATTCGCGAGCCGTCTTGCGGTGTAGACGCCGCGGTAGGACCGGGAGATCCTCGTCGCTGTGATTTTCGTCGTCGACTTGGTCAAGGTCTTTTGGTGGAGAGCCTCTTGAGGACGTCTTGGTTTGTGATGGCGAGCCAATTGGGCTTTCTTCTGATACTTTAGCGGCAGCAGCCTGCATCCGGGCAGCAAGGCGTCCTCTTGGTCGGATCTCCTCATCTGAGTTGGCGTCACTGTCTGATTCTGCTGATGACTCTGATGCTGTGGCTGTGGGCCGTTTTGACGGCGACTGAGCTTCATATGTGGCATCTTGACTGTCGCCCTTGCTACCCATGGCATCAAGGAGATTTCTGATCTTGGTTCTGGGCGTCAATGGGCCAGGCGAGCCCGCGTCCGACGCGGGTGAGGAGGAGCGCGTCGACATTCTGGCGTATTGTAAGGAGGGAGAATTATGCAGGGTATCAAGCTAAAGGAATAAAGGCAATGGATATATTGCTAGAAAAGTGCTGTCGGGAAAATGCAGAATCCAAGATAATACATCAGTAACAGCATTCGACGACGAACTGGAGGTGGAGGACGCAGTGGGGAGTTGAAGGTCAACAACCACTTTAAGACGCGCGACGCGATGCGTCCACGTCAAATCGCATGCGGGTGGACGCGACGTGACAGCCCCACCTCCTCCCCCGCCGGTGGTACCAGCCACCACTGGCAGCTCCAATTCGGCGTCTCCACAGTTACAACAGCTGAGCTGAGAGCACCAGCCTCAATGTGGCACGGTAGAGCAATCAGACTGCATTTCTTCGATGGCATTCATCATCAAAACACGTAGGATCAGGTCATGATTTTGCAGATTGTTTGATTCATATGCCGACGGCCAAGGCCGTCTTCAATCTGACTAAAAGGGGGTAGTTCAATCTTTTGGTAAAGACAGACTTCATTCAACATTCGAATCGAAAGTGTTCCTTCTCCGCCGCCTTGTCCTCAGCGAGGATCAACCGAGCTGCTTAGAACAGCTTGTGCTCGAGCGTCATGTCAGACTCGGGCTCGAGGCCAACGCAGGCACGGAAGATGTTGGTCAGGGCAGCACGCTGCTTGGCCAGGGCGTTGACGACGGGCGTACCGGGGGGCGTCATGGGGGCCTTGAGCATGTAGCTCAGCACGCTGAGGACGGAGTGGAAGTTCTTGTACTCGGTGGTGGCGGCGCCGTCGGTCGAGGCGGCCTTCCACTGGATACGGGTCATCATCTCAGCGAGGACAACGAGATCGATGATGAGGGGCGAGGCCAAGAGGGAATCCTCGCAGATGTTGAAGAGGCTGTTGGACCATGTTAGTTTTGTGTCCCAAAAAAAAATAATCTCAATTGTCATGCGCAAGACTCACGAGATGGTCTGGTGACCACCGAGGAAGATCTCGGCATAGTACTCGTCGAGGGCACGCTTGTTGTCAGCGACGGCGGGCATGTACTTGATGACGACGCAGTGGTCGGGGTGCTCGCCCTCCTTGTAGAGGACGTGGTTGGCCTCGACCATGTCGTCAACAACGTTGGACTTTGAGATCTCCTTGGAGCGGAACTGCTTCTGCGAGCTCAGGTTCTTGCCGTCATTGTTGCCCAGATGGTTGTAGCTGGCGATGGAGGTCAGCTTGATACCGGCGCTGATCAGAAAGTCGACGAGGGCCGACTTCATCTTGGTCTGGCCAGACTTGAAGTCGTCGCCACCGATGAACGCGTTGTGCTTCTCGGCGAGCTGCATCACACCAGGGACAAAGGTGTTCTGGGGAGAACCGTTGATAAAGGGGGCATTCTCCAGGATACAGGCGACGGCGAAGACGGAGGAGGGAGAGACCTCCTCGTGGCCCTGCTCAATCGACTTGAGGATGTTGTCGGCCGTGTCGTTGACGCCCTCGATGACGCTGGCGTAGCGCTCGGTGTTGGCAGTCCACATGACAATGACCTTGTCGAGGCCATTGGCCGTCTTAAAGTCACGAATGTCCTGGCGCAGCTTCTCGACGTGGGCGTTGCAGGCCTTGCTGCCCTCGAGGACATTGTCGGCGCGGTCCTCCTGGTTCGCGGCAATGAAGTCAGGGTAGTACACGGAGGGCAGAGGCACCATGGCGCTCATCTCCTTCTGGACCTGGGCCTTGAGGGTGGGCTCGAGGACCTTGGCGCGGTCCATGGCGTCGGCCATGTTCATCTTGCTAATGTCCCAGCCGCCAATGACAAGGTCGTTGGGGTGGACCATGGGCAGGACCTGGCTGAAGGGGATGTTGACGTCCTTGTGGGTCTTGGCGTCGGTGCCGAGCTTGACGGTCGAGCCCATGACGACGGAGCCGTAGTAGTTGGCCTCCTGGCATCCCTCCTTGGTGTCCCAGACGAGACCGCGCTTGTTGGCGATGATGCCGGCCGTGACGGTGGTACCATTGTTACCACCCCAACCAACGAGCATCATGCCCGTCTTGGGGACCTTGCGCTCGGTCTTGAAGTCATAGGCCGTCTCGAGGGGGGTGGCGACGTACTTGCCGTCGGCGCCGGCCTCGACCTTGGTGGTACGGTACGTGTACTTGGACTTGATGTCGGCGTCGGTGTAGGTGACGTTGGGGGAGTGGACAGTGAATGCATCTTGGGGGGCTGCGGTAGCAGCGGCCGTGGAGTGACCGCTGGAGTAGCCCGCCCCGTTCGTGGAGCCCGTGTGCTCTTCCGCGTGAGGCGCCATTGTGAGATGTCTGGCGCTTGGGGAGTTTGACGTGGTGCGTGAAGAGTGGTTGGTATTTCCTTTTGGCAAGGAAGATGGTACGGGTCTGAGTTAAGGAGACCGTTTACTGGGTATCGATCGAGTCCGCTGCTGCACCAGGGGAGGCTGAGCAACGGGCTCCGGCGAACGGGTGATGCACAGAGTTGAGAAGGTTGGAAAACGTCTTGACGACTGTTGTGATCGAGGGTCAGTTGCCTCGATCCTTGGTAGGTGACGATTTCAGGTGGGGGAGGTGGTGCTGTTGGTGGTGAAGTGGGACAAGATTGACCAGAGTCTCGAGAAAGGAGGTTTTTGATCAAGTAATGGTGTCCGATTGACTGGAGCTGAGCTGGAGCTGTCTGAAGTGGTTGAAGAAGAAAAAGAGGAAAAGAAAAGAAAGGAGAGGAGGGGGAGGGGCTCTGGAGCGAGGGGACCCCAGATACAAATACTCTTAGCCATTAGGTTGGGTACCTTATCCATCTTCCATCCGAACGCGTCACAAGAGCCCGGCACACGTTAATTACCGCTTCTTTGAGGCAACCGCAAGTTGCGGTGAGACCGGCTCATTAGCTCGGTCGGTACGATCACAGTGAACCAACTCCGAGAGACTGATTTAATGGCGCTTCAAGCGTCTTTCACCAACGAGAGCACGCGAGCGACTGTGCCCTGCGGCAGGTGTGGAGTCACGATATGTGCGCTGACCTTTGTCTGGTTGGAGCTGCAGTACTAAGATGAGCATGTCGACTAAAAGGACGCTGGCGACACCCAGCCGGCCTCGTCGGGCTTGGTCGGATGTCACGGAAAGCGACTGGAGGGCGGGCGAGCGAGCGAGCGAGCACGCGACAGGGCACTCCAAGGTATCTTTGTCAATGACAGCTCTCCATCCTGGGACTGCTACCTCAATTAAACCAAGATGATGGGAGCAAACCGACATGCACTTTGACAGACGCCATGTCGAACTCAGACAACTCGCAACTTTCAGGGTCCAGGCACTGGAAAGTTAATCAACAATTAACGTTAGTAGTCGCTGTAGATATTATGGATACCCCTCACTCACCACGAACCCCTCCACTGCATGTCTCCATCAGGGTACAAGCCTGCGCCGACAACGAACGTGCAGCTGGAATTGACAAGGCGCTACTACAATGACAGCTGGCCACGCATGATCGGCTGTGAGGCCTTTACACCCCCATTTTCCCTATGCAGATGTCGTTGATGATCTGACTGCCCAGCATCCTTCAAGGACAAAAGTGCCTTTGGGCAGCTTGGCATGTTGCCAACAATCGCTCAATCGATACCTGTTGCAGTTGAGCGGAGCGGAGTGTTTGACCGAAATACACGTGTAAAAACTGGTGCAGTTACATACTTGGAACATGATGCCGACTGTATACTTCTGTATACATATATTTCATGGAGAGAAAGTCCAAGAGAGAGTCCAAGAGAGAGTCCAAGAGAGGGTTGATTTTAGCGCATTGGGGTTTCGTCGATATCGGTGGACACAGGTAAGAGAATTTTAGGGATGTGTGTTGGCTGGCAGGGGCAGTAGAATATTGTCCCGCAAGACATTGCCTGAGGGTATCATGGAGAGGGAGTCCAAGAGAGAATTGATTGTAGCGCATTGAGGTTTCGTCGATATCGGTGGACACAGGTAAGAGAATTTTGATGGGTGTTGGCTGGCAGGGGCAGTAGATTATTGTCCTGCAAGACATTGCCTAAGGGTCGGTGACAAGTATCACTAACAAATTGAAACAAGAATAACTCTCGTGTCTTTGAGCAAGCTTCACGGTTGTAAATTAGTTGCTTGAATTGTATGTGAAGCTGCGTGGGTGGAAGACTTGAGGCTGCCCCAGGTAGCGAGACTGTACTTACTTACACGAACAATGACTCCATGTCTACGACTCAGCTGCCATCGTATACATACCAAAGTCTGCATACAGACGTATACTGAAGCTCTGATCCTGTGCTGGGAGCTGTCTTATCATGCACTGATGTGATCTGACCACGCATGGTCTTTCAGGCCTCCCAGGAGTTACGGATATAGATTTCAATCTAACCGTTGCATTTCAACAATTCGAAATAGCACGGTTCTGTGGTCTAGTTGGTTATGACATGGTGTTAACAGTTATTGCACCGCCATGGTCCCCGGTTCGAACCCGGGCAGAATCATCGCTCCAGCCAGCTGCGTGAAGCAACTGGCGTTACGCTTTTTGGTGGGCGAGATTTTTGGGAGAGAGTTTTGGGACTTTCCGGCAGGCGCGCCTGCCTTGAAAACTTTATTGTTCAGATGGTACGTCGCAATTCGCCAGCAGCAGCGAGACACAACACGCTCTTGCCTTTCTTTTTGAGACGAGACGAGACGAACGGCACACTGCGAGTGGTGGTGGGCGGTTTTGTGGAGTCTGGTGGGGTTGATCATCGCACTCCTAGATACGCAAGTACTGTAGATCTTCTCAGGCATGAACTGTGACAGAAAAGAAACTTGTCACCGATGTATATAGTAGTAGAGTCAATAATTGAACGGGTCTATTGGTCAATACTCCGAGACTGTTCATTATGACAGATCTCAAGCGTTGGCTATTACCTTCGATTAATTATTGGGGCTGTCCCCTGCTATTGCTCTCCCGCTGCCGAGGACATATTCGAACCGAAAAAAAAAACTTGTCACGAAGTATATAGTAGCAAAGTCAATAATTAAACGGGTCTGTTGTTCAATACTCCGAGACTGTTTATTATGACAGATCTCAAGCGTTGGCTAAAACCTTCGATCAAATATTGGGGTTGTCCCCTGCCATTGCCCTCCCGTTGTCGAGGAGATACCCGAACCGAAAAGAAACTTATCACGAAGTATATAGTAGCAGAGTCAATAATTGAACGGTTCTACTAGCCAAGACTGCGAGACTATTCATTGTGGCGGCTCTCAAGCGTTGGCTAAAACCTTCGATTAATTATTAGGGCTGTCCCCTGCTATTGCCCTCCCCCTGTCGAGGAGATACTCGAACCGGTCTGTGAGTCAATACGCTGGGGTTCCCTTGATCTACTTTGGGAATATAATATAAGGGAACTCATAATTGAGCACCGTAGATAGCGGTCTCAACCGGATGCCACACCCCTGCTTCTTTGTTGTCGTCGAGGTGATTATATCAAACTCTGCCCGTTGGCTCAGGAGTCAGGTCTCAGTCACACATCTCCGACAAGTTCATCTGCAAAACACCAACCCACGATCAGCCTCTCCTCAAGGAGCTTTCCGTGCCTAGCGGAAGATGGCTGCCGCTCACCTCCATGCAGCAAAAAGCCACCGTCATCCTGCGTCGTTGCAAAGGCAACATCCCTGGCCAGATCCACAAGCCTCTGCCATTGTCCTCTCGGCACCTTCTCGTGCCCAGGACGTCCCTCTAGGACATCCTCTACCCTCAGCCAGTATGTGATCGTATTCCCCCTTCGCGAGAGCGCATGGAAATATGTCGGATCCAGCATCCCGGGCCGTTGGAGGGGGGGTGACGATGAAGGGGGCAGCAGAAGCGAGTCAGGACGTGGAGAGGATGCCCTTGTACCTGCGTAGCTGGAACGGGGTGGCGCTCTCACAGATAACTCTTTGGGCCAAGGTGATGTGTACATGCCGTGTCCTTGCCCTAGCTCCGGCCGAGTGCGGTGGTTGTGATGGTAGGCGGCATGCCACCTGTGTGCCTCTGCCTGATACACATCGCCCGTGTCTTCGAGACTCAGCAGATCTGCTGTTGCGCACGGACATTCAGATACCCTGTGGGTATGCCCATCGTCGTGCCAAGAACCCACAGGTCGAAGCGGCAGATTCTTGGCGCGAGAATCCATGTAGGCATTGTCTGATGGTGCTCGTGGCAGAGGCCTGCTTGTAGGTGTCCGAGGGAACATGTCGTAGTATGAAGACATGCCTGCTTCCCATAACATTTCGTTGTTGGCGAGCTCCTTGCTCTGCAATGTGGCCAACTGCGCGTCGAGAGGTTGAAGAAAGATAGCGAGGAGCGCGAGTGAAAACCTAGAAGAGAATCAGTTAGTGTTAAATGGAAAGAACCAGTTGCTGCGGGCTTGATTATCAGATGGATGGATGCCAGCTGCCGAAGTGTTTGAGCACCACGGGCACCCGCATATCAACCGTCGCAAACACAACGCACGGTCATCTGGGCTTACCTTGCGAACGTACACCTTTAGCTGAAAAGGTAATTGCGGTTCGCACATCACATTGGTGTGTTTAGTGCGCAATGAAAGCTGTGTTCAGTCAATTGTCAAAGGTGTGATTCGACGACTCTTCGCTTGCGCTGTACAACGAGCGCCACATGTTCAGCTCGCTCGTATAAGAATACATCTGTCCGATAATGCATGTTCTCAGGGTATCGTAACGCCATGACAGACGTGTCCTTCCCAGCTGTCCTGCTCAACCTAGCCTTGAGCGTATCCATTCCACCCACTTGCACAGGTCTTGCATCTGCTCCAGTACCTTCCCTAGGATTTCTTTGGTGACGCGGTCATTGTCGGTCTGGGCGAGGATATTCTCGTCGGTCACGTCAACGACACCGTTCTCCAATATCTGGAGAGTGATGTTCGCCCCTTGGTCCTTGAATGGAAATTTGACCTGGAAGTGAGGAATGGGGTGAACCCAGATGATAACGTCGATGCTTAGGTCGACCGCAGCAGAAGCGCTGGCCGATGGCTTGGTTGCCTTGGTCAAGCCCAAGAAAGCAGAGAGCTGATCCTGCTCGCTGTCGCCGTCCGCGGCAGCCGTCTTGGGGAGATTTGCTTCCTTTGTTTCCTTGCCAAAGCTGTTTTCGAGGAGCACCGATGTGAAAGCCCACTGTCTCAGGAGAGGTAGCATGTCGATCAGCTGTTTCGGATGGGAGAAGACCATTTCCTTCACCTCCATCGAGTAGATGTGCTTGTACACATACAATGAGTTGAGGTGTGTCTTTTCGGAAAACTGACTCTTCTTGTCCATGACGGATACTTCACGTTGGCGCTGGATGACGCGGTTCTCGCTTGGGTCGTCTTGCAATGATCCAGCCGGTATAGGGAAGACAATATGATCAAACGTTGTTTGCGGCGGAGGACTTGGCAATGGCGCCCCCGTGTATGTGTATAAGCGAGCCGCATCAGGCGATGACAGCACGATGGGCGGATCAAAGCTAATGAGAAATGAGACTTGAGGAGGCCCACCCGTCGGTATGTCGCCCTCGAACATGGGCACTGAGTTGTTCTTCGTCTCGTCAGAAGCCGGTAAAGACACGTGCTCCGGCTCTTGCCAGTCCAATGGGAAGGACTTGGCATCACCACCCATCCCATCATCCCGCACAATGTCCTTGCCCAGCCATTGGTCAGACACCCGCGCCGAGGGAAATGGATGCATTGGATCGAGCGGCGGCGGCAGTGGGCAGCAGCTGATATCGAGCTGCCATGTCTTGTGGTATTTTTGGGAAGCGAGATGCCCCATTTCCTTCCAATACCGCAACGAAAGCCCGACCCGATCGTGGGCATGCATGACGGGCGCTCCATGCTTGGCACAGATGACTCTGGAGAGCGCGACCTCGGCCGAGGACCCTTCTTCCCGTGCTCTTACTAAATCCCAGTCGTGCAAAGCCTGTAGACTGGCGTGTAACCCTGCTATGGCAGCGCGACAGTCAAAGGCAGGCATGATACTGAGCTTGTCTAGCGTAGTCAAACGCTCAAGGTTGAGTGCGAATTTGTCAAGCGTTTTTGTCAATGGGCTTTGATTGGGGGCAAGCATCAAATCTTGCAACAGGATTTTGCCCGCCGGTTCCATGCATTGAACAACTGCTTCTGAAGACTCGGGGAATGTAAGATTGACACTGTGAACAATGTTGTTGTCCATTGTGATCTCGATGGAGGTGCTCGATCCTGCTATAATGAGCATCCGTACCTTTCGCCCGTCCGGTGCCGTGTCGTCCTCTGAAAGGCATTCGAATCCGTATCGCTGAGCTAGCCGTTCCAAGCCGGCCTCGCTAACGAAGCCTTTCTTCTTCTGCAAGAAATCAGTACGGCACGCTTCGGCAGCCAAGACGCAGGACCTACACCGAGTACCTCGAGAATGGCCTCTAGCCTGTTAAGCTTATCGTCGTCCCTCGTGATGGACCTCATGTCCTGGAACCCCTCCATGGCCTCGTGGGTGGGCATGTTCGCGGGGCCGCCCAAGCCAAGCGCAGCTGCCGTAGATGGACTATCGAATGCAAGGTTGTGCGGTAATTGACCCAGTAAGCTCACAGCTGGTGACTTCTTAAACTGCTGGGGCGATGTCTTATTAGGCCCCCCGCGAGGTGAGAAGGCTGCATGTGCCGAGTTGGAAAATGGCGTCGAGACTGGTGGTGTTGCGCCAGCTAGCTGAGAGGGCGTCGCGCCGGGAACTTGGGAAGGCGTGCGGGCCTGCTGGGACGCAGGGTGTTTGGCGGCGTTCGGTGCGTTGGGGGTCGACATGTTGACTGTGATTATTTGAATGAAGCAAGGTGGTTTTGGTGCGAGTGCGTTGCGTTGCGTTGCGTTGCTTCGCTTCGCTTCGTTTCGTTGGCACCTAAGCAAGATGGCGCGCCGCTGCGCGAGAGCTCTAGATGGACGATGGCATGTGATGTAGCAGCCGGACGACAACTCCGGAGAATGATCAAGGACGCAATGGAGGCTTTCTGCAAGTTTGTCGAGTTATTGATAAAGGCGTGGTCGTGTTGCAAGGGTCGCGCAGCTTCGTTCTCGTCGTGGAAGGTTAACTCTAAAGAGCTCCATTGCTTCCATGTCGCAGCAAGAGTGAAGCTTCAATGCCCCACCAAGAGGCGCTAAACCATTTAAAGCATGGTGCCTCGGAGCGACTGCAGCCCGCCTTACTCTGCAGACTGAGCGCGGGTAGTCAGCCGTGGCGCGATGAACGTGTACGGAGAGAGACAGGACCCCAATAGAAAATCCTCACCGATTCGGACGGGAACAACCACCATCGTCATGAGCGCCAGCCGCCATGCAAGAAGTTCTCGAGGCCTCTGGGCACGGGGCGCGATCAACAAAGCCTGGGCGCCACGTACAATTGGCATCTGCGTCGAGCCATGCCCGATCACGTTTGCTGAACGACGTGCAGTCCTCCAGGTGCTTCAGCGGGAGGGCCCTCTTGAAGTATTCAAGCGATACCTAGTGAGGCATTTCAATGTACACTCGGGACTTGTGCTGACTGGAGAAGACAGAGGCGGACAAGTTCATTGCCGTTACGAAGACCACCGATGCCGCCGACAGGTTGATAGCCTCATCTCCGAAGAGCTATACCGTGCAGACGCCGACGCAACCGAATCCCATATTCTTTGACCTCAAGAAGTCTTCACATACTCCAGATCCGGTCATTTCTGATACGATAATCTCTGATCCGATTGAGTCTGATAGCAGTCAGTGCCCAGAAGAGAGGACAACGTTCACCATCACAATCAGCCCAAAGAGCAGCCAGCACGCGGACCAGGGGTTTCACGATCCGCTTCAGGGCTCATGGCCGGACCAGTTCACAGAAACCGACACCTTTACGTCGGCCATGCTCAAGCAGTCCTTGCCCTCGAACATGGCTGCCACGGGCCTTGCGCATTGGGGCATGTCAGAGTGTGTAGAGAGGAAACATACACACGAGCGAGAACGCATTGAAGCACGAAGATGGATCCCTAGACATATCCGCCAGGACAGGCCGAAGTTTATAAGGCGGGAGGCCCCATTATCGGAGGAGGACGCGCTGGCAGGACGAAATTCCGATGTCGACTAAGCGACACATCTAGAGGGGCGACGTTTTGGTTTCAAGTCCAAGGTCGCATCGACTCTGGAAGTGACGGGCAGATCTGAGGCGACTGTATGCTCACCCGCCGCATAGGTGCATTCGCCAACTCCTTTGGCTCTGTCCCGATTTTGAGTCTGTCGAGACGTGAAGAGAAAGTCGGGTCTTGCGACTGAATCTTGAGAACACTAGGGAGCAGCAGGTCATTGATGCAGCGCAATATCGCTGAACGTACGGCCACGTACGTACAATACTCATGTGTCCCCCACGCCACGGAGACCCTAGCGTCGGGGGCTTCTGTCGGCGCATACCCCCTACCCAGGCACGGGCATTCCTTTACTGCTCCCAAGATGCACGTCCTACGCATGCACTCGAGGACCCTGATCAGCGGAGGATTGAACCCAAATGCAGCTTCATCGTTTGATCGTCTCCTCCAGAAGCAGAACGCTTCGGCGGAGCCGAGCCTCAGAGCCAAACGCTGTGCCACGGTCCATCTGGCGGCTGTGCAGTGCAGCCACAGGCCACGTTAGACATTGTGGGTAATCATTGGATCAACGACACCAACAACATAAACAACACGGCCCAGATCGGGCTCTGGCATGTCACAGTCGTGTATGGTGGAAAGTGGGAAACAGGCACGTAATTAGCCGGCATTGAGGATCCAAGTGCGCGTAGGGATCGGGAGGGCTCGTCCTACGTAGGATCGACAAGGGCTTTTCATCAGTCCCAATCAATCGCCATGCCAGCGAGACAGAACCTGTTGAACCAATCACTACAATACAGCTGAAGTGACAGACAGAAGAATGCTTGTGCCTGACGTAGCGATACGCACACTTTACAAGGATTGTCAGGGTCTGCCGAGCCCTGTTCTGAGCATCTTCAATCCTGTCCCTTGGAAGGGCGCGCGCGCACTTCGGTACTCCCAGTCCTGGGTACTGTTGATTGATACGTACTCACATCTCGGCTGATGGTTTATTTGTCACCTCCATCTGGTGAAGAAAGGCAGCGCAAACGGTCGGCAATGCTGTCGTGTCGTCTCCCTGCGAGTCTCGGCTCCCCTTGAATGCCTCCCTATAAACGGCAACTGATCGCAGCCACGGGGCCCACTCACCCGGCTTGAACAGCCACGTCCGCCTACGTCACGGCCTCTGCGCACAGTGACCGCACCGCCAAGTTCTCTCACTGCTCAGCGCAAACCGGTTCAACTCGCAAAGCTCGATGGCCGGGTCCGTGTCGCCACGGCCAAACGGGGTAAGGGTCCTTTACAATCGGCCGGGGTTATCTGGCAAGGCTATTCAGAGGGGCCCAAGGCGCAGAGCCAGAATCTGCCGTGATGACGTTGCTGCCCCAGAATTGGACATCCAGGCGTCTCTCCCGTGGAGAAACCAACAGGCTTAGCATCACGGCGCCCTTCCATGCCTTTTAAAACGTCCTGTCCTCCCTCGTTTCTCTCCAACCTTGTCTTGTCATTCAAAATATCCCTTGCACGCGCGCAAAGGTGTCACTGCTCTCAGCCCTCTGACAGCACCTAGCCAGCCAGCCTAACTCGCACACATAATTACATTGTCACTCACTGGACCAACCACCCAGCACAATTCCTAGGTCTCATTCGAAACAAAACAAGATGGCCGTCAGCAAACTCTTGCACTATGCGGGGTCGGCGTTGCTCTTCATTGCCATGATCCTCACCATCGTGGTCGACATCTCAGCGCCGGTTGTCAAGGATATCTCATTCGTGAGCCTCGACTTGCCGGGCAACGCTGATGTCCAGTTTGGTGTGTTTGGCTACTGCTACCAGGGCGTCACCGGATCTGAGTGAGTATACCATTTTAACTGAGTCGTCACGCTTGAAGCTAATTGTGGTCAGATCTACCTGCTCCAGCGCCAGCATTGGCTACGATCCCGCCGGAGTCCTGGAGCGCGTGGCTGACAGCGCCATTAACAATATCCGCGCCGATGGCACCAAGGCTCTCAGCAACGTCTTCGTGCTGCACCCCGTGGGCACCGGTGTCCTTTTCATCGCTTTCATCCTCAGCCTTATCGCGAAGTCCACCGTTGGCGGCATCCTCGCCACGCTCGCGGCCGCCGTTGCCACGGTGATCAACGTCGTCGCAGTCGCAGTTGACTTTGCCGTCTTCAGCATCCTCCTCGACGAGGTGAAGAATGGGTTTGGCGAAGGACGCTACGGGAATGCTATCTACATTGCCCTTGCGGCCGCCATTCTCTCCGTGATCTCCACCGTCCTCATGTTCGCGACGTGCTGCGCTGGTCGCCGCCGTCGTCGTCGCGAGTCCAGGAAGATGGCTCAGTACTAAGCGAGTTGACCTTTTGGGAGCACAGCACCTATGGCCAAAACTACTCCAACACCATCGACAAAACCAATAACAACGAAAGTTACGACACATGGCTGAACGTGCAAAGGGGAAGTGAAGGAGGCAGTGAAGAGAGTTGTAGAACAAGACTTTGCTTTCAAGATATACCAGCGTCCTTATGATATCCATACATAATAATCAATCCACTTCAATTTTAGTCAATCTGGGTTCTGCTATGTTAAGGACTTGTACTGCTGTCTTGTTGATGGATGGTAAGGTTAAGGAAGGCTGCCAGTATCCGGGCAGAAACGATACAACTTGCAGAGTCGAACAACACAGGTAAATAAAATCTCAGCTATCACATTATTGTACTTTATCTCGTCACGACAGACGCAAACTGAACTCCGGCACCAATGTTGAAACAACGTTACTGGAAACCAAATCAATGTTGCATGAAAATGTTGCGCTCGTCAACACCGCCCCAAGATCTAATAGGGAGGTTTTCTTTTTCTCATATTGTTTTGTGTTTTCAAACAGATCGTTTCAAACAGATCCGTGCCAACATTGCGGATTCCCGCTGTCTATTGTACTATCCGACCGACCGTGAGCGTTTGCTGCCGGACGACCTGGGTCTTGCACGCAGGTACAGCTCCATCCTCCGGTGTCGAAGGTGAAGGTAGGCCGAATAGACAATCTTGTCTTGCCTGCCCATATCCTTTATAGAAGCCAGAAGCCTGCTCCAAGCACGAGGCTCAGAAGGGAAACACTCTCAACAGAAGCGCCAGCCGTCGGGACCGCGGGAGGAGGCGAGACAGGACCGCCAGGCACAGGCACAGGCTGGGGGACGAAGGGCTGTCCGGGAACGAAGGGCTGCCCGGGCTGCTGAGGTTGCTGAGGCTGTCCAGGCACAGACGGCTGCTGAGGAACCTGAGGCTGTCCAGGCACTGACGGCTGCTGAGGAACCTGGGGCTGTCCAGGCACTGACGGCTGCTGAGGAACCTGGGGCTGTCCAGGAACAAACGGCTGCTGAGGCCGTCCAGGAACCTGGGGCTGGCTAGGAGCGGTCACGTTCCTGGTTGGAGGCTGGGGAACACCAGGCTGCGAGGGAATGCCAGGCTGCGAGGGAACGCCAGGCTGCGAGGGAACGCCAGGCTGCACAGGAACTCCAGGCTGTCCAGGAACTCCAGGCTGCCCAGGAACTCCAGGCTGTATAGGAACCGGAGGCCGAGGGAACGTGACGTTCTGCGTAGGAGGCAGAATAATTCCAGGCTGCACGGGAACTCCAGGCTGCACGGGAACTCCAGGCTGCACGGGAACTCCAGGCTGCACGGGAACTCCAGGCTGTACAGGGACTCCAGGCTGCACAGGGACCACAGGCTGTCCAGGGACTCCAGGCTGTCCATGAAGTCCAGGCTGTATAGGAGCCGGAGGCCGAGGGAACGTGACGTTCTGCGTAGGAGGCAGAATAATTCCAGGCTGCACGGGGACTCCAGGCTGTCCAGAAACCGGAGGCCGAGGGAACGTGACGTTCCGGACAGGAGGCAGAGGAACACTAGGTTGAATAGGACCAGGCTGCACAGGAACCCCAGGCTCCACATGAGTCGGAGGCTGCACAGGGACCACAGGCTGTCCAGGAATCCCAGGCTGTCCAGGAACTCCAGGCTGCACAGGGACCACAGGCTGCACAGGAAATCCAGGCTGTCCAGGAACTGGAGGTCGAGGGAACGTGACGTTCTGCGTAGGAGGCAGAGGAACTCCGGGCTGCACAGAAACTGGAGGAGCTGGAGGAGCTGGAGGCTGGGTGAAGGTCTGGTTCTCGGTAGGCGGCAGAAAAACCGGCTTTACAGGAATGGGAGGCTGAGGCACCGTCTGGTTCTTCACCGGGAAAGGGGGCGCCTGGACGATGACGATCTCGACTTCCTTGATGATCTGCTCGATGATCTGGGGACGCTCGACAATCTCCTCGATGATCTGAGGACGCTCGATGATCTTCTCGACAATCTCGGGGCGCTCAATGATCACCTCCTTGATGAGAGGGATCTCGACGAACTTCCCAATGATCTCCTTCTCGACCTGGGGGCACTTCATCATGACCTCCTTGACCTTCTCGACAATCTTCTCCTCGATGATGACATTCTTCTCGGGGCTGACGGGCTCCTGGTGAATCAGCTCAACCTGGACCTTGCCCTTGGTCTCAGTGCACTGCTCTTGGCAGGCCCTGTTCTCGGGAGCGCACTTTTGTTGGCAGTCGTTATTGACGGCAAACGTCTTGTTGCCTACCTGGAGTACTTCCACGACGTCGGAGTCCTTGCTCTTGTTGTCCACAAAGATCTCTACATCAGGCTTTGGCTCGGCGGGATTGTTGCCGTGAAGCCCCTGAACGTAAACGACATTCTGGCTGTCTTCGTGGAAGCGTAGAGCCTCGGACTCTGACTCCTGGTTCTTGCCCTTGTCGCTGAACCTCTCGACCTCCACGAAGTCGCTCGAGGTCTGGCTTGTGTTGCGCTGGGGCTTGCTGGTCTCGCCGTTCTGCTCGTAGTCATCACCAAGGACTTCGATCTCGATAGTGTCGGTCTGGTCAGACTCCTGGTCCTTCTCACGCTGGCCGTCGCCGCGGTTCTTGTTCTCAAACAAGTCGACCTTGACATTATCCTGGTTCTTGAACTCTCCGGTCTCGTTGTCAAATACCTCGACCTGAACGTTGCCCTGGTTCTTGAACCCTCCGGTCTGGGGCTTGTTGTCCTGGTCGCCTTTGCGGTTCTTGTTCTCAAACACGTCGATCTTGACATTGTCCTGGTTCTTGAACTCTCCGGTCTCGTTGTCAAACACCTCAACCTCAACTTTGTCGTTGCTCTTCGAGCGACCGATGTCGTTGTTGTACTTGCTTTCGTGGCTTTTTTGGCGATGCTTGTCTCCAAACCACTCGCCCTCGAAGTTGCCTTGGTCTTTCGAACTCTCTTGTCCGTCGTGATGCTTGTTCTTACTCTTGTTTTCCTTCTCCTCGCTGTTTTTGCGGTAATCGTTTTCGAACAACTCGATCTCAACCTTGCTCTGGTCGTCGTTTTGCTTTTTTTCTTTGCCAAATTCGATGGCGAATGTTTCCTTCTCGTCGTGTCTCTGGGCAATGGCACCAGTAGACAGGGTCGCAAGGGCCACAGCGGCAGAGAAGCGCATTTTGAAAAAGGGGGTAAACGAGTGAACAAGTTGTAAAAGGCAACTCGTGGGACGCGGAGAGTATGGTTTGCAACCTTGGCACATATACGGTTACAGTTACCCATCAAATAACTAGTGCGGTCACTCCCAACGACTAGATCTCGTGCAGCGTCGAGTAACTTTCTTTTTTTGGGGGGTAGGGTAGAGTCACAAGGTGACCTAGCGTCCGCATGTCGAACATGCATCGCGGTAGTCTGTGGCAGGACAGGCGTCACGTTGCCGGAGGGTAATTATGATGGTTGGGCACGATGACGCCGAATATCCTTGTGAGTATTAGCCAACGATAACGAGTATCGACTATAGATACTTCCCAAGCAGTGTCTATAATGTGTACATAAACCGTGCTGGAATCCGGAGACACGTAAAGGCTTGCCTTGATCGATGATGGGGTTCCGAATCCAATTAAAAGTATGCAGTATCGCCATGTTGCCAATTTTTCCAGTACGTTAACCTTGTTGGGGCTGTCCACGAAGAAGCTCCGCCTAGCAATCTCGCCAGCTGCTGGCGTGGCTGCCTCTAGGAGACACCACGCAAACCAAGCTTCGGTCCGCTTGCCCTAGATCGTCTCCGTGACGACGTGCAACCCATTATTCTTCTTCTTCAGGGAGACCCGAGAACAGACCGAACCGCATGCGATGAGACTGCTAGCAGTTAGTCGAACTGATGCATTATTTGTTTCTCGTTCAGCGCTTACAAAGGGAAGCTTGGGGATGACCACACCGAGCACCGCTAGGAAATTGATCACAAAGTACGCAAGATCGTAATGCGTGTAGTGCGTGCTGAGGAGAAAGAGAACCACCGGCACGCTGAGCAAGAACTTCTTTGTAGGTGTGTACTGGGCGCCATTGTCGATTTGCTCCCACATGTTGAGGTTGTCGAAGGCCCCGCTGTTAAAGTCAAAGGGCACGCCGCGGACATAGTGGAACATGATGTAGGAGCCGATCATGTATGTGATGTTGGTCATTGTCCACGACGTTTCTTGCGAAACTCCTGGGATGACATCGTAGAAGATCTTCAAGCATGCAATGAGCACAATGTGAATCGTCCAAGCTCCTTTAGCGTTTGTCCAGTTAGCGTTCAGGTTTGGTAGGGCCGCCTGGTCACTGATCTGCTCGAGTGTCTCGGGAGGCTCGTGATAGACTTGAAGAATGCTGCTAGAGCGCCGTCTCCGGCCCCCCGAATCCTTGTTGCGATCTGCCATGTCGAGGTATGCGCTGCCGGTGCCAGTGCCAGTGCCGTTGCCACTGCCGCCACTGGTGCGCGTCCGTTGAGACTCGCTGGCCGCGTCAAAAGTGACGGTGCGTTGTAGAAGGATTGGGGAAGACAGCTTGGCGGTGTTGCGGGGTGTCGAGCAGGGTAAGATGTCGTGTGAGGTAGGGGTCGAGTTGAACACGCGAGTCAGGGGTCGATTGCGAGAGACTTGGTAATCGTTGCTCGGGCTCGTTACGAAGGCGTCGTCAAGCTCGCGAAAAACTCGCGGCGTCTGCCTCAGCAATGGCAGATGGGTGGTATTCGTCTCGAGACGGTCCGGTCGGCTGTAGGCCAGCAAGCGAGCTGCCCTTGATGATGTCAGGAAGTACGGGGTCGACAGGTTGGATGGAGGCTGATGAGGAGTGGTGGCAACTGCGAGTGAAAGCAGAGTAATCAATGCGCGTCTTGGAGTAGAAAGAATGCTAGCGGAAGACGTATGCGTCTGTATGTCAGGGTCGTCTCTCTTTGTTTTCTAGTGAAGTAAACAGTGTAACGGTGGATGGGAATAGGGAAGGACGACAACATAGGTACAGGTAAGTTTGGACCGGACAAACCAGACAGGGCTTCCATGTCAATCTAAGGTAATTGCCTGGTCTAGAAGATGCCAGGCTGCTAGCGACGGACCCCACTGCTGGCCGCCTGTTGGAGATGGAATAAGGGTCTGGGGGCAGCTGCGACAGAGCGATAATGCCGCAATCTCCTAGCGGCTCCCGGTCAAAACTCAAGCTGTAGCTGTTAAGGAGCTTCCCACTGTTTTTGTCCACTGCCATAGGTGTCTGCTACTTCGTGTGACCACACCCGTCCATTGTCTCTCTCTATCAATTTGTCTGATAGCGTCGCTGTACTCACAGCAACTAGCAACGGCTCCGCTGAGGACGTGATTCGGAGGCTGTGCAAAAGTGATACGAGCCTTGCTTTTTTCTAAGCTAGGGAGGGCCACGTGAAGGACCCTTAACTGAGGCTAATCTCCGGAATTTCGGGATAGAGAACGCTCGAACGTCCATGCTCACGTAGCTGGCTATGATTGGTCGCGATGGGTTTTCATTCAAGGTCAAGTCTTTACGACGGATTGCCAGCATCATCTTTGCTCATTGAGACTGCTTAATACCGGTCTCTAGGGCATTGCGATTGAGTAGAAGGCTTGGTAGATGTGTTGCTGCATTGTTTAACCAACCGCGCAACTCTTCCACAAGGGCTGAACTGGACAGGCTTGATTGCACCTTCCCTTCGCCCAGTTCATCTCGAATCACGCACCTGAGTAACCTCACAGGCTCACCTCACCTTAAGGTACTAGTACCTCACAACATGGCATCCAAAGATGCAGATTTTGGCGACGTCATAGCTATCGACTCATCGTCCGGCGAGGAAGAGCCGGCGAAATCTCAGCTCGCCATGAAGAAGCGCTCACTACGCAACTCGAATCTCTCAGAGCCCCCTCGGGAATCAAAACGTCTCAAGAAGAACGCCGAGAGCGCTGCTCGAGGGCAAGACGACATGGCCGCCGGCGATGACCTGATGCTGGCAGAGGAATCGGAACGCGACGCGGCTGAAGAAAGCGAACAGCCCGCTGACCAGACGAAACTCACCAACAAAGAGAAGAAGGAGCAGCGCAAGGAGCTCAACGAGGGCAAGTCTGACTTTGATCCAATCATCCTAGACGACCCGCCTATCTATGTTATTCGAGGGTTGGCGGTTGAACTCCCAGCATACAGAAAATTCAAGGGTGGCAATGCGCACACCTGGGAGCAAAAGGTCCCCCAGTGGATTGATCTCTGCTGTCGAATGAATGCTGCCATGCTCCCTGGCTTGACCGTCGAAGACCTGCTCTCAGGGCACGCAGAATACATCAACACCGTCAAAGACAAGGGCTCCAAGGGTGCCAAGAGGCGTTTGAAGCAAGTGATCACAGCTTCAAAGAAGAACACTGCTTTCAAGAACAAGTTCACGAGATCGTGGCCTGAACTTGGTACCGATGTGGATCGCACAGACAAGTCTCCATCTCGGTTTTACGAGTACAAGTCAGAAGCACAGGACAACAATGGAGCATCTGTCGCCAACGGTCAAGGTCCCGTGCCTAGTAGTGCGTCGGCGCCGATTGAGCTTGAAGACGATAGCGAGGCGGAGTATGAGCCAACTTTCCACACCGAACAGCCCATACAGGCACTGGGCTCTGCGTCTGTGGCGAACCCGACATCTAGTCCGCCAAATGGACACCAAGAACCCAATGGTGACGAGAATCATACGCGTGATTATGACACGTCGGACCTGCAGCAACAACAGACCTACTTTCCGTCCGCTTCGGATCCATCAAACATGTGCCTATCGTGTGGCCAAGAAGGACATTCTAGATCCAGGTGTCCCCACTCAATTTGTCGCTTCTGCAACGGGGGCGGCCACTGGGACTTCGCTTGTCCATCACGGGTTCGGTGCGGCAAATGTCGACAGCAGGGCCACACCAAGGCCGAGTGCCAAGAGAAGTTGGCTTTGACGAAGAGTGAGGGGCTAGCATGTGGCTTCTGCAACTCCACCGACCATCTCGAGGAGAACTGCACAGAAATCTGGCGCTCATTTGCCCCACGGCAAGGCAAGACCAACAAAGTGGTCTTTATAGCGCCATCTTGCTCACTGTGCGGCAGCGACAAACACTACCGGATGGAATGCGCTTCGAGAAAGGTCACGGACAAGGGGAATCCAACGTGGTCTTTGGCAAACTGCAACCTTTACATTGAAAAGGACTGTGGCCAGCGCGCCATTGAACACGAGGCTGCACAAGACGCAAACAAGGGCGCGGCACGGCGACAGGAAGTGCGCATCAAGGGCCATGCCGCGAGGAGTGGCAATATTGTGCACTATTCCGACGACGAGGATTCCGAGGTTGAATTCTTAGGCAAGAAACCGGCGCAGAGGAGGGCCCCCCTTGGCAACATCCGCATGGCCAGCAACATCCAGATGCCTGCGCAGCCAGTGGACTCGTTCCGCGGTCAGCCACCTCTTCCGCCAGGACCGCCGCCCCCAACCTTTGGAAGAGGAGGTCCTCCAGTCGGGGCCAGAGGCCAGGATTCGCTACCACCCAGGCCGCCTCGCCGGGACTATGGGCCTCCGCCTTCAGGAGCTGGAAGAGGAGGGGGCAGAGGTGGACGCGGTGGGAGAGGTGCAGGGAGAGGTGGTGGTGGTGGTGGTGGGAGAGGCAGGGGACGAGGGAGGAACTGAACGATTGGGTGGCAATGTACAGTATCGAGTCGCGTTTTGATGAAGCTAGCGCGCAAGTGAGGGTTTATCACCCCTCGATCGAAACACGACCTTGGAGAGGCGAAACCCCAAGTTGGACTTGGTTGGCTTACCGCCCTCGAATAATATGAAGTTCGAGCCTGGAGGCCCCGCACCATAATCTGCAAACATGAGTTGAGACGACCACCGTTGGTCCAGTCACGGAGGCAGCTACACTATGTATTAAGGTTCCTGATATCTACTTCTATGGCATGGTGTCAGTCAATCGCCAACATTTGCCTGTACTTTGTGTCTACAGGGCATGCTGGTATGGGAGCGTCGGCAACCCGCCTGCCTGGCCAACAGTGATTGACTCACGTTCCGACACGCGACGACTGCGGCGGCTTGGCACAGATTTGAAAGCACTGTACAGAGTACCTATCAGCAGTTGGACGAGAGGTTCTTGCTAAGTAGTTCCAGGGGCAGTGAATGGTTTCGGATCGTACCACGAATAGCATGGTGGTCATCCTGGAGCCCTAGAAATCTAAAATTTCACATATGCTGAAACTGCCCTATGCGCAAGGAAAGAGTAGACATCAAGTATGAGCGACCGACTCTCGTTCCCCCCCCTGGTGCAGGGTTGTTGTTGACTTGAGATAGAAGAGAGGTTGACTCATTGACGCGTCAAAGCCTTCGCACGACGCGTTGCATAGAGCAGTCACCGCAGAAGCCCGATTGCTTTCTGTAGAGGCATGGATATGAGGAGCTTAAAACTTTGTCACGAGGAGAGTCTTAAAGGAACAGTCCAATCGTGGCCTCAAAATGGACTGTAGACAGCTTGCATCAGCAACTGATTTACTCATTAGCCTTATCGTTAACTTTAAAATAAGCCTAAAGTTATCCTAATTTTGGGAGTTTCTTTCTGCTGCTCAAGTCCGTGTCCCAATGAGGAAACTATACGTCGCGGTGATGACTCTCGGCCCGCGCCTCACCGCGTCCGAGAAACGTCCAGCGCGTCGACGATCATGCTTTTCAGAGGCCCTGATTGGGTCAGTCAAGTCACGTCCACCACACCACGTCGCGCTCGACTCCCCAACCTCGCATCCCCCATGAGCAACATTCTCCGCATTCATGCAAGTCTGCGCAGGAGAAACATCGTTTCACTGGCCAGGATGCTCTCCCGCATGCGACACATGGCTACCCAGCCAGTCATGTCCCGGCACACGGTCGAAACGCGGCACATATGTGTACATTGGCTGCAAGCTCTCAACCACTAGTTGGTGTTTTAGCAGATGGGCATCGCGGCGAGGCCCAAGAGTACCATACTAGAGAGAGAGAAGATACTTTATATCAGCCTTGCGGCCTGAGTTTTTGGGTCCCGCAGATGTCAAGCTTATCATTCCCGATCAGACTGCTGGCAGCGCACACAACCAAGTCCATTCTTGCGTACTCTTGACATCAAACGTCCCACCTCAAGCTCTGTAAACCACCACCACGAAATGCAGCCATGGTCTCCAACACTGAGTATCAACTTTCAGTGTTGCTGAGAAGCCCGCGCTTCAAGGAGGCGCTTCTCCCACTACTTTCGCCATCAGACCTCTGCGCCCTGAGGACGACCTCCAAGACAAACTCGGCTCTGATGACAAAAGATATCTTCACTAGAGTCCATGTCTCCTTCACGGCCCATTCATTTACAAAGCAGTCCCGCCTCAACGCTCTGGCTAGGATAGGCGGCCATGTTGAACACCTCACGTTCCATTTTCCGCACTCTGACGCCACCTTCCTCCCTCCGCTCATCCACCCTCAAAGCGGCAAGGAGATTCATTTTCTATACACGCCACACACGAGCATGACCTCGTGCCTCACCCGTCCCAAGTACGCCAACTCGGAGCTGGGTGACATCCTCACGGCCCAATACCCACCCCTCTTCCACTCGGCAACCAATGTCCCGTCCTTCATTCATGCACTCAAAGCCCTGCCCAACATGCGCCACCTCACGGTGAGGTGTCCAGGGCAGGACCAGCGAGAGCGCTACAGGAGGAATATTGTCGACTATGCACTCATCTCCCTCCGCATCGCCATTGAGCGTGCGCCGCTGGAGAAGCTCCACAAGCTGAGCTTGTCGAGCCTGCATCCATCATCACTAAACTACCTGCGTCACGTCCCTGGATTTGGATCGCTACCCTCGAGCGGCAGGAGATGGCGCCAGATCACGAAGCTCAACATGTCCATCGAAGCATGGGAGTTCCACTCGTCTAGTCCCGGCCTGGACCACCTGAAGATCTTGGATGACTACATCCGTCATCTTGCTCCTCAGTTGGAGAAGCTTAGCTTCACATGGCTCGGAACCAAGGGTCCTTGTCCCATTGCTTTAAGCGCGGACCCGCTCTTTGCCCCGGCCAAATCGTCCAAGAAGCTGTTCCACGAGGTCACGAGTCCCATGTCGCCTCTCCCAGAGCGACCGACCAGAAAGGACATGTTCTTCCCCAAACTCAAATACCTCCAGATCAGGAACGCCAGTATGCAAGCGGAACAGCTCAGGGACGTCATTGAAAGACATCGCGACAACGTGCGCGAGTTCGACTTTAGAGAAGTCGTTCTCCTCAATAAGGGGGATTGGGATGACGCCTTGAGGCCCCTGGAGGATGGATGGTCCAGGCGCTCCATGAGCGTGCACAGCTCCGAAAGGAGCGGCTACACAGGAAGCACCGTGGTGGATGATGACTACAGTGATCTTCCCAGCCCCAGCGCGGCCGTGGAGGCGGCCAGTCGTGAGTTGTTGGACATTGCTGGCTTCAGTGATGAGGAGAGGAGTACACTATGGTTTGGTACTGCGTCTTCTGACATGGAACCCGTGAGAGAACAGGCAGAGGAGACGGAAGGCGTCTCGACGAACGTGAGGCGCAGGAGAAGACGCAGACGCAGGCACCACGTCGAAGAGGAAGAAACGACCCACCGCTCCAAAATTTCTCTCTCTTCACTTTCATTCAGGAGCAAATCCTCGCAGCCCAAGCTGAGACCCTCGCAATCGTCTCTCAAATCCCAGAAACCACGTCACCGGCCTAGCGAAGCCTCGCTGCAGTCGTTACGACTCCGACCACCGAGCCCAGTTGCGGACACGGCCATCACCCTGCCCATACTGAACAATGGCTCGCAGCCTGTGCTTTTGCAACCGACAGTGTACAATCCTGCAGCGCCAGCAGAGGAGGATATATCTCCTGTTCAACGAAACATGGAGCAAGAAGCGCAGCACGCACTGCTAGCGCAAGATGCTTCGGCCCGCTACTCTGCGTTACGAAAGGCCAAAGCCGCCGTGCTGCAGAAGCTGTCCCGTGAATTCTGCGCCAACGCAGCAAAGAAGACGTATGGGGGAGGCGGCGCGGTGGCAGCGTGCAGGATGATGACCAGCCATAATGAGTCTCGACCCTGTGCTGTCGAGGTTCTCGAGGACCGAAGGGGTCTCGATCGAGGCGGGAGCATCATGGTGCCCTTGATGTTCAGCCGGGCATGAGGAACGCTTACGAACCCTGATGATGATGATGATGATGATGGTGATGTATTCACTCTTTACGAAATTTCTTGTACACGAACTTATGAACTTTTAATGATACATTCTTTACGAACGACCTTGACCTTGCTTTGTTCTTTTGTTGATTCATCGGCTCTCCTTGATGATCTGCTCCAACGCCTTTACATAGTCGTTCACTTCTTTGGCGCCAGTCATTGTCAGATCCCTCCTTTTTCCTTCGATGATAACCACGGGAACTGCCTCGATATCGCGAGCTACCTGCTGCAGTGTGCGTTTCAATTCAGCCTCTCCTATCGACGGGTCGCGGATGACCTCTCGAGCATCCTCCTCTGGAACACCTGCATCCACGCAGGCGCCAAGTATGGTACCTTCTGCACTAGGATGCTGACCCAGAGTCCAGTACCTCTTGTAGAGGCTGTGGACAACCTTGCCAGCGGTTTCGCTGCCACGATCGCGTTGCATCGTCTGAATGACACGATGGGCCGGTCTAGTGTCCCCCGCCAAGCCTTCGTAATGAACGTCGACACCTTCGGTGTTGAAAAGTGCCCTCATGCGCTCCTCAAAACCTGCCTGCGCCAAGAAGTTATCCATATATTTGTGGTGGAGGAGCCAATTTCGCCTGTCCACACTCTCGGGAAGGTCGGGCTGCAGGATGTACGGGGTGTACGAGGTCCTGAATTTCACTTCAGTGGTATCCAAGGTGGCAAGGGCCTTGTCTAGTCTAGGAAATGTGAGACAGTTGCTGGTATCACGAACCAAAGAAGTCACCTGAGCTTCGCCAGATATGTCCTGGCAATGTTAACAGCTTGAGACTATCTTTGGGAGCGCTGGGTGTTCACATACCACGGGCAAATGATGTCGAAGATGAAAGTTACTTGCGATTCGTACATGGTTTGCTGCATGTCCAACAGTTCAATGACAGAAGTTTGCGTGATAGAAATCGGCGGTCTAAGCGGCGTCGCGAAGAGCGATACCCAAGTGCTAAGGGCGTCATCGTGCGGGGGTCGGATGACTTACAGTTACTCCCCTAGCGACCACCAGGATCATCAAACTTGGTGCCTCGAACGCGTTGTGTTTATAATCTTTTCCCTAGTCAAAAGTGACCTTTGTTCCTGTCGACTTGACAACCGCACCCGTCAAGCGAGCCACGTCAATGTCCTGAGCCTCGCGCATGGGCTTCCCACCCACGGCGTCCTTCCGATGTGCCCTCCCAGGACCATTTTCTCTCTTCGGCTGCACAGGCTTGCCGTCGCCATCCTTTGGCGCGTCCTTGCCGAACCGCTTCTTGTATCTTGAAGCGTCGTCCTCCGCTAGCTCCAGCTTCAGCTCGCGGCCCAACATGCGGTTCACCCACCACTTTGTAGTCTTGTACTTCCTCTTATTCTCCCTCTCCTCCTCATCCCCCGAGTCCTCGTTGAAGTCCTCTTCCGTCTCGATGGGTTCCCGGAGCTTGACGAAGCCCTTGACCGCCCACGCGGCCGCTTCCGGGTCCTTGAACTTGACCCAGCCGTACCCTTTGCACTTTCCACTGTCCTCGAACTGAGCCACCTTGACGAATTCGATCTCACCGCACTTTTCAAATTGGCGGTACACGTCCTCCTCGGTGGTCTGGAAGCTCATGTTGCCAACAAAAATCTTCCGGCTAGCTTCGGCCACTTTCTTGAAAGCATCATTCTGGTCTTGTAGCTCTTCTGCGCCCTCGGCTGGCTTCGCCGGCCGCCCTTCGTAGGATGTCGAATCTTTGATCAGGAGTTTCCGCCCTATCCACTCGGTCTCCGAAAGCGCGATGGCGGCCACCTTTTGACCAAGGTCTGAAAAGTCGACATACGCAAAGCCCTTGTTCCGCGCACCATAGCCATCGCCCTTGTCCTTGTTCATGGGCAGCTTCACTCTGGTGATGCCCTCCTCAGTAACAACACCGCCCGAGTTCTCCACCAGCCATTGTTTGAGCTCCTGTGGTGTGACGGTGAAACGCAGATTGCCAATCCAGACCCCGTGCTCGCCCCGTGGCTGCTCCTTGGGAGCGTCATCCTCGAGATCGTCCTTGGTGAGATCGCGGTCGTCGTCTCGTTTCTTGGGCGCGGTCGCAGACTTTCCCTTTTTGAGCGCGCGCTTGGCTCTTTTTGAAGGGGGCTCAGGCGCTGCGAGGTCGACCTCGAGCTCTTCGACTGATGCCTTGCGTTTTGACGGTGTTGTCGAGTCTGTAGTGTTGGCCATAGTGGTGTCGGGCTGGGTTTCTGGCATTTGTTCCGCAGCAGCCTTCGCGGCTTTGCGTGCCCGTTTCTCTTCCTTATTGGACATTTTGACTTCTCAAGGTTGGGGGAATACTTATCCTTTGCGTGTTGGTCGTGGTATCCGTAGTGAGCAATCAATCAGATGCGGCAGGAAATTTTCTGGCGATTGGCATCCTCGATAAGCGATAAGTAGCCGCCCGACCATGGGCGCTGTGGGGGGTGGCCGCATGACATACTTCACGTGGTGAGAAACTTGCAATTTGATGCGTTGTGGGTGCCATCATTGGCGAAAGCTGGAAAACACATGATTAGAATCTTGTTCGTAGCTTGCTAGTAGTCCTTGATCTATGCACGCTCAGATCTGATACGCGCGGACCGTCGAATGTTGACGATGAACCTTCGGTCGGTGTGCCCATTGTCAGTGACAGACGGAAAGCAGCAAAAGTCATCTGTTGATTCACAACGCTGCATGTCCCAGCTAATAATTAAATCGAGATCGATGGATTGGCTGCCAATTCATGTCATCGAATTGGCAACACTCTTCCAATTGAAGCAAACTGAATCATGCAGCGAAATGTCGGATCAATGCAATCTCATCACGTGTGACTGCTTGGCTCGAGTCGGCCGTGGGCTGAGCTCCACATGTGCCGCCTCCTCCGTCTTTTGTTTCTGATCCATTCATCGTGCCACTTCTGTCAGCAAAACAACTATCACTGTTGCAGCCTCTGTCGTTTGTAGTGCTGTGACTGTCATCTTCGCCACCGTCTGCCGAATCGTGGTCACGAAGCAAGAAAGACTTCGTGCCGGACTCCGCCGTTGGACTATCGAACGATACCTTGCAAGCCTTTTCAGCCCAAAGCCGACCGACCGACCTTGTTACTCCTCACCCGGGAGGCTGACGACACCGTTCGGCAACCACCGCATCACCTACGAGCTAGACGCTACCCGAGGAAGGCAGCTTCGGATTATACAGCAAGCTTTTTGCTACATTCACCTGGTCGCTGTGTTTGACCGTTTTGCCCTGCGGCTGCGGCGCTTCTCACCAAACATGAACGTTTTACTCTCGCCACAGCCGCACGTCTTACCTCACTACCACGAGAACCCTCGCCAGTCACCGCAGCGAGGTGGTACGTCTATGCTGTCCCTTCAGCAGACGCCGGATGCTGACCCTGCAACTATAGATTCTCCACTACACGCCATGTCGAACCGAAAGCGAAAAGCCGACGATGACGGTGATGAGGCCATGTCGACGTCTCCGTCCATCTCCCACCGACCTCTTGCACGGCCGTCCAAAAAGGTGCGCAACAACGACGCTCTCGGCAGGTCTTTAAGGCTGCCGCGTCTCTTGGAGACCCTGGATGCCGATCAGCTGCGAACGGTTCTGCAGCATATCTGCGAGCAGCACAGGGAAATCGGCCAGGAAGTCGAGTCCCAGGCACCTCGTCCATCTGTGGAATGTGCCATCAATGTTCTGCAGGGCTACCAAGACAGACTCAAGGCCGCGGCACCGTACGGTGATACCAGCCCAGAGTACACCTATCACCGAGTGAGGGAGAACTTGCTCGCGCTGCTCGACGCTCTCTCGGACTTCACTCCTCAGTTCCTCCCTCCCACCGAGATGCAAGCTTCACTCTCTCTTCAATTTCTAGATGCCGCCACCAACTTCATCCACGAGCTGCCCGATCTGGAACTGCAAACCTACCACCACCACAAGGAGAACGCATACGAGGAGATCTCGAAAGCCTGGGCACTGGTCATCAACGAGGCCTCGAAAAAGGCTGGAGGCTTTAACCTGCACTCGAGTGGCTGGGACGCCACCCTGAACCGCCACAACTCCCGCTCAGACGGGCGGTTAGCCACCGCCGTCGCAGCTATGGGCCAGAACGTCGGGTGGATCAAGCAGAACTCGCAAGCAGCCGATCAAAACTCGATTCTCAATCAGCTCATGTCTGGTTCTTATGGCAGTCCCGTTCGCGTAGGGCCATGGTAGCGCCATAGCCCATGATTTCGCACTGGTCGGCCGAATCACCAGTAAACAAGACGCGCGGCCTTTTACGACGTCACGAGGACTCTGCTTCCGTCATTTTTGCACATTCCCACCTGGCGTTCACTCGGTCTCATGCATAGATTGGAGAGGTACATCACTCTGACGGGTCTGAAATGACTTACGGGCGTTGCACTGTATTCACGATGGACCAATTTGGTCGTCAGATGGCATTTAGCGGGTTTCTTTATATCAGGATTGTTTGTAGCCAGCTCCCTTATGGCGTTCCTTTGTAGCTAGCAAGATATTCCACATCAGTTGGTGTGTTCCTTCGTGCAAGTGACTTGTGTGGATGCGGCCGGGCGGCCATACTTGAGTGCAAAAGACCCTAAAGATTGCGTACGTGGAAACTGATATGTTACCTGCTATCAATAGACACAGCATTGGACCTAGGTACAAGTACACTGGTCAGATTGTGGAAAAGTGAATGCAAATGAGGCAGGAGCGAGTGTGTCGAGGGTTGCGGTTATGCGGATGGGCGTCGTCAGACGGTCACGTGTTTTGGTGACACCACTCGCGCCGCTCCTCGACCGTGAACGCGCCTGCCTTGCTGGCTGTTGTTGACGCTGAATGACAATGCTCTATGGCACTTTGAACTGTAGCCACTGCCAACGCACCACCCACACCTGACTGTTTGCAAAGCGGAACTTTCATTCGAGATTTTCATACTCGCCGATCATCCATGAGAGCATAATCCCGACATTGTCCAAGATGCCTGCGTAAGCATTCGCTCTGAACGCGTCGTCCACGGCCGCGGCGAACGTTGCTAACCTTCCTCTAGCCCAGGCCAGCAGCACCAATCATGGCAAAACCCATACGAAGAGCCTAGGCCTCGTATGTCTGTGTGGACTGCGCAAGAGATTGCTACTATTGCCTCGAAACTCGACAAGCAGCTCGGCCCCGAATACATCTCTGCCCGCGCCGGTCCTGGTGGTCAACGCGTGCATTACTTGACCGCGGAAAAGTGCATTACGCTCGCGAACGAGGTGTTTGGCTTCAATGGCTGGTCATCGAGCATACAAAACATCCAAGTCGACTTTGCGGACGAGAACCCTCAAACAGCACGCGTGAGCATCGGGCTGTCAGTCATTGTCCGCATCACGTTGCGTGATGGGACGTATCACGAGGATATCGGCTATGGAAGCATCGAGAATGCCAAGGGAAAAGCCATGGCCTTCGAAAAAGCAAAAAAGGAGGGCACAACAGACGGGCTCAAACGTGCACTACGAAGTTTCGGGAATGTTCTGGGGAACTGCATCTACGACCAAGACTATGTGAAGCAGGTGATCAAGCACAAGGCACAGCCCGTGAAGAAGTTCGATCCCAACAATCTTCATCGGCACTCGGACTTCAAGGAGGATGTGAAGGTGGAAGAGCCAGCAAAAGCGCCTGCGGCGCCAGCACCAGAGATACCGCCCCTTCAAGCTCGGCCCAAGATGGAGGCGTCGGAGTCGTTCGAGGATTTTCTTGGAGGTATGCTGTCCTCAGATGGCTTTGAAGAGCTGTAGGCTAAGTTCAATGTTACAGAGCTCGATGAGGCGGACTTTTGCGTTCCTGAAGACGGTCATCCCGATGAAGTAGTGCTTCCAGGCCCGCCCGAGCCTGCACCGCGAGCCATGCAGCCGACTACCTCACATCGCCCGCCGCAGACTCCGAATCAGCCGGCGCCAGCGAGGCCGCAACAGCAAGCGCAACAACAACAGAATCGTCCGGTGCCCCAGGCACCACATCAACAGCCACTCCGAGGGGCTCCTGCTGCCGCGCCAGCGGCCATACCCGAAACTGTCGGCTTTTTTTCCGCCAAAGCTGTCAGCCAACTTCCCGAAGCCAGTATTCAAGGTGAGAGCGAGTCTCTCCTGGCTCCTCGCGGGCAGCAGGCGTTTAATCCTAAACTCGAAAGCCCATCGATACGCAAAACACCCGGAATTGACCACAGCGCCTCGAAGCCCTTGTCCCGCAGCGGGCAGCATGTTCCTCCGAGTAGTAGCCAGGCTCAGACGTCCAACGCAGGCAGCTTCACGCCAGTGCGTCCGGGTCAACCGAGAACAGCAAATGTGGTAAATCCTGGGCTGGATCACGCAAGGCGAATCGGAGCGCCTGGAGGGCCGGGTAGTCCCCTTGGCAATCGTGGGTCGTTCCGTCAGCCGACAATGATGAAGAGGCCGCAGCCTGAAGGAGGCCGTCCTGCTTTGGCAGACCTTCCTGCCAATGCGAATGGCAACCCCCCAAACGGGATGGATGACATAGATGCGAAGAGACAGAAGACGGCTTGATCACGTTGTATCGGCATTAATGTCCCAGGCATTGTATGGGTTATGAGCAATGATACGTTTGGCGCTGGTAGTGCTTGGGCCTTGTCATTTGGGATGATATACAATTATTCTTGTTCTCGTGATGTCTAATACAATAAGTTCTAGTCTTCCCTCTATTTACTGGCATTCAGTCTCCTTAATCCTTCCTGAGCTTGGCGAGACCCTGTCTTGAAATCAAGCTTCTTGCACAGGTCGATGCTTTGGGTATACTTCTTCTTAGCGAGTTCCTTCTTCCCTTGCATGGCTGCCACATCGCCCCAGTTGCATAGTGCAACGGCACACGCTTCATCGCATTCATCCGTCTTGTCATCACCCTTGACGTCCTTGGCATGGACGTAGGCATTCTTGGCCCAGTTGGCTGCGGCCTCGAGACAGTCCTTCCTGGTGTTGGGCATGCTTGAATCGAAAATGGTCTTCAGAGACTCGGTCTCGCTCAGTGACGATTCGGTGGGGGAGTAGAGGGGGTGCTGGGCAAAACACGCAGCGAGATTGTTCATAATGACAGCCCTGTGGCAGGGGCTATCGCAGTTCCGCAAGCCTTGAAAGAAGAGCGGAATGGCAAGATGGAATTCGCCCTTTTTCTCATAGTTTCGCCCCAGTGACTCCATCATTGCGCCAACCTCGGTCGGTGTCATCCAGCTTGTTTCGCCCGGTCGCGGGGTAGTACCGCTCTCTCGCCGGCGACGGAACTCCTTGAGCGTCGACTCGACGGCGTAAACGAGGTGCTCATGTGAAGCATCGGGGTCCAGGACATGCTGCGAAGCGTACAGCTCACCGAGCTTGACAGACGTGGAGATGGCTTTCTGCAGGAGTCTTTCGCGTCGGCGCCACATGGTTTCAGGCGCGTCCTCGTTCTGGGCGAGGTACATCTTGGAGGTGTCTGTTCCCTCGGGGAGTAGGGATGGCCTGGGCGCGTCCTTAAGATAGCCCTTGTCGTCAATCTTGTCCGAGTTCTTCTCCATTTCGCCAATCCACTCGAGGCATTCTTTGCTGATGTTCTCGAGGACCTCGATACTCTGCCCAAAGTTGCCCTGCTTCTCCAGCCAGAAGGCCACCATGATCCTGATGCCCAGGACTTCGTCTGACCAAATGTCCATGTTCAGCTGTCTCGTCTGCGCCATGGCGCGCCGGTAGAACTTGAGCGCGCGCTCAGGATCGGGGGTTATGGTGGTGTAGTAGATGGCCCGACGCAGTGAAGTGGCGACCGGCTCTGGGTAGCGACTAATCTGCGGGTTGAAGAAAGTCTTGTAAAAGAGGTAGAGCTGACTTGTCACGAGTGCGAACGTAACGACGGTCCTGGAACAAAGAGAACAAAGAGTCAGCCTGGGCTTTCGGCCAAAAGCATGTGTTTTCTCACAGGACTATGAGGGCAGCAAAGGCAACGGGGTTCCCCCGGAAGAAGGTGCGTATCTTTTGCTTGTTTGACACGTGCGCCGCATTGCGAAAGCTGACTGTCAAGACGCGCCCTAGGAACTGGCGGAATGTGAGCCTGGGCATGGGCGGTTGTCGACGACCCTCGTGGTGGTTGCCATCGTGCTGGTCCGAGTACAATCGACGTTGCTGAGGGAGAGACACTATGGCGCGAACATTGAGATTCGATGAACGCGACTGTAGGGTGAGTGAGATGACGCCGAGACGCGACGCCTGCAGGCACTGGAAGCCAAGTGGCCGCAGCGAGGCTGTGGCTATGAGCGACATCCTGGCGTTGAATTTGTCGCTTGTCAAGCAGGATCCAGCCGCTGGTCCAAGAAATTGAAGTTCACGATGACGATGGCACTGTTGATTATGGCTCCACATGAATAAGCAATCCACAGCTGCTTATTGGCTGCCTGCTCGAGCTTCCAACGTGGGGGTGGGGAACCGTGGAGAGAGGTCTGAAGTCGAGGAACGCGATGTGGCCGTTCGGATTCTCATCTCACTTTCAGCCACTCCACGCACCTACAGTCCCATTGTACCAGGCATCATGTCAGGAAAGTTTGAGCCCAAGGCTCCTGTCAACCTCAATCCTCCAAAAGACGATCCTATCTCCGCCGAAGAGTTGGCCAAAGCAAACGGTACGTCCAAGCTGCCCCTCCAAGCCGTGAATCCTGCAACCAGCTAACCTCACATTACAGGCGAAGACGGTGGGAAATGCTATGTGGCCATCAAGGTGCGTGTAACACATGCGTGGTAAGGTCAGGCGAGCTCACTTTCTCCAGGGCAAGGTGTATGATGTGACTGGCAACAAAGCGTACCAGCCTGGCGGCTCATATCATGGTATGGAATAGTCTCAAATACCTCAGAACAAGCCTTTAACGAATAGCAGTCTTTGCAGGCAAGGACGCTTCGAGAGCTCTTGGGAAGACATCTACCAAAGCACAGGATGTAAGCGCCGATTGGTCCGATCTCGACGACAAGGAGAAGGGCACGTTAAACGACTGGGTGACATTCTTCTCCAAGCGCTATAATGTCGTTGGCGTAGTGGAAGGCGCTACAAACATGGAGTAGTTCTTACTGTCCTCACAATAGACAGGCTGGCACAACAAGCTTCCTATGTGATGATCTCCGTTGTGTCCATGTCGTCCGTGAAGTCGACAGGTTTTCTTATCAAGAAAAGGATCGCACATGTGGAACATTCATCAATGCCCCAACCAGTTTTGATGCTGCACGAATTACACCTGTGTTTCCAAAGGCCAATGAACCAGCGGGGATAGGCACACAGGTCTCAAATGTCGACATATCATGCAATGGCGGAGCTCGAAGACATGTCGTGTTGACACAATCCAGGGCAGATCCGATTGCAGTCACTGACGATCTAACTTGTGTTGTATATCTATCGCAGTGTAAGCTGATCTTCCGGTGGGCAAGTGATAGGGCTGACAGCCAGGCCTCATACAGGAGAAAAGAGGAAAGTAGGCATGTGGCTGGAGTGACTCCGGTTGCGGGAGCAGGGGAGGAAGCCTGGCCATGCCGTGGGGATGCATGGCACTCACAGAACGGGCAACCTCCAAGATGCGGGCTGCGCAGTATGATCGTGTGATTCGGTAACGCCTCTGACCGGTGTCAACGACAGATTTGTCGACACGTCGACCATCTGCGGCCGAGTGGTCGGATGATGGCGCGCGCGTGTGCGTGTGCGTGTCCAGCCCTCCAACTACGTGTGCCGTCGGGCATCCGCAGCTACGCGCAGGTGGCAGCATGCCAACAGCGGCCTGGCAGCCATGAGTCATTGGACGAGACTGATCAACCTGAGAAGGCGATCGCATTCTGTACATTGCTTGACCGCAAGTCTTGATACCAGAATCGTGAAGGAGAGGATCCGTTATCAGGACGAACGTTGTAGGCTATGAGAATTGGAGGTGCCTTGCTGAGCAGCCCGCGGCTCGCGCCTTTCTGTAACTGACCCCTCAGAGGCAGTCGTTCAGCGATAGTCTTGAGCGAACCCTGACCGTCGCTCGTCTTGCTGCACCCAGCATGACGGCCACATCGCGTCGGCTCAATCCTTGGCCACAGTACCTTGGCGTTTTGAGGGCAAAACAGTCACACTTGGCACGCACATTTGCATGCAGTGTACAACATCAGGTGCGCAATCAGCAAGCGGTGAATGCATCGCGCCTGAGTTTTGGGGCATATTGCACAAGCGTCCTATCAATCAGGGAAACAAAGAGTGGCGATGTGGTGATGAGTTGGGAGAAAGAGGATTGGGACTGGATGCCTTGCAGCGGACATTCAGCCCAGCAGGGTGTCAGATGTCGATGGATTATAGCTTGTGATTGGCGGATCTGCTGAGTCACCCATAGAAATGTGGGATAGAATGCGAACCACCGAGTGGTTACCGAGTTGGGCCAGCTGGCTACTGGACCGCTGGTCCCTGGAGCCTAGACAGGCCGCAGGCGGGCGGGCGGCAGGACTGGAGGTAACGAGGAAGCTCAAGTCACCATAGGCGCCATGGGGCACCTACATCACCTGTGACTGTCCTCAAGTTAGGTGTTGAGCTGCATTTGATTTTGCCCCAGAAAGTGAGGCGGCTCATCATGGACCAGCTCGTACCATGTCGCCGACCCCGAGCCACTGTCGAAACCCTCTCATCCCTGAACCTTGACTCTTCACCATTCACTTCCCCATGCTCAGATCAAAGGAATGAGAGAGATTCTTTACAGTTTGCGGCAGGTCTTACCAACAAGAAGTGTTCTCGCCGAATCATACAGTGGCTTTCATCGCCACCCCCAGCTTCGACCGTGGCACCTGGCAGATCAAGCACTGCGTGTTGACGACGCTAAGGCTGGTCTACATCTATCCTGGAACGGTCTTCCTAGACGAGCCCAAGGCCTAGCCACGGCTCGAAAGTCATAGGTCACGTCCTATCAAAAGACTCGGCCAATCGCTCACTGGTTGCTTCTCTTGCTTGTAGGCATCAAGTGCCCGAAACTCACCATCAAGTGGCCAAGATGGAGGACTGCTCGATGCAGCTCAATCTCTCGGAGCCCTTTGCCACCGGGGACTTGGAGGACAGTATTCCTGGTCCAGATGTCCAACAATGGCTGGGTCATGAGCGTCCTTTCCACAACAACTTGCCACCCCTTGGGTTCAATCCGTCGGAGCCTGTCTACTCCCTTGGCCTCCACCCAAATACCTCGGACTGGCATCACAATGGTATGCCATCAGACTGTGATACAGACCCTGTGGACTCCGGCTATGGCAGTGTTATCCAATCATCCTCGGAACCAATGGAGCTTGCGACGCCGCACCGCACCCCATACCTGAACCTTTCCAACGAGGTGGGAGATCAGCTGGCGGGATTTCACCTGGGCGGATCTGGATCTGAGCGCCATCTGATGCAGAACCAAAACGGCCAAGTCGGCCAGTCTCAGTGCTCATACTCTCCGCTACCACAGCAGTATCAGCAGTACCAGCACCAAGACCAGTTCCAGTATCAGCAACAGCCTCAACAGCAACCCCAGTATCAGCACCGGATCCAGCATTGGCCGCAGATACAACAGCACCAACCGCATGAGTCGCGAAAGCAGGATCAGACTTTTAGTTCCATGGGTGACACCGAGTTCTGGTGTCACTCATGCAACAAAGCAGTCAAGACCAAGTCGGAACTGAAGTAAGCCGCGCCCATTCGTGCTACAGTGTGTCGCGACTGACCAGACCAGAAAACATGAGGATCGCCACAGACTACCACATAAATGCGAGGTGCCCGGCTGCAAAAGAGGAGACAAGGGATTTGCGTCGGTCAATGACTTGAACCGCCACCTCGTAACTGTCCACCGCCGGTATGACTTGGGAAAAACGTACCAGTGCAACATTGGTCAATGCTCAGAGAAGGGAAAACCCTGGGGCCGGTCTGACAATTTCCGACAACATCTGTGGCGTATACACAGGTTGGAAGTGAAGCCTGGCCAAGGTTTATCAAATTTCCTGTTACAGTATGTGCATTCGCGTGAGTCGAGGAGGCGTAGCTGACAATTTAACCAGGAGCCCAGATCAGACCACTTCCCATACCGGTCAAATAGACAGTTCGCATTGGGAGCATGATCGAGATTCGGTCGATGGGCTCAGTGACGACGCCTTGGCAAGATCCCATGCAGGGGCACAATTCACTGATCCCTCGAAGATTATCCTAACCACCGAGTCCTCGAATCCCGAGCCGTCCATGGCTGACAAGGCTTTTGACTCACTCGAAAGACAATGGGAGCATGAGTCAGCCCCTTCCTTTGAACTTGACACGGAAGAACCGCAAATCTCCCCAGTAGGGCAGCAATTGAAGCAGGACACGGAGATTTCCTTGGATAGCGATGAGTGGAGCGACGAACAAAAAATCGAGATGCTAAGCAGATGGCCGAAGAGTGTGCTTCGCAAAGCCCTCGCTGCTACCTCCGGTGATAACACAGGGAGAGGCTCCCTGACCGGGACCCATGGCATAAAACACAAATGCGATGAATGCCCCAAGAAGTTCAAGAGACCTTGCGAGCTGATGTAAGGGCTCAACCTCCGTCCGGACGTCTCCCCCCAAATACTGATTGGCCTGGTCAGGAAACACATGAAGCGTCACGACCGGCCTTATGCCTGTACCGTTTGTTCCAAGCGGTTCGGGAGCAAGAATGACTGGAAGCGGCACGAAGGCACCCAGCATGAGATCAAGGAGCTTTGGCACTGCGACCTCGGCTGCCACAAGGTCTTCACCCACCGCGAAGCGTTCGAGACGCATCTCCACGCCACGCACAAGGACTTAGAAGAGGCGTCTGTCGAGGCGAAACTGGCCAACAACCGCACCGGGCTTCACGGCAAGCCGTCTTTCTGGTGCGGCTTTTGTGGAAAGTTGTTGACGGTCGCGCCGGGGAAGAAGTCGGACGTGGAGCGGGCCGATCACATTGATAACCACTTCATGGGACGGGACAGCTACGAGCTGAAAATTATTGAGGAATGGAAGCAGATGGAAGATTGCTATGACTACGTCCTTGACGTTGGATTCAAGCGGAAGAGGAACGACGTGGATGCGCCAGAGTGCTCGAGGCCGGCGAAGCAGCGCAACAACAACAGGCGGACATGATGCTACGAATAACGAGAATATGAATAATGATGCCATATTACCCTGGGCTAGGCGGCTGTGTCTTTCCACGTGGCGAAAGCAGCAAGACGATGCACCCTACACATTTGTGGCTCGTGACCAACAAGAGTTTTCTCTTGCCACGACTGGAGGGACTTCACTCTGGAACCTGTGATACTCGAGCTGTGATATCGATTCTCGTTTGTGCTTTGCGGCCCAAGCACCTGGTTCGCATGGGCCAGGTGGCCCTGTCCTAATATCATAAGGGCAGCAGCAGTCGGCTCCAGTCCCCGCTTTGTTGGTTCGGCCATGCCGCTGCGTTGCAACATCCAGTCACCAGGGGGCCCAGCGCCTTACAAGTCCACAGAGGCAGAACGGTTCTTCTCGTCAGGGACTCAGGGGTGGCTGATGGCCCCAACAAGTCTCCAACAACCGGATATCCAAAGCTGCACGCATCCCAATCAGGCCAAGCCCGCCCGCTCGAGGCGCATCACAAAGCAAGGAGGCGTGGGTGGTACGGTGGACGTGAGTGATGAGAGTGTTTAGCGAGCGATGTTATGCCTGATTACTGCTTGCATCACCCACAGTATTAACTTAGTGACCGCCCACCCCTGCCACGGCTTGCGTTCCAGGAATCCGGTCAGCGTACAAGTAGGCTGGTGCGGGCCCTGTCGTTGTGAGTTGTGACTGACAACAACCGAGTCTGTATTGCCTCCGCGGGGCTGGGCGCCGTTCTCATCCCGGTGAGCTATCGTCCTAAGCCGGATTTGCAACAAGTTGCAGGATTGTCGACAAGGTCCAGTGTTCGGCACACGGGGTGACGGGGCCAGCCATCAGATCACCAGCCAGACGCTGCCGAGTGGCTCTTCACAGTGTGTCGAAACAGAGGCTCACCCAACTTCACCGCAGCACAAGCAGCTGCGGTTGATGAATCATGCGACTTGTTGACCTGTACCGGGCACTGACCCAGCGTGTAGTCTGCACGAGATGGGACCCAGTGCAGCGCCCGTTACGATGCGACGGATGCGGCAGACCAACAGCCAACAGCCAACACAACACACCCACCTATGCCCGTCGACGTTGGGAGGTGCATTAGCGCCGCGGGTGGGCCAGAATTGTCCGCAGCCGATGGAAGATTCTCAAATGAAAGAAAAAAAAAGCGATTCTTTGCACAGGTGTTGGGTATCAGTGCGTTTATGGCGCCTGTTGTGTTCCCTGAGCCATAACACAGGAGGATGGGGGTTCTGCGGCTTTTGCCCTGGTTGGGTAGTTAGCAAGAATAAGTACACAAGCAACTCGGGCGGTCCATGAATGATGACGGGTGATTGGATTCGAGCAGACATGCCAAGTAAGACCCTGAAGGTACGCTGCCAACAGCGCCAGCGTGGTGAGACTGACACGCAACATGCATTTGACCGGGAACATGTACGTTGCCGGAGACCCTACATGTGAGATAGGACATATCCTCGATCCCTCCAGCCTTCCAGGCGCTTGTGTGTGTGTTTGTGGCGTGGCTTCAGCGCTGGTGATTGCTCACTGCAGATGCAGATTCTCACAGGCAGAAGCAAGTGCCGCAGCATAAGGCTGATCTAGCACGATCGGCTGCCGCGAGCAGAGCTGGATGGTAGGATAAGAGTCGACGAGGTATAGGTCGAGTGCATGTGCTAGGTAATAGTGGCTAACCGAACGAGGATCGAAGCCCATGCGGAGCACTGCCACCTTTGCCAATTCTGTAGTTTCATCTCCATATTCTCCAACCCATGGTGTGGGAACTGGTGATGTGACAGATCGCAATTACTTGCGTCGTGACAGACCCCTGCCCTGTTCAACGTCGACTAGCAAGCAACAACTCAAGCTGTGCCCGGCGAGCGAGTGATCGACACCCAGAATGCGCAAGGGCGCGTTCATCTCGTCTTTCCAACCTTTTGCCGCAGCGTTGTGGCTTTCGAGTACGCAGACTCGCAGACTCGCAGACTCAGGCGTCAGCGCGCGCCGAGAGAAGTCTCGTCTCCGCACATGCGAACGTGAAATGGTTGCAGCTTGCGCCGCAGCACTTTACGGGGAAGGACACGGAGCCACTGTGGCCAGGCAAGCACTGATTATTGCTAGTAGGTAAGGTAGGTATGGTACGCACAGTCCACAGTCCGGTGCCTGCCAGAGGTACATCAGGTAGGTTCGGCCCGCGCTTTCCCAAGGCTAAGGCACCACTTGCCACACATCCCTGATAGCAACAGGTCTTCCAATGAAGGAGAGCCAAGATTGGAGATCATTCATCTATTTCCTATTTTGAAAGGGCGTCTAGGGCCGGACGGATTGTCAAAAGCTTCCGGAGCCAGCGCTAAACCAGACTGGTGATGCAGTCCTGGGAAGTTTGGTGCTGGCTCAGTGGCTTGCAACTTTGCACGGCTTGGCAATCATGACCTGTCACTCTGAGTGCCCACTATTACCATACCTCGTACGTACACATTAATAATACCAGGTAGACTGTCATATACGGACGAATAGGCCCTGACGATGACGAGTCGACTGGACTTGCTGGATGGCCCCATTGTTTGTTGTTGTTTTTGGTCGCCATCTCGCCGTAAAGTACATTGCGCAGACCCTCAATGCAATATTCGGGCCGTGCCAACCTGCCAGGAAAGCATGGTATTGGAACTTTGGGAGATAGCAAGTTCGGTATCCTGTGACGCATCATCGCGGATCTTCTTGCATCACTAGTATCGGTTAGACCAATGTGCCGTGACCAGGTCATCTGTCGGACTGTCACCAAGCTGGACCCATTCGTAGGGTAATGAATATGTCAATGATATTAGTCTGTTGCGTCTTGTCTCAACCAACCCATGACCCACAGGCCGCCGACATGGATGGCTCATGGGTGCCATTGGGGACTGTGCGCCCACCCTCTTGCTCCTACAGGGCTTACCCCTGTCTCATTTCAAGTCCTATTCGTCGTCGGGATGAGACACCATGCTATCTAACTAAGCCTTTCATTTTCATGATCCGGGACTGATAGTCCTTGCATACGCATCTTCAGTCAACGTTGACAGCGGCAGCCTGGTAGTACGACGACATGATCGCTGGACCAGGTGGCCCTGGCTAACTTGGGCCCCGGGTGCCTCGCCCGTGCAGATTCCCTCATCCGGCATGGCTTGCGTTACCGAGCGACCGGTGAACGTGAGCATCAGTCAGAACCAACAGCACAATCTGCAACTGCCTTCTTCTGCACATGAGATCCGCCTTGCATGGCTGGTCCTGCTGATGGCGAATCAGGCGCGCTGGGCCCAGTCGGTTCCCCCCAGCCTGGGTGATTGGATTTGGCAGATCTTCTCGCTTCTCCTCCTTCTCCTCCTACTCGCCTGCCCCAGCAGCGTCAAGTGTTTATTTAGCAACCTGTGCAGGTGCTTGTACCTACACTTTCACAAGCGGCACCGGGGGCTAACTTATAACCCTGGCTCGCCCCAGGGGCCAGCCGCAGCATGTACAGATACCGATGGCATGGCCAAGTTTGAATCATCCTTGTCTGACCAGCGGTCATCACCGCATCTGTCCATGCGACCTCACGACTGACGACTCGATTTGAGGCTCTGCGGACTCTTGGGTCTCCGAGTGAGCAAGAGAAAAGGTGGTCCCAGCGTTAGCGTTGCTCGCCCCTGAAGCGCGGAAAGAGATGTGCTCCCAGAGTCCAGATTTCTCCTTGTTCATCCAATGGCTCTTACTATAGTAAGGTATGCACCTTCGACTTTCGAGCCCACCAACCATTGACACTCTGAGTCTTTGGTTGACAAACTGGTCCTACGTGCCCTTCTTCAACTCTGGTTGATCCCGCTCATTTATCTATCCTGCGTCTCCCCAGGATCTGTGTTGTCCAGCTACATGACAAGCGAGGTCATCTCCATCAGGAGTAAACCTATTCACAGCACAAAGAACGCTCCTCCAAACATTGCAGCCAACGGTTTGCAAAGTTTGTAACATGGGCTATCACGGGACGCCCACACAGCAACACTTCCTCTCTTCTCACGCCGGTGACACACAATCTCGCGTGGTTGGTGGCCACAGTCGTGATACTCTTGTCGACACCGACAACCGCGAACAGGGTCATAGGGGACAGTATCGTACCGATGATCTCTGGATGCACGGCACCCAGCATATCCGTCCAAGTCAACCCACTCAACGCTGTTTTGACGGGAACTTCAATGTCTCACCACCTGCATCATCCTTGACTCGCGGTAGCATGGAACCATACATCTCGTTCGAAACAGATCCGTCACTGGCAATGACACCCGGTGATACACCATTCATGTCGAGTTCTGCCATCAGCCACGATCTGGTGCTCAACGCTGGCTCTGGTAGTTTGAGCGCGCTGGCTCTGCCTGGCGGCTTTTGCTCTTCAGTCCACTCTGTTGCCTGGGCGTTCCCGCAGAGCCATACAGAGAACGCGGAGGCACTGGCTGGCATTTTCATGCCCTATGGGCAGAACTGCGACTACTTCAACCCACTGCCCGTGATGAGCACATCCTCAAACTCTGACACGGGGTCGCCTCGGGTACTTTCCCCTCGACCACATCCATCGGATCAACACCTCGCTCAGTATTCGCAGCCAGATGATACTGCAACCAGCCCGCGAGCGAAGCGTAAACCGATGTCAACCTCTACGCAGGAGAACACGTCCAGGAATTCCAGATCCAAACGTGCACGCCACGACGCACAATCAACAAATCAACCAAAAGAGCCCGAGAATCGTATCACAGAGCCTTTATCGACGTCTCCTGCACCTCCACTCGATTTAAAGTGCCCCCATTGCGAGGTCACGTACCGAGAGCAATCCGCCTTTGCCAAACACATGGACACACACATACGGCCGTTCATCTGCGTCTTCCACTACGCTGGGTGCACCAGGACATTTGCAAAGAAAAATGAGTGGAAACGCCACGTGCTGAAGCAGCACATTTGTCTCGAGTACTACCACTGCGACTACATGCAATGCGCCGCCGCCACACAATCTTCATCCAATTGTCGCGCCAAAGCCCTTCCTGCTCACGGTCGAATTTTCCGACGCAAAGATCTACACATGCAGCACGTCCGTCGGATGCACTTGTCAGGGGACAGCAACGACCGCCAGGCTCAGGCCGAGATGGAGGGTCTGCAGCAACGAGCTGTGCGTACGCGCTGCCAACTCCCTCGGTGGATGGTCTGTCCAGCCGAGAACTGCCATCACGTCTTTTGCGGCGATAAGGCCTGGGACGAGAGGATGGAGCATGCCGCCCGACATCTCTGGGCGGCCAAGGAGGGGTTGGAGCCCGAAGTCAGGTTTGGTGGTTCCCACGACGCCTGTCTTAGCGAATGGGCCGAGAGACCGGACGTTGACGTCGTCAGGAGAGTACCGGGGGGCTGGGCATTGAACAATCCTCTGCAGGACTGCGATGAGGCGGCCCGCTATAGTCCCAGCTCGAGCAGCGGCGAGGAGGATGCCGAGGGAGAGCCGGCCTAGTCATCGAGGTGTGATCATGGTGGAACATGCGGATGTGATCTTTTGGAAGGCGTTGCTGGACGACAGAAAGGGTTGCATACATGCACATTGAAAGGACATTCAACAGAAATCTAGTCTGTGCCTATCTCTGAAACCTACATTAGTCTGTTTCAAAACAACGCAGCCATGTCCTCAGCTGAGAGCGATCTTCAGCCTCACATCTCCGCACTCCAACGTTCCTCGGCCAATCCAGTGATATCCAACGAAGGGACTGTAGTCTCGGAGTATCTGTGCCGAAGAATATCGCGCTTCAGCGGCATTCAAGGCATGGTCCGATTCACTAGTGCTACATCGCGTCCAATCCTGCGTTCACGCAGAACCTCCACCTCGACCACCTGCAGCCATGAATACTTATGTGTGAAACTGCCTACCCTTTGCAGGGTGGCGTAATGCTGACCACACATTGTTGAACATTTGTTCAGCGTGGTGCTTGAAGCTGTGCACTCGACCAGATACAATCACTCACACAGCAGGAGTTGCATGCGACTTAACACTGATTTAGCAAACCATACTCTAGCTTGCGGCTTTCCCTGAATGAGGGCATTCCATGGGTAATACATATGCCCCCTATGCCGTTCGAGCAAACATGGTTCTCGTTATCAGTTCGACAGATAGAGGGCTGTCCAACAGCGCTAGTCCGCCTCAACGAACCAACTTCTGAAGTACAATGATAAAAAGAATGGGCAACTCGACAATGCGCAATAGAAAAACCCATCATACAATAATTCAAAGCATGGTACCTTTCTCTTGTCGGCTATCGGAGCCTCGAAGCAAACAGCAACTGTTTGCCTGTAACATCGGTATCCACGGAAGCATAGTCGCTTTCAAAGAGTGTCGGAAAAAGGGTCGTCATGACGCTAAAAAATTCAAGAGCTACACAGTAGTGGCCTCGGGAACCACAGTTGCAGGCTCATCCTTGAAGACAGTGGGTGAAGTCTTCCCGGCAGGTACAGCTTCAGGCGGGCGTGTGATCCTCACCTTGGTCACGTTGCGCTGGCTGCGGCGCTGTTGCCTGAGTTTACACTGTGCAGCATACCCAGGCTCATTGGCCTTGCGCCATTCAATGTATGCTTCGTACGCCTGCTGATCACTCGGATCAGGCCGACGAGGCTTGGGAACGGGAGCCGGGTTGGAAAATGCAGGTGCCGCTGGGTTCATGGTGTGCAATGCTGGAGCTGTACAGTCTGTCGGCGGGCCGGGCTGAACTGTACTCATCAGTGGGCTCGAGAGTCCTGCCAACCAATTCATTCTATTGAACGGGTTCGGCGCTGCGAAGTTGTACGGCATCTGGCCAGGAGCCCATGTAGCGTTGTAGTTTGGAAACTGAAACGGCGTCGCATTGAACGCAGAGCCTGGGCTGCCAATGTTGCTGTAAAGACCATTGGCAGCAGTCATTGCCATCATTGGTAGTGAGGAACTATAAGGATGCTGTCCGGCCAGCGCAGCGCCTGGGTCAATGAAGCTCACCGGATCCGGCGCCTTGTCTGCTGACGCCTCCCGATTCTGACTGTCTTTGACGAACAATTCCTTAATTGGCATGCGTCGGAAGCTCCTCAAACTTTCCTCTTGTTCCTTTCTCTGCTGCTGTTCCTTCTTAAGTGAAAAAGAAAGGAACTCTCGCGCCTTGGGGTTGAGATTCTCACTCTCTTTAGTAGTCAGTCCCGTTGACTCGGCCGACAAAGATAGTCCATGGTTATCTCCTTGGCGCATGGAGACATACCCGGAGTCATCAGAGTTGGTCATGCGTGCATCATGAGGCTGAGCATAGGCTGGTGTGTGCTGCTTGGGACCTTTGCTGTGTAGCTTCTCGAGCATCCTTGCATATCTGTCGTCTCTGACTGTGTGGCGATGCATCGTTTCAGAGTAGTGTACACTGCCCCAGCCTGAGTCGTGAGTGGAATCATTTCCTCTTCGTGCCATGGCTGGGGACTGATGGGCGTAGCTAGGCAATGTGGGAGGGTCTGAAGATAACTGACCCCATCCGCCAAAGCTCGACTCTGTCCCCTCACAGCTTCTTGAGTTGACATTAGAATACACAGAGGCGTGCTTCTCAGAAGCTGGGTCGGTGAAGGTGACGTTGTGGATGATAGCAGGGCGCTTCGCAGGCCTCATCCGGTACGGAGTTGTATCCACAGCTTGAAGCGCTGCATGAAACTGTTCGCTTTGAGCATCAGATGACACTTCTTGCCGATGCCAAAGTCGCTTGTAGGAGTCCAAGGGCGCTGGTTTGAGCTCGACAATGTGCGAGTGATCGTTTTCAGAGTCGGCCTTCTCTGGGCGACGCACCTCCATGAGGCTCAAAGGTCGCGCGGCAGGACTCGGCAGGGCCTTGTGGCTCATAAGCTCGCACAAGAATCGAGCCTCGTCGTCTTGAATGTCGCCTTCTCCCTGCCAGCTAGTGTATCGAGGCGAGCGCGTAGTGTCGCAGGTCGACTTGACTTCTGAGGAAGACGGTTGCCGGACGGCGACGAAGAATGGAGACGACGGCATATCACAATGCTCAGGTCTACTCGGAGACTTATGTGCCTGCCTGTGCTGCCCATGCTCGGTGTATTCAGGCTTTTGACGCTCAGGTGCCGTTACGATGCTGAGAGGGTCGGTATTTGCTGATTCGGAGTTGTTCACAGCACTTCCACCCCCCTTTCGACGCCAGTCAGGGTTGCGCATGGCCATCCTGTACTTTGAGATGATGTTTGGTCCATCAGATTGGCCATCATCTTGTGGATTCGGAAGAGCTTGCGCATTCTGATCGACGGCGCCCAAAGTCTCCCGGCGAGATCGTGGAGGCGAGCCGTTCACCAGTGCTCCGGTCACTGCGACAAAGTTAGAAATGCTGTAATTAGGTGGGCGGGAACCCACTTTGAGCTTGTGATTGCCGCATATGCAAATGGGAATAAACGTGTTTGCTTTGCAGCCGCTTGCACAGGCTGTGACGTAAGGAACGCTGCGTGAGGTGAATCGCGAGTCGAGGTGAGAACCCAGACTATATAATCCTTGGTGCACTTTGGTACGTGAGCACGAGAAAAGTATCTTGCGTTGAGGTGAGCTTTGGGTAGGAATCTCTGGACCTTTCTCGAGGCGGATTGCTAGCACGGCGTGGTAGCAAGCTGGTTGTGGTCGTGCTGGTGAAACAAGTCGCTGGGGGAGACAACGCTTTCTGTCTATGCCTTAATGCTGTGCATCAACGGTGTGCCTAAATGGAAGCGCGGTGAAGTTCCAAAAACGCAGTGTCGGGGCTCGCTGCAAACTGAGTGTTGTTGGGGGGGCGGGAACAAACAGTGACAAGAGTTGAGGCGCGATAGAAGCTCGCGTCGTGGGCCCGCGCAATAGCATGATTGTTTACAAACACCCTGACCCCAAGCCAGCACCGCTCCTACCCCCAGTCGATCGGTCATCAAGTAGTGCCGTTCCTTGGTTCGAGGCTAGACCCTTCAGCGCGAAGTAGGCGCTGAGCGATACTGGACTGCCAGAACGAGGCTGCTCTTGCCACTGGCGTCTCCAGTCATCAGTTGAAAGAAACCTCCGTGTCCAGTCCAGTCGTCGCTGCTGCCCCTCGTGACTGCGTTCGTCTGATAACATGAGATGGCACCTTGCGTGGACTCGGATGGAAAGAGCCGGGATCAGAAGACTTGATGATGCGACAAATACTCAGGTAAGGTAGGCTGGGTTCTATGAGAACATGGAAAATGTCATGAGGGCAGTGAGGGTGGAAGGTCAATACAAAGGACCGACGAAGTGTATTGGCCCTGGAACAAAAGACTAACCCGCTGATATACAAAATTGTGCTCTGCTATCCTTCCTGGGCCAGCTAGGCCTGGTATGTTTGACCTGACATGTATGCGGTGAATGCTTTCTGGAAAAGAGTTAGAAATATCCTAACGTGCCTTGGGCGTCACTCACAGGGTTTCTCGTCTGGATGAACACGGTGCCAGGCCCGGTGAATTTACACACCAAGCCCTCTCCAGCGGCAAAGCCGGCGATGATGCCCCCAGAGGTGACACGTTCCATCACGTACTTGCAGTTCCACGCAATGAGATGGCCATTGTCCACAATGTACTTTTCGTTCTCCGCCATCTGGATCAGTTAGCATCTTCACCATAAGGAGACATTGCCACGACTCACATCCTTGCGGATAATGGCACCGAAACTGGTGAGCCAAAGCAACCCTTTACCGCTAATCTTGTGCACCCATAGCCCCTCGCCGCCAAACATTGCTTTGCTGAGACCTTGCCGCTTGTAGTCTTTGATAATACCCTGCGTCGAGGCAAGATAGGCGTCTTGGGCCACGGACCAATGCTCCGTTCCAGTGAGTCGCACACTTGTAATGTCACCCAGCATGCCTGGCGCCAGGAGCAGCTCACCAGGTCCGATAAAGGTGGAAGTTCCAATGTCTGATCCGGCAACCATCTTCTTCAAGCTGAACTTGACGGCGCCCTTGTTTGTGATTGTAGGCGTCATGGCAATCATGACGCCGGGCTTGGCTTCGAGGGGGCAGCCCATGGCGAGCTGCACTGTGAGTATCGTGTTGCAGTCGCGGTGACTGATGCGATAGCTGCCACCGTTGAAGGTGCCCACGTCATCGGAGGTTGCTGCTGCGCCGACGAAATGCTCAGCTGGTGGGGCCCCAGCTACCAGATTACTCGGCTGGCTTGTATTGAGGGGCGTTTGTTGGACGGCCGCCACAGGAGCTTGCGCGGGTCCGCCTGGGATTCCAAGCTGCTCTTGCTCATGACCTTGCTTCTCCTGGGGATAGCCAGAATCGCTTGTGGGATACGTAGGCAGTGCGTCGGTTTGGGACAGCGATTGTTGCAGCGGTTGTGTCCGTTGCTGTAGGCTGTCGGTGGTCGAGGCGGGGCGCTGGGGGATGCTTGACTGTGATATCCTGTGTTGCCTCTGGGGAGTTTGCGTGTGGGCGGGTGACTGACCGGGCGGTGATGGATACTGCGCTTGCCCAGAGTGTCGCAGCGACGGCGAAGGTGTGTGTTGAGGAGGGGGTGGGTAGTAGCCTCCTTGCGAGGGCGCGGGCGATGCTTGGGGATGCGACTGCGGAGGTGGCGGATAATGCGCAGCCCCTTGGCTCGGAGTAGATTGCTGTTGAATGGACGGGGGGGGTGGGTAGCTTGGGCCGGGAGACGAGTTGCTCCCAGGCGGAGGTGGGTAATTGGCGTGTTGTTGCTGGCCAGGCGATGCTTGCGCCGGCGGCGGCGGATAGAATTCAGTCCGATTCGCAGGAGACATGGGACCGGGACCTGGAGGAGCGGCATATTGCCTGTGCTGCTGCTGCTGTTGTTGCTGGGGAGGTGGAGGATAGGCTACCGGATGTTAGACTCGATCGTAAAGGTGAGGTCAAGGTATCGCCTGTCGCGCGGCGCACATACATTGAGAGTTGCCAGATCCCGGAGGAGCTGCGTCGAGTCAGTATGGACAACCTGCTTTGGCATAATGAAACTCACGCGGATAATTTTGTTGGGAAGCCATGCCAGACTGATGCGATCTAAGACTCGGATCGATATTGTAGCCTGAGGGAATCCAAGGTGAGGGTTTGGAGATTCTTCGAGATGTCGGTGTTGGACCAGCTTGCGGTTGCCGGCTGATGGATCCCCGCACAATGCCAAGAAACGGGATTGGCCGAGTGGGACGTGCAAGCTCTCAATGAAATCCCTGAGACTCGAGAGCTTGGACGGTTCTGCGACAAGATGATGAAGATGTAGTTGGGTAGGCAGTGTTGAGGACGAGAATGCGACGAGATATGGGGGAATGAGAGGGAGATGACAGCTTCGGAGAGCTTCAGCAAGCTGGCCGGCCATCTTCCTGCTCGCTCCAGTCAGTCTGGCCTCTCACCTGGTCAAAATAGCCGCCGCAGCGGGGCCCCTATAACTTACCTTACGAGTCTACGACCAAGCATCTGTCAGCGTCCAGGTTCCACCCAGTCGAGTCGAATCCCGAGCGCTTGCATCCAGTCCGTCTGGTTGCTGCTGGCCAGATGCGCGTGGCTGGACAGTAAACAAAAGGGGTTCAAGGGGCTATCATGGCGGCGGCAAAGGCCCAAAGGAGGCCCTTTGTCGAGCAAAGATACCTTGCCCAAGTCTGCAAATTGAAAGGCTCAATTTATCCAAGCGATAGGGATATGTTATTTGGTTGAGCATTGGCCCGGCCAGTCCGTGTCGCCATTCTCCATGGCTCACTGGTTCGGTGATCCCAACGCAAATCGAGCCTGTCGCCTGATTAGCCCCTGTGTTAGCGTGTCACCCACGACAAACAGATCTCACGCAGTCAGGTGCGGCAAAATCATAGGTATCGTCTTGCTCTACGTGTGTAGCCTTCTCAGCAGCGCGAGCTTATGAAAGTTGATCAAGAATCGTTAATGAAGAAGGACCTGTTTCGTCAAGGCAGATTTTGAAGGGGGGTGGGGGGTTCTTCGAATGTCAGGCCATGTCTCTAACATAGGCATACTTGGTAACAAGACCCGTGCCTAATTGAAAGCCCGTGTACACTCAAACATTGAACCTCTGTTATTGAACGAGATGTGATGTTTATTCTGGCAAGGTCTAGAAGGTATGGACAGCGACAATAGCTACATGTACCTCAACGTCATGGCCAGGTTGGGGCACTGCATGCGGATAGGAGCCGAACACTTGTTGTTCCACTTGCTTACATCCACTGACTGGCCGACCAGCGTGCCCAAAATTAGTCTAGAGCATTATCGCCAGCGTGCAGCTACCAAACATGACAAAATACTACATGTACATATCTGCTAGGCGAGGACACAACTCTGCCGAATGCAGTCAATCGCCTCGCCACCATCCCAGTCAAACATCGAGCGCAAGTCCTCCAGTGAGCATCTCGTCCAAGAGCAGCCGTAGCGGGGAGCTCACGCCACGGGCGGTTCCGGGTGGTCAAAAGGGTCCACGTTGTCTGGAATTTTGGATTTGAGTAGCTATTCCGTACACCACTTGGAAATAAAAGCCTTCGAGAAGGTCTCGTTCAAACCGCAAGGCTTGAGGAAGGAATTTCGGGACCAATGCCATGCCCGTGTCACGAAGCCAGCCTTAGACGCCCATCTTTGAGCAAGTCAACTAAGTTAACTTAAGTCACGCTTGTAGTATACTACCCTGTACTGACAGAAGAGACGTCAAAAGGTAGCTCGACGCGCTGGACTCTTAATGACATTGTCCGAGTATCCGAATGTAACGCTGCAGCCAAGGTGCGGACCACGGACTTGGTTGGGCTTGCTTGTCTTGTCCATGTGCAGCGGCAGAGGGCGAGGGGTTCCAGTCGTTCGTCCCGCTTGGCTCGCACCGTGGCGGTCACTTTGGGCACTGGTGAACAGTAGTAGGTTCTCGTCGTTGTCGAAAGTCTTTGCTAGGTACCTTTCTCACGGGCGCAAACATCGAGATCGCGACCGCATTCTCTCCAGTTGTCTCTTGTCACGGGCCGAAAATTGTAGAGGCCAGCTTCGTCCAGAAACGGTGAGCCATTCGCCACGCTAGGCCTATCCGGCCCGGCTTGCAGCCACCTGTTCGTCAGGCCACGCTGCTGGGCCGATGGCCCAGGCACCTTAACCCAGGCTAGCTCACGCCTAGAGTACATGTAGCTTAGTGCCTTGATCTAGTGAGTTTCGAGCCTGATCATTGGCGGCACAGAGCAAGGTGACACCCGCTACAGGCCCGATCCATAATCCAGAGGCTAGAGCCTTGTTTCCGCGACCGTGGATCTGACCCAGACTTTGCGCTGCTGGCTCACTCTTGTCGTTTACTACGTACTTCCAAATCTTTCCAGAAGATTGACGTCGACTGCGCCCATATGACTGTGCAAATTCTCCCACAGCTCCGAAGCACCTCGTGGCTGGCTTCGACACTGAAGGAAGGCGGACAAGATGGCTGACCAAGCTGGCGGGCAAGACCAGGAGCCAGTCGACAGGAACACGCTCGCCACGGAAATCATCCATCCGTGGCTCCAATCAATTGTCACAGACGATCTACCCTCCGACAACACCGAATTCCATCGCCATGAAAGGATTTTGCCTTCGTCGCCCTCAGCAGCCAGGCTGCTGGAGGCTAGGCAACGACGACGCTCCCAGCACGTGGGGCGCCTCGCGCAGCGCATGAGGCGCCAGAGTCTCACCCAGCTTTCCCCCGAAAACGTCGGAACGAGCTCAGACCTCGACTATGACGCACCAGCGCTTGCAGAGAATCTTTGTGTCACAAAGCGGAAGAGACCCGAGGCCGACTGTGAAACGACATCTGCACAAGATCACAATCCTGCGGTGCCGCACACGAGTGAGCCCATCGCAGCCGACAAAAGCGAAATGGACGTAGAGGAGACCATACGGAAAGGACTCGCGGCACCGGGAATGCTCAGAAGATCGGCAGATGAGGACAATGGCGATGAATTACTCGCATATCTACCTTTTCGGAGATCGGCCGACGCGGCTGCCAGGTGTCCTACCGTGGTTCGCAATAGACCTCGCATGCGTCGAAGGAAGCGGCGCAAGGTCGAAGGATGTCCAAGCAAAGATGACGCGCCAGGTTGAGACGAATGCCGTCTCCGTGAGAGTTGCCTGCAAATTTCTACGGCAGCACATCCCCTCTTGCGCTCCATGTTCACGGAACACAGAGGTCCTGGCTGTCCGATACGACCTTGGGAAGGCTGAGGCGCATGTGCGCTTGTGTAGGCCGTTGTCAGCTCGTTGTCTCCCAAGCTCACAGACTCAGACTGCACAGCCATGGCCTTGAGCAGCGAACGCAAAGCCGTGCAAGACACGGAACAAGAGAACCGTCCGCACAGACGCACTCATGAGCCACCGGTAAATCAGCAGCGAATCCTACGACTCAGCAGTAGTCGAGAAACTCAGCGCCGCCATGTTGCAGACCGGCAGTGAGCCCACGCAGGTGACGATACGACTCTGGAGCTGCTTGGGCTAGTATGCCAGTCTCGCGTTGACCGTGCAATGCGCACAGACTTGAACTTCTGAGCTTCGAGCGGTACTATACACACAAAAGATGCTCCGCCGGCCGTGGTCGCTGATCTCCATCGACGTGTGGTCAAGAGCGGGCCATAATCATGGAATGGCGGGACGAGTAACCGGGCGTGGGCTGGCCGCACCTTTGGGCGAGCCGTAATGAGGCAAGGCAGGCTAGCCCAGATTTACTCATAGTCTTGCCGGCGAGGATAGCATACAGGCACTGAAAGAAACTCAGCGCGGCCCATCAATGTGACTTGTTGGCAGACCATGCGTTGGCATGGTGATGGTACCCGATGATCTCCCAGGGAGACACGCGGTTCAAAGGGCGAACATGATCATGTCTCACAAAGCATATCTCAGTATACCTGCCGCAACAACGGACAATTCCATTCTTGCAGCCAATATTGAGCCTTGTAAATTCAATTAAGCGCACCGATCGAAGGATTTCGAATATTGATCTATGGCCATCGATGAGGCATCCAGTCAAGTCTATGATCAGTGTATGGTCCTCGCAATCCATAATAGGCCTAACGCTCTCGAACATTTGCTACTCTTAGCGAAAATACAAGTGGTAGTACGATAGATCTTTCTCACGGCTTTTGCCATCGCTCCGCCTAGCACCTTGTGAAGATATGCAAAGCAGAACATCGTGATCAAGCCTGTGTACGGTAGTATCTAGCGAACGCGGGCGTAGGCAGGCCTCACGTTGACAACTCCAATACCTATGACATATTCCCCAAGAATAGAAATAATGGACCTTAGCACACGAGAAGCTACTCCGGATGAGTGCGAATAGAACTAGCGTAATGTCTCCGGTGTAGATGCCTCGCTTCGCGCAGTAGGCGGAGTTATATTCGGAGTTCTCAAGTCAAACCGTGCTAGAGGGACTAGCTTGGTTGGTCTTCACAGTCATATCCTTGTAGAGGCTCTGAAATCGGTGTTTCCGCATACTAAGCTCGTTCAAGCGAAAGTACGAACGCTATTGAGTGGACATGATCCTTTCTGGCCTCATGGCCAGGCAGCCAACTTGTCAAGCCTTGCCTCACCCGTGCCTACTTCTCCACCATTGCTCTATCTTTCGTACCTGTACCAAGGCTTACGGGTCACTTGTTCTAGGCGGGCAGGCGCGGGAGCTCGGCAAGACCATCGTCAGCCGCATCGTCTGCAGAAGCTCGATGAACATGGCGCCAGACTCGGTGAAAGTTCCACGTCTCGACCACATGCGCTCGGGCATGTTCTGGGGATAGTTTTTCAGTACCAAGTATCCATCCTGTCAGTCTGCCTGGTTCTGCATCGGACTGTTTCCCTTGTTTGGCGCACACCGTGCATCTCACGTTCTTCTCGCTGGAATGCAGCGGCGCACATCAATGTTGGTACATTCCAAGTCACCAGCGCAGCCAGTGCCGTTGGCCACGGACATTCTTAGTTGCTGTTGCGACCCGTCGTGCAATGTTGCGGTCGCATGAGACACAATTCCATCTTGGGTTCCTTCTCACATTTTGCGCTTCTTAATGTCGACGGCTTGCTGCTGCGCCCAACTTACACGACCGCCTTCCTGGATGCACCCCATGAATGCTTTATCGTAAAGTTGCTTCGATTGAACCGGAATCCTTTCATATCGGTAAACAGACTTCAAACAGCCTCACCAGCTTGGCCGACTGCGAGAGCCCGCGTGCGATTCGCTACCCTCGAGCAAGATGGCGTTCTGGGATACGCAGCAGTATCGCGCAGATGCCCCATTGGAGCGCGACTTTCTGTGGCAGGATCATGACAATGCCGCAGCGGACGATTCAACCGATTTCTTGGGGCAATTTCTCGACCTGGATGGCACTGGAGCCTTTGCGCCCACGTCGACAACGAACGCGTCTGCCGACGTATTGGCAGGGGACTATGAAGCACCGAGGATGCCTCAAGGGCTGATGTCCTCAGCGCCTCCTGAAAGTATTGGGTCTTCGACGACGGCCGACGAGATTGATTTCCTGTCGAGCAGCTCACATGTTGGGCCTGCTTCCTCAGCCAGCTACGATATCGATCCTGCCCAGCTGTCTGCCGGTTACGATCAGACAAGCTTCATGCTCGAACCGCCGCAGTGGGCCAACACTGGCCGTGGGTCTCTTTCAGATACAGAACTGCCTCGCATGGAGGGCATGACGTTGAGCTCGCCGACCAAGCACAAGTACACATCAATGTCGCAGCCCTCGTCCCCAACACCGCCCAACACAGTTGTCCGAAAGACGACCAGTCATAAGATCAAGGAAGCCTTCCATTCTACAATTCGGAAAGCGACTGGGAAGAACAGGCCGAAGCCTCGGAAGCCAGAGCCTATTGTTGATCGCCCCGGCTCTCCCGTAGGCGAGCCCCTACCTCTGCAAGCTCCCAGACAACGACCTCGTGCCATGGCCAAGGTGCGACAGCGACAGCAATCGTATACCTCTGATGCGGGACAGCAGCAGCCTACCTCATCATGGAACTTTGTGCAGGGCGCCTGCGATGATCCCTTCAATGATATTCCACCCCTGCCTCCAGCCAATGCTCTGCAATACTTCAACCAGGGCACTATCAGTCCAGGACATCACTCCCCAGAAATAAAGAGCGAGCACAGCTCGCAGTATTCCGAAAACGTCTCCTACCAGGTGCCTCCTGATTTGACGTGGCAGCAGCACCAACAGAGCCAGCGCCAAGCCATGAGCAACGTGCCGCAACAACAGGTCGAGTGGAACGGATCGGACATGATGTCTGGCGATGCCAGCTGGTGGGCTGCCAACGGCGCCGACGACCATGGGCAGTTTGCAGATCAAAAAAACGCCCATGTCAACATGTCGATGCACGCGCATCAGACCCAGTTGCCGTATGAATATCAAACCCAGATCCCGGACACGGCGTCCTCAGGACTCATGATTCAGATACCCCAAGCTCAGCAGCATCACCACCAACAACACCAGGTCGCAGTCGGCAGCGCCTTGACTCTAGACGCGCAGACCACCCTCCCACCACCACCCCCGATCCCAGCCTCCGAACGGCCTCATCGACCACCACGCGCCCCCTCCTCTGGCGCAAGGCATATCTCATGCTCACCCGTGCGCAAAAACAGGGCACCCTCCGCCTCCCCGACGCGCGGTACCCCGAGCTCCACACAGAAGCGCCACAGCTCGGGTGGTTCCGTGGCCTCGAACCGCAGTGCCTCGGGTCGTCTCCCGGCTAGCATGCCCGGTACCCCCTGCAGCGTGAAGAAGAGGCGATCGCGCGATGTCAGCGGTGGTGGCGGGATGTCGGGCGCGTCCGCCGGCGAGATTGGCTTCGTCAACTTTACACCCAATGACGGCGGGATGCTCATGGGCGGCGTCGCCCCGAGCGGCAGTTCCAAGACAAAGGCGCGCCGGGAGAAGGAGGCGCTCGATCGACGACGGAAGTTGAGCGAAGCAGCCATCAAGGCTGTTGCCGCAGCAGGCGGCGATGTTGATCGGCTCATTGAGCAAGGTTTCTTTTCCTGACACGCGGCGCACGTCAGTCCTTTATTATCCCCGGTACTTGACCCAAGTCCTTGACAGACATTCTTTCGCAGCAATCTTTTCCTTGGTCTCTACTGCCTTTCATTCTCAGTACTTTCTCATATCATGGCAAACTGCACTGGCCTGTACTTCAAACCTTGGTCTGATCTCACTCAATGTTTCCTTTCGTGTTGGCGACGCTGATTTCCAATGGGCGTTGATATGGGTTGACGGTTCGGGGGCGTGCAAAATTGTAGAGGCGACACCGGACTATGATAATTCTCAGCAAAGACATGGAGACGTGGTTGTTGAATATTTAACAATATTGTAATTCATCCTTGCCGTTCGCTATAATCACAGACAAACGAACGAATCAACGAAAACAGTGACTTGAAAGAAATGGAAGAAATTTCAATGAGCGCAACGCAAGCTGTTCAAGCCTGTCGCCATATATATATGTACAGCCCCTATCCATCCTTTGTGGAAACCGAACGCCGGTGTAATAACTGACTCTTGCAGACGCGGTGGTCGCAACGTGACGAACCCTAGTTGATGCGGAACAACGCAGCGAGACGAGCTCTCTAGGCTGGGTATCGGCAAAGTGTACAAATCAGAAGGTCCTAACACCGAGGTGGTGCACCAATTTTGGCTAGTACTCGGTTAGTCGTAACCGGCACCACGCTGCCATGGACTTTTTCAGAAGTTAGCTTGGGCGACAGACGAATGGCATTGATGGGTTTAGTACATACCTAGCATTGTTCGCTCGCGAGGGCGGGCTTTGGTTGTGAGCTGACCGCATTGCCGGGCTTGCATTGTTCTGCCCTCGGCTCTGCTGCTGGCTCAGTGAGGTCGCTGACGCGCCAAATGGGTTTGGCGATGCGGAACGGAATGGGCTCTCGGGCCTGTTGGCAGGGAAGAGAGGCATGGAGGGGTTGATGGGCGACCTCGGTGCGTCCATGGCCGAGGAATCGGTGCGGCGTCGCATGCTGTCCGAAGACAACGACTCGTTGTCGTCATCAAGATCGAGGTGGGACTTGTAACCGCTCTTGTCTCCACGGGCGGTCGCAGCCAGTGCGTCGAGCTCCGTGGTGGTATTGAGCTGGGTCTGAGACTTCATGAACGAGGCTCGGTCGTCAGCCATGACATGGTAACGAGCATCGGGGTTCTTGCGGAAGAAGATGACAGTTGTCGAGATGATAACCATGAGAAGCAGGATAAGCGAAAAGGCGGCGTTGAGTATGAAAAGAACAACGCCAACGACACCCACGACCAAGCCGGGCGCGCCAAACACATTAGTGAAGATCAACAAGAAGATGCTGTTGAGGAAGTTGACAACACAAATGGCAATGTTGAACGAGTTGGTGCTCTTGTCCATCCATGGGCGCAGGACCGATGCACCGATCAGAGCGGCAACCTCGATGATGATCAGGCCGATGGCCTGCGCGACACCACTGTGCTGACCCAGTGCCACGAAGGCAGCCTTGACAAAGGTGTAGATCAGGACGGGCACAATAAAGTAGTAAGCCGAGGCGCGGAACTGGATGTAAAGGAATCCCCACTTGTTCAGCGCCTGGGGGTCCGAGAAGAGGATGTAGGCCGGGTTGCGATGCATTGCTACGGAGCGTCGCGCAATGCTGATAACCTTCCAGGTGCCCCATGCTAGCGTCGCGATCATTGAGAGCATGAAAAAGACAGCTAGCACGACAATGGCGGGTGAATCGATCTGAGTGAATTCCCACAAGCTGAGGATGGTTATCTGGGGGAATCCAATAAGAGTGGCACGGAAGAGAATGCCCTTGAGGACTGTGATCCATCCATTGCGGAACTCGAGGAATTTCTCGCTCGACATCCACTTCTGCTTCACGGCCAGCTCGAGAATGCCCTTGAAAATGGCGACGGCAAGCGTCGTGAAGACGATGAAGAGAATGAAGAACGTCAGGCCGGTCATGAATAGGTTGGTAGTTTCTATCCCCATCCGAAAAGCCACACGCTGGATGCCGTAGACAAGGTAGCTGCCGTTGCTAAGCTCGATGTTTTGGCGTTTCGTGATGTGCGAAACAGCGGTAGAGGCAGCGTCGGCGGACACGGCAACACCACGTTTGAACAAGTTCAGGCCACTCTCGAGGGTGGACATGTCACGCTTCCGGACCTGGACAGAGTATGTTCGCAGCGAGTCGAAAAGTGTCGCAGGGTCGCCGCCAGTCGCACGCTGGTACCAGGTGAAGATGTTCTGCATAAAAGGCACTTGGATGATACCCATGGACCACTGGAAGTTCTGCGTCCAAGCTTGGACGATCGGGGGAAGAGGCACAGCGGTAAGACCAACAATTGCTTGGGCCTGGAAGTATCCGAACAGCGAGAGCGAGTTTGCCGCGATGTGCGAAGCAGCATTCGAGTGTCCGAGGCCGGACATGACAGCGGACGAAACGAGAGCAAGGCCGGCGATGATGGCCGTGGCCCATTTCACGCCAATCAAGTCGACAGTCTTGGTGTTGGAGAACCCAGCCTCGAGACACGCCACGCTCTCGCCCGTCTCGGTCATATTGACAAACACCCTGACCTTGGCGTCGAGGTCAGGAATAGTGTAGGCGATGCCAGGAATGAGATCAGCCGCGCTTTCGGGCACAGGGATCGGGAATCCGAAGTCGTTGTTGCCTGTCTGCATGGGGCAGAGACCTTGCAACTCTGTGTCGCAAGGGTCTAGTACCTGGCGAACTACCTCAAGACCATAAGCTGTGATGGCAACGTCGAACGTGACGTAGCCCTTGACCGAGGACGTGGCAGCCATCTCAATCTTGGCACTGTTGTTACCAGGCGTGTACTGGACATTGAAGAGGGAGGCTGAGAAATCCGAGTCCTTCTGGCAGGTGCTCAGCGCTTTGGATATAAGCATCCTCTCGGCATCGGCGAACGAGGCCATCGTTGCCAATGCAGAGAGAAGGGATGCCTTCGAGGGCCACCGCATCTTGATGGTTGTTGCGGTCGCCGCCTTTGTTCTAGTTGGCGCTTCCTTGTTGATCGCGAGCGATTGGCGATCGTCAAAAAGAGTCGACTAGCGAGAGCAGCGGTCGACGCAGCGCCGGTAGCTTTGCAGAGGATGTTCAGTGAGAAGGTGGCGGCGAATCGATGCGGTTGTGTGAGAACGAGCGTAGCGATCGATGACGATGCGTTGCTTTAGTCCAGGCAAGCGGGATTGCGGCGGGTGAGTCGTTCTGTCGTCGCTGTCGCTGAGTGTCGCCGTGAAGAATAAGCGAATGTTGGTTGAGTGGAGGAAAAAACGAGAGAAGAAGCTAATGGGGAAATAGGTCGACGCCGGATCGAGTGGGAATGCGACTTGATTGAATAGAATTTGAGCAAATCGAGCGGGAGAAAGACTGGAGTGGTATGGGAGAATGATGAATGCAGGTCCGGCAGAGTCGAACGGGGGGCGACAGTAGAGATGGGCTAGCAGACTGGACTGACTGGAGTTTTGGCTGTCTGGGGCAAAATGGTTGGCTGGGCGGGTGGGCACTGCTGGCGCAGCTCGATTGCTCAGTGCGGTTGGTCCCTCCCACAAGAACAAGGAACCAATACGACCTCGGGCTCTTGCGACCAGACAGCTACGGGGGTATAGAGTAATGGATAGCGAGCGGACAGGCGACGTAGCTTGGATGATGAGCTGCAGAGTCGAGTGAGTGAAGATGAGGAGAGACGGAGAGAGAGAACTATTGCACGAGATTGAGAGAGACGCTGCTAATTACCTGACCAGGTGCTTGATCGACCTTTCGTCTGGACGCGCAGTCAGACAGACCCGAAACAGTCGGGCCACCTTGACCTGCTGGAATGTCCGCACGCATCCATTACGACGCCTGGTCTGTTAGCATCCCCCTGAGCAATCCAGTAGCGCGGGGCCTTGAAGGCTGTGCACTACTTCTCTGTCTATAAAGTCACAGCGGGAAACCAAGTACCTCCAGCAGCCTGCAAGTCCACGGCCCCGCCATCTCGTATCCGCACTAACAGGCACTGACCCTCCTAGTGTGGCCCCCTGACAACCGTCAATACTTCCTCGCAACAGGAAGTTTTCCATGTGCGCACTATTATCCGCACTCCGTACGGATACGAAAATGCTGGTCGTGGTAAGCTTCTGCAATTGCTCTTCCTGTTGAACTAGGCGACAAGTATGAACAGTCCGTACTGCTCTGTCAATACGAAGCAATTCGAGACGGCGTGCTGAACCGGGTGGCTTGCCGTCACGTAGCATATTGCATGATTGGCATAAGCGCCTGACAATGCCATCTACCCGCCAGCCATTCTCGAGTTACGGACTACAATAGCGTCACTTGTGCAACAAGGCCACGCGACATAATAATAATAATTCTCAACCTCGAGCTTCCTGAAATAGCAAGAGTGGTTCCATGCCAGTGAAACAACGGTTTTTGGCTCGCCTTCTTCTTAATGACATGTAAGGAAAAGCTTGTAGCCCTTCGGCTTGTATAATTGCGCTGCATCGGAAATATCTTGCACTGCCTCGCTGTGTTTCATCTAGTAGTCTGCCAGGCGGCTTTCCTGTGTTGCCAATGCTTGGGTTCGATCGATTGCTTGTTCGTCAGTCATCGTTCTAGGCGTCTAGGTCGTGGAGTTTCCAAGGACCACTAAGAATGGAGGAGGGCGCATTTGGGAAGTATACACAGAAAAACTAGCCAGGTCAGTAAGCTACGTCTTAAGGTTACTTGGCGTACTTGAGGGCATGTTCGTTTCCGTAGACATGAATCAATTCACTTGCATGGTATTTGCAGCGGAACCAGTGTAGTTACGACATTCCCGTTTAGATCTTCGATACCCCATTTCCCGTGCCAGTAATCAGCCTGGTAACCAACAACTGCTAACTTCGCTACGTAAAGTTGGCTCTCGGGGGAAGTTCAGTAATTACTAGAGAGACAAGAGTAAGTGCTTGTGTTCGTCGTTGGGCAAGATACTGATACTATTTGCAAGATGAACCTCAGGTAACTAAGATATTGCGAAGT